ATTACGGTTGAGCCTTATCTTGGTGCGCCCAGCTCTGTTATCTCGCACAGCTCGCCCTTTGGGGATATTGCTGACGTGTCTGACAACATTGGATGGAAGAAGCCTGGAATTTGTGCTACTGTCCCTTGGATCCCTTGGGGCCGATCGGTCACTGTGGAGTTGACTGGCGCGGTTCAAGACCGGTTCAACGAGGGAGCGGTCAGGAGTGATATACGAGAATGATGAATAACGGAGTTGAGGCTCAATCGCCGGGCTAACGCGGTGATCTCACCAAAGCGCCGACAAAGGCTGTTTTTCAGTGAGCGGTTTACACGGCGATCGGCAATCCAGCGCTAGCAGGCCCGTATCTTGTGGATACATGGATTTTATGCCATAGGCTCTTTCCCTGATCACAGTCAGAATAAGTAATCGAATTGTTGATCCTCGGTACAGAGGGGGCATTATGACAGCACAGTTCACTTGAGTGAGTCTGTGCGTCTATACTATTTCAAGTCAAGGATCAAGACGAGCTAAAACGCGCCACAATTCCCCTTTAAACGCGCCCCGGAAGGAATGCAGGGGCTAACTCTGGAAGCAGGAAATGCACCAGCATGTTGAGAGCCTCTGAAACAAACGGTTTGTCGTTGGCGCTTCGCTTCTTGTTTTTATTTTATTTTTATTTTTATTTTTTATTTTTCAATTTCCTAGCCTGAGCGCCAGGAACCGCGCCTGAAACGGGGGCTAAGAACTCCACCTTGGTCGCGTACCAATCAGTCGGGAACAAAGAAACAAACAGAGCCAAAGTGGGTGGGACGAAGCGAGGCTCTCTCCGCTCTCACGAGTTATCGTGCACATTTACGGACCTTGTGCGCTCAGACATCAGATTTCTCCACGTGTGTCCACGTGGACCACATGGGCCCTCGCGCGAAGGCGCCTGGAAAGGTCATGGAAGGAATTGCTCCGCCACGCGGGCCAAACCCACGTTGTTTCGAACCCCTTCAAACACCGGTCCGGAAAGGAACGTTGGGCGTAAAACCGAATGATATGCTCCGTATGACACAGTGGCGCTAGGCTCCACTAGAGCAGAATGCTCCGATCCGATACTGTTGTTTCGTAGGGTGAAACATGTGATTTGCGCCCCTCTTTTGTTTCTCTGACCGAACTTCTGGCATCAAGCCGTTCGCAGGTTCGTACATATGCCCGGGGAGAAGAAGCTCAAAGATGAGAATGCTCCGACAATGTTCCGATTGGGGTATGACCGACCCAGAGAAAAAGAAATATAAGATCAGATCGAAGTTTTTCGATGATGGTTTTTTTTTTATTTTGCCACACCGATAAGGTTCCTGACAGTAACCGTGGAGGGGCGTGTAGGGATTCTTCCACGTGGGCTCAAGCTTCTGTGAGTTGGCAAATTCACATCATTGCCTGATCAGTCCAGGGGGCCGAGGGAATCCACTAAGGATGGGGGTCAACCATAGAGAGAGGAAGAGAAACGGAGTAAAGAAGGGAAGTGAACAAGGAAAGGCGCCATCGGGAACCAATGAAAGGCAAGAATGGCTGAAGAGTCGGATTACTGGCTCGATAATCGATAGGGGGCACTTGCTACATCAGGCAACACTAACGCCCAACCCGGTAAGATTCACACCGTAGCGCAGGGGGATTTCCCTGACTTACCGTTTGGTTCGGTGAATACACAATAATGGTACAAGAGTTGGAGAGAATTGTGGTAATACCAATACCAATGGGGCCGTTACCAAGATCACCGGCCGGATCTGTTCGGCCTTGTCCGTTCTTTGGTTCATGGAAGTGGGGAGTGAAATCATTGACTGAAATTTTTGATGATATATCATTTGGAATTCTAGAAGGACACTATCTTGAACTATTCGCCGAGCACGGAGCATATTCCATGCCATTGTGCAAGGGACTCCACAGGCAAGAATATATAGGTGCATGTATAACGTGTATGTACTGAAAAGTGGTAAGTACTGTAAATACCAGACCCTGCACAAAACAAGGAACCCACCGATCTTCACCATGAGGCAATCCCTTCCCTGGCCCACGTTGTTTGGATGCAGCACACCAAACTCTTTCCGAGCTCACGCGTGGGCTGTGGGTCAAGGATGACAGGCCGTTCTTCAGAGGGCATTTTCTTACTCTTTGTCTCTCTCTTCTCCGTACATATTCCTATAATATTTCTTTGACTAACATAATTGACTATGATAAGCTTTGTATGTTGCATTCCTTTCAGAGGGGTAGAAAAAAAAAAGGAGGCTCAGAAGGCGGTAATCCCTGTATTAGATTGTTTCCCCAACTCTCTATGAGTTCCACCATGTATCCGGTTCTAGTTAGTTTTTTTCCTTTTTTTCTTTTTTTTTCTTTTTCTTTTTCTATTTTTCCATTTTGGCTTTTCCGTTTTGAGTTTTAATTCTTCTTATTTTAATCCTTTTTTTAATTGATTATGAATTTCCATTTAATAAAATAATAAAATATTAATTATTCTTAACTGTTTTTCTGTTTTTCCCATGATTTTTGGTTTCTACACCACAGCCTTTCCCCCCTTTTAGCCTTTAGTGTACAAGATCGTGGGTATCACTTGTTTGACTTATACCCACTTTTCACACTCTTCCCGAAGTCTGGTTCACCCAAATTCTTTTTCCCCCCAAAAAACCATTCAATGCCAATCTCCGTGAACCACTACCGAGACTATTCTCTTCCTCCTGTTCGTGATCCGGTGATAACTACTTCCTCACGCGCTATTTCCCCTGTCCCTCCCCCAGCGACTGATCCGCCTACCCTGCATACTACTTTTACGGGGTCAGTCGTCGGTTCGATTTCCCGCCGCAATCGTCGTTCCTTTGCGGCTTTGGCTTCCAGGACTTCCAGTGCCTTCGCTAGTTTATCAACTATCAACCAAACCACCCCATTGCGATCTTCCCCTTCCGCCAGCAGTCTGTCAAGATTATCAAGGCTTCCGAGCGCGACCGTCAACCCCTTGACCCCGCCATTGTCAGACGGAGATTCCAACCCACTGCTGGATTTAGCGCGCTCAGAATCTCCGGCATTGGCCGACCTGAACCCTTCTCATAAACGCCGCTTAACATTGCAGCGCATACCGACTCCTCCACAAGAAGTTCGTCATTTTCCGGCCACTGTGCCCACTGCACCACCCAAGATGCACCAGACATCATCTCGGTTGTTGCGCATGACCGAAGATGAGCGCCCTTTCACCAAGGTAAGTTGAGCGAGATCTGACGGGTCTGACGTCTTTGAGAGAGGGCAAAGGTTGTTCTTTAAATGCTGACATGTTGCCCCAATTACTAGGACTTTATGGACTTGTTCTCCACCTTGATGGTCAGTTTGAAGTTGGACAGCCACCGAGTTCGTTTTACCAGATATGACCACACTTTTACCTCGGAAGAGGCGATCAACAACCTGGGCTCGCTCAAGTTCTCCCAATCGAACCGCATGCCCGACCCCAAGGACCCCTCCCGCATTGTTACCACCACAACCACCACCACTTTCTCCATGGCCAAGGAAATGGCCCGTTCTGTCTGCCAGCGATTTGTTGATGCCCGCTTTATCGAGGCCGTGGATGGAAAAGCCTTGCCGATTTTCCCTCTGAAGGGCGCCTTGTTCCAGCTCACACCGAAGGGTATTAACATCCTGCAGCGCTTCTGCCAGCGGAACGGAATCACTGCCCGTCACGTGATGGATGTGCTGGAGTCCCCGCGCAATACCATGCAATTGGTGAACCTGGAGCGAGATACCGAATCGGACAAATTGTCGCACGACCGCGCCACTATCGAAGTAATTTTCCGCCGATTTGCCGGCCAGGATGGACCCAACATTAAGAGCAGCATTTCGACCTCTGATTCCGACTCATTAAGCGACTACACGAATGGCTTGGTGGGAGTGAAGATGGCCCGGGAGCGGAAGTTGCAGGACGGAAAGATCTACACCAACACATTTACCGGCAAGGGAGCCGTGGATTGGTTGATGGATTGCTCCACCACTATTGAGCGCCGGGAGACATGTTTGATTGCCGAATTGTTCCTTAAGTATGGCCTGATCACCATGATCCAGGACGACAAGGCTTTCCCTGATTCGAACGCCGTTTTTCAGCCTTCCAAGTACGCGATCTACTGCATCACCGAGCGTGGCCAGCGTGTATGCGGATGGATTGCCCGCGACAAGAACCGTGACAACAACGCCAACACCACCTATGACAACCGTGGCATGCCCCGCGATTCTAACAACGCCCGTCTCACTCACATCCTCGGAGACCCCGCACTTCGTCTTTTATTCCGCGAATTCCTGCGCTACTCCCTTTGCGAAGAGAACCTGTCGTTCTACCTCGATGTGTCCGAATTCACCGCCAACTATCACAAGTCCGAGAAGGCCGGCGTATTCAACAAGGTGGATTCTGTTCGGGAAACTTTGGCTGCTGCCTATGGTGAGTGTCATTCTAAAATCTGCCTTAATATGCGTGTTGGCTCTAACAAATTTATAGGCTTGTACAACGCGTTCCTGGCCCCTGGATCTCCTTGCGAGTTGAACATTGACCACGCTCTTCGTAACAGCTTGGCCAGCCGTATGACCAAGGCTGTGGGTGACGATGAATCCATGTTCAAGAGTCTTCAAGAGGTTGTTCACCTTTTCGAACTTGCTCAGACCTCCGTCTTCAAGCTAATGTCAAGTGTAAGTTGATCTTTGCCATGCAATTTGAATCCTAGTACTAACTTTCACAGGACTCGGTACCGAAATTCCTTCGTGACCCCAAGTACTCCGTTGTCCTGCAGGAGCACGACGTCGACATCTTCGGCGGGTCTCGTTCGTACTCACCGACCCCTGGTGGACCGGAACGCACCATGAGCCGTTCCGCACGGACATGACAATTACCGCGAGGCAGCGTGGATGTTTCCTTCAAGCCAACAAGCCGTGACCGTCCGCATCGTGATTCGATCGCCCACTCCACCCCTGTTGGCATATAATCGCCAGGCTCCGTTGGTCTCGAACTCAGGCTAGGTGCCATACTCGACCAATCGAGTTGGTTCCGCTCCCGTCAACCTGTGCGACTGCAACGCGGGGATCACACCCGCGACGAGGGTCGCCTTTGGGAAACCCAGAGATGGAGGATTTTCCTCCAGCGATGTCACCAATCTCGTCATGATCGCCTCCGACCACGAGTCTTTTCGTTCTGCATTGCGCTTATGCCATGCAGCTGGGCCCTTGTCTCTAACCCCGACAGAGGTCTGTTTATTTCCCATGTTTTAATTTCCTCCGCCACGAGATTTTCTATTTCTTTTCTTTTTTCTCCCCTGGTTTCCTCAACACCCAGATGAAAGACGTTATGATCGATGCCTCATGTCATAGAGAAGGCCAGAAATTGGGCACCACTTGTAATATTTGGATGACATTTTCTATTTTTCTCGGAGCTTCTGAAGTTCCTCTGCATTCAACACCGAACCGATACACCATATCGGCGAAGGACAAAAAGACAAAAGACCAAAAAAACATTCGACCTCAAAAAGACGGGTGGTTGACTCCAAGCCTTGTGTTTTTGTTGAGCATCAGATACGGCGTTTTCTGCATGATTTCCTACATATTCTTCTATTTCTCCTTTCCCTATTTATTGCATGCATGATCTCTCCCATATTGACGAGCATTTGTTTTTCTGAATATCCTGTTTCCTTCGGCTGCATTTCATTTGGGCACAGCGAGTGAGTTCTGGTCGATTAGTGTATGTCATATAGTATGGTTCCCACGGGAATTGCCATGGACATGACGATCTCATTTACAGTATACCTACCACCTTCCTATTCTATCCCAACATTCGATCAGTAATCAATTTGTAAATCACAAGGACATCGAGAATTTGCCGAGGGAAGTCCATGTATTATAAGAGTTGGGGTCATCATGGGTCTAGATTCCGCTTGGTTCCTGGGCTAGATCTTCATGGACCCTGATATATGCTCGTACAATTAACGTTTCAAGATCCATGGGTTACTTCCGAGGTCGACCCCAGGGTTGCCACATGGTGGCAGAATCTAAAACAAGTATCAAAGTATGTTCTGGGGTAGTTGGTGTAGTCTAGGCCTTGATGGCTTTTGGGGTAACTCGGGTTAGACTGACTCAGGGTATAGATCGATAAGATATAGGCTAAATAAGATATTCGGTTAATGGATCGGTACATGGATGTAGTTTTTATGGTACAGCCCTATCTACCTATTTGAGTCTCGATGTTATGTAGGTAGTATGTAGTAGGGACCAAAGAGGAAAGACGGAACGAATAGCAATCAAGGCTTTAACTCACACCTAACAACGCCAGAACCGCACCCTGACCGTGTGAAATTCCATTTTTAAATGAAAACATTGCAAGTAAGTAACAAAGGGGAATCAATATCAGGCATCAAGGAAAATAGAAGCTTGGTCATCATTTCGACCCCCAACCACGAAGCCTCATCCCCTCCTCAATAGCCGTCCAAATTCCCTCGACAACCTCCCGATCCCTCCATCGCCCACCCCCATGAATCCCACCTTTCTCATCCCACCTCTCAACATTGAAGCTCTGCACACCGCGTCCCCATCCCTTAACAGTAGACGGGGTCTCCTCGCCCCTCCAACCGACATAGATACCAGTAGCATGCTTGAAGAGCTCCGGCGGTGAAGACCACTTATAGGACTTAAACTGCCAAGTCTGTCCAGTAGTAAAAACAGCCACAAGTCGCGACCAGTACTCCGGCTTGAAGTTTGTTGTTCCATCCACAAGAATAAATTTGGTAGGCTTGGTTGCTTTGCTAGCTGCGCTCGCAGCGTTGGGATTGGATGGGTCTGACTTGAGGCGTAGGGGCCGCTTCAGTTCCATGAAGTTAGCCTCGGTGGACATAGACAGTGTAGGGTGGTCTGGTGGGACGAAGATGCCGTCTTGCAGGAAGGATTTGATGTTTGACATGCGAATAAGAGATGAGGCGGAGGGGGAGAGGAGGATGATGGGGTCGGGCCTGGAGTTGGATTTGCGGGAGGGCATCGAGAGGCCTGCTGAGGGTGCGGGAATCATCTTGCTGCCTGGTTTGGTGGGTTGACCAGGGCGAGAGCGGTTGCGATCGAGGAAGATCTCGGCGCTCTTGCGGACGTGGGAGAAGTCCTATTAGTGACGTTAGCTTTGTCTACTCTCGCTATCCTTCGGATTGGCAGTGGCGTTGAAGATGCCAAGTAGAACACTCACGGTAGCCTTGATACCTCTCAGCACGGTATTCCGATCTCCAGTCTTCCGTTCTCCATTGTAAATCTCCTGTAGCCGTGGATCAATCGGCTTCTGAGGGCGAGTACCCTGAGCTCCGGCCTGCGTCGCCGCTCCAGGAGCACCACTAGGCACAGTAGAAACACCACCCTTAACACCAGACGCAATACCAGCCGAGGCTTCAGCCTGAGCAGCACCGGCAGCTGTAGCTGCTGCGGCAGCCGCGGCAGCCGCGGCGCCTTCCAAAGGCTTGATGTACTCGCTTTCATCTGACGCTCCCTCAAGCCAAGTAATGAGATCCAACCGCTCAACGAAAGGTAGATTCTGAACTTCCTCAACCGTTCCGGACTCAGCGGGTCCCTTCAACTTCAGCGCCTCGTTCAGCTCCTGTGCGGAGGCAATGTACTCCGGGATAGCGACATCTTTCTTCTGCCACGCGAAGAAGATGCTGCGCAGGTCGACGGCGGACTCGACTGTTCCGGATGCGATGCGCGTGAAGCGGGTCGGTGTAGAGAGGGGAATCGACTGTGGAATTGGCTGCGAGAAGTAGAGGTGTGTTGCCTGGGCTAGGTCCTCTGTCGCATGTTCGTTCGAGAGCTCGGACGAGGTTGTCGGGGTTGGGGGGCTGTCCGAGGCAATGGCCCGGCGCAGCGAAAGAAGCGGGTCTTGGACTGATGGGTCGGCTGCTGCCATTGTGATAATTGAGGGCGTAAGACCCTGGGAGAAGCTGGGTTGGGATTGGGAGTCGGGGGTTGAGGCTGGTTGGATTTCGCGTGGAAGCTCTGAGTCAACACGTGATCTTAGACTCGCCAGTTTGTTGAAAATTTTCAGGTGATCACTTGAGTATAGAAGTTTTGATTCGTCACAAATTTATTCCTGTTTTGTTTCGATTTTTGAACCCGAAGCTTCGAAAAAAACGATAGAGCATCATGAAAATCAATAAACAGAGAACTGTGCAGATAGTGTATACAGTATAAGGTGCAAAGTGTAAGGTGCAGAGTATAAGGTGCAAGGCACCGAAAAGTCAGCGTACGTTCCCTTATACCCTAATAAAAAGGAACTTGTAGACATGAAATCCGCCGGTATAGTGTTTCAATCCCTCTGCGGTACCTGATAAAGTTCGCTTGAAACAAGTGTGTTAGCTAGTGATGAATTCCGGCCCTAATTGAACGGCTCATGTTACTGGAGGGTGGGTGGGATCTGGCCTATGGGCCGGGGAAAAGAACGTGATGGTCTTCTTTTTTTTATCCTCCATCGACTTACGATTTTGTATATATTGTTGTGATTTTTCATTGGGGTGTAATGTGGTGAGAGTGGAGGAGCTGAAAATTAAATGCTGCCGTAAAGATTGTTGTTTCCAAACTTGCTCAGGTACCTTGAATATTGCAAGATCGCGGGTGCAAGGGCTGACTGGTAAGTCCTTTTCTTTTTCTTTTTCTGCACTTGGATGCTCATTCTGACATGTCGGCTATCCATGGTGTTTAATCGAATCGGAGAACCCGATATCTTTCGAAGCTTGAAAGCATCACAAGGGACATAACGCCTACTTCATGCTACGTGTAGATGATCGAAATACTGTCAAATTTGCCTCAAACAAAAGCCACTACCATTCTTGTTATTATTCGCAGTCACATCTACAAATCCATTATCTTGTCCACCAACTACAGCCTCAGTGGAGACAGCGTACCGCAGGACTCATGTATCGCCACAGCCAGCCCCAAGCCCCTAAGAAGGCCGTTATACCCGTAAACAGAATCAGAGTCCCATACTGGGTTTCATATCCTGTGGCACCATCACGACCCAGCGCTCCTTGGCGGATCAACACCGTACTCAGAGGCCCACTGATGACATTTCCGATACCTCTCCCACCAGCCAAAAGACCAAACACTAACCCAGTCTCCAGGGATGCTGACGATTCATCCCTGACCTCCGTAATGATACCTGACCAAGTCGAACTAAACCCACCAGCGAAGAATCCATAAAAAATGGCAAAAACAGTTAGTAAAGCCGCCCCAGCGTGGGAACCTGGACCAGCAGACGAAGCCATGCCCCAGAAGAGGAGCACTGATAATGCAGATCCTACAGAGGACAAGAGTAGCACATTTGTCACGTTGCATCGGTCACACAGTATTCCCAGTGCAATACCACCAAAGATAGAAGTTGCGTTGAAAAGGGACACGAGCAATGTGCCCATGAACTCGGGCAGACCGGCTGTTCCCGTCGAGTAGGTTGGAAGGTATGTTGACGGTAGGAAGTATCCGAAGCTTTGCATGATGTTTCCTGCTTGCAACATCCAGAAAGTACCCAGCCTGAGAAAACTGAGATCAAGAGGACGGGCTGAAGCTGATGCAGATACTGGAATTCGAGGCTTCATGAATGGTAGTGACAGTAATGTCGTGAGAAGCTGAAAATAGTCAATTAGTATGTGGACTGTCCAACGGACCCCGAGAGAGTATAGGATGATAATACCGTAGTCACAGTCCATGCCCTCAGAGTTGTACTCGAGCCAAATTTGTTCAGACAGGCACTCGCAATGAAAGGCAGAGCAACACCTGTAATACTCTTTGCGGCCCACATGATTCCCAGTGCGAGCCCTTTTCTCCGTATGAACCACTGGTCCAGATAGAGAGAAGGAAGACTGAACAGCAGCGCATTTCCGATAGCACATATTACGCCTTGGGTGGCAATGAGCTGCCATACTTTCACCGAGAAGGAAGAAAGCAAGGAGCCAATCACTGTGATGACTAGTCCCGTTGGAGCACACCAGATTTGCAGACGTGGATACCGAGTCAACAGCGTGAAAGTGACTGGCGAGAGAAGATAAAGTAGCCCCTAGTGTTGATAGGTCAGATCTGGTGAATGGCCATGAATGTTCGATATGCTCGCTCGTACCGTGGATGTAGTCCCCACAGTCGCCAAGTCTCCTTTGCTACCCTGCAGTACATTAATCGAGGAATAGTACTCTTGGAAAACACCAAAAACACTCGAAAAGCCTGTATATACAGGATTAGTCAGACATTCAGCTTTTCGGATGTTGAGCGTGAGGCACACCCCAAACTGGGACTTGAATGAGACAGCAAGACGCCAGCATCAACCAAGCAGCCTTGCCCCCATCAGGTTGAGCGAGCATAGGCTGCTCGATCTCATGTGGCGATAAAGCATTATTCTCAGGATGAGAGGATATTTCGCCTAGTTGAAGAGACTCGTTGATTGAGGTGTTCATTGTGGATGGATATCTGATAAACTGGGTGAAAGGAGGGGAAGTATGGAGCGGATAGCGATCGCCCCGACGATACAATATTTGAGTCATACTCATGTCGCATCTACGCAAACCAAACTCACATCGTCAAAACTTCCATTATGATTTTTGATTCAGGCACACTGGAAACGAACGATCATCTTTGGCTTTGTTTCAAGATGATTATTAGCAACTTGTCTTTTGCGTCATACAAAGTGGTAAGGCTTCCACCTCCTCATCACGAAGAAAAATGTAATTCTCAGATTGATATCAATTCTTGTCCTGTCTCACTTGGGCATATGAGCTTCACAAACAGGGAACCGGCTTAGGCGGCCGGGAATCCAGCCATGGCCATGATGATAGCAATGGGCGTGGCGGTACCGATCTCACCCACATACCCAAGCCTACCACGGCCGACTTCGGTCCTAACAACCGGAAAAGCAAATGGGTTCACGCGAGGGTTCACATGGTGCGGCTCAACCACCGGGAGAAAAGCAATATCAACTGGAGTCGAGCGATACCAAGCATCCGCGACATCCACCCCCGTTAGGAAAATCGAATGAGTGTGGTAAGTATCAGGCAAATTTGCCAGATGCGCATCGGGCAAGGGAGTGTATCGGTCGTTCAGATAAATGCGGCAACTGTACTTCTCCTCAAACTTCCAAGGAAGACCGGCAGTGTTGAAGGGATTCGGCAAATAGTAAGGATTCTCAGGCGGGTTGCGAGCAGAGATGCGGTGATACGCTCTGTTGAAGTCGCCGATGCAGATGGCCGTTCCGCCATTATGCACAAACTCTACCACGGCTTGCCAGACGTCGCTGTATGTGCGTCTCGTCATGATCTCGGCGTTTACGAAGACGACATCATATCCGCCTTGGATGAGGTCGAGAATGGCTTGGTAGCGCTGCCGAACTTGCTTGAAGTACTCGGCTCTTTCATTGAGCTCGTGGATAAGCTCCGAGTACGTGAACTCGTACGTCAAGAGGGCGCCCACGCAAAGGAAAAGAACCGAAAGACGACGTCGACCGGGATCCGACATGCTTCAGATGGATTTGAACTTGACTGAGGTTCAGGTTGTTGAGTCGGCTTGAGAAAAGCCTTGAGATGCGTTGCGGGGTACTCGCGTCAATCAGCTTGGAAGAGGAGGACGCCGAGTGGCAAACAAAAAGGCAGCAAGAAGGAACAAGACGCTCTGAGATAGACAGAGTGCGAAGGTACCCGTGATACTATGATGCTGATTTTTCTGCGGGGTACTTGTCAAGAGCAGAACATGAAGGCAAGATGGAAAGGCGTCGAGGTAAACAGCTTTTGAATTGACTACTGGTGCTGTTTATTCTCTATCGGTGCGCCTTGCAATAGCTTTGCAACTGACTACTTGCTCTAATTATCGCCCATCTACGCGCCACCTGACCCGTATAGGTGCCTCATGGTGAATTGAATGTCAACAAAGTAGTTCCTTTGCTCCTAACCTTCCATGTTGTCCATGATATCCTCCTTGTTGGTTTCTTTCCAATGAACAATCAGTATTGAATACAATACTTGGAGTAGAGTTGGAAAGGGAAAAGAGACGTCCAACATCATGTTTAGATACTTCGCGGAGAGCAACGTAATCGAAATGAATTCCCAAGGTCAATTAGATTTACTTCGGGTTTACTTCGGGACGAGTTCTTCCGTCCCGAAGTGTAAACCTTAACTTTAATCTTTGCGATTGAGCCGATAGCGCCGATTGATATGATTGATACGATTGATTTGATGGCGATTGTGCGATTATCCGATTGATTACGATTGGCCCAGGCCAAGGTTTTTAAGGTTCAAATTACGTGGATGAGATGGCTTGGAATCAGTGAATAAAATTCCATCAAATTTCATGATGCACCACACCATGCGCTCAACTGCGATAGACGTATTTTAAACATGAACATGAAGGGTATAGTCAACATCAAAATTATTTCAAGCAGTAACGAAAGGTGAGGAAGAGAAATTGTGAGCCCGAATGCTGGTAAGAAGACGCAAACTAGAAATTCAACAACAGACTACAGTGTCAGGCTGAAGTCTCACCTGTAGACGGACAATGCCGAGATGCAGCCAGAAGAGGGCTGGAAGAACTTGTCAAGGTAAGTGAAGAAGAGTGTTGACCGGTGTGATCAGTTTTGTGGACTGGAAATGGGGAAAATTTGCAGCCAAGTCCAGTCTCAATTTATCCTGACACATAAACTGGGTAGATACGTGATGCCTGTTCAGAGGGAACTTGAGCAACGAGATGTTTGGCCGGTGCTTCTTCACCGCATGCCTGTCAGAAACCCGTGGCTTGTGCCCACACACCACAATAAAACAAGTAAAATGCTGAATTTTTGTTGCCAGCGGGTTCGAGAATTGCGTTCCAAGATGTGGAATTGATTGGAAGCGGCAGGATGGAAGAGTGGCCTTTCAGCAGACTCAATGTGACATGGAAGCATGTTGTGAAGGTTCAAGGAGGATGGAAACTGCACAACCAGGTCATTATAGAGCCACAAAAATGGGAATGGCCAGTGAGGAGGTACCTGGAATCTCGCGAAGGCAAGTTGGGAAGTGGTTCAGGGATCAAAGTGATCTGTGTATTGATCAGGGAGACCAGGATTTGTTTGGTGATGAGCATTCAGAACCTGCGAAAATCATCAGCACAAAGTAAGATAGACGTATGGGCAATGGATATCAGCATATCAACAACAGTTGCCTGGGATTGAATGGTAAGTGGGCAAGAGGAAGAGCAAAAGCGTAAAGGGGCAAGAGGGGGGGGAACAATAGTAAGAAAGGATGGTCAGGTGAAATGTAAACATACATATTGGGAGATATGGAGAACACAAGACATGAAAATGATGAAGTTCAAGATGTTTGATTGCAAGAAGAAAGTTCAAAGACTAATGGCCAAAGGCCAAAAAGAAGTGGAAGTGGAAGTTGAAGTTGAAATTCAACAAAGGAAGAAAATTAGAGAGCAAGAGCAAGGAATAAAATTATTAATACCTGCGGAATTGAGGGATGTATCCAAAATCATACTTTATATCCCAGGATCGCCACGGCGATTAAAATCCTGCAAATCACGCGACAGGATCATTTCGCCTCTAGATCCATCCTCTCCCCGAGATCGCCCTATCAGGCGAAAGAGTCACTTAATCACAATTCCAACACATCAATCAAGATCCGATCATGTGGGTGGATTTTGTTGACACAAGTTCACCACTCGAGGTGTTCAGCAGTCTGTGTACTAATTTTGTTATGCATGATTCAGTAGCGCTCTACTGGGCCTTTCGATGCTTCAAATGCTCCGTATCGATCTTGGAACAATGTCTAGTACCAATTGGCTACATGCCTACATCTACCGTTACAAGCTACATGCATCAGGAAACCAAAACTTTAATAATAATAATGTTCATACAAGCTATCCTGTACCATGGAAACTCCATGTCGAAGGAGAGAAGATATTCGGTAGATAATCTCACAGATCATAAAGATAAGCGGCTGTGCTGCACAAGGCCAGTCACACCGAAGGCCATAACCCACCCGAATCCTGGTATTTCCGTAACCGACCTTCCCATTTCCTTGAACACGCCGTGTACGCCGTTCGGAAAGAAAAAATAATAATAGATAACCGTCACACAGACACGCAGCCCGAACGCCGTTGCCACCCTTGTAAAAATGAAGTAGAGTCACACGAGAGAAGAATTTTGAAGTCGTAGAAACGTGATTCCGAAGAGGTTTCGTCAAGCGACCACGCCATTATTACCACACGCGGTAAGTGAAAAATAAAAGATGAAAAGATAAAGATATAAGAACAGAAGCGAGCATAAGGATATCAAGCGAACTGAAGATTCAATCACTGAGTCGAGGGGTCGTGAGGCTCTGCCGAATCGGAGGCATCTTTCATGGCGATATCACTGGGCTGCGAGATCTCAACCTGGGAAGCCTCAGCCCTGGTGTTTAAGGCGTTGTTGTCCAGTGCTAGATTGACGGAAGCCTGCGTATCGTCGGCACTTGCTGCATAATCTGGTCCAGAGGTGGCAGGTGGATTCGCCGCAGGAGGAGCGGCGGCAGCAGCGGCAGCGGGGGCCTGAGCCTGAGAGCTCTCCGAGGTGGGGGGTTGTCAAGGTACCTCGGCGGCTTAGATAGTCGCCCAGAGTGAGTTTTCTCTTAGCTGGCGTTGCAGTAGGTACAGCAGGAATTTGTACAGAACGGGGCGAAGATGCCTCGACGGTCGAGGGAGAAGCGAGACTAGCGGTGGATGCAGATCCAGGGCTGACTGCAAAAGGGATGGCAGGAACGCTGGGGGGAGGCATGGAAACACGCAGATTTCCATGGTTGATGGGAGTAGTCGAACCCGGAAGCTTGGTGATGTGGGCTGCAGTGGATGGCCAATGAGGGGAAAGCGGAGGCTTGCTTGGGTGCTGATCGGGGTGATGGATATCGGACTCAGGATTACCTACAGTAGCCGATGGCATAAGAGCAGTAGTCTGAGAAGTATCCGCGTCCGCATCCGCAGTCATCGCAACGTTTGGCGACTGAGTCAGAGGGGATACCGATTCCCCTGCGTTGACGCTATCAGAACCAGCAGATTCTAATTGCTCCCTGGCCTCCCGCTCCTCCCGCTCCTGCTTCTCTCTGTGGCGCCGACAGTCTGCAAAGTAACGCTCCAGCATTCTCACCTTGGGATGGACCCAACGAGGCTCTTGACGGTGGTAGATAGCAGGAAGGTCCTCAAAATCGCGATTACATTGAATTGCCAAATCAACATAATTAGGTCGGTAGCCGCGAAGGCGGGGTGTACTTGGCCCTCTACCACGAGAGGAGGTTGGAGCACGAGTAGCAGGCAACGAACCCGGTGACAGGCTCGTAGTGGGAGACTGAGGCTGATCGCCGGTTGTATTATTGTTGGGAAGCATTTTGTTGGATCCGCGTTGTGATGCGAAGAATGAAGTTTGCGATGATGTTGCGTTGGCGAGGGGCGCAGGAGATTGCGCAGAGGGAGCACTAGTGCGCTTTTTCTTCTTTTGGGCCGTGGTACGTTGATCGTTTTCCAGGGCCTGGAATTGTTTCTCAGCGTCAGCAATCTTGCGACGCTCACGACTTGACATTCCAAGACCAGTAAGTCCCGAATTAGAAGCAGTTGGACTAATATCACGACTGAGAGATTTTCGCACAGAGCCTGATGTTGAGCGACTATCTACAGCCGCATCATCATCCTCAGTATGCTTAGTCGTTTCACTTCCGGCACGACTAGTCGAGCCACGGCGCGCATCCAACGGAGATTTACCCGGTTTGGTGTTGGCCTTCTTCCGCTTCCCATTGATCTGCTTAGGGGTATCAAGCGATTTTGGATGCCGACGGCGATCAATGTTCGCAAGCAGGCAATTCTGCGGGTGCTCACAGGCACATCCACCAAAGTTCGCAAGAGTGTTGCTGATGCACACGGCTGCAGCATCTGTCGCACTATCCCCAGATTCTTGCTTAACAAATCCATTAGATGACTCAGACAACTGTGCATCTAAATACCACATAATAGTAATCTCCGAGCCTGCGGGGATGTCTTCTTTGGCAACAAAGCAGAAGTGATACTCTACATCGTTGGTGATAAAGATCTTCATGGTGACATTTGGACGACAAGATCGACGAGTATAACGGAGCATACTACCTTCATATCGGCCATCGATATAGAGTGGTAGGTGAGAACTGAAGAACACGAAAGGCTCGGGGTGGCGTAGTTCAGACCATCTGTTGTTGGGATCGAGGCAATAGTCGTCAAAAATGCCAACCTTGCCTGTGATTTCACCAACAACTTCGTCTTTTCGCACAGTATCTTGAGTCTTCACAATCTTCCATGTGGGGTGTCGGCCACTGATTTCGATATTTGGGTCGGTAATGGTGTCAGTGATGAGAGCGGGCCAACGAGAGCGATCTAGTGCAGCGTCGGACCGAATGAATGTGTCTTCGGCTCGACGTCCATTGGTGACTCGCGCCAAGGCATCGGGATTCTTGACCCACGACGCCGACTCGCCTACCAGACTGACATTGACAAATAGATTACTATCCATGTCCACATGGTTTTCATCCCCGTCGTAGAGGTGTAGGAATTCGTTCGAGTAGAGAGGAATAGAGGGGCCAGAGAGTTTTGTAGGAGACGGCGCAATAGAGGTAGAGGAGCGTCGTTTACGAGACTGTGTGGGGAGATGAGGAGCGCCTGAGAGGGCACTGATAGAGGTAGAGGATCGGTGGGTCGTTTTCGTCTTCTTTGCTGGAGGTTGATCTCGGGCGCCAGACTCGCTGCGCTGATGACTAAATCCATTCATGTCGCCGTCCTTGGGTTTTTTCTTCGTTGCCTTTGCACTGGATCGTTTCCTACGGTCCCCATCCTCGCTCTGCTCCCGGATCCGTCGTTGGCGTTGTCGGTCAGCAGCGCGACGGCTGTCCAACTGACGCGGCTCACATTCGATGCAGTTGTGCACATCCGGTACTCGCTTGTCTGGATAGTAGCAGACAATGTGCTGCCATGTCTCGCAGCGCTCGCAGAATACTGTGCTACCGTCATCTTCATTGAACTGACAGATACATTTGATGGTGTATGGCTCTTCCTCATCGGGCGCGCCCGAGTCAGAAATAGCACCATTGACGGGAGAGTCTGGGAGGGCGGGGACCGGGTACGGATCCGTGGTGGCGTGCGTGATGGCGAGGGAGGAGGTATCTGTCATAGTCCGACAGATTACCCCCTCTCAGGTCAGAGATTATGGAAAAATTGAGGAACGATGGCGTTGCCGATCCGTCCCTAGTCAACGAGCATGTCAACGACCACCTGGGAGGGTGAATCTTTGCACTGTTCTGTCTGAACAATGACAGACGCGTGGAAGTGAGGCACAGCCGCGATTAGACACTAGGTTCCGGTCCTAGCATGAACCTGCAAGCCCAGTATAGGCTGGCACAACAGTTCACAGGTTTCACGTATCGATTTTGATGATGGATGGGCCGACTGGACGAGGAGGAAAATCCTAGCCGAATGCGACTGACCCGTGTCCTGAAGGGTGGCCGGCAGGGAACTGACAAAATCGAGGGGAAGGAAAGGGGATATGGTCCACGACGATGAGGCGATTCGAGGTGCACGGCTGGGCGGGGTGCGAAATGGATCGGAGGGCCAGTTGAAGTCGTTCAGCAGGTCAGGTCGAAGGCGAAAAGGGTTCAGGGCGACGGGATCGCGTAGAGGAAAAGAGAAATGGAGGAACAGATGGCGATCGAGAAAGAGCGGAGGGAACACAGACAAAAGAGATGGAGAGGTGGGATCCGAGGAAGGGAAGAAAAGGGACGCGCAGGGAAAAAAGGAGAGAAAAAGAGGGTGAATCTGAGTGAACTTGGATGGAAGGAGGAGGAGATGGGGCAGGCCTAAGGCAGCGAAAGGCCCCGAACAGCAGCGCAGCGAAAGGGGATTAGCGTAGGTTGAGCGCGCCGGTGACTCTCGAAAGCCCGAAAACGAACATAGAAAACCGGATGAAGGAGGGGAAAACAGTTAGGAAACGGGAGGGAGGCCAGCTGGGCACTGGCTGCAGCGTGTCCTGCATTGGAAACATGTAACAAGGCTGTCATGAGCCTGTTCTCTGCGGTATTGTGAGTGAGCGCGGTAATAAACGCTAGTCCGCATTTGAACTAGCGGCGGGAAGGACTGTTCGGGTGGGGGGATCACGGGACTAGCCAGAAAACCATGGAAGAGGAATCAAGGATAAGGCTGGGTAGGTTAGCATCTAGACATATTAGTAGTTCATCATAAGAACATGTTAAAGCAGAGGACATATGTCATCGTCGTCGTCATGAAAATAGAACAAAAGAGTGGCCCATGTAGTAATCCAAAGTCTGACCAATGCACATGGAGTTCCATGCATAACCAAGTAGCCGGGCGGCATTTTTGATAGGCAGCCGGATCTAGTGCCGTTGGTTAATCATCATGGTCGAAGGGGCTGGGGGATAAGGCCATCGTAGCCTGCCAAGGGGAATCTGTGAGTAGAAGAGAGAAAAGTAAAATGGGAAGAGCACAAAGAAGTATGGCGGGCGGCTGCCCTTGGCCAAAAGTGGCTCAAGGGAAAGATGATCAAGTAAGGGGAGAGCGGATGAAAAAAGTCACTGGGAAGGGTGAAAAATCTAGAATGTATATGGAATAATGAAGAAAAGGGAATAGGGCATAGGTGTAAGCATAGGAGAATAAGAGATTAGGGCAGAAGGGAAGTGTGTAGGGTAGAGAGCGTATAGGTCGTAGGATTTAGAATAAGTTGCAGTGGGAACGTGGGTATGGGTGGGAATTTTGGCCTTGGGACGAAGGAAGATCATCCGAAAAGACGGGGCAGCAGCGTGGCGCAGGTGCCCGGGAGGGGAAGTCATCTGGTCCTGGCCTTGGGATAATGTGGGAGGGAAAAAAAAGAACAGCCGCAAAAGGAAAAGTGTATGACAAGTTGACAGGTTTCGGAGGGTGTGTCCGAGGAAATGGGAATGCTGGGGAGAGAAAAGAAGATCGCTTGAGGGAAAGCAAGTTGCCGGCTTTGGTAAAAAGGGGGGGGGAAGAGAATGATCTAGCAGCCCGATATTATTATTCCAGCCCGGTGATTTGGCAGCGTTTTTCGCCACTATAGCAAGTCGCAAGTGCGCAAGGAACAGGGCTAATTTAACCAGAACGTTAGTCGATCACAAGGCGTAAATTGTATTGAAACTTATTCGTTACGGCCCGCTCAGGGCTCTGCACGTCTCGCCGCCTCGGGAACATGTTCCCTAGCACCTGAGGCATCCAACCACACCGCTGGGTCTGCAAATTCCTCCGTTTGTGCTCTTTTTCTGGATGGGTTGAAACATTTGTGCTTCAATCGTATTAGACGATGCAAATTGGAAAATTTGGTGATTGGAAGTGGCAGGAGGCACACATTGGCGTGACAGAGGACGTGAAGCCTGGTATAATCCAATAAAAGAAAGACACCCTGCAGTGAATAAGAAAGGACAGAAATAATATTCATTTGAGGACTCGAAGTATACACGTTATCTTGGGAAAGCGGTGGGAAGATTAGGAGACGATGTGGAAGAAAGAAACATAAGGAGGATAAACTTCCAAGGTGTCTGAGGAAGCACATGACAACAAAAGGCAGTTACGTCAAACAATCCATGCCAACGAAAGAAACATAGCGATGACAAAGAGTCCAAAAAACCAGACAAATTTCAAGAACATTACGGAAAAAAAAATCCCCATAACTACAAGACAAGGTTTACAAAAGAACTCGGAGTAAGTGAAAGCGACTACGCCTGGAGTGTAACATTGATTTATCCAACAGCCAAAGATCAGTCACTGCGAAAACACTATTTAATGATACGGAACTCCCAGAGGACAGCTGTCAGGTATACGGGTTTCCCTCACGACTTCCTCAAGATCGCTCATGCCTCCCTGGCCATCGTCCAGACCTGATCCAGCTCAACAGTGGTGGGGGTTTGGAGTGATCGCCCATTTGGTACCCTTGGTCGTGGGCAATGCTTGGTTTCTGGAGCGATGTGTACTTGCTTCATGCGGCTTTCTTCGCTAGTCGGACATGGAACGGGATCTCCAAATCGATGAACAGCATATAAAAGACCAAACAGAGGTATGCTGATATATGCCATCATAATCCTAGCTCCTCGGGGCCCGTTATGACTGCCTGGTACAGCAGAAATCAATCCGTTTGACAGCAGTAGTAGGATGCTGAGAGCGAATCCGATGGAGGTACCCACTGGCTGGAGAGCATGACGGTAAGCAGTGGTGATTCTGTTTGCGTGCAAACGGATACGGAATTGACGGTATATGACACATGACAGTACCCAGGAAAGGTAGCCAGAGCTGTTCACAAAGAGAATGAAGTATGTTGTCATGGTCGAGCTGGACGTAGCGACAGACAAGAAGGCAAGCATGGTGAAAGTTGCTGTAAAAACCACAGCCACCCATGGAACACCCCAGTGGTTTCGACTTTTGAACATGGTGGGTGCATGGCCGGCATCTGCCAGTGCATGCAGCGAACGAGAGGCAAGGTACAGGTACGACTGGGCAGAGGTAACGGATGAGAGAAGGATTGCAAGAGTCGCAGTCACAGGGAGGATTCGAATTCTCGCAGTGTTGATACCGATGACGAAGGGAGACAAGCCGGCACCAGCTCCATTATTGGTGAGTAGCGGGTTATCATAGGGAGCCATGACGCCCATGGCCAATGAGGTCAGGATATAGGGAAGCACAGTCTGGCAGACGTCTCCGTAAACTCGTCTCGGGATTTTGGAATTGGCGGCTGGTTGTATGCTCTCGGGTATCTCAGGCTGATCAGCGGCCTCTCTTTGCTCAGCTCGTTGCACAATTAACTCTGGTGCAAAGGTGAAGGCTGCAGTGCTAAGATGAACACACTGCAACAGACCCAAGAGTTTCCCCGGTAGACCACGCACTAAGTACTCATGCATCGCTCCAGGCCTTTTCCAGTATTGAAATCCCCAGCGATCATGGCCAGTCGCACCTCCAAGAGCAATCGACAGAGAAAGTACGAGAAGACAAGCCAATGTGCCGATTTTGATCCGATAGAACACTCTCTCGGAGCTTTTGAACAGTCGATCGGGGAGAAAGTTTGAGGCGACGATAATGACGGTGATCAATACAAGCCAGATGGCGACGCGGGACCCAGCGTTCCACAGCCCAACGTTGACCATCGCTGTTGTAATTTCGTATGGGACGAGCATCGCCATTATATACCAGCGGACACAGGCAGTGGCGAATCCCAAACTATTGCTCATGTAATGAAATCCATGCATGACTACCGTTCCGTGGCGAGATGGTTTATAGGTAGCGACTTCCGCGATGCTGGTGGCCATGAAGTAGACAAGAAATGATAGGGATATGTATGAAACAAGTAGGGAGGCCGGTCCACCGACAGCCAACGCCTGGCCGCCGGCGAGGAAAAGGCCAGTGCCAAGGGTCGGTCCGATGGCCATTCCTGGTGTTCAAGGAGTAAGAATACGGCAATAGCGAGTGCAGGCCATGATCAAGAAGAAATTCAGGCATCGAAGTTGTGGACGCATCGGTGCATTCCAAAAATTTGGACTCGAGGTCGCACCTGCCGCAAAGTCGCTAAGCCCAACACTGATTCTCAAAAGCCTCAAGTAGAATTAAAATTGGAACAAAGTATACATCAATGCTAGTAAAACAAGTGCAAGGGTATCATTAGTTATCTCAGAGAGCTGGATTTTGAATATCCAGCAAGGGAATTTAGAGTTGGTTCACTGGGCAGCCAGGTCGGTTTCAGCAAATTCAAGCCACTCTCCAGCTAATGATTTCTTCCAGAATCGAACCACACCATCGTCCCCAGAAGAGATCAACGAATCACCTGGGTATTACGTTAGAATGCAAAATACCGCTGAGAAACGTGAATACTTACCAGCGAAAGAGAACTCAACCTGCCACACATCAAGATGTCGACTATCTACGCACGCGACTTGCTTGAAGGAATGCTTAAACAGAGAATCGCCACTGGCTTGGCGATTGGACATTGATTCGGAGTCCTGATTTGCCAGGGCGCTCCCAATTCCGGACTGCGATGTGGCACGCACGGATGGCGATTGTTGCTGCCGCCGTTCGGCCTTCCGTGAACCGGGGGTTTGAGGATTGATAGGTGTCGTGTAGACTTCGAAAATACGCACCAAACCATCCTTGCCACCACTAGCAATGAGATCGTATCCCCGTACAGAGCCGTTGGCCCAGGAGATATCTCTAACCAGGCTAGCATGTCCGTTCAATTCAATGGCATGATAGAATCGTCGATTGGCATCGGTGCGGTAGACCTTGACCGAGTCCATTGCAGCAACCACTAATGATAAGCTCTTTCGATCCGAGTCCGGCTGGATAGAGTGTGTGATATCGGTGGGGTCATGGTGAAACTGGACCTTGAAACTTGTTTCTTCTCCACGTTCGGGTGCTGCGCAAACACGAAACTGATCGACCGGTTGCCATTCCGCCAAGCTATCCGGGCTGACAGGCTCCATGACCATCAAGTAGCCATCGCGGGTAATCACCGCCATCCATGACTCCAGGTCAATATTGCGAAAGTCCAACGATACAAATGGATGGCGGTGGGGCGCTGTCATGCGGAAAATACACCTAAACCGCCGGCCAGAATTGGGCGACTGTGTTACATCTTCCTGCCATACTTTGAGTTTCATGTCTTCTCCAACACTTGCAATATGCTGGCCTGTAAATGGACCATTCCATGTTGCCTGCGATGGTATATTAGAGCGCGTTTCTACGCGACACAAGCAGATATGTTGTGGTATTCAGGTCTTACATCACGAATCTCCGCGTCATGGGCCTTCCAGGTGTCCAACAATTGCCACTGGCCATCCTTCATATCCCAAACTTTCATGCGGTGATCAGCGGAGGCTGTGACGATCCGATTGCCGTAGAAGTTGAATTTGGTGACTGTGACAATATCCCGGTGGCCAGCATCGAAATCGGCAAACCCACCCGCAATCTCTGGGTGCTCCATTGCACCCATTGGGTCCAGCTACTTTGCCTTGACTGACTTTGACCAGGAAAAATAAGCAACGGGCCAATAATGCGCCTTCACATCCACATATGCATGTCGTGACATGAAACAAAGGTGTCTCGGGTTTCCTTACTTGGCCGCGATCATCAGTTCTCTGCCGCCCCGGGGCGGTCAAATACGGCGGGCAGATCCGATAAGCTTATCGCGATTGGTTTCCGCATGAAGACACATTGCGTAAGCCGTGCTCCATAAGAAAGGTGTTCACTTCTTTTGTTCGCGTTTCTTGCTAGAATTGGATCTCAATCATTTTGTGCGGATGTCAATCGCTCCAGATGCAGACTTCAAGTACCCTTTCTCGGACGGAAACGTGGCGCCTGCTGCTTCTCGTGGGAGCTGGTCTCGGCGTGCTGGTCAACACGTTCCAGGGCGATGGTGCACCCTTGATAGCCTCGATTGCGCTAACTTGCATATCATTCGCCGTCGCCTATAGCATGATCCGATGGCTTGGACCGGTATTCATCAAGGCAGGGTTGAAGGGAAAGGATATGGCCAAGCCAAGAAAACCTGAAATGTAAGTATGAACTCCACTTATTGTTTGCTTATTATTTGTGGCGTTGCGATCAGTGACTAATTCCACGCCTTAGACCTGAAACTATGGGAGCCGTATGCGCCGTGGTTTATTTGCTATCCCTGATCGTGTTCATTCCATTTGCCTTTTACAAGGACATTGTCGCAGCAACCTCAGGCGGAGGTAATCGCGACGTGGTTATTGAAGACCAACACATTGAGATGGGTCGCTATCTCCATAGATTTCCCCATGGAAAGGTTTGTTTACCCAGAAATCATCCAGCTGAGAAGTCCCACCGAACTAACGCTTTTTCCTGATAGCTTGCATCATACCTATCAGGTCTGTTGTCTCTGCAATGCATTGTCATCCTTGGGATTGGTGACGACTTGCTCGATATTCGCTGGCGACACAAGGTCTTGATTCCTGCATTTTCAGCAATTCCCATGCTCATTGTGTACTTCGTCGATTTCGGCGTCACCCATGTTGTCGTGCCAGTTCCACTGCAAGCATACCTCGGAGCTTTCATTGACCTCGGATGGCTATATTACATGTACATGGCAGCCGTAGCGATCTTCTGTCCGAATGCGATCAACATGTTCGCAGGTATAAATGGGATCGAGGTAGCCCAATCACTGGTGATTGCGGTTCAACTCCTGTTTAATGATGCGCTGTACCTGGCGCCGGTCACACCATACCCGAACCCGGCTACAGACTCGCACTTATTCTCTATCTACTTCTTGCTACCATTTGTTGGTGTATCGGCTGCACTTCTGTGTCACAACTGGTATCCATCCAAGGTGTTTGTGGGTGACACCTACTGTTACTTTGCAGGCATGGTCTTTGCGGTTGTGGGTATACTTGGTCATTTCAGCAAGACCTTGCTCCTGTTATTTGTGCCCCAGATCTTCAACTTTTTGTATTCCACACCACAGCTTTTCCATATCATTCCTTGCCCCCGTCATCGGTTACCAAAATTCAACGCTGCGACTGGGCTTTTGGAGACTTCTGTCACTGAGTGGACAGTTCCCCCTTCTCCTTTAGTCGCGTTAGTGTTGGAAATTCTCCACAAATTACGGTTGGTGCGTGTGATCAAGAACGAAGGAGGACAGATTATCGAGTCAACGAACTTGACTATCTTGAATCTTTGGCTCGTTTGGATGGGACCCATGAGAGAGGACACCCTTGCATGGCACATGGTTGGTGTTCAGACTGTTTGTGGTTTAGTTGGATTATTTGTGCGGCATCGACTAGCTTTGCTAGTGTTCAACACTGATAACCTATCATTTCAGTCTATGGCATGAAGATCTTGTGCCCATACATTGGCATAGATTACATGGATTGTTTGCGACCCTCTATTGTTTGTATATATTATTCCCCGACAGCGATTTGGAATAGCAGGATTCGTAGCATTCACCAAATATTAGAGTTTGCTGTTTATCTAAACAAGGCCAAAGGGATGTCTCAATAACAATGGTCTCATCAGTCATTTACTCAGCGTCGGATGGCTCCCGTAGAGCGCGAGACTCTCTTTCAAGCTTCTTGTCACCAAAAAGATTCCCAACTTCTCTGACAAGGAGCCACGCAGGTAAGATCGCAATTGCCCACAGGACAAAATTGAGGTATACACTTCCCACTGCGGCCATAACAGTCACACTGCTGAGACCATACTGGAAAACAGAATAGCAAGTCAGCCTTTGGAATGAACAACAGGCCTGGAAGGAAGACTTACACTGACAGCCTGCGCAGCAGATTCGGTTCCACGCAGCAAACCAGCGATCCGGACGACTTCCTCATCGTCATCTGCCAAGTTGCCGACCAAGAAGAATCTATGTTCATATTAGCAAGAGTCAAGCTGCTTGGAAGGTCGTCTAATGCATTTTTAGGTTGAACTCACAAATACATATAGTTGAGTTGGAAGCCTGCAACCCAAAAAAGGAAAAGAGCGAAAGCTTTTCCGAACCCAGGATCAACCCAGTCGTATACCGGATTTGTCTTATTGAACTCCGTCGTGTTCACTGTTGCCCAAATCCAGCAAAGTCCTTGCCATGCAACGACAAAGAAAAAGGCAGATCTCGTCCGTGTCTTGAGCGAGATTGATTTCTTGTCGAGGAAAGCACCCAATAGATTCCCTGCAATCAGTGCAACCACACCACTGAGAAACGAGCCGAGAGCTCTGGCGCGCACACTGAGCCATAAGTCCTCATAAGAGAACATCACCGCCTCGGTGTAAACAGCTTGACAGATGAAAGGAATGATCAACAGGAACTTGCGACTCATGAACAGCTTTGCCATCTGCTTAAGCTCAAACCCGACAGTGTTTTTCACCTTCAACTGCACAGGGACTCCATCCTTCCGCTGAACACGAGACGGCGAGTTCAGAAGCAATCCCGCAAATGGACCCAAGGCCTGGAGTACAATGAAGATGATGTACACAGTATACGACACGCTGCCCTCAGTTGCGCGATTCGCATTGATACCCAAGCTGATCGCGCCACCCAAAATCTGACCTCCAACTCGAAAGCTCAGCCAGAATCCTAAGAAGCGACCTTGATTATATGGTTCGGGATACGAGAGCGCAATCGCAGCCTCAGCCATCCAGAAGATACCCGCTGAGATACCACAGAGTGCTGCACCCAGAATCACCAGCCATGAATCCCCGAAGCGATTGTTTGTGTATAGTCCTGCGGCGTATGGCGCATAGCCCATTGTTCCAATGATCAAGGTCCATTTTATGCCAATGAATCGGACGACAACGCTGCCCAGGAAGCAAGATACGACCATGAGACCGAACGTTAATGCGTTTGCTGCATTGACGAGGTAGGGCTTCTCCTCACCTCCGCCACCTAGGGAGTTCATTGCTCCCCATATACCGGGCGCGAGGAGGTTGCAGAGGCCCAGAATGAGGGCATTATAGAACGTCGAACGATACCATTTTACTATTCAAACAACTGAGTGAGATTGAATACTTTACGGTGAGGAAATTCTGTTTACCTGGATATGATTCCCCAACCTGGGACCCATAAGTATCGCTGACCTCCTCGTCATTCGGAAGTGTGCCTTTTTCCACGATTGTCATGATGAGCAGAAAGAGGTCCTAGCTGGATTTTTTTAAAAAAAGCTGCATGGAGGCTGGACCCTGAGCTCTTATCAACTTTAATAACACGCCGTCTAAGGACCAATCTGTCATGGCGTAGGAATTTCTCAACATTAGATATGACATATCTTGCGGCGGCATGGCAACATCGGCAATTTGACATTCCATTCCCCGCTTGAATATGAAAGGTTGAAAAGCGATACGCCATTGAAGGTCCGGGGATGTTGTTGTTTTCGATCAAGATTACGTGCTCGCACGAACTTTAGACCTGCAGGACACGTCATGTTGGAGGATGGGCGAGACCTTAAGGTATCTTAAGTCGGATTTGCTTATTGAGCGTTCTGTATTAAATGCATATGGCTTAATCATGATTATTTCGTTACGGCCGAGAGTATAATGATCATTGAGATCGTATGCAAACATGTATCATCGGGCGCTCGGATCTAGATCTGTCCAAGGTTGCTGTGGATCATACATTTCCATTTGCTTGGTATGTACTTGTTCTGTTGAAGGTAAAAGTCAAGGGATATTCTATTCAACTACAAGATTTACATAGACAACATGGCGATTACCCTGATATTGTGGTGTCTTGATGATGGTCCTCGGGATGTATGACTACGTAGATTATTCAAGCAAATTATATAACGGGCCTTGATAACTGATAAAAGTAGGAACGGGGGAATTATAATTCGTCGTTGGTTCCCGAGGTCGTTTATACTTTCCGAGCCAAAAGATTATGGGTCTCGGAAACCAAGGCGTTCCAGATTATGTCCGTTCATGAAGCTTGAAGCTTCCGCTGGTCGTAATTGCCCACTAACTATATCAGTGACGACCCCATTACATAAACCTGCAAAATTGGGGGACTCACGACAAATCTTGAACACATACGACTACCTGAATCATAAACCTTTATCTGATCATCTAGACTACACTGGTGAAATATCCGGGGTTCGGATGCACCCCTGAAACTCCAACCAAACAAACACGATCTTTCGTCATCATAACCCCGGATCACATCAACTCAGCTCCAAAAGACACCTTCACTGTCGTGCTCAAACGTAATCAACACCAAAGATCAAAACTCAGCCGATCCTTATGTTTTTAAAAAACTGCTCATGAGGTCATAGTTCCAGTTCACCTTTGATATTTCTTGTTGGGCTCCTGTCCTGAATTTTATTGCAGTTGCCCTAATTTCGGTCCATACTTGAAGAACTCGGCCCATGGCCAATTTGGGTTAATTATGGGGCATCAAACGAAAGATTCACTAGGCCGATCAAATTAACTTGTAAATTTGGTGTATCATTTCCCCCTCCCCCGGGACTGCCAACGAGAAGTCTCTATCACGCCATTCAAGCCCCGCCATGAGCAATGCACAGCATCCTAAACATGTCTTGGGGCCCTAAGATAGGCTGGTAGAGCCTAAATGTAAGCGATTATACTTTCGTTCAGTCCTTTTCCGCCGGATATGTTGGTTCAAGTGTTCGGCGGACGCGCCCCGCTATGTGCGTGCTTTTGGTAAGCATTGATATCAACTCCCCGCTCCTATGTGGCGAGCGCGCGTTGCCTAGATCTCTCGCCCGAGAAGTAGTTCATATTGGTAATCCTAAATAGAATATAGATAGAGCCTGGCTTGGTTCCCGTGTCTGTTTGTGGTTTTGGTTTCAAATTATGGCTTTGGTAGCACCTAGCATCATGTCAACCACTACCTGTCTCCAGCTCGAAGAGCTGCCAAACAAGCCGTCGACTTTCCATCGTTATATATTCTCTGAAACTCACTTTCAGCCTTCTGTTCCTAATAGAACACATGCGAAGATAGATGATCATACATCAACGACTTCCAGTCCTTTGGAAGCAAAGCAGAGGGTTCTGCTGCTGAAGGCGGCCAGAGAACAATATACCCTGGTAGATGACCATCATGTGCCTTCTATTCTTCATCCAGGAGAAGTCCTCGTCAAGGTAAGTGTTCTCTGAGCCTGCTTTGAAATCAACTTTAGTAACCATTCTCTGGCAGGTTTTGGCGATCGGCTTGAACCCGATCGACTGGAAAGGACCGTATGTGACTTTACTCTCTTCTAGTAATGAAACACTCACTTACAATATCACAGAGCATTCAACTTTGGAATTCCCAGTCTCCCGTGGATCAACGGACGCGACTTGGCAGGACTAGTGCTCCAAGTCCCTAGCGAGTCCTCCCGCCTACGCGTAGGTGACATTGTCCTCGTGCCATCCACAGATTACCGGGACATCAGAAAAGCAGCCTTCCAAGAATACGCAATCGCCACTGACTTTAATGCCGCGCGCATTCCATCTACAACATCTATCCATGCATCGGCATCCCTTGGCGTGGCCTTTGTTGCTGCTGTATTAGCCCTGGGCATCTCATTTGGACTAGACTTCTCTCGTCTTACACAATCACCTGGTCCCAATTTGGTGAACGTCGTCAATCAACTTAATAAGAGTGATATTCCTGTCGATATCCAAGATGAAGTTTTCGCTACACATGATGAGTCGGATCGGCCTCAGCGAGGTGACTGGCTTGCGGTCTGGGGAGGTAAGGCTATTCAAGTTCCCATTCACTTTTCACGCAAGAGACAACTGACAATATTCTTGTAGCTTCAACAACCACTGGACTGGTGGCTCTTCAGCTAGCAAAGCTCGCCGGTCTGCGAGTGATCTGCGTAGCAGATATCGCACGACACGGCGCCAAGCTCTTAGAATCTGGAGCCGATTTACTGGTCGATCGACACGACACAGATCGAGCAGTGGAGATTATTCGCGGGGTGACTGGTGGCAAGTTGCGGTATGCTATTGATATCGTTGGCAAGGATACAGCTACGATACTCGAGAAGACACTGGATCCTTCGGGTAATGCCCATCTCTTAGGGCTCACGGGTCTTCCTAAAGAGCGGAACCCTGGGATCAAGTACCACACCGTGCCCATAAAGCTCTTCCACAGTGCCCCTGCAGTGGGTGAGAGTATGGTCACTTGGCTGGAAAATTTGCTGCAATCGGGTATCTTGGCCCTGCCGGAAATTGTTCGCGCAGATGGTGGATTAGAGGGTATCAATGCTGCACTGGATGTTCTGCGGAGCGGGACGGTTTCTGGAAAAAGGATCGTGGTTGATCTGGGCCCGAAAGAATCTCAGCCCTAATGTTTGTTTATGTCTTTAAGGGATGGAAACGTTTATGAAGGTTGGCGACTGGTGTTTTGGATAAATTAGACGTGTCCTAGATATGAACATCTCGCTACCCATACGAAACCTGGGAATACGAATTACTTTGATGAACGTGTCAAACCGAAAATTAAAACCATTCAGATCCACAGCCCATGGGTATTATCTTATGGTGGATCCATTGGATGTATAGCTTCCTGATTAAAGTTTGTGAATACTCTTGGCTATCAATATCTTTAGCTAGGTAGAACCAGGTGAACACCTATGTCTTTCACAATATTGAAAATCATGCAGACAGGTTGGTACCTACGATCGGAGAATATATATTTCGCTACTTAAGAGAACATCTTGGGAGAGTCGAGCTACCTACGGAGTAAACCTTATCTTAAATTGGTACTCCTTGATTTTTTCATCTGCATATGTAAAAATAGCATTGTCATTACTACGAAGTACTACCTGTCCAACTAGGTATTTCTTTACCCCGTTAACCCCTCCAATCCGTTACCGGTACACCCCACTTTCCTTCTGCAGTGCGACATGAAAATTTAAGCGGGGGCCGATCGGACCCCGGCGGATATAGCCAATCAGTCCCGGAAGATTACTTTTGACACACCCCGGAATCGGTCGTCTACGTCATGTACTATCAGTCGGTGAAAGAAATGTACGACTATGAGCCCGATAAGTACGTCAAGTTAATAGGCAAAGCTATCATCACAATGACCTTGTTGTCCCAAGCTTGAATACTAATAATCCTTTTTCTTATAGAAAATAGTCGCGATGAGTCAATGGGGGGCAAGATCAGCCGTCCGGAAGCGCCGCTAGCCGCCAAAGCAGTTTTCAAGAAGCCGATGTCGGGATCCGCTTGGTTTGCCACTTCAACCAATCAAATTGTGAATATTGGCCGCTGACCGACCGAAGTCGGCGTTGCCCCTCGAGCTGTTCCCCAGCGACATCGCGGTGGCTGCAAAATATAAGTCTGCAACTCCTGCTATTCCGGCCATTGATATCAAACTCGAATTCAAAATGCCTTCCGTTGAGACAAAACCGAGGACCTTGTACGACAAGGTCTTCGCTGACCACATTGTTAATGAGCAAGAAGATGGCACCTGCCTTCTCTACATCGGTATGCCGACTGTTTTTTCCCCCAATTGGAAGAGGTTGCGATGTGGGCTAACTGTTGAATGCTGAACAGATCGTCACCTTGTCCACGAGGTGACCTCCCCTCAGGCCTTTGAGGGCCTTATGAATGCCGGCCGCCCTGTCCGCCGACCTGACTGCACTCTGGTGACTGTCGACCACGTACGTACAAGCCAGGTTCTCCCTTTCTGCTAAACCGATCGGTTTCTAATTGCTGTCTAAACCATACAGAACATTCCCACATCCTCCCGGAAAGAGTTCAAGAGCGCCGAGACTTTCATTCAAGAAACCGACTCTCGCCTGCAATGCACCACCCTCGAGCAAAACGTCAAGGACTTCGGCCTCACCTACTTCGGTATGAGCGACAAGCGTCAGGGCATCGTTCACGTCATCGGCCCCGAGCAGGGTTTCACTCTTCCCGGCACCACCGTCGTCTGCGGTGACTCCCACACCTCCACCCACGGTGCCTTCGGCTCCCTGGCTTTCGGTATCGGAACCAGTGAGGTCGAGCACGTCCTCGCAACCCAGACCCTTCTCACCCGCCGAAGCAAGAACATGCGTGTCCAGGTCGACGGTGAGCTCCCTGCCGGTGTTACCAGCAAGGACGTTGTTCTCCACATTATTGGTGTTATCGGAACTGCTGGTGGTACCGGTGCCGTCATTGAGTTCTGCGGATCTGTTATTCGCAAGCTCAGCATGGAGGCTCGCATGTCTATTTGTAACATGTCCATTGAGGGTGGTGCTCGTGCTGGTATGATCGCGCCCGATGAGATCACCTTTGAGTACCTTAAGGGCCGTCCTCTTGCCCCTAAGTACGGTAGCTCCGAGTGGAACCGTGCCGTCGCCTACTGGTCTACCCTCAAGTCTGACCCTGACGCCAAGTACGACGTTGATGTTTTCCTTGATGGCAAGGACATCATCCCCACCATCTCTTGGGGTACCTCCCCGCAGGATGTCGTCCCCATCACAGGCGTCGTTCCTAGCCCCGCTGACTTCGAGGACCCGGCCCGCAAGCTTGCTTGCGAGCGTGCTCTGGAGTACATGGGCCTCACCTCTGGCGTCCCCATGACCGATATTCCCGTGGACAAGGTCTTCATTGGATCCTGCACCAACTCTCGTATCGAGGATTTGCGTGCCGCCGCTAAGGTTGTCCGTGGAAAGCAGATTGCTGCGAACATCAAGCGTGCTATGATCGTTCCCGGTTCGGGCTTGGTCAAGCAGCAGGCTGAGGGTGAGGGTCTGGACAAGATCTTCACCGATGCTGGATTCGAGTGGCGTGAGGCTGGTTGCTCCATGTGCCTGGGTATGAACCCCGACATTCTGTCTCCCCAGGAGCGCTGTGCCAGTACCTCCAACCGTAACTTCGAGGGTCGCCAGGGTGCCAAGGGTCGCACTCACCTGATGTCCCCCGCCATGGCCGCTATTGCTGCCATTACCGGTAAACTTACCGACATCCGCGAGCACGTGGTCACCAGCCCCGTTGCCGCCAAGGTCCAGCCCGTCGTCGATGTTGAGGCCGAGTCCTACGACTCCCCCATCACCGAGGATGAGCTTGACCGTGTTCTCGACTTGCCCGCCGACAACGAGCCCCACACTAACTCCTCCGCCGGCGGTGGTAGCAGTGCTGGTCTCCCCAAGTTCCTTTCCCTCAAGGGTATCGCGGCTCCTCTCGATCGCTCCAACGTCGACACCGACGCCATCATCCCCAAGCAGTTCCTCAAGACCATTAAGCGTACCGGTCTTGGCTCCGCCGCTTTCTACGAGCTTCGTTACCACGCCGATGGCACCGAGAACCCCGACTTTGTCCTGAACCAGGGTATCTACCGCAATGCCAAGATCCTCGTCGTGACCGGCCCCAACTTCGGTTGTGGTAGTTCCCGTGAGCACGCCCCTTGGGCTCTGCTCGACTTCGGTATCAAGTGTATTATCGCCCCCTCCTTCGCCGATATCTTCTACAACAACACCTTCAAGAACGGCATGCTTCCCGTCGTTGTCTCCGACGAGGCTGCTCTTGCCAAGATCGCTGCTGAGGCCTCAGCTGGCCGTGAGGTCGAGGTCGATCTCGTCAACCAGGAGATCAAGGATGCCGAGGGCAACAAGATCGTTGGCTTCGAAGTCGATTCTTTCCGCAGACACTGTCTCACCAACGGTCTCGATGATATTGGTCTGACCCTCCAGATGGAGGGCAAGATCCGCACCTTCGAGGCTAAGCGCAGTCTCGAGACCCCCTGGTTGGATGGATCTGCCTACCTCAAGCGCGGTACTCGCGGTGGTGCCACCCGCATCAACGCCGCCGCTGTCCCCAAGACCAACCGGGGAGAGGTGAAGGGTGAGCCACTCGAGTGGTAAACTTATTTTGATGCTATTAAAAAGAGCGCTGTGGGTAATCGCATTGGATATGGATACGGTAAATTGTAATAGGAGCTTCAGGCTCTCCTGGCATTTGGATTTCTTTCAAAGAACGATATTCCCCCTTATATTTGTCCGCCTGCATTTCATGTTTCGGGGCTTAGTTAGTTTTGGACTACTCGCATCTTCTACTGGCTGTCTACGAATCTCAATGAGAACGAATTATGAATTCAAAATAGCTCTCCTTTTCCATTAAGAGTCCGTACATGTCTTTGAGCTCCGATTCATTCTGCAAGGTCATCGCATTAAGATAAATACTAGATGTCGGAGACTCAAGATCAATCGCAAACAACAATCAAGATAAGAAACAAACCTGTGTAAAGCAAGCGAAAGCTTGACAGATCACCACCCATTCCACATATTAACCTTATCAACTTTGGCCGCTATGGATTTGCAAAAAAAAAATAAACGAAACCATCATCTCCGGTCCCCACTCTAAGGCTTTGAGAGCTGTTCGCGACGGAAGAACATAAGAAAGCCGGCGCTTGAAAAAGTCAGATAAGAACCAAGACAACTCAAATCAACAAAAGAACTTGCATATCAACTCACCAGATCGAAAGTTGGAACGTAAGCGCAATCCAAAACCAAGCATTAGCCAACGCACCCGCGCCAGCCGTAATATCAGGCGATATAGGCCCAGGACCTATCCTATTAGGCGCAAAAGACCTTGCGCAAATAGTCGCAATAGAACCCAAAACCTGCGAAACAAGCAACGTAAAACAAATATGCATCCGCGTCAAAGTCTGCAGAAGAATCATGCCAAATCCCAATCCCTGCAGTGCGTCGAGGACACCAAGCCACAACCACAGACTCCGGGATACAAGTGCACCGGATGTGTAACTACCTGCCCAGGGGAGATATAGACCGGAACCTGACGTTCCCCACCATATCTGGGCCCAACGTGGTGCACCGAGACCACATGCTACTATGGGTAGGATCCAGCTGTGGGATCGGGAGATCCAGGCCAGGCCGAATAGGATTGCTATCCAGGCGAAACCGAAGAATGCCACGCAAAGGAGGAGGATTTGCCATGGTTTTGCGTGGTTGGATATCCAAAGGACTGGCATCATTAGTTAGTGGATAAGTGGGATGGATTATTTGTATATAGACTTACAGTTCCAGTTTCGACCGTAGGGAGCACTCAAAAAGAAGTTTTGAAGAATGATGACAACCCAGTTCCAGAGCACGATTTTTCGTCTAAAAACGGATTTGTAGAATGATGGGACTTTACCCGGTGTTTGGCGGTAGTAGTTTGGCAAGCCGAAGTATACGATCAGTCCGATGCCCCACAAGAAGACTGTAATTGGCGTACAGACGGCCCTATAGTCATATTAGCATCAAGTATTCCCACATTTGACAAGGAGACTTGAAAATAACACGCACGTCATTCTCCAAGTGTTCGTGATATTGCCTTGGATATTAGAAACACCAGCGTTAGATGCTTTCGTTAGTGTCGAACCCCAATACCAAAGCGCGATGACATAGGCTTGCTGTGTGCCTTGGATAAGACAAGCACGAAAAACCCATTTCTTCACTGGAGCACCACTCTCATCACCAAAATTCAGCGCAAAAAAGATAGATCCACTGGACGAGGCAGCAGCATAGATCCCACTCCCCACATTCTGAAGCCAGCCCCGGGCATAGGAATTAGGCTCGAAATGGGCAACACCGATAATGAGGAATGCAAGGCCGTACAAGAACCATGGTACAGTGAGAACAAGAACAGACTTGTAGAACCGGAAAAAAAGCCACCACAGGATAGATGTGACAAGGTAGACTGTTGCGATTCCGTAGAGTTTCTCTGCCGTCTGCCCAACTTCACCCGTGAGTAGGGTTACCTGGTAAGAATTGGCAGCAATGATCTGACCAAGACCTAGGAATAGTGAATAAACAGGCCAGTCTCCAATACGCATTTGCATCCATTTTTTGAGCCCGGTTGGTGGGACGTAGTCTTCTCCCAGGAAGAATTCGTCACCTGTAGCTTCTTTTCTTTCTGGAACTCCGCTTTCGTGGGATGTGGTGTCGTCGTTGTTGATTGATTCTGACGGAGAGCCACTGCAATTCTTGCCAAATTGCACAGATGCAGCTGGGGATTGATTTCTTCCAAGACGAGCATCTCTGAATCGATCGAACCATTTCTTTTCGCTCTTTTCGAGATATTGCTCAATGCACAGCTGAGAATCCGAGTTCGTACCATTGAGATCCTCGAGTTTCTTTTCGAACACTCGGTAGAACTCACCACTGCTATCTGTGAAGGTTGGATCCACCTTTTGAAGCTTGTAGTCCTTTTTGTCGCCGACAACGGAGTCAAATGATAACTGTGATGCATTGCTTAGCCGGTTCCCTGCATCCGCCCAGGGTCGTGCTGGTGGAAGAAGAGTATCATCTGTTCCTGTCGTGCTCGGAGCATTGGAGCTGGAGGGTGTGCCACTGAAACGGGCATAGGGTTGACTTGCATGTCGAGCTGAGAGGACTTCACGAGTCAGAGGAATACCAGCAGGCTGTGCACCTGGGGGTGGTGTATCCATTCGATGTCCAGTCTCAGCCGCTTCAGATCCCATGGTATAGTCATCCTCGCCATAGCAGGTGGACATAATCTCATCATCACTGTCATCGTCGGCACCTGGAGATGGAGTACTAGAAGATCCCTCGCCGTTCTCATCCACATCTTCAATGCCGCCCTTGGTAGAATCCAGTCGCCCACGACTTTCTTGTGTACTAGATACTGGTCGGATCCCGAAGGGCATCTGGCGACTGAGACCTGATCTTGGTTTACTTTCAACACCAGGACTGGGATCGCGGCTGTAGACAACGGAATTCCTTTGCATTGATCCCATGGTTCCAGGACGACTAGCCTGCAAAGGTGGAGTAAGTGTACCGCTAGACGCATTCGATCTCATTGAAACTGCAACCTGTGGTGTCATCATTCCGTAGATAGCATTATATGCCGACGCAGCAGCAGTTGATTGAGACTGGGACTTAGCACGTTCCTTATCATGGACACGCATAGCCGTTGACTGGAGAATTTCCAAATCTTCAATCCACTGCGCGACTGGGAAACGTTGTTTCGCCGACCTTGCGCGCATCATGGCTCTCGTCTCGAGCTTTGAATTCAAAGCGCTGTCAATTGCAAGCTTGAATTGTTTGATGAGGTGGGATGTTGTGGTGGACTCAACAGTATACCACCAACCAGGCATCTGTCCAAGTCCTCCAACTCGAGCACCGATACCAAGAGCACCTTTACGGCCGAACTCGACGGCTACCAGACCGAATGGTTCGTCTCTTGATGGAATTAAAGCGAACTCTGCTCCCGAGAAAACGAACGGAGGTAGCACTGTGAACTGGGGTTTTGAGAAAACACGTCCGGGATATAGTTTCATCATCCTGTCCAGTTTGAGCGCTGCAAATTTACCATAAAGATCGATGACTGGGCCCACACAGATCAATTGGACATTTGGTCGCGCATCAAGAACACCCGGCATAACATCGGCAATGAGGTCGATTCCTTTTTGCATAGACCATCTTCCCACAAAGACAAGAAGATCAGCATTAGGTGTTTGGTGAAGACCAGCCCATTCTTGTGCTTGGCGCTTGGTCTCAGCTCTGCCGAATTCAAATTCACTGTTCACACTGATCTCGCTTTCTTTAGGCAATTCCTTCTTCCATTCGCCAGTATCAGAGGGATCAGGGTTAGGCAGGTTCCCTACTTTTCGCAAACCCCAGAAGATTGGGTATCTCGCATATGAGCGCTTCCCGTACTTCTTCGAGACTCCAACTGCTCCAAAGCCTTGCTGGTGGAGACGAAGATAGCTCGCACCGGCATGCAATAGATTGAAAATCTCTCCGAATTGAACATAGCGAGCAACGATATCTATGTCCAGGTTGAATACAGAGCACACCTCAGTCTTCTCCTTCTGTGTTCGCATTGGCCACAATCCCTGAAATTCAGCGTTGTGTAGTGAAAGACAGATTGGGATCGTCTCTGGAAGCTGGTAGAGCGGAGCGATCGCACCATGGTAATCATTGATATGATACAAATCAATTGGGAACCGCTTCATAGTGTGAGCAATGCATTGGTTCCACGCAGAGTAGTATATCGCGCTGTCCATGTCGTCCATGCGGGCCGGGTAAGGTTCTCCAACGGTTTGTTGACGAAAGACTGGAGCATCCAAGAGGACATAGGTGATGTTCCTCAAATGATGATACTGGATCTTGACCTCGTATGAGTTCCCAAGGATCATGACGAACATAGATTCAGCGGGTTTATCCATGGGATATTCCACACCCCCAACACAAGGAATGACCCAAATGAGATCTTCGTGTCCTAGTTGCTTTCCCATCAATTGTGCCATCACACCCAGTCCACCAATCTTGATTTTGATTCCCCAGTCGTCGATGTCGTATTCCATTGTCGCAACTAGGACCTTGCGTCGTTGGGATGTTCGGTTACCAAACGCGGAGTTGCTTTGCAGGAACCTGGATTTGTTCGCCAGACGCATGAGGAAGTTTCTGGATCCTCCGGCCTCATCAGGCTTGAATTTGTTGAAGACATCCAGTGAGATCAAAGTCTTCTTCTCACTCACGCCGACTTGGTTGAATTTAATACGGTAGAATGTCTTCATGAAAACGGTCGCACATGCCACGGCACTTAGAACAGGGATAATCCAAAGCATGAAGAAGAGCACCATTTGTGCATATTCTGATCCCGCAGGTACAAGCTTGAACTTCAACGTCGCATCATCAAGCTCGATCCTCCACGCTAGATGTGGACGAGGTGGAGGCCGTGTGATGTTTATCGCTGTTGTCTTGAGCGAAGAAGGTGGAAGACGATCCAAAACAGAATCTCCATCTGAATCCCCAAAAATATAGCTTTGATCAGGCTGTCCATTTGGATTGACTCCCCAGACGTTCAGCTGGCCCTGTGCAGGCCACTCAGCCATAAAGCGGAACTTCCATAGACGATCCGCAGCTTGTTTCACAGCATTTGGCAGTCCAGCGTCATATCCGTATTCATTGAAAGGGCCGTTGAAAAAAAGATGAGGGAAACGTCGGGGCATTCCAGTCTCCCAGTCGGGAGTATCGCCTTGTTGGACGTAGTCGCTGCTTCCCGTGAAACGATTCCAGTATTCAACACGAACGTGCTCCGCCTTCCACTCTTGGGCCTTTGTTCCTGACCAATGCTGTTTCTCAATTGTGTGATTGCCACCTTGGTATGGGAGCCATTCTGAAAATGTGCTGCCCCAGTTGGTTGAGTACCGGTACTTATCGGCTCCTGCCGCATGCTGTTGAATAAACAGTGAGCCGTTTTCGTTTCTTTGAAGCAAGCTGCTGGAGTAGTTGGCAGAGGTGAAGGTCATAGGGTTGTCATGTTGTCCGATACGAATCAAGAAGTGATCAATTGCGTTCGTTTTACTTCCGTCGCTACTAGTCACATTGCTGACAGTCAGCCGGTGCACTCCATTATACACTCCAACAAGAGTCGCTGTCCATGCCCAGGTGCTGGGTATATGGCCAGTGAGATTCGATTCCTCCGGAACCACCGAGTGGCAACCGATGGTATTCTGATCAATTGAAGGTGTCTTCCCATTTTCTGTTGTTGAATCAAGGGTGATGGCGTGAGTGACCATGCTGCAATTCATTTCCGTAGAGAAGTATAGACCGATTTGGAGATCTTCACTTTCTCCAGGCTGGGCTTTGGAAAGCACTGGAACATCATGCCCCGGGATGAATCTGGTGATCATAGGCCGTGGAGGATGGAACTTGCTTTTGGGGACATAAGCCCTGAATTCGTACGGATGAAGGGTTAAACTGTCCAGACAGCCATTCCATTCCGAAGAACCATTGAGATGCAGCTTGGTCGGACTTTTCTTCAAGGTCAGTTCATCATGTGGATAGAACAAGTTTTTAACGGTGGTATTAGTCTTGAAAGGAGCTACAAGCGCCTGATCGGGATCGGAACAATTGAAGTCGTATGTGACCGTGATGTTGTCATTTTGGTACACAAACCACACCGTTTGGTTCCCCGCTTTTCCAAGATTTTGTTTTTGAAAGTAAGGGCTTCGTAGAACAGACCACATGCCTGTTTCAGTGGCGATTCCATTCGAACCAGGATAGTAGACATTGTGGGTTTGATTGGACAGCAACTGAATCCACCACCCATCGTTCATGGCGGGATAGTCCTCTCGCATCTGATACATATGCTTGATTGTGTTCCTGATGGGGTGCGACGGATCTCGATGGTCGTATGTGACACTCTCATCGTGGCAGGCATCTCGGCCAGACTTGATCGGCCAGTCGAAGTACTGGGTCGAGTTCAGATGGAAGCAGCCATGAGTTTTCCAAGCAGTCGCGGGAGACATGGCTTGCCGACCATAGATATAGTTGGAAGCCAATGCATCCAGAGTGTGAAACGCTTGCTCTTCACCCCAGAGTAGTAGTGGAATGCCCGGCATGTGCAGCGTTGTAATGAATAGAGCAAGTAGCTGTCTCTCGAGCCCATATTCTACAGCTGGCCACCGGAACACATCTTGATTTGTGGCCCCGTACATGTGACGCGGGTCAAAATTGCCGGTATTCGCGTTGATAAGGTCATTGGTCAGCACCATATCGTACCAAGCTTCCGTCCAATTGACTGGGACATCGTAGCCAGCGGCCAGGTTGCCATCCATGCCAAGAAAGCGAGTGAGGGAGCGGTAAACAGAGTAATGAAAAGCGGCTCCATCAATGGCCTGCTGATTTTCGTCCCGCAGGAAGTATAGCGTATCAGAAGAGTTCGTGAGATGAAAAGCCTGATCAAGCGTCTTAGGAACCATGTCTGGCTGCCTACCACGACCAAGAAAAACAGAGCCCAGAGTATTTCCGCTTGTTATTTCTCCCGGTAGAAAGAAATTCTTCTTGCCAACTCGTCGAGCACAGTCACGATAAGCACCAGAGATGTCGCCCAAAGCATCAACCGTGGCCTGTGTAGCCTTGTCATACCGGAAGCCATCGATGTCGAGCGAAGAGATGATCATACACGAATGTCTAATAATTCGCTCTCTGACTGTAGGTACCCACTCACGTAATCTGTCCTGTACAGATGCGAATTTGGCAAGTTCACGTTGCCAGTCTGGATAAACACCAAAAGCTTCGATATCACCGTATTGATCGAAATCACTGTTGTAGCAGCCTTTCAGTTCGTCGCGAACATACTGGTCCACTAGGTAACCAGTCTCATTCCAGAAACGAGGGTATTCACAGGTCTGGTTGTATGCATTACCGAAGTTATAGTCGACGTAGTGGCGGTCCGATTTCCATTGCGCTTTGTGTTCTTTGACTGAAAATGGTGTTGTTGTGTTGAGGTATCCGGCAAATCCAATCAGATCGCCCATGCTGATGAATATTAGCACCCAATAAAAATCGGGAACAATGTTAAGTTCAAAGTCACTTACGTTGCCACCGTGTTATCGAAAATCACATACATGCCACGGTTGTGGATCTCTGTGATTGCAGCTCGCCAAGCATCAATTGTACCAAAATGTTGATCTAACAAGGTGGTGTCCATTGCAGAATAACCATCTGCTCCCCAAGGCTGGTTCATCAGAACAAGGCCGGCAAGATATATCCCCTTCAAAAGCTCAGCAAAAGTGATTTGAGATCGAAAATGGAATTGAAACTTACCTTGATACCCATTCCTTGTAAATAGTCAAGCGTGTCAACCAATCCAGCAACGTCACCGCCATGACGCATCTGGTTAGAGTCCAAATCATGCTCAAAAAGTGTGCCATTAATATTGTCGTTTGTTGGATCACCATTCACGAATCGATCGAGAAAAAGGGTATATATAGGGAAGCGCCAGTTTTCTGGCGATGGGTGGTATGTATGGTTGGGCCATTCTCCCCAGTACTCTGCTGGGTTGGTAGCCGTCTGGTTTTCATTGAGGTTATATTCAGTGAGTGCGTCATCATACGGCCAGCCCGATACCAAAGCTGTGAGGTGGGCAAGAACAAAGCCTGTGCGTTTCCAATACATCGTAACGATGTTTCTTCTAGTCGAAAGGTATGAGAGAGCCCACTATGTCAGGTAGGAAGGGAATGAACGAGTGTCAGGAGCCGGGTTCCTATTTGCCTTTGGTCAGTTAGCCCATCAGATGTGAAATGCATGTGACAACATGCTTAGAGAAGGACATGTATACAAGCCAGAGATAATCATATAGGTATGACAATATCAATAGTCGAATCGTGGAAGGATAACCTTAAGTAAACCATATACTTGAATGGCGATGAGGCGCGAAGGACCAATGTTACTGGATAAAATAAAGCAACGAATGTAAAATCGAGCTTTTAGATACTTCAGGTTTATTCCGCTGAAATGACCTTCAAGTCGCTCCAGGATTGGGCCGGTCTGTAAAAGCCAAAGAAGAAACGAACAAGAGAGAAAAACCCTGCGGGGCGTTTGGTAGAAATAGGTGGAATTGTGGCAAACCAGTAAAAACACAAACCTAGCAGAATATAGCTCTTACATGCTCTGAAGTGAGTCTTAAGTCACTTGTCTTCTCACCGCAAGTACATGATTTGATAATACCTCAGAAATAAGCCCATAGGCTCTGGTGTCAGACTCTCTCGACGCCGGAATGAACGGTGTCAATAGAATGGGAATGCTGATAGGAGGCAGAAATCTCAGGGTACATCTGGAACTTTCGGGGCTTTGATGGGTACTCGGTTGACGAATACTATCTCAAAGGGAATTGGGCTCAGACAACAAAGTCCATGATTGTCTCACGACGCGATGCCCTCGTTTGGAAGCTCCCAGCAACATCCATAGCTCTTTGCATTACCGACGGCCGGCAAGGAATAGCTGTGGCTCGATAAGACCCAGTGTGCAAGACATGCAGTGTCTGTATGACAGGGTACGGTAGTACATTCTCAAGGATGATAAGGCACCATGCGAGTAGATAGGAAAAGACAAAGACCAGGAAAGCAAAACATGCAGCGGCTATCGATCATCGGTCCAGTTTCAACATTGACTGTGATGGAGTCGAAAATATCTTGATTAGAATATTTTCTGCTTTTTGTCTGATTTCGGTGGCTCCATTTGGTGAGATTTTAATATAGGTGCTTGATGTGTTGTTGAGGGATGTGACTTACAGTATCACTCGTAGTCTGACTCCAGGTTCTTGTCTTATTCAAACCCAGGGGTAAGTACTTTTCCCGAGACATGAATCCAGGGTTTAGAAAATTAGTACTTTCTTTAGGCCGCATCAGGGATCGTATTTACATTTCGACTGCTGTGACATGTGTGGCCGGAGAGATCGGGAATAATGTGAGGATGTGCTTTAATCCCTGTATCTCAAGTCTGGTGTGTCTTGTCGTATGAAAGATTCCAAGTGGCTTAAGATTATTACCTTTTAGTTCTCCTCTTAGCAAAGCAGGCTGAGTAATGGCACGTTCTATATTATTTCACTCACTAATTACCCATTTATAAGTTGGACTATCTCGTGATTGCTGTAACAGGATGATAGAACAAGTCTGTTGAATATTTAATGTTTATATGCTTTCCTAATAGTCACAGTAAAAAAAGTGTGATTAGAGCTAGACCTTCCTAGAAGGACCTTCCCTGCTTACCACACATATTCACCCTCCAAGTTAGGTTGGATTTGTGACATGGGCTTCGAATATGTTTTTGAATGGGTGTTGTTCTTTCTCAGTGTTAGTATAAATGAGCATTTGTCATATGTATCATTTTGATTGGCTTATAGAATATTAGAATTCTATGGTCCGTTATTTGCATGCACAGTTGCACTATGCTTTTAGGCGATGAAGACCAACTCTCAACGGTCTGTTGAGACTAGAATCCGTTGAGTCAGATCATATGCTTTACCTTCATTTAGGCCAGCCCATAATGGTCTATCTTTCAATAGGCAGCTGCGTGGGCCTGAAGCTCTGATGACCATGCTTTAGAATCCTTGGGATTACCAGACGGCGCACATGTACATTGATAGCACTAGTAAGGTTGATCGGTCTCATATAAATGCATAAACCAGTCAATCAAGAGGCGTCACGTAACATTGGGTCCCTTGGTTCAATCTTCTCGGTAAGGCGCATGCATCTCCCCGAAACCTATGTGTGTCGGTGTGGATTAGTATGATTGAGCCATTGAGAGACTTGAGATAAAGGAATGGTTTAAGTCTAAGTTCTTCGAGGTAAATATTTGTTAAAATTTCCGTCCGTCTCAATTCCAAGTATATCGTGGTCAGGAATCGAGACATACTTCATCCCGTATTCTTCTAACTGCCACTATCAGATAATGCAAGGCTTGGAGAGTCTGTATGAATATGCATCTGGTCACTTGTTCATTATTCAAAATATGTCGTGTTCTCATTTGACCCTTTGTGACACAAAAACAGCCATTCGATACAACCAGGCTTCCAATTTTAGGTTTTAGATCGTCTAGTGTATCTAGATAAATGATATCAGGGAGCTATGTCCGAGGAGAAATGTTCACAAGTCGAGTGCCTGGGACCTGATGCTATCATGTCCTGAATCCTGTATTTCGTTCCCCAATAGCACATCCTATAGCCTCATTCTGATAAATTCTGATAATGCTTCGTAAGCTGACCCTTTATCAAACCTAAGCTATGCATGTTTAACTCCGGGTGCTTTCATCGGATCATGAAATGCTGATTAATGTCTGAGCGCAAGCTCAGCAGGCTTTAGAAGGCAGGTCTCCAGTTTCAGGTGCTTGTTGAGCTGAGGATTTGGATAATATCTTAAAGCATTAACCCTGCTGTATTTTCTTTGCTGTACTGTGTGTGACCTTGTAAAAAAAAAACACGCACCCGGTGTCCCCGAGAAGTCTCTATTTAGACTATGCTCTCTTATAGTGAGCTTGATCTCCCGATTTCCTGGATATCTGAGACATCACGGTTGAACTCGGGGGTTGCGCTTGGCCTGTACAACCTTCCAGACAGGGGGGATAGCATGCATGCGGCTGGCTTGACATCCCCATCATAGCCTGCATGGCTTTCGTTTTGAGAATATCGACTGCCATGTTGTTCCTTTCCAACCTTGAAAGCTGAAGGCACTCTGGAGATATGAAACCTATATCATTCCGAACTCCCCGGTTGGCGCACGGGCAGTTTTCCATATTCATTCCCATAGACTGTACTACCGGTTCATGAACGATGTGTCACGTATTCCTCAACCTTGGACCCAAGTCAAGGAAAACATGTATCTCATTGTGCGTGTGAATAATGGATTCTAGTAGCTCCAAACTATCCTGGTATCATAGCCCCTCTCTTATTTTTTTTTTACCTCTAACATCGTTTCTCAATGCATCATATATCAAATGGTCAGCCTTAGGCTGTAGTCTCCCCTTCCTTACTCAGCGCCGTAGCGGGCACGGTAGTCCTTCAAGCGCTGGATATCCTCAGCACCAATCTTATCACTGAGCTGTTCAATAATATCGTGCAGACCAATGACGGCACGAATGGGGATGTTGCCGCCGAGATCGCGCTGCGCACAACCAATGGCGCTCTTGGACTCGGAATCGCTAACCCGCTCCTCGCGGTCCAGCAGAACAACAACACCCGCAACGATACCACCTTCCTTCTCAATGATGCCGACGGCCTCGCGCAGAGCAGTGCCGGCGGTAATGACATCGTCTACGATAACAATGCGCTTTCCCTTCAGCGGAGCACCGACAATGTTGCCTCCCTCGCCGTGGGACTTAGCCTCCTTGCGGTTGAATGAGTAGCTGACATTGTCCCATGTTCCATTGGGCGAGGCGGAGAGCGAGTCTCGGACGGCAAGCTCGTTGGTGACGGCGGCACAGATGGGAATGCCCTTGTATGCGGGGCCGAAGATGATGTCGAAGTTGGGCTTAGTGGTGCCGTCAGCCGCGGTGGTCACGAAGGGCTCGGCGGACAGCACACTGGCGTAAGCGGCAGAGGAGGCGCGCAGCAAGGGCGCAGTGTGCATGAGGGAGGAGGTGAAAAAGTAAGGAGACTCGCGACCGGACTTGAGGACGTAAGTGCCGAAGGAAAGGACGTTGTTGTCGATGAGGAGAGGGAGCAGAGTGCTCTTGTAATCTTGAGAGGCGGACATGGTGGTCGGTATTATGAATTGAGGTTTGTGAAAGAAGGTATGTATATTTAACACTTTGAAAAGGTAGATCTTGAAGGTGAGCCCAAGAGAAAAAAAAGTGGGTGACAAGTTTATCGGCGAATAAAAGTCCGCCCCGCCAAAGGTGACTGGTTAGCTAAGTCAATCTAAATTTTTAAGTAATTGAGGGGCAGATCATAGAGGGGCAGGTATGTACGGAGTAAGCTGACCCAACAACACGAGATGATTGCAGGATTGGCCCCAACGGATTGAATAAATACATAAAAGAAGAAGAAGAAAGTGAAAAGTTTAACTAAATACCATATTCTCTTCCTTTAAGTTATATTATAGTGGAGGTTGTAGTGCTTACCAAATCCACCAGTTGACCTGAGCACGTGCTAGCTCCGATCGCCGGCCTTCCCCGCCGAATCCCAATTCGAATTCCATCTTTCTTCCCCTTCTTACGGAGATCCCCTTTGGACCCATTTTCTCCTTTCTTTTTTTTTTTGTCTCGTTTTATTTTTTTCTACTTTTCATATTGACTGGGTCATCCCTGTCAAATCCTCACGTGGGTGTTACAAAGCAAATAGGTCGGGAAATCCTGGTGATTCTGCGAGACCCTGTTGTGAGAACTGCAAAATAGCCTCAGGTGGTTACATTTGCAAATAAATTCAGTCCTACCTCTATCGGTAAGAGATGCTTGTTTCCTAAGAGAAGAATCAGATCGGACCTGCTTGACCCACCATGGCCAACTTGCAATTCCACCAGATTACTGATGACAGTTTCCGTAGGTTGACACGAAATCATGCATATCCGGGAAAAGCTTGCACAGAAGGAGGCCTCAGGGGAGCCGGGCATCTCCTTCGAGTTCTTTCCTCCCAAAACCGCTCAGGGTGTACAGAACCTTTATGATCGCATGGACCGTATGCACGGATTGGGTCCCTCTTTCATTGACATCACATGGGGCGCGGGTGGCCGTTTGTCGGACTTGACTTGCGAGATGGTCAACGTTGCCCAGTCGGTGTATGGTCTCGAGACCTGCATGCATCTGACTTGTACCGACATGCCCCAGGAGAAGATTGATCAGGCTCTCTCGACCGCGTACAAGGCTGGCTGCACCAACATTCTGGCTCTGCGAGGTGACCCACCCCGTGAGAAGGAGGCTTGGGAAGCCGCCGATGGAGGATTTCGCTATGCCAAGGATCTTGTCAAGTATATTCGGGAAAAATACGGAAACCATTTCGATATCGGCGTGGGTGGCTACCCGGAGGGCGCGGACGACAACCCAGATGTGGATCTATTGATCGATCACTTGAAGGAGAAGGTGGATGCCGGTAGCACTTTTATCATCACCCAGATGTTCTATGATGTGGAAAACTTCAAGAAATGGGTCAACAAATGCCGTGCTAAGGGTATCAATGTGCCAATCATTCCTGGCATCATGCCCATTCAAACCTATGCCTCGTTCTTGCGCCGTTCTACCTGGACCAAGGCCCACGTGCCTCCGCATTGGATGGAAGCCCTCGAGCCCGTGAAGAATGATGACTCTGCCGTCCGGGATATTGGCAAGCGCCTCATCGCTGAAATGTGCAGGGAGCTTCTGGCCTTTGGCATCAACCACCTCCACTTTTACACCATGAACCTGGCTCAGGCAACAAAGCTAGTTTTGGAGGAGCTGGGCCTCGTGCCATCCGAGGAATCTCCCATTCAGCGCTCGCTGCCATGGCGGCCGTCTCTGGCACTGGGCCGGAGAACAGAGGATGTGCGTCCAGTTTTCTGGCGCAACCGCAACTCTTCATATGTTGCTCGCACACAATCATGGGATGAGTTTCCCAACGGTCGCTGGACCGATTCCCGATCGCCCGCGTTTGGTGAACTGGATGCATATGGTGTCGGTCTGAAGGGTTCGAACGAGCAGAACATCAAGTTGTGGGGCGAGCCGAAGTGTCTGAAGGATATTTCTGATATTTTTGTCAACTTCTTGAGTGGCAAATTGGAACGTTTGCCTTGGAGTGACACTCCGATCACCATTGAAGCCAATGACATCAAAGACCCCTTGGTGGACTTGAATAACCGGGGTTTCTTGACCATCAACTCCCAACCCGCTGTGAACGGCGTTAAGTCCTCCCACCCCGTGTACGGATGGGGTCCCAAGAATGGTTTCGTTTACCAGAAGGCTTACTTGGAGCTGTTGGTCCCCTCATATTTGATGGACGAGCTTATTTCCCGCATCGAGAACAACGAGGACATGACATACCATGCTGTTTCCAAGGACGGTGAATTGAGGACCAACACACACGACAGCCCGAACGCCTTGACCTGGGGTATTTTCGCTGGCCGAGAAATCATCCAACCTACCATTACCGAGACCATCAGTTTCTTGGCGTGGAAGGATGAGGCTTACCGCCTGGGTGAAGACTGGGCCAAGTGCCACGATGCCGCCAGTCCCAGTCGGAAGCTGATCCAACATGTCATGGACGACCGGTACCTTGTCAACATCGGTAAGGCCACATTAACCTCATTGAACTTGGCAGCCCAACTAACCCTTTCATAGTTGACAACGACTTCCACCGCTCCAACGCTGTCTTTGATTTGTTCAAGGACCTAATTGTCAAGGATCTTGATGTCGAAGTGACCGGAAAGCCAGTAGAGGCCAATGGCACTGAGATCAAGAACTAAGACACCCTCCCACTCAACCGGGAACCCAGCTACGCTGGATACATTGACGACCACCCCTGCATCTGGACTCACGCTTGAGCCACTGTCAACACTACTTACTACACTCTACCTAATTCAACATCACCTATCTCAACGATACTCAACGAATACCAGCCCGAGATGAATCATCCAACACCAATTCTCCGGCTCTCATGCAATGTCTTATGGCGTAACGATTGAAGACCTCTCAACGATTTCTTCCTGAGCGTTCACTTTTCTATTTCAACATCCAACATTCCTACTGTACCGATACCCCGTCCCTTTTAACAACGACGCTTCAGAGTACTTCTTTTTTCTTTTGCTCCACCAAGGCCTGGTGCTTTTCTTCTGACGTCCCTATCTCTCTTCAATTTATGGACTGTCCAGATGAAATGGAGGATCAAAAAGAAGGAAGAATCCAATTCAACATAATTATGCCCAATCTGGGCTCCTTTTCCATTCTCTCTTTGTCTTTTCCTTTTCCCTCCCTGTTGGATTTCGGGTATAGAGATCGCAGCGAGATGTTCATCCTTCTCGTCTGCGACTAAATTTTCTTTTCCATGCAAGCAGCGGTGTTTCGTTCTATATGTGCTCATTATTTCCGGACCATCCTGATGCTCGGCGCCACTCAAAACCTTTTGGCTTTTTGGCTATTTACAACCACTTATACTTGGATCCCACCATGCCTATGGATGTATGGGATCCCATTTTTACTTCAGATATAACATTGATCAGAAGAAATACAAAAGCTTGGCTATTTCCCACATTCAACACGGGGACGTCCAGCATATTTGACTCAATTGGAATTGTCAAATTGTAGGACCACGTCACATTGGATTCTTAGATGATGATATTCCTCAACCAGCTTCCAATTGCCAACTAGTAAATGTAGTCTTACGTGAAGGAAGATAAGAAGATAAAGCATTTCATATATGAATGGCAATGAAACAAGTAGTATGAATAACAAAGCGCTGACCCATAGGCAAATGATATTAAAAAACCACCAAGAGACAAAACCGTCAAAGTGAAAGGATATCTAATAAACGAGTGGATGATATCATGTTATAAGAGCATGAGTGACACATTGAAAAGCCCAAGCAAACGGCCTAGCAAACCAAACAATCCAAGTCCCGACAAGAACCACATACCCAGCCGCACGCCCTGCAATCAGTGCCCCAAAACCAAGAATAAACAAGTAGACTATAGCCTGCAGAAGCTCGACTAAGAATCGACTAATAGCCTGATCATTCTTGGCTTTGGGCCAAGAACCCGTGGTCTGGTAAACCGATATGGTACTGCAGATCGTACTTAAGACATGGTAACAATGGCGTGTCATGTTCAAGATGTTTGTAACCACGAATTTGATGTATGGACTGTCGGTAACTTGGAGAGCAAATTTGTGCATGTTTGTGATGGCTAAAAACACAATTTCGAATATCAAGGAGAGGGCGATGGTGTTTGTGTCGTTGTCGGTGGTGATTTCGGTGATGGAGAATTCTTTGGTCTCCTCCTCGTCTTTTTCTCCTGAAGACAGATTGTGGAGATCATCGTGGACATCCGTGATATTCGCTTGTAGACTCTTTTTGGACGCGGCTACTTGTTGCCCGTCCAATTCTGCGATCTCAACAACTCTATCGACTACTTTGTCGACACCTTTGGTTGCTCTTCGGAGTCGAGCTTGTTCTTTGAACCTTTCCAGTCGCTCGGCTCGGGAGAGCTGTTCCGGGTTGGGAGATTGTTTTTCTGCCTTTTCTAGCTTCTCAGCGGTCTTCTTTCTTTCTGGTGGAGGCGTAGCCTTCTTGACCGGAGGTTCTGGCTCCGCTGGGGGTGGCTTCTCTTGGATGGGAGGTTTTTCGAGAGAAACCCTAGCAGTGCGGGACTCCTTTTTGGCCGGAGATGGCTTCGTGGAGGATGAGGGAGTCTCTTTGGCTGATCTGAAAGACCTGGCGGATTTTGAAGAGTCTGAATTGTCTCTAGTTGGTGGTGAGGCTTGAGACACGGGGGAACTCGAGCCCTTGCGGCTAACAAGAGACCCTGAACCATTGCGTAGGGATTCTGCGCGATTGCGCAAAGACTCGGTCCCGTTACGGAGTATTGTCGCCAGGCTCTCGGTTGGTGACCTGACGAGACCTGTGGACCTTGCTGAGGTACGGATGAAGCCACGAATTGAGCTGCTTGGCTTTTCGCTCTTCTCCTTCTCCTTCCGTTGACTGGGGCTATCCTTTGGTTTGGGGTCATCATCTTTCGAGTCCTTCTCCTTTAAGTCTTCTTCTTTCAATTCTTTCTCCGTCGGGGATTCTTCTTTCGAGCATTTTTCCTTCGACGCAGGACTACTGCTGACATGAGTCGTTGCCTTGGAAGGCAAGAAGGAGGGAGTGGTCTTCGAAGATGTAAGCGAGGGAAGAGCTGATTTGACTTGCGCAAGGCCTGACACATGTCGTAGTCCAGCAGGTGTAGAGATGACCTGGGCCTTGGCCCGAACAGCCTTGACAGCCTCCCCAGTCCCAGATTGGCCAGTTCCACCGGGGCGTCGTAACCCTTGCGCCTTTAAGACAGATATTTTCTTTTCTGCCTTTGCCACTTTCTCTGGTGTAGGGGTTGGAAGCAAAGTACGAGTGACAGTAGGTGTGATGATGAACACATCGTCATCACCACGTCCACCGTCCATTCTACCTGGAGAGTCTTCGATGCTTGGCCTGGGGCGCGAGTTCTCTTTACTCGAGCCCTGAGAGCTTGGAGTTGGAATCTGATTATCAGGGCAATCTTGCTCCTGACACAAGGTCACAGGCGAGTGCTTGCTCTTGGAGTTCCGAGAAACTTGTGACCATTCTTCTTGTAGAACGGTCTTCTCCATCGACTTGCTGGCCGCCTGGGCTTCTTTCTCCTTCTGTCTCTTTTTCGCACGCACGGCAAGTGGATGGGGTTGCAGGGTGGTAGAGTCTTCCCCCGATGAGAAGAGATGTATTTCGTCAGGGTTTTTCGGGCAAGGATTGATTTCCTTGCACCCCAAGAAGGAACCATCCCCAGTGTGGGACTTTCGTTTCTCTCTGGGCTTTGTGGGAGATTCTTCCCATATAGTGCTGATGCGGTTTTTGCCAACCTCATCAGGGCTATAATAGTTGCTGTCTGCTTGAGACTCATGAGGTTGGGTAGTTGGAACTTTCAGCTTCTCGACTTCCTGCTGAGGCTGCCGAGGCTCTGCTGCCACGCTTTCAGAGGTCTTGGATTGCTCCAACTTTCTTCGCCTATCTTGATATGTGGAGGAATTGCGTCGACCTTCGCTCGGCGAGCCCCGTGGACTGGGTCCAGTGTTTGGGTCAAGCATTCGGATCCCCTCCCGGTGAACTTTCTCAATGCTTCTTTGATAATCGGCAATTTGATCTTCAGTCATAGTCGGTGGGTTGGGGTCCTTAGCAGAGGGCATATGGACGACGAATCTGTCCTCCCAGTCACAGTCTGTCATAGAGTCCTCGGCAGACACTGGCGAGATTGAAGGATGGGACCGGGGGCTAGAATCGGCGGTGGTGTCTGTTGCTCCCGATCTCTGATGCATATTCTCGCGGGACTCTCGGTTGATCCATTGACCTCCCTCCTTTAGCCACTTGTTCTGTGGCTCGGCATTACGAGACTCATAACGCGGGCTTGATACCACTTTGCTTATATTGGCGCTAGGATTGGGGATACCACTTCGAGGTTTGCTTGCTCCGCGTTGCGATGGTTGGACTTCTGCGGCGGTTTTGGCTGGATACTTATGCTGCTGCCAAGAGTTTGTACTCCCTTCAGATCGAACCCTGTCGCTTTCTCTTGACCGGATATAAGAGCCGCGCTGTGACAGTGGTGATTCTTTTTCAAACCTGCCACGCATTTTCCGCATGTTGAGATCTCGGTCTCGCTCCCCAGACTGACCACCAGATCCCCCCGATGAAAATCCGGCTGACGATGACTTGGGGATTCCGGTAGGGCTGGGAGTTTGATTCCTTTGCTCCCTGGCCCTCTCGGCGAACGATCTCGGCACCGGAAGCTTGGTTGTTTTCTCTTTCTGATACATGATGTCTGGCGAGGCTCGACGGTCTTCAAGTTCGGATGGTGGCACACGATGAGAGTTTCGGGCAGGTGGAGTGGGATATAGCTCAGTGGCCGTATAATGAGCGCGGTATGCTTGGTACTGGGTTTGTCGTTGGGGTCGTGGGGAGAGGTTAACGAGGTGTCCGTCAGGTAGTTCGACACAACTTTCGACGTCCATTTTGTGCTGCAGTGCGTTCGCTAGTATTTCCGACTCTTAAGCCAGGATAGACCCTGTCCCTGGCCCATGCCGTATAATAGGCTGTTAATAGTTGTGGTCTGGCTGCAGGTGCTGCGAATTAGGGCTGTGTCGAGAAGGTAGGTTGGACGGCTTCGGGTGATGTTTCTTGAACCAGTTCCAATGAACAACTTAGGGAATGCGTAGGGTCATCAGACTCAATTCAAGATCCAAAGCCCGCGATTTCAACGCGTGACAATGGTGCGGTCTGGTTGGGTGGAATGGCATGTGGCCCGGGATGAAGAATGCTAGCCCCCGCTCTGGAATGCATCACGATATGAACCCGCCTCCATTTGGTATGACGCTTCTCAATTGCTTCTTTAGTTTGAGCTTTTTTAATTTGAGAAAAAACTGCAAGGTGATTGAAGAAGGCATCTTTGAAGAGAGTCAGATGCCCGTGTCAAACAGTCATACCCTGCCGCCTATTGGGGCGTGATCTGGCAATTGGCAACAGGAAGTGAATTAACTTTCATTCGGAAAATCAAGATTGACAGTTTGAAATCTGGAGATAAAGGGACTCATTCCGCATTCTTGGGTGTGGCAGGTCACGGAAAATTTAAGACGTCAAAATGATGCTGCTTTCGAGTAAGTCATGGATCAGTTTCTCGCCACGAAGTATTCGGAAAAGAGATAATTAACCGATACCAGGCTACTGCACGCGAAGCGTGAATCCAGTACACTTCGTGACCTGAGGCGGTAGAGTGTACATAGAAGACTATTCAGTTGGCTGTAGGATTTGGCTGCTGGCATGAACGTTTCAAGCATCCAAAAAGCAAAGTCATAACGTGCCAAAAAAAATAATTCAATTCGTGGTTTCATTCTAGAATCTTCCCGTTTCTCGACGGGGATTAAGGCTACCTGGTCTATGGGCTCCAATCCCTGGTGCTGGACTCATAGGTGCCGCAAGGCTGCTCCTCTTGAGAGGGCTGGATTGTTTCTTCACTGGACTCGTTCCTCGTGGAGTATAGACAAAATCTCCGCTATTGTGAGTTCGGCGCTCGAAAGCGGTTGATGCTGACTTCCTCAATGGGGAATTGGCGTGCGAATAGACCCCAAGACTACCTCCATCGCCTGTACTTGTTGATGTTGGTCGGAATTGCGGTTGCCGCATGGAATGTCCCGCTGTACGAACCAATGGCGAGCCATCGCCCGACACAATGGGAGTACGGAGGGACGGCTGGGTCTGGAAGATTGATGGTCCAGGAGTGGCAGTGGGGCGTCTTGGAGTCAAGCCTTCTGGATCGACATGACTGACGTAATTGGGGTTAGGGCTCGTCTTGAATCCACGATTGATAATGAATGTTGGAGTGTGGACTTCAACTTTGTTTTCGGCGTCTGAGCCCGACTGGGCAGGAACTGGCTCAGAGAACTGTGTGCCCACATCTCTCATCAAAGGTCGAGTCCGAGGGTGGACGAACTTGGCGTCATATTCCTTCATCACCTCTTTATGCACCAACATTGAGTCTTTCGCCTGTTGCGTGTATGAAGTGGACATGAAAGACATTTGCACAGAAAGAAGGATTGTGAGGGCAATCGTTGTGACGATTGTGACACTCGGGCGAGGGTCAGACACCTGTGTTGGTAGGAAGAGCCAGTAAATCAAGACATGCCCTGGGCTAAACATGCACAATAGACGGACACTGATGGGTTGGGGATCCCAGAGGGCAATCTCCCACACGTCACGTTCGGCATCTGGGTGGGCACGGGACTGGGCTGACTCTCCGGCTAAGGCGTTTGCGAGATATCGGAGGGGAGACGCGGCCATCGGGCTTGATTCTACTCGCACGCGGTGTGCAGAGGGGGTCGCAGGGACCTGATCTATAGGCGTTTCGAACATGCGATAACGCTTCTTGCGAGCGAATGTGTAGACTGCATTTGCGACAGACAAAAGTCCCAGAATTGTGGTGAGGGTCGTCGCCTATAAATCATACCAATACCAGTCAGTTTGCAACATAATAAGGTTGTAAGGCAAGGCCACGTACCAGCCAGCTGAGCCAAGGCACTCCTTCATCTTCACCAAACACATCGTCGAAGGCTTTCCCGCCACTTGATCGACTATTTGCGCGTGCAATACAGAAGATCAAATTCAGACCAGCACCAATGGAGAGACCCCAATCCTTTTCCATCTGGTCCCAGTCGTGCCCATCGATCTCCTCGGAAACCCAAAGTAAAAAGTCCCACGGGTTCAAGTAGGCTTGGATGCGCTCCATGAGCGGGCGTCGACGCACAAGACGAGGCATGGTGTCGGAGGACCGAAAGGGAAGTGATAAGATAGAAGCTGTTCCTCCGCAGCTTCTTCCTTAGCTGGATCGGCAAATTAAAGGCATGCAGAGCAAGGCAAGGCCAGTGATGCGGAACAGTGAACCATCAAAGCAATGAAAGTAAACAAAATTGCATCAGCTTATGTCATCGACTCTCCGCTCTCCGCGATAACCACAATCAGTGAACAACGCCAACTCTTAAGACTGCACCAGACTTACTGTTCAGCTACGGTTCGATCGTGGGACAGCCTCTCTCGGTCTTTGATATATCCTCATTCCTGGTTTCTCGCCTTTGGTCAACATGGCGGCGACCGTCGCATACAAGGTAAACTGGACACTTGGAACCTGCCACCACCCCTCCGATAGCGTTGCTAACTCTCTCTGATGGCAGGATCGCCAATTACTCGCCGTGATTGGCGATGAAGAGTAAAACTCCCAGATCTTGTTTCTGATACCGAAATGGAATCACTCTAGCTAACCTTGACCGTCGGCTAAAGCTCCGTGACCGGTCTTCTGCTCGCCGGAATTGGAGTATGTACCTCCCTGTTCAGCTAAATCGCCGAAGGCGCTTTTGCGACTATTCTTGCATATGAGACTAACGCATAGTGGCTCGTTACAGCATGTTACCAACCCACCGGACGCACAGCGCAATTTCCTGGTTGTCGACGCTAAGACCGAGACTTCGGAGATTGAGCGCGCCTTCCAGACTTTCACACAGGAGCGAAAGGACATCGCTGTTGTCCTCATCAACCAACATGTTAGTTCCAGCTATACTACGCTATGCCTGTATGATGCCAGTCTAACATACTATTCCAGGTCGCGGAACGCATCCGCCACATCGTAGACACCTTCACCGATCCCTTCCCCGCCGTTCTTGAAATTCCCAGCAAAGACCACCCATACGACCCGGAGAAGGATAGTGTTCTCAAGCGTGTGCGCCGTCTGTTTGGCGAGTAGCCGTGCTGGGGGGCTTTGTCTGGTTTTGGGCGTCATCAGCTCTTGTCTTGTTTGTCGCATGTTTACATATTTGATTCTTGCTAAAATCTTCCGGTGTACTGCCATCGTCTCGGGATTGTCTTTGTTCCGGTCAGCTTATTCTACGAAACTTGGTGTGGTGGGGTGATCAAACGCTTTAGAGGAAAGATACCCAACATGTCTGAGAATGCATATACAACCTCAATATATCCGGTTTCCTGCCTGGAATACCTCACAAGACCGAAATTGCTGTTTTAGTTTAATGATCTCCCCAGATACTGTCGATTTTGGCCACGTTGCTGGCCATTACTTTTCATTAGTAGCTCGAGAAAGTATTGTAATTGCAAAAGAAGGCTAGCAGATATATTAGTAACCACAGCTTCGGTAAGGCTCCGGTCGAGTTACATATTGACAATCACATGGATGCAAAGCGACGGTTGAAATGGCAAGGCAAACTGATATCTGAGCGGACAGAAGCTTATAGAAAACAGAGGCATCACATGGGAAAAGGAAGGCAAGGTCGTAACGAGACGTAGAAAGAGGCGTTTCTGGCATAGGAAAATCAAGGCAAGCGATGACCAATATGAACGTTCAAATCAAGAGAAGCCGAGAAGCCACCTGGTAGTCGTATGCAAGGCAGTTATAAAAACCGGAGAATAACGATCAAATGATGAGTTGCATTTACAGCAGGTTGAACGAAATGTTGTTTGCCTCTAAGCAGGTGACTTGGGTATCATCTTCATTGTAGACATCGGCCATAACAGAGTATTTACCCTGGATCGAATGTCAGCTTTCATGATGTACTTCTTCCGTGGGTTGAAACGAATCTCTTACCGGAGGGATCTGCTTGGGCAATTCGACATCCTTTGTCAGAACCATCTTGCCCTCCTTCAGGGGACATTGTAGGTCCACATTGCCAAGCTGATCACAAAGATCGGCGGTCTGCGAGATCAAGGTGATGAGGCCATATTTGACGACCAGGTTGACATATGCGCCCTTCACAACTTCCTCCCCTACGGTACCGCTGGCCGTGATAGTGAGCTTTTGACCACTATTGAGGTAGTCAGTAAGTTTGCATTAGAAACCACAAAAGAGTCATTTGGAGCGGTCAGACATACGCTTTGGGGGGGGGTTGGGCGATAGAGTAACGGAATCGATCTTGAGAGTGTAGGAGTCTGGGTTTCCACAATACACGAGCGGGTTCTCTCCAGGGACGCTGACTTTATCCTGGGTGTCGACCTGGAGTGGCATCTGCCATGGGTCCAGAAGCTTGGGGACAGAGGCGGCTGAGGCGAGCAGAGGAGCCCCGAGGAGAAGAGTGGCTGATAAGAACTTCATGATTGCGACCGGCGTCGAGATTTGGATAGATGAGGTGAAGACAGGAACGATCGATCTTTATATGCTCAGGCTGTCACAAAACGTTCAAGTTAAGCAGGAAGAAGTTCTGGGAGTGATATGGGTTAAAGCAAGCTTGCGAGGTAAGGACGGTGTCACTTGATGACGACTCGCACGTGATCGTTGAGGACCCGCTTTAGGATTAGATCGTCTTACTTCTCCTCACTTGGTTCGATAGAGAGTTGGTTCCTGCAGCTGAACCTCACTCTTATTTTTCTTGAGCCTTTCACCGTCTTTTTTCTATTCTTTTTTTCATCTTGCTTAGTCTCTTACTCCTATCGATTCCTTAAGTGCCTCCAAAATTAGCAAACGTTGAGAGGCCATGAGCTGGACTGCGGATCCACTACGGCGTACACAAGCCCCACTTGGTTATCATCGATCTTGATAACCTTCAAACTGAGATTCATGATCAACACCAAGTATCTCACGGAATGGACTGATGTTTTTCATAACCCATACATGTTTAATGCTGGTATTTGCTCGGATAGTGCTGACTGACAAGAACGGAAATACTCGATCTCATTAATTCCAAATCCAACGTTCGAGCCCCAAGAGTCCATTGCTCATTTAACGTGGAAGGTATTCCACAGTACCTTGACGCACGCGAGTAGACGGTGGACAGGGTTCGTATAAGTCGGCTTGGTCAGCCTTGAAAATATTGCATATGGTTGATTGTGAGAAGTGGAAATTGGAAAGCTCGGTGCTTACTATATTCCTGAATATTAACGACATACATCATTGATGAGGATATCAACCATAAAATCGTATAAGCTTTTTAAGTCATTCGATGAGAACAGAACATATATTGATATGCAAATGCATTTTTCCTGGCCTACGACTCGTCAATGTTTGCTACAATATCCTAATATGCTAGGAAAGGAGAACAGTCACCTGGACTGTCTGGCCTTTGTCAATATTATGGTGATACCTTGGGAGGTTGGTCAGCCCTATATACGGCGCGTTTATATTTATTTCTCCCCAATTAGTACTCGTCAAACTACGTCTGGGCATCATGCGCTTTGCTGTCCCCTCTATGTTTGGTGCTAAAATACCGTAATATACTGCACCGCTCATATACAATGTTAGCCTAGCTTTCATGAAGCGAAGAAGTAAGTCAATGTTTTTCTTGAAGTCTACGATGGCAGAAAAGATCTCAGCCCTAGGAATTCTAATTCTCATTAAACGTAAGAACCAGTCTTTATGCAACGAACGGTGCATAGAACTGCGTGGGCATGTTAAGTGTAATATACGAACACGGCGTATATTGATAAATTTTTTACAGCTCCAACTACTTGTGTACTGTATTAAGATAGTTCGTAGAGCATGAGGTATCCATGGACTACACTAAACTGTGATGACTTCCAATAATGGGAGTGGATGATCTTCATTCAGGAGAGGGTCAGTGATGTCAAGACAGGTATATAATATATGAAAGATAGGCCTTGGGAAGGCAGTTCAAGAATTGAGTCATTCTAATATTAAGATGTTTCAGACCAGTAAGATCTAACCTGTATTGATCAAAGTCTACACAGTGAACCCCAACGAAAAACCGTGGACATTGCCAGGATATTTTACGCGGCTCTTCCCTTCTACACAAACAGACCTCTTCCCACAATTTCACCCTCCACTTCCCATAAAGCGGAAATATCCTTTTCCTCGGGACAAACAAACCTTGATAATTTAACTGGCGTGGGTGCTAGCTTGGCTAGTAAGTTCTAGGAACAGTCAAAGGCTTTGTCGATCCCCGAATATAGCTGCAAGCCGAGAGGAAGGTTTGTCGGGCTTTTACCCCACTTCCACAATGACGATGGTTAGCTGATGAGGTGAATGGATTTTTACTTGGAATCCAGTACCGGGTTCCCTTCCGTGCGGCCTTGGTTGCCAAATCAGGCTAACCTGGCTCACTAGTCCGGGTTCCCCACCCCCACGCTAAGGGTCATCTCCGCATTTCGGTCTACATTGCACAAGGCCCCGGGGCTACTGGGGGCTATGATTTGCTACAGGCCTATAGTCCCACTTCGTATAGAGCTCAGGCAATATTCCTTGCCCGGATCGATTCACCTCGGGATAAGAGTGGATACGGTCATACCACGCCACTTACGAGGCTGCCCGAATGCTCGCCCACCTTTTGGTTGGGGCTTGATGTTTGATGTATGAATATAAAACCAGATCATCTGCATTGTGTATCTTTTGGCTTGCCATAATTCACATTTTGGGATTTGAAGATTGTTGATCTCCGTTCACCATGAAAAGCTCGAGCTTCAGTCTTCTTGGACTGGCGTCCTTGGTCTCGGCCTACGCCGAGCAACCTTACTATGCAAATTTGACATGGGAGGCTCCTCGGACCTTGTCAAATTGGTCCAACCTTACGGTTGAAACCCAGACAGGAACTTTCATCGGAATGCTGAACGATACTTACCCCAACGTTCGGCAATTCCTCCGTGTCCCTTATGCCAAGGTTCGTAGTAATCAAAGAACATTATTCGCATAGTCACTGACCATTGCTCTGATACATAGCCTCCAATTGGGGACCTTCGCTGGATGCCGCCTCAGAAACCAGGAAAGTCCAACAAAACGATTGACTCAACTTTTTACGGACCAGGTAAGCATCCACCTAGCAATGGAAGAATAACCAATTTTAGTTTCGCTAGTTCTAACCATCATATAGCTTGCCCGCAGTATGTCCCCGACACATGGAGCTTCTGGAATGCATACGAGCCGCCTAACCTTCTCGTCAACGTCGGCGAAAAGCTTGACCAGGGCTCAACCGCCTGGTCTTCTGCTGAAGATTGCCTATCGATGGCAGTATGGACTCCTGCATATGCTAATAAAACCTCCAAGCTCCCTGTGTCCTTGTTTGTTACTGGTGGAGGTGGTATCACTGGAGCGATTCAGATTCCTTCTCAGCTACCAGCTCACTGGGTATCGCGATCTCAGGAACATATCACAATCACTATCAACTATCGAGCGAATATTTTTGGAAGTGAGATCCCCATATTCAAATTCGGCTCACGATACTGACTAACCTATTCTTTAGACCCAAAGTCGAGGGCGCTGGAGGACACGTCTCTCACTCTCCTAGATGTGAGAGCTGCGGTAGAATGGGCCTACGAACATATTGAAGCATTCGGAGGAGACAAGGATAACATCATGGTAAGACCTCTTCATTCGGGATATAAATTAATGTTCTAATATGGGTAAAGCTTTGGGGTCAATCTCAAGGTGGCATTCTCACACATTTGTATACACTTGCCTGGCCTGAGAATCCTCTTGTCGCGAAGTTTGGTGTGATTTCACAAGGTGCTTCAGCCACATTAAATCTTTCAACAGTCGACGACGTCTATCAGGATTTCGATATTGTTGCGAAGGGTCTCGGCTGCAACTATGGTGACGACGCAAAGGCTGAGCTGGAGTGCATGCGCCAGATCTCCTGGGTCCAGATTGAAGAGTATATCAATCGCTACAACTCCACCCCTGCCATCGCTTTCACGAACTACATGCGTAAGTCTTTACCATTGACTATGCTTGACTTTCCAATCACTAATCTCATTCCAGCTGACGAAAAATACATCTTCTCGGATGAAGCTGCTCGATATGCTAAAGGAAAGGTTGCACGAGGTCCAGCGATCCGATCTGACACTGCTAGAGAGTTCCCAAGCACCAATACCACCGCAGTCAATGAAGAACAGAAGACGGCAGACTGCTTAGCTCTGTCGGATTCCAAAATGCGTCAATCCATTGGCCTTGAGACTCACCGGTACTACTGGGCTGGTATGTACTGTTCTCCCCTTGAAAGGCATATTATTAACAAAACACAGGAAACTTTACCAACATCAGTCCCGTACCCTGGCTCGGTGCGTTCCACTGGACGGATCTATTTATGATTTTTGGTACCTACATGTTGGATGTCGGTAATGTCAGCCAACTTGAGGTCGACACTTCGGAGACTATGCAGGATATTTTCCTGGACTTCCTGAAAAACACTTCGACATTCAGTAAGGCTGCAAACTGGCCAGCTTTCAACGCGAGCAAACCCAACGGAGGTGATATCATGGAATTCGGAAACGGCACTACAAAGAAGATCGTTGCCGGGGACTGGATTGATGCAGGTTGCTATAACTCCTCAATTCCATTCAGAATTGATGGATGAAAGATTAAACCACAACGTACATAACTGCCACAGTGACTTGCTGCGCCACTGGATCTGCAAACCCCTAAAGATTGGCATATCCAATGAAATACAAGTTTTTAACTTCCAGAAATGTTCTTCACTGCATCTTCTCCACTTTGACCCTGTCAACCGAATCGGAGTTCGCGTTGAACAGATCAACGTGCTGACCCTGAAAGTTGAGTGGGTCTCACCAGATAACAGCTCCAACACTAATCCCGACCAAGTAATGATATCTGAAACCTCACCGTTCTTGCTCCACGCTTTCAACGCTAGTTTCAGTTGGCGACTCCATAAGGATTCTGAATGGGAAGACTTTGGTTAACTCCTATTTTTCAATTTCTTGTCCAACGGGTCTTCTTGGCCTGCAATTAATTTACAGTACTAGTCCCTGTTTCTGAAGGTTCATAGAAATGAACCCTCTAAAGGAAGAGTACAGGCTCTCATACGTTCCACTGCAGGATGAACCCCAGAATGCGACAAGGACAAAAGCGCGACCCTTATCGTCAGCCGAGCAGGTGTTTCTACAGTCTCAGGCACAGCCATTCTGGGCATCAAGCTGGACCTTGGAAATTCTGAGTTGTCTCACATCGATTGTGTTTTTCATTGCTATTATTGTGGTTCTCTGGTATTATGACGGAAGGCCAATGCCTGACTGGCCCTATGGCATTACTCTCAACGCGCTAGTATCCGTTTTAAGCACGGTTATGAAAGCTTCTATGGCTTTCATTGTGGCCGAGGGCTTGGCCCAGCTCAAATGGTCGTGGTTTCGTGGTGGGAACAAGTTGAGTGATCTACCTCTTCTTGACGCTGGAAGTCGTGGGGCTATGGGATCTCTTCTTGTTCTTTGCAGAACTATGCCTCGGTAAGATGTGGTGAATCTCATTTTTGGAACCCGAACACTTATTCTTTTTAGGCACCTCATCACGTTTGGATGTTTGGTACTGGTTATATCCACTGCTACCGATCCATTTGTTCAGCAAGTCATGTCTGTCAAAGAGCGACCGATTCATGCCCCGGGTCACTCTTCCGTACAAGTCTGCAACACCAGCACATATACGGATTATGGTGAAGGCGCCGGTCCTGGTATGAACCAGGTACCACTTGCATCACTTGGAGCCATCTACTCTGGCATCTTTCAAACATCCAGTCCGAACAGAAAAAGTATCATGATGGACTGTCCGACCGGAAACTGCACCTTTGCACCATATCAATCCCTGGGATTCTGTAGCCGTTGTGCGAACATTACAGACTCCCTGACGCTCTCGAAGTCCGCGATTATCCCCAGTGAACCTACTTACAACTACAAATTACCCAACGGACTCATGTTCTCAACTTCTATAAACGGGATGTACTTGATGAACTCAACATCATCACGAAACCTTATCAAATTAGACACGAAGGACAAAGCTTCGATTCTCAACTTTACTGCAATTAGTGCATCGGGCTACGGGGTCCCACCTCAAGTAAGCGCAACTGAATGTGCGCTTTTCTTCTGTGTCGACACATACCACGCAACCGTGCAGGGCGGCACATTCTCAGAAAACCGAACCGCCTTCTCCACCACAGCGAATACTTCTTCGGTCCTCGAAAACTTCTCCCTAACGCCAGACACATGTTATACCAATGGAACACGACTTGAAAAGCCATACAACAGCACCGACGACTGCTCATACAACGTCAACTGGCTTAGTCGCTTAGCAATGTCGAACTCGATCTCCCCACTTCTCCACGGCCACGGCTCGCTCTTTATAAGCAATAGACCAAGCTGGTCTTCCAATGTCATCCAAGCTCTGTACGGAGTCGAAGGCAATTACACGGACATTAACTCAGTCTTTCAAGCACTAGCTACTACGCTTACCATCAATGCGCGGTCCAATGTCTGTAAAGAGAAAGTCAACGGAATCCCGTGGACCACTCAGTCATTCATCCGCGTGAGCTGGAAATGGATGATTCTCCCAGGGGCCTTGGTTGTTCTAAGTATGACTTTCATGATCATTACAATCATGCATACAAGAAACCAATATATCTGGAAATCGTCGCCTCTGGCTCTTCTTTTCTCGGAGCTGTTGATTGATGAGCCACTTCCGCTACGATCGGATCCGACTCTGAAGGGCATGGAGAACACGTCGAGGAATATGGAAGTCTGGCTGGAGACAACTCCGGAGGGAGTTAGATTGAAAGCTGTGCCGACTTCGCGACGATAACTGCAACGTTACATATTATCCAAGTGTTGCACACTCATTTTATAAGTCTAACGACATCCTAGTACATAATTCATCCAACCTAAAGTATATTACAAAGGTGAATAGTGCATATCAAACCCTTGTCAAAGGAAAGAGGCAAATAAGCGAAATAGAGCCTCTAAACTCTGCATAAATATCCGGAGCCTCGAGGCTTACAAATGGAAAAAAAAAAAACCGTGAAGCGGAATTCCGCACGCTAAGAATGAATAGTGGGTCTCGTTGGCCAATCAAATCGTGCTCCGTCCGACTCTAAGCTCAAATCGCCTCTTACGCTTACATATATTCGACGCCTCCTCGCTCTGAATTAAGGGATTTTGAACTACTTTGCCTACGAACTTGAGCTTAATAATCACTACTCCGTTCATCGCCATGGCTCAAACACTTACCCAGATCCGTAACTGGAATGCGACCTTGAAGACTGCCCGCCCTAATATGGTGGCGCTCTTCGTTGGAGGTACTGGCGGTATCGGAAGAAGCACCGCCGTTAAGCTGGCTGCTGCTGTCGCTACCCCAACCATTTACATTGTTGGTCGCAATGAGAAGGAAGGTGCTGAGGTTATGCAGGAGTTGAAGTCCGCCAACAACAATGGCACTTACTCTTTCCTCTCTGCGGATGCATCCCACCTACGCGAAGTAGATGCCGTGTGCCAGAAGCTCAAGCCGGAGTTGTCATCTCTGGATCTCCTTTTTATGACTATTGGAGGACTTTCATTCAGCAAAATTGGTAAGCAAAGCTTCTTCCATAAGTGAAAACTATAAAAATGACCCAAATCTAATTTATACAGAGGGTGATAACAACATCGATGTCAATCACATTCTCCGCTACTACAGCCGTATGCGATTCATCCAAAATCTTACTCCCGCCCTCGAGGCATCTAAATCCCCACGCGTTGTTAGCATCCTCGGTGGTGGCAAGGAGATCAAGATTGAGGAGGACAACCTCGACCTTAAGAAGAGCTGGTCTTTCACTGGAGGTGCTGGCTACGCCTCAAGTATGGTTTCAGTTGCACACGAGAAACTTGCATCGGAGAACCCTTCCATCAGCTTCATCCACGGCTTCCCAGGTGTTGTGTCGACACCACTGTTCAAGAAGTTCTTGGGACCTATTTTCGGTTCGATCGTGGGATTCCTGAGCACACCCCTGTCCATGTCTGCTTCTGAGAGTGGAGAGTGGCACATATACCTCTCTACTGCTGAGCAGTTCAAGTCTAAGGATGCTTCCGGTAACGGCTCTTATATTCTAAACTACGATGGAAAGGATCTTACCAACGAGGCGATCATGACTGAGCTTCGGGAGAAGGATTTCCCGACCATTGTTTGGAAGCACACCCTGGATACTTTTGAGAAGCTTGCTTAGTGATGATATCTATGTATTTTCTATGCGATCCTGTATGGCGCGAGTTGGAGTTGGTCTTTTAGTTGACTTCAGTTAAGGATGTGTTATTCAACGAGAAATACAAGGGAAACTGAGGCTAAACAGTATGATTGTCGCTTATTGCTGTATCTAAATCATCCTTGTGGGTCCCATGGCTCATCCTCATTCTGCCATTAAGTACGCTAATATTGACTGAAGTCAAGATCAACGGGATTAGGGTCACTCAATAACTTAAAACATCTAGTCTGAAGAGACCGTCAGCTGTCCGATATAGGTGATCATATTGAACTGTCGATCCAAAAAATGCTAGATATAAAGCAGATATCAACTCATCCGGGTATCAAATTCCGGGATCTATAGGACTTCTGGGTACTTGACAGGTAGGTACCTTGTGCATGGCCTCATCAACATCGCCCAGAATCTCAACCAAAATTTTCTTCTCCATATAACACACCACTGACTGAGAAATTAAATAACCGGAATTCATATGCATACTATTTTCTAGATATCATTTCAAAGCACCTGACGTGGAGCCCTTGACAGTAGACCCTGCCGAGTGTTTACCCGGTCATTGACACCGTCCAGCTCAGGTTCCTCTAGATAGCTTGCTCCCCTGTGCACGTCGCACGTGTTAAAGTCGAGCTGCATTTGTACAGTCTTCAAGTCCCACTATTCTAGTAGAATACTTTCCAAGGGCGCACGTTTATCCATAACTCCTTGATTTAGCATGTCTCTATACCCCACGAGAGGCCATAGGGACCCTGGCTTACAGTGGGGCCCCGCTGGATATTAATTAGAAAAACAATAACAATAACAATTAGGCTTTGGAGTATTTGGAAAGACCCTTATCTGCTCAGGTGCGCCGTTGTGGCTGCTTTCGAGAGGGTCTGCTTCTAAGCGATGTGATCGACACTGTCAAACCCTTATTGAGATGCTATTCGTGAGTACAGTACTTTATATTAGGTTTCAATAAACATTTCCAGCGGCCCAAGCTCAATGGCTGAATTTATACTCGCATTCTAGAAGGAATGAGTATCGTCGAAACAATTACTAGAGGAATTTTTGAAAATGGCTTTCCGATTTAATGCTTACCCCTCGAACTCTACACAAATCCACCAATGATGGCACAGTCCCTGTATGCTGACGTGTCCACATGCAAAGTGGCGTCCTCGTCAAGACTTAGTTCGTGTGGGGCGCCATCATAACATTAAGGCACATCGTCAATAACAGCCCATCAACCCCGAAGCCCTACCAAACAACGCACGTGTGCCAATCCTGCGTCATAGAAATAGTATGACGACAAATTAGCGAGCATCAACCCACGTCCCCAGTTCCAAGTTAGGTCTGCATGAATTAGCCGATTAGAGATCACCCCACAGCAAGATGCCCGGGCGTCCGTCGGCGCCATCCCGCGCCGAGTCCTTCACGGCTGCATCTAGTGTTCAGGGTGCATATTGTGCAGAAATATATAACCGCTTCTAATTCATTCGATTACAGGACGATGCGGTGGATTTGACGACTTACCCGCTTTCATCTTATCCAGCGTATCAGATCTCTTTCTTCATATGTGTGTTGGTTATCTGCACCCGATTGGCGTTCCTGGTTCAGTTGCATTGCATGAAGCACGAAATACTTAGCTTCAGTCCTGGGGTGATCTCAGTGCTCGTTTACGTATAAGTAGCCATCTTTGACCCAAGTTAGAACAACAGACAAGTCAATTGAATCCATTGATCGCATTCCAAACACTATGTCTTCTTACACCCCGCGAGGCTTGTTGGCCTTGGCCGCTATGGATCTTCTTATGGGAGCCCAAGCTGGTCTCGTTACCTGTGACAGCAGCACTGAAGTTCTGAGCTGCCACAACACGACTGCTGTCTCTGATATGTGCTGCTTCAACTACCCTGGTGGTTCCTTGCTCCAGGTTCAATTCTGGGATACTGACCCCTCTGTCGGTCCCACTGACTCGTGGACTATTCACGGTCTCTGGTATGCTCTCCTATGCTTCTGATATTAGTACTCTCAGCATATTTGATCTGGTTTCTGACATGTCCAAGGCCCGACTACTGTGATGGTGACTACGGTGAGGACTGTGACACCTCCCGCGAAGCCTCCGATATCGAGACCATCCTCGAGGACCAGGATCGTACCGAGCTACTCGAGTACATGAACACATACTGGCTCAGCGACGACGAGTCCGCGAATGAGTTCTGGGCCCATGAGTGGAACACGCACGGAACTTGCATTAACACCATTGAGCCGAGCTGCTACACCGATTACACTGATAACGAGGAAATTGGTGACTTCTTCCAGCAGGTTGTTGATCTGTTCAAGACTCTGGATACGTACACGGTAATTATTCTCTTGTCCCTCTCCTTGCACATTCAGTGTCTAGTATTTGTTTGATTACTCATAATTAATCACAGGCTCTGTCCGATGCTGGAATTACTCCTACCGAAGATGCGACCTACACTCTTGCTGAGATTCAGGATGCCCTTGGTGATATCCACGGTGGATACGAAGTTACTCTGCTGTGTGACGATGATTACCTTTACGAGGTGTACTATTACTTCAATGTTTATGGTAGTGCTGTCAACGGTACCTACGAGCCTTCTACCCCTCGTAAGTTGATCTGTTCTTTCGCATATACGCATTGATGCTAATTTTTTCCTTAGTCGAGGACTCTGACTGCCCTACCAAGGGTATTAAGTATGTTCCCAAGAGCAGCAGCTCTAAGAAGGTCAAGAGGGCTGGAACTAGCCACCGTGGCCGTGGACGCAAGGCTTAGATTCGAACCATACTATGTGTCTTGTGTTGTGATGAGTTTGAGAGGAGGAATATAAAAGGGGGCAGTGTCGGGCTGTGAAGTTTTATTGCAGTTGATTTGTCGCTTCAATCCAATTCTATACACTCGTTTGAAATTCATGCGCATGAATTAAGTTTACGGAAGATACTTTTGAGTTTTTTGACAGCATTTGCTGGGAATGTGGTTCTGGTAGTGATCGGCCCGTATGAAAGTTCAAGCCGCAACCTTATCATGGAAGTAAATTTTGAGGTCGAGTTCTACACAATCCGTGGGATTTACGAATGAAATACATATGTTCTTATATAGGAGAGATCATGGAGTAAAAAGAGAAATTTCTTTGCATTAGAGCAATTACCAGTCTAAACGGACGCCAATATCGAGATAATGCCGAAGTCAAAAGTTCAAATAAATTCTAAGAAGTACATCTGTAAACGAAGGTAAGAATCGAATACCCCATAAATACCCAGGTAATCATTACCCAAAAGACTCCGGCAAACATCTAGTTACTAATATGTGACCTAGTCCTTCACTCCAAACGCCTAATTAGAGGCACTTAGACAGCGATCGCGAGAGCGAGGGCAGCGACGACGGCACCGAAGATGGAGCCAGCGGGGCGGGTGGCAGCACCAGTGTAGGCAGTGGAGGAAGCAGAGGCAGAGCTGGAGGAGCTGGAGCCAGAGCTGGAGCCAGAGACGCCAGAGCTGGAGCTGGAACCGGAAGAGCTGGAGCCGGAGCCGGAGGAGCTGGAGCCAGACACGGAGGAGCTGGAGCCGGAAGCGGAGGCCAGGGGAACGGAGGCAGTCATGGAGCGGAAACCGGAAGCGGCAGCAGTGCCGTTACCCTTGCGGCCGGCAGAGAAGCCAGAGACCTTGGCGCCAGAGCTGGAGCCAGTGGAGGAGCCGGTGGAGGACTTGCCAGAGGTCTTGCCGGTGGCGGAGGCGGTGGCGGAGGTGCTAGTGCTGGTGGTGGTGGAGTTGGGGCAGGTGAGGTCGAACAGGGGGGTGGTGCTCAGGGTCTCGCCGACAATACCGAAGGAGGGGCTGGCACCGTAATCCTGCTGGATGTACCACCAGGTGTTGGTGGTACCGAAGAGAGAGCAACCGACAGTGTCCCAGTACTTCTTGGCGTTGGCGACGGAAGGAACACCCTCGTTCTCAGAGTCACCGCTAACGGGCCAACCAGTCTCAGTCACCCAGATCTCCTTACCATCAGCGACGGCCTTGGTCTTGGCGACAGCCTCATCGAAGAGGGCCTGGGCGTTGTCGATGTCGTTCTCATCGGTGGTCTGGTAGTAGGGGTAGGTGTCGAAGCCGAGCCAGTCAATCTCGCTGATGACAGCAGAGTTGGAGGTGTTGGTCCAGGCGTCCCAGGTGTCGACGTGACCGATGGTGGCGCTGCTCAGGGTGGTGCCGGAGATAGCGCTCTTGACGGACTCGATGCACTTGATCAGGTCATCGGGGTTCATGCCGACGCCAGCATCGGACTCAACACCAGTGACGGAGTTACGGTACAGATCCTCAGAACCGACGGAGATACCGACAACCAGCTTGGTGAAGGAGGTACCGTAGGTGCTGATGGCAGATGTCAGAGCAGCGATCTCGTTGTCGATGTTACCACCGGAGGTCCAGAGACCGAGCAGCAGGGAAGTCTCCTCCTCAATGGCGGCCTCGATAGCCTCAATGGGAGTGTTTGTGGTGCCACCCTGAATCATAGTGTACAGACGGGCGCTGGTGAAGCCGGAAGTGCCAACCAGGTTCTTGGCGTTCTTGAACTGGGAAACGAAGTCGGCCTTGTAGCGGGTGCTACCATCCTCGTTGGTAGAGCCATAGTTGAAACCCTTGTAGGCGGCCTCAGCGGAGGCAATGGACAGGGCCAAAGCGAGAATCTGCTTCATCTGCATGATGAAAGTGAAAATATAAAGAATGTGTAGCAAGTTTATTTGCAAAGAATGACTGTGTATGTGAAAAAAAGAGTGTCACAAGGAAAAAGAAAGTTGATTTTTGAAGAAAGAGAGATGAAAGGAAAGAGAGAAAAGGGAATGAATATGTATCTGGGGAAATGAAAAAAAAGGTAGGGCATCGCATCCGGTCTAGACAACGCCACTGTGTAGTCGAATGGAACCTGAAGTGGGGCGCGACACGTTTGCTTGTCTCTTGTCCCTTCCTGCTTATTGGTCTAGTAGTTTCCAAAAATACTCGACATCCAATGATCGCCTGGAAGGTGGGTTTGTGCCCTGGCAGACGGAGAACGGATTCCTATTGTGTCATTTGTTGGCCCCGGATATATTCTTTCGCTGCTGGTTGGCATATCCATTAAAGTTTGCATTCGTCCACAAAATCTGACTCGTAGAACAAAGTCCCTGTAACCCTCGATCCACCTGAACTCCCCTATGCATCCATGGATGAGGGTGTTCGAATTTTTTGCCAGAAGCCAACTCCTGTTTGGCTCCCGGAAGCCTCGGCACACGGGACTGCCCGAGTTTCTAAGACACTTTTAAGTGAAGCAATTGCAAGTCAATTTATGTATTATTACTGACTCCGTAATGATCAGCCACATGTTTCAAATACCTCTAGAAGATGAGCGAAGCCACACATGCAACGAATCACAATGTGATTTGGCTTTGTGATCGGGATCATCCTGCGCGCTATTCCCGTTTGGGTCCATCGGTACCTGTAAATCCTGCCTTACATCACAGGCATCAGTTACCGGTTGTGGCGGTGAATTTCCGATTCTGCCGCTCATAGCAATGATGTGCATTCTAGACTCCATCGGCCTATTGCGTCTTGATCTCTTACGGTCTAGCCTATTCTTCCCTCCTTTTATGATCCGCGTTCATCTTAATATTGGATCGAATCTGTCAAAATCTCTAGTCTGTGCTATTATTGTGAACTCCGTTCCCAAATTAGATACCCCAAATCCCTAATGGATCCGCCCCAGAACTCCCTCTAGTGCCCTGCAGTTTCTTAACCCGTCGAACAAGGGTCCCGACGCAAACGGGTCCAATGCATGTACAAATCGTGATCGCCCAGATGATTACCAAATATGTCTCCGATGAATCCGTCGCTTCTGTTCCTGCAGAGAAGATCCCTTGGCTTTGCGCAAGTGACGCAATCAGGTATCCAACTTCCCCTCGAGCGACCATGACTAGACCTAGTATAGATGCCGGATACAAGGCCTTGGATTTAGGGGGTAGCCTGACTGTCGTCGCTGATTCAGTAGTCTGGGTGGGTACCTGATACCCCTGGTTAAGGGTACTATCGAATAAAGCTGCGTTTTCGCCCCTATTGTGGATTATTGGGCTATGCCTCGGGCTCGGGCTCGGGCCCGGCCTTGTGGATTTTGCTAGATTGACCTCCTTAGACCTCTCTCCTGGATGGCCTTTATTTTTAGGGCAGCTTGGTCGAGCAAAAATGTAACGAACATAAGAAAGTGGCTTTCTAATCGTTTTCACCATATCAGAAACGGCACTCGAGGAGAAGCGCACCAGCCATAACCCTGTTAGCATCTTTCCAAATGCCATCAGTAAAGCATAGATGATACCCCGCCATACTATACTTCCTTGGAACATCTCTGTGATGGGAATTGCGAATCCAATTGAAGCCTATCTATCATATTAGTATGTTTCAAGTATAGAGAGCATGAAGACTGACAAAGAACAGCGGGATCATGATCCGACCCACAGGCTCCTTATAATACTGTTCATACACCTTCGTCCCTGTTGGCCTCTCCTTATCCTGCGAGTTCTGTGAATGCCTCGCTTCTGACTGCAATCCATCAGAGACAGGCGTCTCCTTCGACTCCACGACCAACACATCAAACCAGGAGACAATCACACCCGCCAGATAGGCAGCAAAGAGACTCGAAGTGCCTGCATAAGAAGCCCCTGCAACAATTCCGACCAAAGATACCGTCTGCACAAGGAACGCAAATTGCATCGTTGCCACGAAATCCAGCGCCCTATGCTTTGCCACGAGGGCCCTTTTTAATAATGGTCCAAGGCAGAAATTGCACCCAAGAAGGATACCAAGTGCAAATCCAAGAGACACGAAGACTGGTCGAATGACCGTTGTTGGATTGAAAGATGCGTCTGTTACCCCAAGACTGGAAATCGCCTGTATCATGACGAGGCCTATAACATCATCTAGCATTGCGGCAGTAGTTGTGACAGTTCCCAGATGCGTAGCAATCAGTTCTGTGCTAGATAGAGTAATGAAGGTCGTTCCTAAACTCGTTGAACTGAGAGCCGCACCAGCGGCAAATGCTTGGACAGAGCTTGCGGAGACCAATTCTTTGAGAATGAAGGACAAGCCAATCGGAGCACCGATCCCCGTGAGTGCAACACATATGGAGAGAAAAAGATTGGCCTTGACGGACTTCATTGATGTCGATAGGCCACCTGCTATTACGAGAAAGAGTCTGAACATGCATGGAGCTGAAACCTACTCTCATATACCAACATTATCAGGCCTAAGTAGCCCAATTTCTGATTAACTGCCTCTGCCTCGTGGTCGAACCATTTTGCACCAGGCGTGCCCCAAAGGATCCCAATTAATAGCTGGCCAATCAGGCCACAGGAAATGAGCTTGTCTAGGGCGACAATCATCAGGTTGAGAGCTAGTAGGAATGCCGTCCAGCTGAGTAAAGTGGTGATTGACGACTCGGTATACGCGAACGCTGCGTCTGTGCTCCCAGCCATCTGGATGTTCGTGGCGCAATTTGCGCGAATTTTATTTTGGTAGCATGAAATAAATCCTGGGAAAATAGCGAGCGTTTTGACAGGGAAATACCCCGAGTTTGGGGTTTGTTTAGAATGTACTCGGTACATGATTTATGCGATCGAATGAATCTGAAGTATGCTGACTAAGATCTCAGATGGCTCGTGAAGGCAGATGTTTACAACCTTCTAGTGGAAGATGACGATGTTGTGTTCAAAATGATGTTCGTAGGGTATGTACAAGACTATAAAACAGATTTGATCCGATGATCGCAAAACTAATGCTCCGAAACAAAGATACCGGCCATACCCATACCCTATTGAAACTGTCAGTATATATCGATGAAATATGTTGAAGAGCAGACTTACAGTTCCCACACACATCGAAGTCACAGCGATGCGCTTGTCTTGGCGACGCAGCTCCGACAGCGCTGTAACAACCTGGCGGGCACCTGTCGCGCCGAGAGGGTGACCAAAGGCACTAGAAATTGTTAGATATACTCAACTTGGAGAGTATGCAAATCACTTACATAGCACCACCACGCGGGTTGACCTTGGCCTCATCGAGACCCAACTTGCCAACACAGTAGACACCCTAGCAAAGATATTAGTATGAATTCAGATCAAATAGAAGATTTTTAAACTCACCATAGAAGCAAAGGCCTCGTTGATCTCGAAGATATCAACATCATCCTTAGACAAGTTGAATTTGCCCAGAATCTTAGGAATAGCAAGAGATGGCCCAATACCCATAATTCTAGGCTCAAGTCCAGTAACAGTAGCACCACAGAACTTAGCAACAATAGGCTGGCCAAGCTCCAGAGCGCGGGACCGCTTCATCAAAACCAAAGCAGCAGCACCATCAGTGATCTGACTAGCATTACCACCTGTAGTAGCGCTAGGAGTCCACTGGGGGAACGCAGAGCGAATCTTGCCCAGTCCCTCAGCAGTAGTACCGTACCGAATGCCATCATCCCGGTCAACAATAACATCCTTCACCTCGCCAGTCTTGGGGTCCTTGATCTGAGTCTTGACAGGCACGATCTCATCCTCAAACCAGCCAGCCTTCTGCGCACGCTCGGCTTTCTGGTAACTAGCCGCAGCGAACTTATCGTGCTGCTCGCGCGAGATGTTGAATTGCGCCGCGACGTTCTCGGATGTCTGGCCCATGGGCTGGGAGTTCTGGGATGCGATGGGGTGCTTGGTGATAAGCTCGGTCATCTCGGGGGCACCGCCGTCGGCGTTTGTGCTCATGCTCTCGGCTCCGACAGCAATTCCGACATCGATTGAGCCGGCGATGATCTGGTTGGCAATGTTTTGGATGGAGAGGAGACCGGAGGAACAGAAACGGTTGCAGACTGAGGCGGCTGTTGTGACAGGGAATCCGGCGGCCAGGACGGCGGAGCGCGCGACATAGGCGGCGCCTGGGGCGAGGCAGTTACCGACGCTGACATCTTCGACGAGGTTGGGGTCGATCTTGGAGTTTTCGCGAACGGTCTATGTGTGTTAATTGAATTTCTTTTATTTATTATGTCGGGGCACTCACGGTGAGCAACGAGACAAGGAGGGTGTCGATGCTGGTGTCCTTCAAGCCACCTTTGCGGGCCTTGGTGAGCGGTGTACGCGCAAGGTAAGTGATGACCTGGTAAGAAAAGGGTGCGGTTAGTTGCCTGTTTGTATATGAATGTACGACCTGCACTTACGACATCGTCGGGGTTCTTTGCGAGAAGGCGCTGCTTGGCCGAAGGCAGAGCCAATTGGTTGCCGACCGAGGATAAACGCTGCTGGGGGGACGACATTTTGGGATATAGATGTTTTGGAGAAATAACGTAGGAAAGGACAGCTACATTGGACGGGTCGGCCTTTTTTATTTAGTATCCGGGGTTACAGAACGTGGGGCAAGATTTGGACCGCGGCTCCTTGAGCACCGGCATCTCGGCATCGGAGGCCGTGCTTGCTTTGCAACCGAAGGAAATGCCGTTGCGATTACGGAGACGGGTGTATGATACGTGTATTTGGGAGTCCTCGGCTGATTATGGGGGCTCTCATTGGTGTCATGGCGTATATTACAAGGCGGCCGGCTTACGTATGTCATAATATTGTTTCAATAGCTGTATAACGTAGATTACGCTGGTGAAGCCGATGTCGGGTATCTTGTAGAAAACACTAAACTTGTGTATAAGAGACATCTTATAGCGACCATTGAAGTATCATGTGGTATATTCTAACTGAAAAGTCGTAATGGTATCCGGTCAAGCTAATACCGGGGTAAACCGCGCCAAGATCGGGGTATAATATTTAGGTGACAAGTTGAGTTTGCCGTACCAATCCACCCTTGCTAGCCCCGTCACGAACGGCAGATCATATCTAGCCAGCTTCCGTCTTGAGCTCACCATTGTGGGGGGGTGGGTCTCTTTTATAACTTCCCAACGATTTCCCCAGACTTCACATTTGCAACAATCGTGCGAAGCGTGTCTAGAATCATTGTCCCAGCTGCTCCGAGATTTACTCGGCGATTGAACCTCATTTGCACCGACTGGAAACATCTGCGCTCCCTTGGACGCAATGAATCTGTTCGCTGAAGCGAGTGTGCCCGCCGTGGCAATGGCGTCGGCTCTGTCCGTCGCTGCCGGGGCATACCTTAATGCGAAGTTCTCAATCTCCACAGACCTGTCTGCCCATTTCAATGACAAGGCATTTGGCAAGCGACTTGGCGAGCGCATTGGCCAGCTAGGCGAATCTCCCACTATTTACAAGCTGCTCGAGCGGGTAGTTGAGGTCGAGGGTCAGGGAGGGGCAGATGCTCTCTGGTTTGAGCATAAAACCTGGTCGTACACACAATTGAAAGACTGTGCGTATCCTCCATCTGCTTCAAAACGCAGTCGACGGCTGACTTTTCTCTTGTTTAGTGGTTGACAAATTTGCTGCTGTGTTGCACGAGCGGGAGATTAAGGCTGGTGATTTCATTGGTGTGTTCACTACCAATTCCCCGGAAATGGTGGTGACACTGTATGCGCTGTCAAAGTTGGGCGCCGTGGCCGCCATGATCAACACCAATTTGCGGGGTAAGTCACCTGTCTCGATGCGCAAGGATACTTGCTAATAAATTCAGATGACACTTTTATTCACTGTCTCAATGTTTCTGGCTCTAAGTGCATTATCTCAACACCCGATTTGGCCCAACATGTTTGCGTTGATCTACCACACGTATCATTCGGTCTTACATCCTTCGAGGGCATCTCCACTGGCCCAGTGGAACTCATCACAGCATCAGACCTGCAAGGATACTCTACAACAGGCTTGAAGCCAGCCAAGCGCACACTTAAGGACTTGACAGCTCTTATCTACACCTCGGGCACAACAGGAAAGCCTAAGGCCTGCGCAGTGCGAAACATGCTCGCAGTAGTCACATCTAACCCTCTTTCGAGCGACGCCAATAACAAATCCAAGTACTATCCCCTACGCACATATTCATCTTTGCCCCTTTTCCACGGCACAGCATTCTTCACTGGATTGTGCTACTCGGTCGGAAACTGCGGCACACTCTGTCTCCGCCGGAAATTTTCGGCCTCACAGTTCTGGAAAGATGTCCACGACTCCGGTGCCACGCGTATCCTGTACATTGGTGAACTCTGTCGCTACCTTCTTTCTACACCTCCGTCGCCATATGATGCCAAGCACAACTGTATCGTTGCTTCAGGCAACGGACTCCGTGCCGAGATCTGGGAAAAGTTCAAGTCACGATTCAATGTGCCTGAAATTCGCGAGTTCTACCGTTCCACGGAGGGAGTTGCTAAATTCGATAATCATGGCGAGGGTGTCTGGGGTGCCGGGAAAGTGGGCTTTTCTGGCCCCATCCGTCGGTCTTTGGAGGATGATAACTTCATTGTGAAGTATGATACCGATACTGAGATGCCGTGGCGGGACCCTAAGACTGGATTCTGTGTTCGTGCCAGCCTGGGTGAGGAAGGTGAGGCGATTGGACGTGTGCGTGATCGCGGCCTGTTGATTGAGTATCTGGGTAATGAGGAGGCTACCGAGGGTAAATTGCTGCGCGATGTATTCCAGAAGGGCGATTTGTTCCAGCGCACAGGTGATCTTGTTGTTCAGGACTGGTCTGGGTGGGTCAGATTTCAGGATCGTGTTGGTGATACCTTCCGCTGGAAGGGCGAGAATGTTAGTGCGGGTGAGATTCGTGATCACATCTGTCGTATTGAAGGCGTTCATGATGCCGTGGTTTATGGTGTGAAACTTTCCGGGTATGTTTGATCAATGACGCTATTGAACGAAGTATCACTAATACCCTCCAGATACGATGGCCAGGCTGGTGCTGCTGGAATCACCTTGGAAGATCAATCTGCTGCCTTCCAGGATATCTTTGCTGCCAAACTTTACCCTGAGTTAAAGAAGAAGGGTGTCCCATCATACGCCTTCCCCCGACTTGTCCGTTTGATTGAGAAGTAAGTTCTTTTTTTTTCTTAAATATGCAAACGCAAAAACTGACGTGGAGATCAGGGTCGCGACAGGTGTCACTTTCAAGCAGGCCAAGGGTGATCTAGCCAAGAAGGGCTGGGATCCCCGCAAAGACTCAACAGACAGCCTCTACTGGTTGAATGGAACCAAGTATGAGAGACTCAATGAGTCAGGTTGGTCTGAGATTGAGACAGGCAGGGCTAAGCTGTGAGCGCTTGGTTTGTTCAATTAAGATACCATGATGCGAGTATATAGATAAATAGAGCATGTATATTTTGTTACCAGAATTTATAGTCTGTGCCCAAGGTACTGAGGTCATGGCATTTGTTTTCCTTCTCAAGTGATGCGGTATTTCAAGGACATCCTCAATCTTTGTCAAAAGTTTGTGGAAGGAAGAATGGCGTCAACTTTTGTGAACGCGGGGCGCGAGGCTGAGCGGGGAAGTTATCAAGCCCCGATTTGGAGAGTAGAAATAAATGAAACCCTCGTCAAGATCAGACGCCTGCTTGACTTCAGTAGGAACATATGTTTGGAGCCGACAGTGCTCTAAGCCGGATATGCGAAAATTTCGCTGATTCTATTTGCTTTAAATTTGAGCTCTGGTGATCTCGAATGCATCTTTTTCGCTGGCTCGATCAGCAACTTCACATCTGTGATAGGGCTCAATGAGCAGAATTGCGATTCCATGCCCTCTGGGGAAGCATTGCCCACAAAGTCCCTTTGTGGTTGTTCAAGGTGTGTAGCGAACCGAGCTGCTTCGATCACTTTATCAAGCATCACCGCGCCTAAATCTGGTTTGCGGTGGCTCTCAAGTCTCGCATGATATAGTCTGCATTTTCATCATCGCGGCAAGCCAATGATCGTTTTGACCTTGTTTTCGAACGGATCACGGACTTCTAGGTGTGCGATTCCGCAAATTTCGGGTACTGTCGCCATCCGAACACGCTCTTCCGCAATGGGTCCTGAGTCACCAGTCCACGTCCTAGCTTCGAATGAAGTGAATCTAGATAGAATCTAATCTTCAAAATTCCCTAACCCACTTTCCAGCCATGGCAACCACGAAGATACCTCACCATTCAATTCCCGGGACAAAGAACACTAACACAAACACCAGGCAACACAGACAAACGATAGAAACCATGATTGATTACTTTCACATATCTCTGCTGGTTGCTGTCATGTGTGTGAGGGCAAATCCGAAACAGGTTCCCATCGATTGATTCTTTGGCCTTTCTGATGTGGCTGTTGTGTTTTCATCAAGCCGTTCTGTAACTTGTCGACCTGGGCAGGTATCTACAGCACGCCATCAAAAGTCTCAGATTGAGTAACATAGTTGCCATATATTGTGCCTTTGCATCTTGATCAGGTAGTAGAATCAACAAACATGACCAATAGAACAATTTTGCAAGTGTTGCTCAAATTTGCGGTTTCAATGAAGTCGTACGCGGGTGAGTTGTTGCATTGAGAAAGTTATCTGTGGCTTCTTTTTCTCCAATTAGAAACCTTGTTTGATTCCAGGCCGTTCTCGTCAGCAGGGAGGGCAGCATTGGGAGTCCTGGCCGATTCATTGGCGTATAATGGCGCATAAGGTCTCCTGTTTCGCCGAGCTCATTCTGAATACAACGCGTCAATACACGAACCAGTCTTTTGCCATAGCGTCATCCTCAAGCCCCTGTGTCAATCATGGTCATTCTGTTAAAGTCCCAGGAGAGGCGGAATATCTGACTTTTTCGGCCATGAAGCCTAATCCATTCCGAAATGTGGTCTGCATGGTGCCTTGAGAGCTGTCTTCAAAAACCCTCGAGGGAGCCTTGCTGGTCATCGTAATATTCTTCTTTATGTCTTGATGTGATACACCAAGTCATTATTTGAATCCTGCCTCTTGAAAACAAAGTTCTGGCACTTGAAGTGGGCCCCAACTCGTCCTGTCGCTTCAAGCGCTTTGGTGCGAATCGCGCGTTGCTTTAGGACTGCAAATTCCCGGAGGTACACCGAGTCGTAGCCTGGTGTCTCCATTCCTTCTTTTTGTTCTTATGAGCCCTTGTCTCGGCCCTGGCCATACTTCTTCTGAGCGTAATTGAGCATCATCGCATCAGAAGGCAATACGGCAAACATCTCAATAGTCCAATAACCCAAGATCTGTTGCGGTCAGATAACTGAGATTCTTGGATCGAAGGAGGGATATGATAGGCCCTGACTTTCGCGTGCTGTTGGACACTTGTCCACACGGTCTTCTTGTAATATCCTGTCAATCATTGCCTTTCTTTGATCCCCTGTGTTCACTGCTTTTTTTCAGGCTTTTTTTTCACGCCCTTTGATGGCTTAAAAGAAAATAAAAACCGAGGCCTGGGTCTGAAACTTTGGATTTGAACGCCTAGCTTCCTCTTTCGTGGCAGGACGAGGAACAGTGGTCCAAATGGAGAAAAAGCGGACACAGACAGAACCGGACCCGTGGAAGTAGGCTTTTGTGTTGTTTCGAAACCAAAATCATCCGATCCATTTGAATTCGATTCTAGGTCCAAGTTTTGACGCTCTTGTTTCAATGTTGTCTTTGGAGGGCAAACAGGTTCCCCTCGGACATACTTTCGGATATTCTGACTTCTCCTCGCCGAAGAGCAAACTGGCACTCCACTTCATGCCCTGCGCGTCTTGAATATGATCTGACCGATATTGAAAACTTTTCCTTATTCTCGTTGTAATAGGTGCTGTGGACCTTCAGCTTCAAGGCCCAGCTAGCTGGTTTGGCCTCAAGATTCTCTCGGCCAGTGCACCATGCAACAGTCTGGTATTCCGTCCACATGAGCATTTTGTCGGTCATTGTAGCCAGCATGATCTGTCTTCATCTTCGATATTCCTCCTGAGCCTGGTTCCTGTAGAGAAAAGTCAGTCTCGATGTATCATGTTTGATAGGGTTCCACTGTGACTCACCCATGATCAAGAGAAAGCACCCTCCGCCTTTCCCTTACCTCCGGAGATCATTTTAATATCAAGGGTGGGTGGATGGTAGTAGAAGAGAAGAAGAGAAGGAGAGACAAAAGCAAGAGATTCTTTTTATAGTCGACAATCCTGCTGCCTGAAAAGAAGCTTGCACGCGGAATAACCTCATGTTTCTTGCGTGTGTCTCCACTCGAGCTTTCACTTGTGCAGTCCTCTGGCTTGGTAAATATAGGAGCCTAAGACTGCAAACAGATCAACTCAATGATTGATATTCCATCTTTGGAAACAGCCCTGCAGCCTCAATATTTACAAGATACAATAATCTCCTGGTTTATATTATTGATCGTTACTAGTCAGAAAGTGAAGGCAAGGTAAGCTATCAAAGTAGATCTGCTAGTCACGAGACGAGAATTGGGACTCCAAGTTTGCCCTCGCACAACAAGCCCGCACAAACAGAGTGAGAGCATCATGACGAATCTTCTCATCCGTGCATTTCCGAATCACAAACTGCAATATCGCCGCGAATTCCATCGAGAACATGAACATCCGTGCCCCAGACTCAGCCTCAGTGACAAGCCCAACTATACGTGCAAAGTGATTTTCACGACCACCATGTGCTGCATCCGATCTCAACCCATCATTGGCCCAGATCTTGCATACAAGCCATCTTGCCTCAAATAAACGATTTCCACCCTTCCCCAACCGCCCACCCCGACGCTCAAGGTAGCATAACCTCGCAAACCACGCGTCAAGATCTTCATTCAATTGAAGCCGTATCCCATCTCTCGGCTATCCCTTGACCAGCCTCGCAAAGCCCAGCCCCACACATTGTCCCGTAAGCAATCTCAAGACCTCCCTCGCCTCCTCAACCGTTCCAAAGTCCCCAACACCAACAACAAACCTACCTAACCTCAGCCTCGGAAACACACCAAAAATCCGAAAAAAGAAGAACAAAGAAGTTCAAATACCCAAAAACCTTCTCTAACGCCGCTCTAGGCGTATAAAAACCCATAATTCGTCTCGAATGCGCAAAATGAATCATCACCGCACGCGGATCACCCCTCCAAAGCTCAATGATAATTACAAAAATACTAGCCGTAATGAAGATATCAAGATCAAGGTTGCTCCTAGCCCTAATCATTCCCGTAATAGCTTGGTGATAGTGGCTAAATGCAAATCTCAAATCAGGAACCGTAGGGCAAGGTTTACGTCAACGGAATGTTCGAAGAATGAACTTGTAGCCATAGTCGCATGTCTAGCTATAGGCTCGTGTTTTGTCATTTGGGGTACTATAGTTGACCAAAATGACGATGGACCTGCCAGCATTGGGACGACGTATTCACAGAAGATTCGAGGGCTCGGATCTCTGTTGCGCTTGCCCATGGTATTCCTAGGGGATTCTCTGGGTTGGGGTGCTTTACTTGCATGTTTTGCAGCCTGTGTGGACTCATTCGAGGCCTTTACGGGGCATTGCGGGTTCGAATTTTGGCTGTGATATTTTCGGTCATTTTAGGGTTTGACTCTGGGCTTTTGAATCCTTGAAGGGATATTAGTGCGGGGTTCAAGTATCAGGCTGGCGTTTTGAGAAGGAATCTTGATGGCTGAAGGAGTCAAGTTCACGTCGAGTGGGAGGCTATTCAACTGGTCGGGCACAAGACCCACAGTAAGCCTACTAGGATGCTACAAAATCGGGGTCATAGTGTGAAGTAAAAATCCGAAGTAGAAATGTGAAGTAAAAACAATCAATGATCTCTCGTAAGAGTATTTATACAATCAAAATGCAACTGACAGTCGACTTGATAAACAAAAGTCATGCAACAATGTCCGCTACGCAATATCTACAGCGCATGTTCCCCAAAATTAAATACACAGACGCTCGGAGCAGATCGCATTGATCAAATCGTTCTACGATTGCCCTGATCATCTTATTCGAATGAAAGCACCTCTCTAAAATCTTCCCAGGTCAAAGAATATGCAGAAACATCTTAAACTCCGACGGGGCCACCGTCTGTGTTTTCCACCTTCTCCTTCTTGGCAAGATGCAGACGACGTGCCCACTTCATGCGACTCTTTCGGATAGCACGCTCCGTGCGCTCCCATGGGTAGTTGACGGGGGACTCTCCACCAGTGAAGATGAAGAAATCGTACAAGAAGGCGCCACCGAAGGCACCGCTGATGGCGCCAACCCAGGGACCGTAGAACCAGTACGCGTTGAGGAACAGCTCGCTAGGGTAACCCAGAGCCAGAAGAGCTAGACGGGGACCAAAGTCACGACTGGGGTTAAATGCAGCTCCTGTCTGGTAGGCAAAGACCATACTGAAACAGGTGATGACAAGACCGACAATGAGGGAGTTCATACCGGCACCGGGTGGGGCGTTTTGGTCATCACCAAGCGCCAGAACGGTACAGGCGAGGAAGGCTGTTCCCAAGAACTCGTTACCGAAGGCAGTTCCAGCGCCAATCCAGGCTTCACGTTGGCTGGTCACGAAGCTAGTGACGATGCCAGTATCTGGGTTGCTCGCAAGCCAATGCTGGATGGACTCGTAGTAAAGTCCGTAGGCCGCGAGAGCAGCACAAAAGGCACCCATGAACTGAGCAGCGAAGTACTCGGGCATCTTGCTCTTGGGGAAACCACGGTAGAACCAAAGCATAATAGTTATAGCAGGGTTGAGGTGAGCACCAGACACACCACCAGAAATGTAAATACCGATCATAGTGGCGAAACCCCAAGACCACGCGGTGGTGTTAGGGTTACCATCATCCGCGATTGTGACAGAAAGATCGGCACAGAAACCAATTGTGAGTTGAACGAAGGCCCCCAGGGCCTCGGCAAGAGCCTCGCGGTGATGGGTACGATAAACAGACCAAGTGGTGTGATTGTTGTGAATTTCGTCTTCCACCAGTTCCTGGACCAATGGGTGCAGATCCTCCGGGTGTGTTGATTCATCAAGAACGGGGATTTCAAGCTTATCCTCAATCATGTCGTCAACCAGTGGCGGCTCTTGTTGCTCGGGAATAGCTCGCAAATCATCGCCGAAGTAGTCGTTTCTACCAGGGGCGTCTTCAGTTGTTACTGAAGAGTCGCCCTCCTCTACTGCCGACAACGCATCCTGATCATTGTTGTTCCAGCGAGATGGACGTCTGACGCGACTTGAAGAAGTACGAGACATACGCGATCCCTGTCTCGACCCTTGTCTTATAGACGTGGTGTCACCGCTGAGAATTTTGTTCATGAAGGCCTGCTCACGCTGCAGACGAGCATCCTCAACCTGTGCCGCCATTTTCCGGGGGTCAGCGTTCTTCTCGATACGTCCCTCCTCCAGGTCAGTTGGGTCGACATCCAGACCATATCTCTGCGAGTTTTCTAATGGCAACTGGGCATTTTGGCGTTGCTGAATCAACTCATCCCTGGTCGGCACCATGCCCGGTCGCACCACACGGGGCAAAGGCTTCGCCAGAGACCACACCGGCTTGGCGTTGGCGGGCTGCTCATATGACGGATTAAGCTCACCATAACCAGGTTGCACGAAGGGCTCCTGGGCCATCCGCAATTGTGGTGTCTCTTCCGGACCGGCCATTGTGAATTTGCCCTGAGTTCGGGCCGCCAGTGTTGTTCTCGGAGCTAGACTGGGGATACTTGCGCGGCTACGGCGTCGCAAGCCATCATCATCATTATTGATCTCTGATGGTCTTCTAGCATCTGATGTTCTTCCCCTCGGTGAGACTGCTTCGTCTCTAAACTGAGAACTCCCGGTGGGAGAGGCAATCCTTGCCGCGCCCGACTAAAAAAAGAGAAAGACAAGGTTAGGCGACAATGTATTTAGATCAATTTTCGGTCGAATACCACTCACGGTCGCTCTGGGCCTCGACAGATCTCCATCTTCAGCATCCATGATTGCTAAGAATTGATTTCTCCTATTTTATATTGACGGTTGTCGAATTTAAGGATGCCAAGACCGGCAAGGTTCAAGGCACGTTCTGAAGATATCCAACGGTCGGAAAGGTGGGCGAATGTAGCACCCGATGAGGCAAACAAAGGCGAAAAAAGCTAACTTGAAGGTGGAGGGAAAACCGAGGAGACAATGAACTCCTGAGTTCTCTGGGTCCCTGCTAAGCGATGGTGGACATGGAACCTGACGCAATGGCTTCAGATCATCGAGATCTCCCCATTGGCGTACTCAAGCTTTGCAGCAGGAAAGGAATCCCAGTCAATAAGGGAGTGGCGTAAGCCACTCAGGTTCCTGTCCTGATCCACCGTGGAGTCGACGCGCCATATTGATTGAACCATGGCATAGCGCCGTCTGAATCCACCACCACCAATTGGCTCTGGTTGAGCGGGTTCAACGATATTCTTGATTGCTCAGTGGGCCTGCAATCTCCACCGGGATTTTTTTTCTTTTCCCGACCGCATCCGAGACAGTTCGCCGAGCATGATTTTATTGGCACGAGCTTGCAGTGAGGAAAGGAGAGGTTGCGATCGTCGGGATTCCCCTTTTTTCGCTACCTGTTATCGCTTACAACAAAAACGCAGTACCTTTGACAGGGGCCTATTCTCCACTTTGATAGCGCGCTACAGGAGATTAAATCCCTGCCGTCCCGTTCGTCATAGTTCATTGCGTTGGCTGGTTTTTTGGCAGATCCTCGGGTTTGCGGATTGTATGGATGTTGATGGTCCACATTTGAGGATCAACTGGACCGTCTAAATTTTCATTCCATCCCTAACTCCGAGCATTTAAGTTGATTTCCTCCGATAAATTACTGACCCCTATCAGACCAGTTTGATGCGTGTCAAGCCACGAACCCGCCACCAAGCCACGGTGGATCTCAGCCGGAATGATGAATCTGTCTGCGATTTAATTTATCTTGATACACGGGCCCTGCGATCGTCAACTTACCGTAAGCCAAGTCTGTTCGCCAAAGTTTCCATGCTTGAACTGTTACATGATTCAAGTGCGGGGTTAGCGTTTTGACTCGACTCGAGCATTGAAGTGGATCAAATCTTTTCTTTCCTTTGTGCCGTTTTATACGGTTCGTGCCTTATTTATCCCTAGCGCTTCTTCATAATACTGAACTTCGCCACCTTGGCACGACGCTAATGCAGCAACCTACAAAGGATTTTGCGGTGGTAATCCCCACACATTAGAGGGTGAACAACCAGCGTTAAGAGCAAACATTTGGCAATGACGTCGCACATATCAAGTCGCTACCCGTGCACGTGTGGTCCAACAATTGTGTCATCGGGGGCCGAGATTCTTGGTAATCAGTTCAATGTATGGAGTAATCACCTGTCAAAGGCATGCCTTAATGCAATGTCCCTAGATGACACTTGCTTGTCGCCAATTGGAGATTATTGGAGTTTAAATAGCTCGATCTACCTTTTGTTCTTCAACTCTTACGAAATCCCTTCCGCAGATGGATACTAACAGCATGGGGTCTCTGGGCTAATTGTTTCCTGAAGCCCTTTATCCATAGAGATGCCCAAATATATATACATGGTCATACTTCAACCTTCAAATGTTTGGGTGCATTCCCAAATTTGAGCGGATATATATTTGGCAATGCCCATCGGTCCAGAGCTGTATATTCTGGATCATGTTGTCCCATCCATGGTTTCCAAGTGGGTTATGACATCAACTAACAACCACATGTTGTCCATACAATCCCAAGGTCTTACGGTCTGTACTATTATCTAACGCGTGTTATGACACCTCACCTTCCAAGGTTCCTCAGCCAATGTATTTCATACTTGTCTACACGCCAGCTCAACAAAAAGATAAAACTCCTTGATCTGATCAACAAGAAGGCAAAAATTACTCCGATAGGGGGAATCGAACCCCCGGCTGTCGTGTGAGAGACGACGATGTTAGCCACTACACCATATCGGACTTGGATGAAAGAGAGGGCCCACAATGGCTATCTGAAGAAGAGAAGAATTTTTCTCCCTTTCGGTTTAGCGCTAACATCCCGCGTGGCTCTACACCACGTGACCATGCGAGGCTGGTTGTTTATGCATGACGACATGGTTATGCAAAACGAAACAAAATACTTTATTTTTAGATGATGTTGCAAGCCATTGTATCTCTCATGGCTAGGTTTATCTATTATTTGGCTCACCAACGTCCACGCGGCTCGTGCCTGCCTGTTTTTATATTTGTTCTGGACACTCATTGCCTTGAAATTTCAAGAGTGACGTTGGCGTTATTTCTGGCTCTATGCATTCAATATAATTCATAACCCTCAATCCTATGCTAATGTTGGCATACCTCCTTCGCTTTGCGATACTCATGACCCCAAAAGTACACACCCCAAAGAACTGGACTAAAAGCAACCCAAATGAAGCCAATGAGAGTGCTAGTCCACCCGATTCCGACGGAATTGATCAATGGAACAGCTGCAGCAACTGCACCCGCGCCAAAACAACACCTTAACAGATTATTTGCTGAGGTGGCAGTGGCTGGTCGATCAACATGGCAATCAATCATCAGTGTGATGAGCGTGCTTGTCGCTCCAGAGACCAAATGTGAGATAAAAATAGCATAACGAGTGGCCCAGCAAGATCGACTTTGTTACTCATTGTCCAGCCGTAGCCGACCATTACTATTGAAGCGCAGTATATCGCTGGAAGTGTGATTTGCAGTCGTGCCCTTTCCACTGGCATGAATATCAGTTGTACTTGCCGATTGTGAACGATTTCTATTCCATGATTATTAGCATGGCGTCGAAAATTCCAGTCGATGAGTTTTCCGAGTGTCCAACGCGATGTAAGAGACCCTGCCCCGTAGGGGATGTAGCATAGCCCGACTTGTAAGGCATTAAAGTAGTACTTATGCTGAAGCTGGGATGGAAGACTGCTGAGTACGGCAAAATATCCACCAAACAGTACGGTCGTGAATGTAATGATTGCACCTGTTTCTTTTTGGGCGGCTACCCCGAGAGCGTCTAGAGGGGTTGGTCGTTTTAATCGAGCTGGTCGTTCCTCTTTCTGATCTTCAGATGCCGAGTCACTAACGTGGTCTTCAGGATGCAGGCATTGAACGAGCGACCTATTCCACCTGGCCGGTGGGATAGAGCCATTGCCAACCTCTGCCCGGCAGGTCTTTGGTACAAAGACAATCAACATAGTGGCCATTATGCCTGCCCAGATGGCAAGGAACCAAAAAGTGCTGCGCCAGTCGAGATATTGCGTTAACACACCACCCATAATCGGACCAATAGCGGGGCCTAGTGTCACGCCTAGCGATGAATAAATCATATATCGTCCGCGTTCAGATCTGGGTACCAGATCGGCAGCCACCGAGGAGCAAACGACTGTGGCTGTGCTGCTCCCAAAGCTCTGCAGGCACCGGAGGGCCATCAGAACGGGGTAGCTTGTTTGTTGGGCCAACCCAATGTTGACACCCAAATATAGAAGGAGAGCGAGTAACAATATTGGCCGACGACCATACACATCGGAGAGGCCAGCGACCATCAGGGAACCTATGCCTTGTATGATCTGTGAGATTACGGTCAGATACGTGTATACAAATATTGGAAAAATTGGAACAAGGGCCATCGTTACGAAAACTTACCATGAATACTGTGATGGTCAAGGTTATCTTAAAAGGCGTAACATGGAGGTCCTGAGCCAGTGGATTAAACGCCGGACAATAGATGTTGGCCGATACAGGAGATACCAACGTGACCAGGGAAGCGATTGTGATAGTCCTATCGAGCAGCTTATGCGCTGTCCGGATATCCGACAGAACACCATCGAATTTATTTTGAGTGCAGGCGACCTGGTCTCTGTATATGGAGCTAGGGAACTTATGAAGCTTTATGGCGCCGAAATATCGCTGAGCACAGGGCCCGCAGTCAACAACTTGACGGCAGTGACTTATGTGGGAGAGAATATAGGAGGGCTAGCTGAGAGCAACCAGCATGCGATACCCAAGACGGTAGCCATAGTGGAGGCCAATCTTAAGAGACATCGTACGAGCCTACCAGATAGTTCCGATACTTAGAGTGTAAGAGATGAAGTAGACAATGGTATACCATTTTTCAAAACTGTGATGAATTCCCTTAATTTGCTCCTTTGTCGTTCCAAATTTGTTGACTTTGTAGTCTAGTTAGTGGAGAACCCTAATTTAGGCTTTTATCTGCTTCGGCAGCTCGAACAGGGGGTGGGGGGTAATTTAATTGTGGTGGACGTAGAGGGGAGTGAATAGCTTGATTGGCATATGGTGGAAGGAGCAGTGTATGATACCGAACCCAAGCGCCCGGTTCCATGGCGTGAACAACCTTAAGACAGAGATCGTATGAGGTCATCAATCACTTGTTCGTGTGCTCGCGAAAGAAATCCTCAATTTTAGTCCACTTCACCTCCGGGTATCGGTTGTTATCGAGAGGGTCAAGCTTTCCAGCACCAGAGAACATGTTTTCCATATATTGCATGCCCTGCCATGCAGGGAAGACGTCATTCTCACCGCCAAAAAATCGCATAATACGAATCATGAGCTGCGTGGAGCCGACACTACCCATCCAGGAGGGTTTGTATGTCACACCTTCAACATTGGTTTGTGCCTGAACGATGTCGTCGATAGAGACAGTATCACTGGCAATACGAAGGAAGTTTGGCGTAGGATTTTGGTCTGTAGCCACAGCCGCCGTGTATGCAGCAGTATCCGCCATCGTTGTGAAATCGAGGAGCTGCGTGGTCGAGCTGATGTACGCAACGGTATGCGCCTTGTGGTTGACCATTGGCGAGTCACCAACCATCAGGTCCATGAAGCCACCATTGAGAATGCTCGTCCATGCGATGCCCGATTTTCTCAAGGTAGCGTGGAACTCACGTCGTAGATCCAAGTTGCGATTGGACCCTGGCTTAGTCTTTGTGAAGTCGAGCGAAAAGTCCGAAGGGATGAACCGTGGGACCTTGGCGGCAACGGAGGCGTCAAGAAGCTGTCCCTGCGCGGTGTGAATCACATCTCTTAGTCCTTGGAGGGTGGAGACGACACAGGTTGCGCCAGTTAGTTCACGAGTGAGAGTCGGGCCCGCAGAAAGATCAACAGGAGTGACAGTGACCCCGGCATTGCGAAGCTTCTCGGTACGCGATGGATCGGTGTTAGGGCGCACGAGAGCCTTCACAGTTGCACCTCGCTTCACGAGCGCTAATGCAACAAGCTGACCAAGGCCACCGGCGGCGCCAGCTACTGCAACAAATGGTGGCGATGACATTTTGCAACAGGAGCGTTTCGATATATGAGGAATGAAATAAAATTTCAAAGAGAACAAGGACTTGACAGTACCGATTTGCTCTCAGCTCGTGTAATCTATTACTTATATACCTCAATTTTCATGAGCCCCACGCAATCAGTGCAGAGGGTGGATCCGTGGTGGAGCAGAGGCGATTTAGTCATCATTGCTGTTCGGGCTTGAAATGAACCCCGACCACCGAGGTTCCGAGCGTTCCCAAGGACAAACCCATTGTGGCCCAGTGGAAATATACTCCTACTCCTTGACCATGCGAGATCTAGATCAAAATCGAAGGTGCAATGAAACCTTAAGAAATAAAGGAGGTAAATTGTGGTAAGAAAGTAGAAATGGTTATTCTATTTTTCTAAGTTTACCTCGCCTAGGATGTAGGCTTTAAGAGAACATCCAGGTTTTCGGCGGTACTTTCATGAGTGTTGCTAGATAACGACGATTCTTGTTTTTCACGTGCCATAATTTGCATTCTAGGGATAATTTAGACAAACTGGCATTTTAATGGCAGTCTATAGACCTTTGTCAATCACAAGTATGTTTTCAGTCTCGTCCCTTATCTATCTAGAAGCCGAACTGCTGGCCAGCACCAGTAGATCGGCTTCAAGGCTGAGAAATTGGACCGAAAAATCGTTCTCTCGGAATCCCGATGTCGCTTGCGCGTAGGAGAGTTGCGCGTAGGAGAGCTAAAGCTCTGGTCATCATTCAGCACCAGTCAGCACCAAGAATCTCAAGCTTAGGCACAGTACAATCATCCTTCATTTTTTGCGGTTAAGTATCTTATCAGATTTCATCTTCTACGTATCATTTTGCGCCAAATGCCAAGACCCAAGAACGCGCTCGGCCAGGTGGCGACCGCACCCCTAGCCTATCCCTTCTTCCGTTGCTTAACAGACTTCCATTCGATACCGAGCGTGCTGACCACAACAAGACATGTCAGACCCAAGGCAATATACAGTACATCCACAAGAGCCCCGTTGTAGGCCGCCAGGACTTGGTCCCGAAATTCCACTGGGATCCTATTAATAAGACCTAGTGCACCACTACCCAGCACATCACTGGGGTTCAATCCCGGTACTTGTGTGGTCAGGTTATGAGTGAGTCGATTTAGAAAAACATTTTGAGCAATACAAAGGATGATGATACCCCCGAATTGCTGCGCGAAGCTCAACATGACCAAAGCCGTGGGGACCAGGCAGTCTGGTAGTACGGTCTGGACGGCGATGTAAGGCGGTTGAAAAGCCAAACCTATCCCAATTCCGTAGAGGATCTGAAAAGATATCCATTTTTCGGGACCAGTGTCAGGACGGAGTGTAGTTATGAGTCCGCTTCCCACTGCCATGAGAACGCTGCCGAAAATTAAGGTCGGGTTGTAGTAGCCTACATAAGTCGTCAAAGGGCCACCAGCTAGGGCGCTGATAGCCAAAGCCACGGCCAAGGGTAGATACATCAGACCAGATGTAAGTGTGCTTGCGCCGCGCACTGCTTGGAAGTAAATTGGTAACTGTCCTCGTTTAGTATTTCGCTTTACTAGCAGGAAAGGGCGAATGGCAGCTTACGTAGTAGGCGACCACCGCAAGATGCGCGAAATTGCAAAAGGTAATCAGACTAGCAAAAGCAACGGACCGCCGACGAAGCATTTTCAATGGGACCATGCTCTCGTCTCCGGCTCTGTACTCCACGAGGAGGAATATAGCAAGAAGTACTGCAGCAACTACCAGAAGCAGAATGATTCTCCAATTATGCCATGAGTATGTGATTCCGGCCCACTGCAAGCCTAGTACCAGACACAGAGTCGTCGGTACATTTATGGCGAAGCCTGTCCAGTCAATGCGCTTTAGACGGTCCTTGCTGTTGACGTGTGCATTATCGGATCGACGAATTTGATCGACGCTAAAGAAGACCAATGCTATGATGAGCACACCAAATGGGATAATGATATAGAAGCTGACTCTCCAGTTTGAGTAATGGGCTATAAGTCCACTGATAAATGGACCAAACGCCAGAGCGATACATTCTACACCGCCAGCGATCGCCGAATATATAGGCCGCTGCTGGAGTGTTGTCGTATGTGCGATAATACTATTAGTACTGTATTAATATCGTGTAGATTCTCACTGATCAAGGTAAAAAACTCTAGTACTCACATATTCATACCCGCTAATATGCCTGCTGCTCCCAAGCCACTTAGTGCACGCCCAAGAATAAAAACTGGAGATGTTGGAGCTGCGGCGGATAGTACGGAGCCAAGAACGAAGACAGAAAATGAGGCCATGTAGAGCGTCTTCATCGAATAGGATGAGTATAGTTGTCCGTAAATCAACATTGTTGCAGATCCTGCAAGCAGACTTGGGTATGTCAGAGGGCCTCTTGATGATTCGTCTAGAATAACCTACTATGCTATTTGATACCATCCAAGGTTATTCAGCGCATGAAATTGGTCGGTGATTGCTGGGGTCAATGTCGCAATGCAGCTGGTATCCTGCAACTGATCATCAGCTTGAATGTTCAACTTTGTAAGATGATATACATACATAGCCAATGAAGAAACTTCCAAGAAGGATACATGTAAATAACAGGGCAAATCTGATCCCGTTCAGGCTATGAATGTTTTCTGACATTCCGTCGCCTTGCGCGGCGGCTTCGGATTCTGCATCGGCTATTGGCTGTTCTTGCGAGTGAGCGAACTTTTGCGCAGCCTCATCAGGCTTACTGATATTTTGTAGTTCCATGCAGAAGAAATTGATAGAGAAATAAGATTGGCACGACTGTAATTGGGTGTGCGATGCTGTGGATTAAATACTGTAGCGAGATGAGAGAAAGTAACGGCATGGCGTGTTTACGGAGCAAGGCCTTCGAAATGCTCGGGCATGCCCGCAGTCCGAGTCCGATCATTGCATTGAAATTGCGATAGTGAGTTATGTTATTTTCAGAGGCATAAGAGTGCTGCCTGCTCCTTGATAAGACATTATTTGATGGTTGCGGAGGATATATTAACGCCGAGGATGTCGGAGTACTAGGCCACATACAGCCTAGCACTCCGATGACGCTGGCCGCCCTTCCAGACTGCTCAGGATAACGGACACTTTCAATCCACTTGATACGATATCTCGCTAGATTGTATCATTTTAAAAGTGTTTCAGCTGATGGTCTCTGAGAATGACTGATAGAGTTCGCCGCAATGGCCAACTTTCCTCGTGCGAGCCTTGTCGATGGTCGAAACTTCGTTGCGATCATGCAAGACCACATTGTACTCGATGTACACGCCGCAAAATTTCATCAAAGTGTTACTACCACCCGTCGCCGATGACACGAGGCGCAGACTCTTATGCTGAATTCTTGCTGTAAGAAACCCCCCTTTTTGCTTTAGTGACCGTCTATTAAGATAAAGTCAACCCAGCACCCCGCAAAGCCCAAGGCCTGTTGATACCGCTGCCACTTCATCAGTGTGGGCGCCATTATCACCACCAGAGAACGAGAACTTGTCTGCAGACTATGGCTACGATCGGGGGACCGGGCTGGTAAACATGCATAATTCTTTGATGCCGTTTGCAGACTTAGATGGCAGACAACCTCACCGCGCGTTCCCGTATTTGACTCGAACGGGCTTATTCACACCTAAACGGGCATATCCGGTGACACCAGCTGCCATCTCAGAGGGTGTGGAGGTTCTGCGAACCCTTCTTGAATTCAATGCGGATTTACATGATCTTGACAACCGACTGGGTGGAAACGACGCAGTCGATCAATGCGGTTCACTTATTTACGATGCAGCCTGGCGAGCGGCACAAGCCACCCTAAGATGCTTAGGGAGTAGGCCATCTGTGGCTGAGCTAGCAAAAACAGCTATAGCAATATTTGAACAGACGGCGACCCCGCTTGAGCTGCCTATATCGGCAGAGAATGATGCCATCGAGATAGCCCTTTCTGGGCCTCGCTTGCGTTGGGAGACCATTGGCCTATGCTTAACCCAGATTGGATCGTATGTCGCAACCATGAGGACCAATGACCAAGCCTTCCTTGCTCGCGGGCGGTCGAGTTTCAATCGCCAAAAGGCTATGATTATGGCATTCGACGCTTGCATCAAAACTCGTGCATTTTGCGATCAAGTCGAGCAGACAAACGATCTAACTTTGTGGCTTTTGGTATCGGTGTCCACTCTTGCGACTTGGTGCTTTGGTGATGATTCTTCACGTGCATGGTGCTTAGTAGGTGACTTATCATCGGCTTTAGCGGCTCTTGGATTCCACAAGGGGTTCAACGAGAAGTCAAGCTCCCTATACTTGGTAGAGCTTCGCAAAAGAGTCATGGCTCTTGCTCACCAGCGTGACAAAGACCTGGCGACCTTTGTTGGTCGGCCACCCCGTCTTAGTATACGATACTACACGATGGATTTACCACTTGATTTGCCTGATCACATTATTATCGGCCCGAGCAAGCAATTCGAATCTGCTAGAGCCAAACTTGACGAGAACGGCTGGAGTGGAAACATAATGGTGAATCCCGTTTCACGTCTCCGGTCTGTTTTACTACTAAGCTTGACCCGCGAAAAGGTCTTGGAGCTTTCACTTGGTCCACAAATACCAAATATCGCTCAAAAAGCTAGGTACTTCATAAATCCACGAATAGTCGAAATATATTAGTTGACTTTCTTACAGAGATATATTATCAGAATTGACTTCTACTTGGGACTCAATTCCTCAAATACAATACAAGCAGTCAATGTGTGACACTATGTTACCGAGTGCTGTCTGGGTTGTTCTAGGCCCGCGGCTTGAATACCTTTACACAAAATTTCTCCTCCATAAATTACTCATTACTCACAACGAAGGCAATCGCGAGAGCATGATCCAGACATCGCATGATATTCTGCATTCAGCACTGTCTCTTATGCAGAAGCATGACCTGATAGCTACGCCAAACTTGGAGTGGTTGGTACGTTGCTGCATTGTTTTTGTCACAAAGCTGGAGACTGATGTGAAATATATATAGATGGTGTTCTACGCCATGCCATGCGCCAGCATTCTCATCTTGGAATTATTTCGACAAAACCGCCAAAGTTGTCGATCAACGGCGCTTAATCGGTCGACTTTAATTCAGGACATCAGTGTGCTCATATCGTGCTGTGACTTGCTAGCCATATCTGGTCAGAGCAACTATCAGATCTGCAAGCAAGCTCAAGCAGTCTTCTCGCGATGTCTTGACCAAATATTAAATCCAACTGAGCTGTGTTCACATGGATTGATGAGACAGGCTGGGAGAGAAGAGAAACAAGAAAATTTCTCCTTAGGTTCGATGGATTTTGGTCTCACAGAGCTGTATCCTCAGAATCCAGAATGGTCTACTTGGCTTGAGTCTTTCGACACATACGAATGATGAGATGAATTCATAGCATGATGGAACTGGTCCGAGATACAATCCAGCCGTGATAGGATTTAATGGTATTGAGCTTTTCATCTTGTATTCTTCCCACTTTCAGCCAGTTCCTTGTATGAATTGTAGATTTCCCTTTGACCAAATTTATACTGACCGAATGCACTTGAGGGGTTCGCACTACGAACACAGATCCTGAGTGATGATAGCTCTCAGCCCAGGGCTCTTCTCTTTTGGAAATCCGACCTGGTAGTCCCTATAGGTCTCAATATCTTCAAATGTCGTTTTATATAGATCCATGTCAAATCTTCGCACCAGAGTGGCAACAATCAGATACAGTTCTGCAGTAGCAAGGCTACATAGCGTATGTTAGTCGAATTTAAGGACTGAATAGGATAAATATCTGCTCAATCTCTTACTTGATACCTAAGCATTGTCTGGGTCCTTTAGAGAAGGCGACGAGCATGTTTTCTAAGCGATCGCCATTTTCTTGTGATCGAATCCAACGCTCAGGGTCGAAAGAATGTGGATCAGGAAATAAGTCGGCGTTCATGTGTATAAAAAGATTGCATTGGCTGATCATCACCTAAAGGAGATGTCAGAGGTAAAATCCCTCAATTCCCATTTCGAGAGGTCTTACCTTTGGTGGGATTACCCATTGTTCATATATAAGTCCAGTGCCTGTCGGCACACACCGAGGTAATCGACCGATGGCTCCGGCAAGTCGAAGTCCTTCATTTATCACTCCCCTCTAGATCAAAGTTTTAAATTCGGCATTAATTTGAAAGTTGATGCCGCACAGCTTACCATGTAGGGCAGTCTTTCCAGTTCTGCAAATGAAGCACTGGGGGACTGTTCAAGTTCGTTGCGAAGATTAAGCAGCTTAGTCTTATCGTGTAGCAGATGGAAGAAGATGGCCCTTAGTATCCCTGCAGTAGTCTCAGTCCCTGCATTCAGTAGAGACAAAGCCTCATCGCGTATCCGGGTAGGGGCCCTTTCCTCGGGAGGTAGGCTAGGATCAGCAAGAGCCTCAAAGATTGTTTTTTTGCCTGAGCCTCCTTTACCACTTTCTTTCAGTGCGAATTTCGCCTGTTCGAGAACCAACTCTCTTACATACAGGATGTTTGCTAACGCCGGAGAAAACTTTTGCAAAAGCTGTTTGGGGACTGCCTTTACAACGGATAAAGGGATAGGAAAAAACATCATCAGATGGGAAAGGGATAATATACTCAACATCGAATCCCTGATCTCGTTCCCAAAATCTTCATGATCCAAGTAGTCAAGGCTAAAGCCGTATGCATATTCGCCGATTACATCGGACGCGATAGCTGCAAATGCAGCATCTAGGTTAAAGACCGTGCCTGCCTGATAGGCCATTTTCATTCTTTGCGCAAGCTTGTCGACCTTTTTCTGAATCATGGATTCTAGCCCCAAGATGGACATTTTCGAGAAGAAGTTTTGAAGGACAGCGCGACGCGAAGCATGAAGGTTGTGACCAACGGTGAAGAGCATGGAGCCTTGTATGTCACCAAGTCTAACGAACCTGGGGTCCTTGTCACGTAATTTTGGCGCATATATTTCCGAGTAAAAATAGGGGTCCGCAATGTGGACCTCGTTGGGATCGATTCGGACAATAGGACCTTAAAGGATATGTGTTTAGCTGAAGTCGCCTAATGGCCTAGAGCTATCGTACCATATTTTTTGTGCATCTTTTCTATCTCCCATAAATACCGGCCACCTTTTACTACATTGAAGTAGAATCCGTAAAGGCTGGTCACGGCAGCTAGCTTGGGCCCCGGCAACTTGCTGATGGGGTGAAGATATAGGCGATATATGGCCACGAGAAAAACATAACCGAGGGCGGCAGCAGATAGCCCCAGCAGCATATTGGTAACAATTCCAGTGCTTCTATTGGCGGTTTTTTGAGTGTTTGAAATCCGGACTAGCTGTCAGTGATGAATCTGACTTTCAAGCTCCAGTTGAGTGGTGGGGTATCCATAACTTCAACTGAGCGACGGGATCAGGGAAAAAGGAAATTGATCAAAAAAGCGAAACACAGACTGGCTTACTGTTTCTCCTCTGCAGACTTCACGTACAAGGGACAGAAGCACCCGATTCGATCTTGGCGTGTGATAAGTTGCAAAAGGTGCAGATGGGAGAGCGCCCCGCTCTGCGCAGAGAGCCTATCAGCTATACGAGATATCGGGTAAGGGTCCAAACAGAGGTGGTGTTTGGTCCGTTTCCTTGGGGTACCCACGATCTACTCTTTCATGCCCATTCCTAGATTTGCTGCTCCTTCAATTCGTGAGAACCACACCAGCTTTACCATAGCACATACACGATGCGCGCTGATTATACAACAGACAGGATACATACGATTTTTGAAACGTGGGAAACCAATGAACACTTGACCTCCATGCGCGTATATGCACGCCTAACCAGTCTCACACCAAACATGATACGGCAAAACTACCATTGAGAATCAAAAAAATTGGCTAATTTTTTCACAGCACTTGGGCGCATATTGTCCCGGAATTATCTTGATCAAAATTTATGGATTCTGTTGTATACAAATCTCCTTGGATTAAGTATTCTTGTCCATTACATCTCCATGTCGAAGGGAGAAAGAGATTGAAATAGAAAATCAAAGACATTTGAGGCTGTCTCAATTGCAGGTAGGTGATTGTCATCAAATCCCTGATCTAATGGTAGAGCAGCGGCGTTAGCTACACCTGAAATCTGAGGCATCGGCAATCCACCACTGGCAGATGTCGGAGGATCGCCTGCAGTGTTTAACTCTTGTGTGGCCAGGACCTCATGACTACTGATGATGACAGAGGCAGCGATACTAGCAATTAAATCTGCAAGGGCGCTGAAGCCTTTCCCTATTGGCAACTTCTCAGTGAGCGGTGATGTGTGTACAGTCCTCGCGAAGAGCTGTAGGTATGCTAGATTGGAGCGAGCCTCAGGTCGGCGTGGATTATTAACTGTGTGCACAAACAGAACCAGGGCGGCAACAAGAACGTGGAAACAGATGGACCTTTGTATGAATGAGTATATTTCTTTGCCAAAAACGTTGATTCCACTAACCAGCATGTCACATAATGAGTAGGAAGTGAGCCGTTTCCGTATTTCAGTAGATCGATCGTAGCTCTCGATACCGAAAGACAAAGTTGGGCACTTAGCTCCACCCTCTGTACTCTATTGATAGACCCGTGTCTTAGAGCCTCCTCAAGGCCAGGCTCAAGTGATAAGCCCAATGAAGCGCGGTGGAGTGCTGCCACGGCGTAGTTATAAGACATGTGCATATTCAAGACCGGACCAATTATTTCAGTCGAATGGCAATTTTCTGGTCTGAAATTCGGTGGAAGTTCATTTTTCCAGGAATCCAACAAATTGTCAAGCTCGTCCATGAGATTTAATCTCTGGTCCACGGGCTTCGTCCGATATCGACATGAGTACATCCACTTGCACACCTTACTTTGAATGAGTGACAATTCAACCATGTGTCGGAGAAATCTTGGTTCGCCATTTTCCGTTTCTTTTGAGGGTAAGCCAATGCCAATCTCGTCATCATCTATCAAAGGGGGATGTCCAAGCCGGATGCACATCCCTTTATCCATCACATAGGCAATCCAAAAGATGTTCGCCCTCGAGATAGAAGACTCTGTGTTCATAGAACCGCCCGCAGGTTTTTGGTGGAAACCTTTGGCAAGACCAAGGCGGACGGCGATTGATAACAGCATTGAAGCTGCTTGAAATGACATATTTGAGTTTTGAATAGTCGCCTAGACTCATAGTCAGTACATATTTTGGAAAAGATCCGGGCATGGCAGCGTTGGCAGCCTACCATTGTCAAAAGCGCTTGAATCCCCAATGTGTCCACAGGTGAGAATATCAGGTCAGGAACGATAGACATCGCATTGTTAAGGTAGCCTAGAGCAGCATTTGTCTCATCTTCCGTCAAGATAGACGCTTGCTTCATTGATGTATACCCAAGACATATGACAGCATTCAGCATAGCATACCAAGAAGAAGATGGTGGAGTATCTGAGTATTGATGTTCAAAGTAGTAATCAAAGGTGGATCTCTGAATAAAGGGGAGCCATGGCTGCAGATTCTCAAAAAACGCTTGATTTCAATTAGACCACTACTTTCAGATGTTGATTGGGAGTAAAGCTCACCAGTGACATAAACAATTGCTAGAGGTTTTGGTGGAAGTTCTTGTCGAGGCTGCGATGCAGCAGTGCCAGAAAAGTGACTCAATGATAGTGAAGGAGAGGAGCGGACGAATTTGAGAACTGCCATTAATTGTTCCATACGAGAAGGTCCAATTCTCGCCGAAAGCCATTCAAGCCCAGCGGGCGATAATATCGTCAAGCCTGAGCTCAAGCCTAGCATTGCATAAGTTAAGTCATCTCATCTCGAGCAACAATATCAAAGAACCGCCACGCGAATATGATGACAAACCTATAAACTCGGTCTCGCCATCCTTCAAAAGGTGTAATGAGCCTTTCTCGTCGAGTCTAGCTTGCTCTTCAATAGTCGAGGTGAGTGCATTAAGTGAGCTGGGATTTGCTTTTGAGGGCGCCTCCGCATTAAGTGGGTAGGTTGTCACGAGTGATTCAATTCGAGCAATTCGGTCCTCTATAGAAAGAAGACGGGCCGGTCTGTCATGGATGCTCGTCCGATCAGATTTCAAATTCGTGTTTCCAGTATTGATGTAACTTGACTGACCTGGGAGAAGCTCTATCCCTACGTTCGGTTTTCGCCAGAGTACACTCAACTTTACGCGCCGCACACGAAGAGCATGGAAGGTGGCTAGTTTTGTCGCATTTTGTCTGGTGTGGGTCGGATAGTCTTAGCTCCGACAGCTTTATAGGCAGGGGGAAAGTGAGACCTTGCTTCTTCGACACCTCTCACAAGCCCCTGTGGGGCGACTGGGATGTTTCTTGCGTTCCATTGCTCAGTGAGATTTAGATACATTAAGTGTGCGGGAAAAGTCTGTTTTGGGGAGAATGTGGGGGAGGGATGAGGAAATCGCTGGCCAACCTCTTATCTCCGGGTATGTCCGGGTATCGATTAAGCTTATACGTACCAAAACCCTTGAAATTGAAAGTTTACGCAATCTCCACTGGACAGCTTCAACCCAATTATAGTAGTCTTATTATCCTAATTAATATCATTATATTTATTTACAAAACCCTTCGCCTTCCTCGATTATTCGACCAAATGTCTGGCCTCCTCATGCGTCATTTTGCCAAACTAATCCAGCGTGATAGGATACTTTTGCCTGATCACACCTCCATATTTGTAAATCAAAGCCGGTACAGGTGTTAAGCCCAGCGCAATGAATCCAAGTAAGGAATTCCCCCAGCCCAGACCCAAGGCATCGTACATAGACGGTCCTGCCAGGGGAAGAAATGCACCAAATACGCATCTGATCGCTGTAAGACCGGCAACAGCGGACGCAGCATATTGGCCCGATACATCGATGAAATATGTCTGGATTGGTGCGAAAATACCCATCATTCCAAAGCCAAACGGAGCCAGTCCAATGATCGGACACATCCATTGTACCTTGTAATATGCTGACCAGCCATACCAGAAAAAGCTGACAGGAATGAACAAGGCAAACATTAGACAAGGAGCGAGGCGCATTTCAGGCTCATAGACACCATTGTTCGCTTTGGTCAATTTTACCACAGTTTTGTCTGAGGTCTTTGCAACAACAATGATACCCGCACCAAAACCAAAACCAATACCCAGATATGCGAGACCGGCAAATTCCACTGGCCAGCCGTAGGTTTCTGTGAAAAGACTGGTGATGGTGGTGAACAGAAGATATAAAAGGCCAAAGACAAAGGACATGTAGAGAGCTAGGAGGAGCAAGATTACAGACCCAAACAAGATTCTGACTGGTCTTGTCACGCTCTGGATCATGAGAGCAGAAGGACTCAAGGTACCTTTTGCCGTATAAACGCTTTGGAGGTCATCTCGCTGCAGTTCTTTCTGGAGTCTCTTTGTCTTCCGGTTAATGAGCACTTTCGGATTGGTCTCTTGGCCAATGATCCAATTAACAACAGTCGCCAGCCCAACAGCTATAAGGAGGACCCAGTAAACCCATCTCCAGCTCGCACGCTGAGCAATGAAACCACCGATGATAGGCCCAATGACTGGGCCAAACAGAGGGCCGATCGTGAATAGCGCATTTGCCTGTCCTCGTTGTTGAAGTGGGAAGAGATCAGCGATGATTCCACCGCCAACAGCCAAACACGCAGAACCACCAAGTCCAGCTAGGAACCGGAAAACAATCAGGCTCGCCATATTCGGTGACAAAGCACAACCTATTTGCCAGACCGATAGGAGAAGATTGGAGAAATTCAAAACAATTTGGCGTCCGTACATTTCGCTTAGTGGGGACATGATGAGAGGGCCGACCTAATAAATCATATTAGCTGACGTTTCGTAAAGGTGGAGGGTCTTGAATTTCCTCTTACCGCAAATCCAAGAACAAAGATACTGACGGCCAGTGCACTGAGGATTGTTGAAGTGACACCAAAATCCGCATCCATCAGTTCAATTCCAGGCGCTGGAATGGAAGAGGCCAAAGGACTGATATGGTAAGCTTTCGCACAATGGATATAGATTCACAAAGTCCTACCTCAAGAATGTAACGAAGCTGACTAGGCCCAGAATAAGCCATTTCTTGCGCTCCGGGAAGTTTCTGTTAATCATTAGGCACTAGAAACAGACCACAGGTCCAGACGTCAACGTACTGAGGATTCAACGGATCATCGGGCCCTTCCCAACCGACAACGCCATTATCCAAATTGGATACTGGCAATTGCTGTGCCGTAGTCAATACTGGTGCTTTTTCGACATCGTCTTTTGTCGACCTAGGTGATATTGTAGCTGACATCCCTTTACTGCTCGCGGCTTTCGCACGCTTGGCTTCCGAATCAAGAAAGGTTTGGGTCGGAAAGTGTGAAAGACAAGTCTGAAGAGGATTTCTATTTTCTCTTCTGGATCGAGACCTTTTACTTCTATCCACTCAGAAGGAGTTCGACACAGTACATACTGGCTTCAAAAGATCAAATTTTACTCATAGGCGGCGAGCATCGAAAGTTGTTGATGTATCGGACCCTGTAAGGGTATCGGTCGGAGGCATGTGGATTACCCGGTAATTTCATACATCCGGGACCGGGCCAATTAATACATAAATGGGTCTGGATTCGTAAGCAATGTTGAGAAGCGCCTGAGAACTGACCTTATCTCCGCGCGTAACTTATGCTGAGCTATGCACTTTGGAAACGTATTATTTGATTAAGGATTTCCGATTAGATCCACAAGAAAAATCCATAGGAAAACCGGAGATAACAGAAAAACGCCAAATATCCGAGGAACATTTCCGATTGACCCAAATCTTTAGAATGGTCAAAGATTCCATTCACTATACACTCGGGGATAAAACAAATGAAAAATTTAAATCCGAAGATTCCATCTGTAGTCTTACGTACGACTGAACGTTAACGCCATTAGTATATAGCTAGCGGGATTTCTTGCAGGGCATTTGAACCAAAGTCTAAACCAAAGTCCTCTACGGTTTAAAAGCATACAAACAAAATGGAGACTCCTTTCCCAGCTCCTCTCCCAGCTGCTCTCCCCTCTCTCACCACCCGCGAGGCTATCACTGACACCCTCCACCGTGCTGTCCTTGCATTCGACACAGACGACAAAGCCCTCCTCGAATCCGCCTTCTTTCCTGATGCAGTCTTCGACCTTGATGGCCGCGTCCTGAACGGCCTGGATGAAATCTGCACCCAATCCTTTGACATGATCTCAAAGCTGGACACCACTCACTTTATCAGCAACGTCCGTGTCAACTACATTGAAGGGGCATCTACTGCGTCACTGACTGCTTCTGCGCTTTCTCAACATTACCGTCCAAATACTGGAAAGACACCTGGTGCGACAAACTTCATGGGTGGTTCCCTATACTATGTAGACGTCATTCAAGATACAGATGGATTGTGGAAGGTTAAGACTTGGAGGATGAAGGTTATCTGGACTACTGGGGATATAGGAGTAGTGACGGGAAAGTAATGAGGAGGACTATTGAATTTGTACTTAACGGCAGCTGCAGCATTTCCCTGTATCAAGATATTCATGATCTCATCCTGGGATTCCTGTGGTATATCAACTACGCCTAATTTACATTTTTACCCACCACAGCCGACAAAGTGATGAGTATCGTCATAATATCGCAAATGATAGAGAAAGGCAGTGATGCTCTTACTTGCTTCTCTCCCGCCTCTTCATGGTTTTCCTCTTCCTCTCCATCTTGTTCCTTGCGGTCGCTGGCCGGTTCCTAGGATTATAGGTTAGATGTTCTAATCAATCACCGCCATTTCCCGGCAACGATATAGGTATAGAGCATTAATTGATAATGAAGCAATTATGAGGCGTTGGGGGGGGTTGTATAATAGTAGTTTGAGTATATAAATAGCAATTTAACGTGTAGATTTGGCAGTTCTCACTATTATTTACTACTCTGTCCAGCTCTCGGCCCAGTGAAGTCTCTAGTGACCAACCATAGCCTGTTGCGCAGGAGCATACCTGTTACCATGAGGTTTAGCAGAATCAATAATCCTCCGCATCTCCGCCTTATCCTCCTCGTCTAACTCAACATTTCTCGAGGCCCAGTTCTCCTCTAGGCGACCAGCCTTAGTGGTACCAGCAATAGGAATAAGTCCCTGGGAAGCAACCCAAGCCAGAGCGACCTGACTAATCCTGCAACCCTTGCGATTGGCAATCTTCTTGATTTCCTCCACAATAGCCTTATTCTTGTAAAAGTTTTCGCCTTGAAACTTCGGGACCTTGCGACGGAAATCATCAGGGGCAAAATCGTCGGGGGAGTTGAAGTTGAAGTCATCGACGAGCCAGCCGTGGCCCAGGGGGCTGTATGCGACGTAGGCGATGCCTAGTTCCTTGGCTGTGTCAATCAGGCCGTCTGTTTCGTGAAGTGTCTCGAAGGCTGAGTACTCGGCTTGGACGGCATCGATTTTGGCAACTATTTAGTGCGTTAGTGAGACTGGTTGTTTTCTGGAGGCTGAGGGGACCGACTTGAGTTGGCTCTGCGGAGAGTGGCGGCGGAGCATTCTGAGAGACCGATGTACTTTGTCTTGCCGGCCTTGCGGATCTCATCGAGTGCAAGGATTGACTCTGTGAGAGGTGTGTCTGTGACCATTAATACTTTAACATTGAAATATTGGGAAAGTTAGACGTACTCGGGTCGATGCGATGGAGATAGTAAAGATCTGGCGTAAATCCAAGTCGCTCAATGGTACCCTCGATGTACTCCTTGATGTGCGACGCAGAGTTGGTAACAGATCCATCTCCTCCCATGACCTGGAATCCACACTTGGAGGCAACTATACATAACGGTGGTTAGCGAGAGGTAAGGGCTGTGAAGTGAGGCAACGGCCACTTACTAAAAACCTTATCGCGAACATTGTGTTTTCTGATGAAGTCTCCTAAAAGCTTCTCGTTGACGCCGGCTTGGTACACCACCTATATTTCTAGTCAGACGTTGCTCTACTTTGATTTTTTCTTGTGGCCGTCATATATACTTACAGCAGTGTCCCAGAATGTGCATCCGAGTTCAATTGCCTTCAGCAGCACTGGCTCAGCTTCCTCGAGGTTAAGACTGGTACCCAAGCCAAAGCTCAGGCCCATTGCACCGAAACCCGGGGTTGGGACTTGGAGGTCGCCGAAAGGGAGTGTCTTGACCATGTTTGCTGTTGGAAAGCTGCTTTGGATGAAGTAAAGGAAATAGTAAACTGGAATTTAACAATTACGATGGCGACAATTGCCAATTTATAGCACTTTGAATGATATGAGTGGTTTCCGGAGTTAAGGTGCTGACTATGGTTTGGGTCCATGATATCATTGTCGGCCTGAACCTTAAAACCGTGGGTTTTAATGAGGCATGATGGCTATCAATGGACAAAGAGAATGAGTATATGGATCAATTCATCGAAAATCACAGCGATACTACTTAGGGTTAGTGATTGTCAATTAAAGCAGTAAAGCAGCTTCCTAAGGTTCATTTAACTCTTTTTTTCCTTATTCTTTGTTTTATTCACCATCTTTTTTTTTTTTTCATGAGCTCGGTGGATTTCGGCAGTCAAGTGCCGGCGTTAAATGATGCCCCACCTCAGGGTTCGGAATTAAGCATACCAGCAAGTCAGCATTTTACATTAGCGCGATAGTTGGGTTTCACTGCTTCAGGAATGCAGTGCAAAATATTTTGTCAGCAGAGTACATCATTTATCTCCAGTGAGACACTGTCATACCTCCTGAGTGTTTGATCGAACCATTACCCCCCGAGCGGAATTCTTTGTAAACACTACATAATACAGGATCAGCTTGCGATAAGGTTTTACTCGTTTATGACTTCAATTCACATGAGTCCTTCTGTCTTGGTGTATCCACTTGATTGCGTTTATCATTTGATCGTATAATATCATGTGTGGGCTTGGATTAGGAGCAGGAGCCGGAATCCCGCTAAAATGTCCTACTTCGCCCGTCAAACGTCGAGCTCACCAAAGCTTCCATTTCCTCATTCTCTTGCTCAATTAGATTTGAACTAAATACCTAGGCCGTCGGTGGCATAATGTCCATAGAACCTCCCATCAATCTTCACCAATCTATCTCATCGAACGCGGCAAAGCTCAGAGCTGCATAAAAACCCTAAAGTCTTCATTTTCCCAAGGGCAAGCCTTTGGAAAAGCTTTCTGGCGGTGAGATTTCGTCGGAAGTCATCTGCAGAAATGAAGTCGTCTTTTTGATGGATCAAGATTTGCATGTGAAGCTCTGCCAGAGCTTCCAAAGGTTCCATGTATGATGATGCAGTGTAGAAATTAGTCTTCGGAAGCTTTGACCCAGGTAAAGTACCATTCAGGCTCATGTCGTTTTTTTGAAGTGACAAAGGCCGCTTGGTAGCTTCGTAAGTAAAGTCATCGACATGGTCTAGTGACCTTATACAGAGAAAGGACTGCATGTAGAGCTGAAGGACAATATCTGCCAATGGTCCATACAGTAGACCGAGATTCGTGTAACGACATCATTACTGGTATTACTTCGTTTCGTTCGCAGGCAGATCCTCTGACCTACTTCCCTCAATATCGTCAACTCATCGTCTATACTGGAAACGATCTATTCGAAGATGAAATGCGCAAGTTCGTCTTGAACCCAAGGATCAGCAAATAACCTCGGCCATATTTTGGAGATGTTTTTGTGTTCCTCCCAAGCGAAATCATCGTCATTTTTTAGACGTGCAGTCATCCGCCACATTGTCAGTGTGAGATGATGGGACCGTAGAAGTTGAAAATCCAGACCGATAGAAAAGCCGAGGGGTTTCGACTTAACACCCTGCTATACCACATGAATGCGACGTGATTGGATGTAAAAGCGCCATCATATTGATACCTCACATATTGTCAAGGATGGTTCCGAGGTTCTCAATCGGCTTGACCTGGGTAACGGTTAAAAGTGATTCTCGGCTTGTTCAACAACTTCCCGTGCCAAGGGAATTCGGCATTTTTATCATTTCCGCAATCAAAAAAAAGCACTAGCGACCTTCCATCGGACCAATCGCGACCGTCGCTTTGAGACTCCTTTGTGCCGCACGTTTTGAGCAGCGTTGATTATGATAGGGCACGTGTGCGCCCGGGCACTAAGCAATCGCTAAGCCCAGGCCATAGAGTGGAGACCAATCCCGATTGTCCTGCGATCGGCAACAGCATTCCAACGCGACTGGTCTCCGCTTCTATCAGGGTTTCTGGCACGCGGGGCTGCGGGCCAGTGGGTAATTTAAATGGCGTTAAATATCCGTGAAGGCCCTGAACAGAAATTGCCTCCCGGCTTCCCCCTCTTTGCTCCCCGATTTTTTGTTTTTCGGGTTTCTGTATTTGTTTCCTCTCTCTCACGCAATTCTAGTTGGCATGATTGCGCGACTTCGCATCGGGAGCTATGGATCAACTCAAGGAAATCACGCTGTCAACCGTTGAGCAGGACCCACAGGATTCATCCCAACTGGACAAGGCGGAGAATGTGGCCCCAGATCAATTCGATGAAAAATATCGCACGACCAGAAAGGAGATTTGGGCTTATTACTCGTGCGTTGTTTGTTAGAGTCGAGGAACTAAGAGAAGCTAAATGGTCCGGTTATCTAGCTATTACATCGGCAACAATGGACTTTCTCTGTTCAGTAAGTTCGAGTTTCGACTCTCAACCTCGGAAACCAGCTAACAAACGGTGTTTTAGACTTCGCGCCCACGGCTTTTCAGAACTTGATGTACCAAGCAGCCCCACCGAATGGCATGCTCGACTTCGCGGGCCGGTCACGGACAATCAACAGTATCGTGCTGCTGTGTAACGGCATCTCTTTCGCGATTCAAATCGTTGTATTCCTGGCCATTGGTAGTTTCGCGGATTTCGGTTACTGGCGACCCAACATCTTGATCGCTCTATCGATTATCGCATGGGCAATTGGCTTTGGCTGGCTGGGCGCTCATACTTGGGACCAATGGCACGTCGGTGTTGGTCTTTACATTGTCGGCCTCATCGCTTACCAAACGACATTGACCTTCTGGACCGCCGCTTTCCCAGGGTTGGCCCGTAACACGGTCGAAATGAAGGAGAAGGCCGACGAGTATGCCTCTGGAAAGATTACTCGCGATGAATACAACTACGCCGATACCATGATGCGCAGTCGTCTGTCTAACATTTCGTTCTATGTCCAATCTGTGGGGGAGATTTTTATCCTAGCCATTATTGTCGGCATTATGTTCGGACTAGATGTCAATGCCAGCGACGCCAACAACAACTGGGGCCTGAGTGTCCTAATCGCTTTTGCGTCGGGTGTCTGGCTTCTGGTATCCCTGCCATGGTTCTTTCTCGAAAAGCGCCGCCCGGGCCAAGATCCCGGCAAGCGATCTGTTTTTGTTGCGGGCTTGTGGCAGCTCTGGCATGCGATGAAGCAGATCTGGCATCTGAAGCAGAGTTTGCTATATTTGATTGGTAAGACTCCGAAATACTTCGTATGCTCGCTTTGTGGTCGATCGCTAACTCGCAATTCAGGGTATTTTTTGCTAGGAGACTCTCTAAATACCACAGTCACTGTGATTGGTACTCTTCAGAATGAGATCGTCGCTTACAACACTCTCCAACTTACCTATCTTTTAATCGTGGGCATTGCAGCACAGGTGAGTCTATACATCAAGTGATGTCTCTAAGACATGTCTAACATATAGTCAACTACTAGGCTGTCGGTATTTACGTGTTTTGGTTCATTCAACAGCGTTATAAGCTGGGAACCAAAACCATGTTCAACGTTATCGCATTTAGCATTATCCTTCTCGACGGCTGGGGAATGATCGGAATCTGGACCCAAAGCTTCGGTTTCCATAACGTATGGGAAGTCTGGGTATGCAGTCCATCCAAGATCCGAACTAATGACGAGAACAAAACTAATATTCTCGCGCAGGTATACCAAGCGTTCTACGGTCTTTTCGTGTGTCCCTGGTACAGCTATTCGCAAATCATGATTTCGGAAGTCACACCCCGTGGCCACGAATTCCTATTTTTCAGCTTGTTCAGCATCATCGGAAAGACCTCATCGTTTATCGGTCCCATTGTCTCAAGCGCTATTATCGATGCGAGCCCGACTGGAAACACCTCTACTCCATTTTACTTCCTTTTCGCATTAAGTCTTTTCAGCTTCCTTCTCCTGGTGTTCTTTGTCGACCTCAAGAAGAGCCAGGTGGAGCAGGAGAACTTTTTGTTAGAGAAGATGCAGCGCTTGAAGGATAATGAGTCTGAAACCTCTGGTGATAGTGTTTAATCATGTACACGATAGATACCTCACTATGAATTAATTTAATGGCGAATACGAATACATTGAATGATTTACCTCACACTATCTCAAAATCGTCTGCACAAAAGTTGTCCCTTTTTTTTTAGGCCGGGACAGTCACTTAGGGCGCCTATTTAAGTGGTCGACACTTCAGGCCCGACATCAAAGTCTCGGCGCCGAGGTATACATCGCTCGGCCCCGAGAGATCCATCTGATTTCTATATAACGTTTGTCAAGTTCGCATTCATCATAATCATCCTGTCAACTATTTTTACGACTAAATATCACTTCATACAATTTGAATGTCTTCCAAAGCTTCTGGACCCGTCATCGTGGTTGGCGCCAGCCTAGTCGGGCTCTCCGCAGCCTTATGTCTGGCCTCACATAAAGTTCCAACTATTGTTCTCGAGAAGCACGCCGGTATCTCCAAGCACCCCCGTGCGATCGGATTCACCCCTCGGACAATGGAGATCTACCACACCGTTGCCATCGAAAATAACGACCCAGCGCCAATTGACTTTGTGCTTGAACGAGCCCATGTTGAGAGTGTGACCGGTAAATGGCACGACAAATCATCCTGGTCCGACACAGAAAGAAAACCAAAGGCAGAAAACGAAACCCCAAGTGCCTCCCCAAAGACTGAGTATTCAGCTGCTCGAGGATATGCTAAACCTCAAGACAAACTCGAGCCAATCCTTGAAGCACGAGCACTCGAGCTCGGCGCCGATATCCGCCGTCAGCATGAAGTTTTGAATGTGGAACAAGACACCAATGCAGTAATCGTCACCTTCAAAGATGCTCAAGAAAACGTACACCAAATCAGAGGATCATACCTCATAGCTGCAGACGGCAATCGCAGCACCGTACGAGAACTCCTCCAAATTCCACGCCACGGACGCGGACATATGCAAACAATCCAAAGCGTCCTTTTCCACGCAGATCTTCAGAAATGGACAAAAGGCCTCGTCCAATTCGACATTGACCAGCCGAATCTGAAAGCCTTCCTCGCATCTTACAGCGACGGTCGCTGGGCTCTAATGTTCAAAGACGAAATTAAGCGTGACGACGAAACTCTCCGTGCAGCCATCTACCAGGCCGTTGGTACCAATTTCCCCATGGAAATTATCACAACAGCCCAATGGGAGCTCACAGCTCTAGTGGCTGATACCTTCCAATCTGGCCGTGTCTTCCTAGCCGGTGACGCGGCACATACACTGCCGCCCAACCGCGGCGGCTATGGTGCGAATACTGGAATACACGATGTGCATAACCTCGCGTGGAAACTTGCTGCTGTTCTCTCCGGTCGATCTGCGCCGGAACTGCTTGATACGTATGATGCTGAGCGGAGGCCTGTTGCGCTGTTGCGGCATGATCAGATCTTTGTTCGCGCTGATTACAAGGTTCACCTTGATACGGCTGTACCAGCTGGAGAAAAGATTGATGATGATGCGATGGAATTCGGACAGATTTACCTTTCGAAGGGTATAGTTGGTGCGGATGAATCTTTGCCGAGGGCTATGAAGCCTGATGAGTGGATGGGACAGCCAGGTACCCATTTGCCTCATTTCTGGGTTGAGAGAGATGGGACAAGGGTTCCGATTCTTGGTGTTGTTGATTCGACTTGGACTTTGGTTTCTGCATCGAATCGGTGGAATGTAGCTGTTTCTGAGCTTAACGATAGGTCCTCTATTAAGATTCAGTCTGTTTGTCTTGGGATAGGTGTTTCCGTTTGTGGGGATGTTGACGTTCAGATGTTGCTTGGGATATCTAGTAGTGGGGCGGTGCTTGTTCGACCTGATGGGTATATTGCTTGGAGGTCAGTGGAGTTGCAGGTTGATGCTGGGAAGATACTTGGATCTACCTTTTCCCAGGTTGCTTTTCAAACCGCCGGTGTTACAGAATAAGGGATAATGACCAGGGTCTTGAACTTTAAACCTGGAAATGCTATGTGTTTGATTTCGTATATTCCAGAGACTAGTTCCCAAACCATGCCCGTGGGCCTAAACCCTCTACCCGCGTAGTGCTACATGTAGGCAAGCAAAGTTGGAAGAAACATGCTCGAAATCGCTGGTACTAACATGAATTGACATGACCCCACTTCATGCCAATTAGAATATGTAGGCATTCAAGTAGCCAATTGGCGTTTCCTTGCCTTTTCAGGATTAATACTATACCTTATTCGCATGTGACCTGGTTACCATGCATAAATGCTCACTTTCTACCCAAGACCATTATCGGAGATATATGGTGGCTCATAGGCCACTTTCCCCATGCAACTCTAACGGTTAAGTGCATAACCATCATCCTTGTTGGTCAGGTGTCTTGTACGCCGGAAGGTTTCATGCCCGCTCTATTCTGGTACGACGTGTTTCTTTTAGCCAGGTGTTATGTCCTGCAGTCGGCCGTAGTGGTACTCGACAATGGCAGCCAGTCTCATGGATAGCATGGTAAATCTACGCGGCTTTGGTAGGGGACAAGGTATGCCAGGTATTTTTTGATGTAATATAGGACAGATTCTCCACGTTTCACCCACGAGACCTCCTGGTCTTCCATGATAGATTCTGTCGCACAACAATTTGGGACTTTGACAATTTACGCAGAGATTTAGTCATATTCTAAACCATAAATCGAGTCCTCTTGCAGAGCTGGTAGGCAGTCTATCTATGTCACGGAACACAAGTATCCAGGTGTCAATAGCTGATGTTCTTTGTGCATGCCTTTGACTAGCATTGGAGTGTAAATTGATATTGATGCTTAATCTTGAGGCTCCGAGTGCATCTTTCTGCATGCTGACAAGGTAATAAACATGCAGCTTGTCTGACCATGTTTAGTTAAACGTGGTAATCAGTAATCAGGCGTGTGTCACCGTTGCCTTGAGTTGACTTGCGTCGCTGACGGCACCTTCCCGATTGCGGCCTGGCACCTTCTTCATTCTCTATCAACGCATGTTTGAGTTTGTTTCCTTCTTCTTCTTCTTCTTCTTCTTCTTCTTCTTCTTCTTCTTCTCTCTTCACCCTCTTCCGTCACTTCCCCCTCCCAACCCTACGAGACATTCTGTTCTTCACATCAGCCCCCTCTTCCCTTTACTTACCAAAGCCTCCGCTGTGATAAGCTCATCTTTATTGACTACTGCATTCTGAAATCATGGCAAGCACACGCCAGGTCCTCGGCACGGCCGACCTTAACCTCATCGAGGCGCCTGTCACCCTGCGAGCCTACCTGATCTGTGGCTTTGCCAGCTTTGGAGGTCAGATATCTTCCACAACCTTGTTGATACCCCCAGACTAATGTAGTTCTCCAGGTATTCTCTACGGCTATGACTCTGGCTACATCTCCGGTGTGCTTGGAATGGACTATGTCAAGCAACACTTTGGAAACCCCCGTGTTCCCACCAAGGAAGATCCATCCGAGTGGATCATCCCAAGCTCCCGAAAGTCGCTCATTACTTCCATCCTTTCCGCTGGTACCTTCTTCGGTGCCCTTCTCGGAGGTGTGCTTGCTGAGCGCTTCGGCCGTCGCCTCACCATCATGATCTCTTGCTTGCTTTTCTCCATTGGAGTCGCTGTCCAGGTTGGAACCGTCGACGTCGGTGGTCTTGTTGCTGGTCGTCTGATTGCTGGTCTCGGTGTTGGAGGTGTCTCCTCCACTGTCATTCTGTACGTCTCTGAGATCGCTCCTCGAAAGGTCCGCGGTCTTCTCGTTTCCGGTTATCAGTGGGCTATCACTATCGGTCTGCTCGTTGCCTCTGGTGTCGGACAAGGCTGTAAGAGCATTGATAGTCGCTCATCTTACCGTATTCCTATTGGGTTGCAATTTATCTGGGCTGCTATTCTGGCTGGTGGGCTATTTTTACTCCCCGAATCCCCTCGTTACTACGTGAAGTGCGGCCGCATGGACGATGCTCTACGCTCGCTTGAGCGTGTCCGTGGACAGTCTCGATCCAATGCTGCCATCCAAGCAGAGCTTGCTGAGATTCAGGCAAACTTCGAGTACGAAAAGCAGATTGCGAGCACATCCTGGAGTGACTGTTTCAAGGGTGGGCTTGCTGCGCGCGGAAACCTCCGCCGTGTCATCATGGGTGCTGCTCTTCAGATGTTTCAACAGTGGACTGGTATCAACTTCATCTGTAAGTTACAAGCACTGCTCAGTACACAGCGTGCGTCTTTCTCTTCCTCGGCTAACCACTTTAGTCTACTATGGCACCACATTCTTCCAGGAAGTTGGTCTCAAGAACCCATTCCTGATGTCGACCATCATGAACATCGTCAACGTCGTCACGACTCCGGCATCTTTCTGGATGATCGAGAAACTGGGTCGACGTAGCTTGCTTATCTATGGCGCCCTGGTCATGCTGTTCTGCGAGTTCGTCGTTGCAATTGTGGGCGTAACCAAAGAGGGATCCCACGCAGCGTAAGTTTCGAAAGCTATTTGTCACCAGACCACAAATCTAATTATTTGAATTCTAGGAGCCTTTGCCTTATCGTCTTCACCTGCTTCTACATCGCCGCTTTTGCCATGACCTGGGGCCCAGCTGCCTGGGTAGTCATTGGCGAGATCTACCCGCTGCCCATCCGAGCGAAAGGTGTCGCCATTGCAACTGCTTCGAATTGGTTCTGGAACTGTGTCATTGCCGTGATCACTCCTTACATGGTCGATGAGTCGGAGGCGAATTTGAAAGTCAAAGTGTTCTTTGTCTGGGGCAGTGCACTTTTCCTGTGTCTCTTGTTCGCCTTTTTCATCATTCCTGAGACCAAGGGTCTGAGTTTGGAGCAGGTTGACAAGATGCTCGAGGAGACTACTCCCATGACTAGTGCCAGATGGAAGCCTCATGAAACCTTTGCGCATGAAATGGGCATGGTCGACAAGATCGAGCCTACTATCAGCCACCACGAGCAAAAGGGCACTGCTGTGACGGAGCACGACGATACCATCTGAGATATCTTCAATCTTCACAACTTTACCCATGCCGAGGCTACGCATGCCCCGACTACAAAGGTCTAAGAAAAGATTGCAGGTGCTTGCTACAACGTTTTTCTGGAGTGAGGTATGGAAGGTTCATGTATCTTGGACTTGATTTGATAATGCGAGTTCAGAAATGGGTGCCAATGGGTTTACTAGCGCAGATCTGCAATTCCTAGTTTCAGTATTATGCAGCAATTGAAATCACTTCTCAATATTGTTCATATAGTACCTAGAGATAGATGGTATTGGTCATTTTACAGTAGAAAGCCCCCGTGAAGGGCGCGGCCACAAGAAAAAAGAGAGACAAAAACGCCAGACCCATGCTCTGCCATAAAGCGCCAAAGTCCGAAAACACTGAAACCGAGAGACATGTTTTACTCCTCGTCGGAGGTAGCATCCTTGGACTTGCTCTTCTTCTTTTTCTTCTTCTCCTTGCGATCGGCATCGTCCCCATCGGCCTCGGCCTCTGCCTCGCGCTTGCGCTTCTCCTTCTTCTCCTTCTTTTCCTTCTTCCTCTGCTTCTCCGCATCGACATCGGCCGGCGCAGACTCTTCGGGTGCAATGAAATCCTTCTCCCGCTCGCGCATCTTCTCCTCGCGCTTCAAACGCTGTCGCTCGACGACCTCCTCCTTCTGCGCACGATCCTTCGCCTCCTTCGAAAGGAAGTACTCTCCAGACTCGATCTGCAAATCGACCTTGCTCTTCTCGGGTGCAGGCGGGAAAGGCGTGTAAACCTTCTTGCTCTTGTCGGTAACATTGTGAGGAACACGACGCTTGGAAAGCGTGCGCTTCTTAAAGTTCGGCAAGAATCTATCCCATGACTCATTCGCCAGCGTAGGGTCCTTAGCAAGCTCGCGCTTGATCATCAGCTCCTTGATGTGGTAGATAGGGTGAATATTCGCCATGCAGTCGTCAATAATTCTTCGCACCTCCTTCAGGCCCTTGTATGGGCCCATGCAGGCTACTGTGTTACCCTGCACGAGGATGTAGGTGCTTGTGAGCAGTTCCAGGGCTTTGATGGTGGAACCGTTAGGACCGAGAATACGTTGTCTGCGCTTCACGAATCGCTCCTTGTTGCGCACTTGATTGCGGATCTTGATGATGTCGCATGCCACGTCGTCTTCGAGGATCTTCATCGCCTGGGTGACCGGGACGCTACGGGCGAGGAGTTTGATCAGATCGCGGGCCTTAAGGATCGCTGCTGGGTCGTAGGTTTTGCGGGTTGTTTTCACGGTCATGCTGCCCTCTACCAAATCCAGGGTGCAGGCGACGCCCTGCTTCTCGAGTGCTCTGGTGATTGTTGGCCATGCTTCCTTCAGATAGGCCTCGCGGTATTTGGGGAAGAGGGTCATGAAGGAGGACTCCTCAGCGAAATTTCCGGCGACATTGTGTTCGGGTTTGAATTCTTCGATCTAAATGGGTTTCAGTTGTCAGTGAGACTTCTCTTTGGAAGATTAGTGAAAATAGGGAATTTACCTTCCACTTGTCAATATCCTCCGTGTCCCATGCCTTTTCTTTGTTGTAGGTGGAAGGCATTGTGGCTGATGCGTTGTAGAGAGGAACTTTGCAAGTTGATTCCACTGAAGCTCAAATTCCGCAACTTTTTTTTCTCCCCGCCTTTCCCTGATTGGGTAGCCGTTTATGCCTTACAACTTAGGTGTCCGTCTCTGTTTGCCCTCGACATGCATATTGACCTGCGAATTTATCAAATATATCACACGCCTTAAGCGCCCGAGTCTTTTGATTTTTCTTAATTGCATCTACGTGCTTGGTTTCTATCTAATTCCGGCAGCTCACATCCCCCGTTGCCTTACTGTTTTCTCACCAGTCCGCCAATACAGCATGGGCCATGCTGCCCATGCACAGGGACCATGCACCTGGACAGATTGGGCAATAAAATAGGCAAATCTCACTCCAAGTTGTCCAGCAGTGGCGCCAAATATGATAGTGACGACAAGCTACATACTTCAACCGTCACAGCGGCCTCGGACCTGTGGCCGTACTGCACCGAATATTGCACGGAACGCAGTACGGTTATATGCCCACAGAGAGACAAGGTCACACCCCATTCGTGCGCTCTTGGAACCAATCGTGTGAAATGACATCTTATAGTAACGATACCTCAGCGGGGCCCTCAGGTCGAGACCGATCACAAACGCCAGGGAGATAGAGATCGTCTCGGCTAGCTCGGTGCCTAGCAACCATAAGCGGCACAGGAACGAAATGAAAAGCGCCCGCATGACAGAATGGTAAGCCTTGATCTTTGTCGATGTTGGAACAAAATTCTGGATCTTCTAAGGGATCCTGCGCTGTCTTTGCTAGGTCCCTCGAGGGCATTCCGGAACGGATTCTAATAGGGCGCTGGATCCCGGCGCGTTGGGCCGGGTAATGCGTCTCCTAAATAGGAGAAACACCGGGGCCCAAGCTCACCCTTTGGCTTTCAAGGCCCATCTTTCTAACGGCGCCTAAGTGCCACTTGTTCCTCCTTCCGAGTAATGTTGCGTGATTACTCACATTGGCTGATCACCTCTGGTCGCTTTTGCTATGTAGAGCATTATGCATCTGTCGGATATTTTGGGGAATGATGAAATTACCAGTTGCCTTTAGTCTCTTGTATGCTGATAGACAGTAGGGACGAGATAAGATCAGGTACTGACAGGTCAGAGCTTGATCTGATATTGGGCAGCCGTAGAAACCAGTAGGATTGGCAGGGATAGAGGAAGAAAAGAATGTGCACATAAAAGCCGCTCGATGCGCATTTGGGAGCTCTTATGCGGTTCTTGCCTTCCCGGCAGTTTGGGTCAACACCCCCCCTCTTTCTTTCTTCCACGGCTTGCTCCTTTCTTGCCTTTCAATCCTTTTTCTCCCATGGGAAGCACTCGTTCCGACTCGGTCAACTTTTCTAGCATGATATTGCATGTCTGTGGGTCCGACTGAAGCACTGGTGCTTGTTACCCCAACATGGTATGGTCGGGTTGAGGCTCCCCATCCCCAGATTGCCAGACTGGATCACCGACAGAAATCCCAAGGAGATCACGGTACGCCGGTGTTGGAGGAATCCTGATGAAATCTTGTTGGATCTTCAACCGATCGAAAAGGTAAGGCTCTGATTGGTGATTCCAACGGCACGCGGTAACGTTTAGCGTGGTCCTCGGAAGGTTGTCGATTTGCTTCGTGATCCTCCCGATCCGCACGGGACCCCGGTCCATAATGACGATCTGACAAAACAAGTCCTCTCTACCATACAGCCCTGGAATAAGGTTTTTGGCTTTCAATGCTTGCCGTGTGTGTGGCTTGTGAGTGTACTACAGTCCACACTCACAGGCCAGGTCGATCTCTTGTTCCTGCTGCGACCATCTCACCAAGTCACATCCTCCATTTCGGTTCAGACGTTCTCGCCATGTGGGTTGAGGGGGCAGAGTGATCACGGTGCCCCTGTAGAGCAGCAGAATACAAGTGGTCCAGTGGAATACAGATGTGATCAACAAATTTGGTTGACTAACCGTCATTTGCCTAATTCGACATGGAGCTGCGCGTGGAAATGCGACAATATGCAATACACTACCGGGGAGGAAACACCATGAAAGATGCTGCGAGTGCATGAGGATGTCTTTCAACCATTTCAGGTCGACTTTGGGCACCAGTGCGATATATGAAAGGACCAGCCAACTACTCATCTCGGCTTTCGACCAATGCAAACGTATCTGCCTCGTCAGTAGTGGACCGTCCAGCATTCTGGAAAAGAGCACCTACAATGGGAAATATGCCTTCAAGGAAGGATCCCTGGCCTCTTCTTGTGCTTGTTGCACCAACGACTCAAAATTCTCTGCCGACATGTGCAAGCGTTGAGTGAGGGGGTATAGTGCCAGAGATCGAAGGAGTTGCCGGATGTTATCACTGTTGCACTGCCCAATGGCTCGCATCCTTCTATCTGCATATTGTCAGATTCGGTCGTTGGGTAACACACCGCGTAAGCCTACTCACCGGTTGACCATGCCGACAAAGGAAGAGGAATCATGTTCGAGTCGACTTCCTCCAGTCCTGCCTCCAAGAGAAGAGTCTTCAACTTCGACCCAATACGAAGATCTTTCCTGTCATCCAAGGCACGCATGTATTGCCTACTCCATCTTCTCAGGGCATGCTGATCGGTGATTGCGCCGTTGTCGGATTGCACCATGTGATATACTTCGACCATTTGAACCCATCCACCCGGTTTCAATACCCTTTAAAGAAGAGAAAACAGACATCAGTACGAAACAAATTCCTTCCAAAGAGCTGTTTTACTGGGGTCCCTTGGCAGCTGAGCTGCCTGGAATATTCGCACCTGACGATGTCGCGGACATAGGACGGCCATCTAGTACGGTGGATGCCGGTCGCAAGGAGTCGAGAGTGTACAAGATCAAAGTGGTTCGAAGGAAATGTGAATGATCGATTCAAGTCATCAACCTACAGCATCTTGTATTAGCGACCGTCAGCCCAACCAGATTCTCTCCTTGCCAGATCAGATCTGCAACGATACATCGACCGGCTGATGGAAAGGAACCAGACTGACGAACCAAGGACGTGGCTCGCCATCTCCTGTTTCAAGATTCCTTACTGGAGATGTGAAAAGAAGATTAATCACTCACCTGTAGCCAAAGATTGTCCGGAACATCATCTGGGCTCATGTGCGGGGCAATGTCCACGCCAATTACCTTTGACAACAAGTGTTAGATTCCTGATGGACAGGGCCAACGCATCAACTTACATCACAGTCTGGATACCGTTCAGCAACCTCTATAGCCCAGGAGGCGGCTCCATGCCCACAGTCTAGAACCCTTCTCAGCCGACGAATTGGCGGAAAGACCAGACGATTATCGAAAATCCTCTGGAACACTTGCTGCTCAGCTTCCAGGCGTTCTGCTTCTTCCTGCTCAAGCCGTCAGATCAAAGAGCGGTCTCAAATCGAACCCTCATCTTACATCGTCGATTGGGCCGAAATATATGCGGTGGTCGATCGCATATTTCTGATACTCACGGCCGTGGACAAAGACCGTATCCAGGTATTGGCGGTCCAGCTCTATGGTCTGGGAATCCGGGCTCCTTTGGGACCAAAAACATGGATATTAGCATTCATGGAGTCACTAAGTGGAAACACAAGCGAGGGAGAGGTCTTGTCAGTACGTCATTGTAACCCTGGTCCTTCCTCCTGAATGTTGTGCAGAAGTTTGGCAATGTCGGCCGGTATATGGAATGCGTTCTGACCGGTTTTGTCGAAGAGTGGGGGTAAATTCTCCGTGTCAAAGGGGGTATCAACTAATAATGCCAGGAGGGAAAGAGAAAATTAAGTGCTGTGATTTTCATGGATGCGATCGGGTGCCGCTAGAGGGGAGACGGCGGCAATGGCACACTCGGACTGGATGGCGGCTCGAGGATCAAACGCTTCGTGGGCGCCTGTCAACGGGCTGAGGGGCCCCAGTCTCATACAAGGTACGTACTAACGAGTGCACAAATGGCAGGGCAGAGAACTAGTCCGCCAAATGCAATGAACACACTCTATTCTTGGTGCCAACTCTTTTCGGATGATGGAAATCTTTTCGTGACGATCCGACATTGGACTTCAAAGCCCTGCGTTTTGTTACAATGGAACCTTTCGTTGATCGTTGACCCAATACGACCAATGCGGCATTATTAGTCTCCTCCGGCTCGTTCCTTCGGTCCCTGGGAGCCTCCGGTGGGCCTTGTGGTCATCCCTGACTAGATGTTAAGCTACTGGTGATTTGAGTCATGCAACACAGAACACCCTTTCATTGTTGTTCCCGAGAGACTGGGTCGTACATCGATTCACGCGGGCGAAAAGAATGGAAGGGCGGGTCGGTCCAGAAGCCGAGGAATGGTTCATGATCATCGCCAGCAAAATTCCAGGGATTCCCAAGTATCAGGATAGACTCGGACCCGTTTTGCTGCTTAAAGCCAAGCTAACAAACCTTGACACAAGGCGGCGGTGCCGTCAGCTAATGCACCATTCGCTGTATCGCATATGACCTTCTTTGCCTTGGGAATCCAGGAGCGCCCGACAGAGTGGATCATGCGAATACAGTCTCGCCGGTACCACTACACACCCCGTCCCCGTCATAATTGCCTGGTTTTTGGGTGGCTTAATTTCACTGGAGGCTCCGATGTCATTCAGCGGCTGAGGCGCCAGATGACAGAAAATCAAAATCGGTTGCCTTTGGTGCCTTCACCAGGGTCAACAATGTTTTCTACGTTACAAGCCGGGCACATATGAAATGATGTAATGGGAACTTGAGCCAAGGACGAAAAAACGCAAAAAGCAGCAAAGGAAAGGAAAAAGAAAATTCTATCAAATCAGATAGACCCCTGGCATTACCCGATCCGTCCAGACCGGAGATGCGAAACAATAGAAGGGACCCGGAAAAGAGAAATACTATGCGCATGAAGATCCTCAAAATCTCTGCAGAAAGTCGATTGGAATTCAAACCAGCCCTTGCTGGATGCAGGCCAGATGAAAGCCCTGCATTACAGATTCCAGAGGTACGGGAATGGATCGTCGCCGGTTCCCGCTGTCAGTCAAACCAAAAACCAGCAATTTAGCCAGCAATTCGGTGACGGGTTTCCAACATAATCTTTTCGCGCTGTGTACACCGGAGTGGCTCAACCTTGGCGACCAATGTGCATGCAGTATGTTACGACGCCAAGTGGCTTGCTTAGTTGAGTCTGACGATGACAAACTTCCCCCTCAAACATGAAGTGGGGTTGGCCATGTCAAGATCAGCAAGAACCTCGTTGGATCCCTTTCCCTCGGGACTCTTCTGGTGGATTGGTTCATTTCCCCCTCACCGCTTGTCCGACGACCATGGCTTGGATTGGATGATCGGATGCGAACTGATCCGATTTTGCAGATTCACTACAGGGATGCTAATTTTCTTTGGTACAAAGGCACAAGTAGATGTGGGAACCTATCGTTAGTCCCTCGCTGGTTTCCGTGACAAAGAAAACAGATGCAGCCCCGAATCTTGGAAGGCGGATGCGGAAAAGATATCCACTCCAAGAATTTCTGACTGTGGAGGGGTGGGTTCCTCCTTGGGTTCCACTTTCAGTGACTCCTTCCAAACCGTCGGGACTCTACGCCTTCAAATTTGCAAACAAGCGGCATACATATCCACATGGGCGCAGAATATGCAGAAGGGAGCGTGACCAAGTCAATTCTCCGAGTGGGTATATTTTACAGATCGGGCTCCACCGCGACCATCACCGCCACATGAGACCTGGACAACTTGTGGTATTGAGGCAGGTCACCAGGTACTCTGTATCACATACTGTCTTGCCATGTACGAAACAAAACAAGGACGAGAACCAGGAGGTATGTTTTATCCAGAGCAAGACTATTGCCGCAGGAATAATGGCCTCCTCGAAGAGGATGATGTGGCCCTAGGTCATGTTTTTAGGTTCACAAGTGCTTGCGCCCTGACACTCCCATAAGATTACGGAAGGTCAGAGTTTTATAACCAGGAGAACTCCGAGTATTCTTGCCCCTCGATATATTACATGACCTCATCACAGTATGTTCATGCATGTCCCATGGGGCAGAGGGACGGCCCCCTCCCGAAAGAGGAGCAAAGCATCCAAAGCGTCGGGTCTGGACAGGGATGTACATCAGTTAGTCCGGGGCTGTGACGCCGTTTGGCTCTGAACCCAGCGCCATGGTTCACTTCTCGGGAAGCCAGGACCTCAATGTGAGTGCGACTAACCTTAATAGTAGTAGTCTATAATACTGCTTAGAATCGTAGCGGGGTGTGCATTGTTCTACAATCTCAGAAAATGTTGCCCGTGTTATTCCTCAACGACCTTCCTAAGAAGTACCATCCCGGTATTAATTCTTCAGCCCGGCCGCTAACGATCGAAGCTAACCCGAAAACATATACAAAAGCGAGATGTCTCCTGATAATCAGGACCAATATCGGAGTAAGGAAGGTGGTAAAGGCAATGTCCAGGTTGAAATCTTTGAAATAGGGGAAAGGGGTAGAAATTCTCAAAAACAATTTACTGTAGAAACCCCCACTGATCCAAAAACACGATCCCGGAATAATCAAATTCCATACAAGCAAAAGTAAATAGTAAAATAGAATCAAATTCATACACTGACAGAAAAAATTCTTCTTAGCGTTCCCTTCCCTCGGGTCTCAGCCCCAGCCCCCTCATTGAGTCAAGTGGGCTGAGTCGATCTTCGGTCGTATCGAGTGGACATGTAGTGTCACTTACTTTTCTCCAGGGCCAGCTAGTTTTGCTATTTTGGTCTTTGTAACCTGGCTCCACTACAATACAGCCAAGAGCATATGATATGAGCGGGAAGATGCGACTTTTTGAGGTTGCCTTGTCTTGAGAACGTAACTCTTCCCGATCTGAGCTAGTCCCTGGGGTTCTAGGTTGCGTTTATCCACTTCCAGGAGGTCATATTATTATATGACCTATACCTAACCTATATGGACCCGAAGACAATAATACTTATATCCGTCAAGCCCCCTTATAAATCGTTTAGCGGTAAAGTAAACAATGAACCAAATGTCGGCCAAATACACCCAGAATATATAGACTTGAATATCAACCTTAATCGGCCTATTTATTCTATCCGCTCCCCGGGGCCGGAGCTGAGGTTTTAGTGCCGAGATTGACGCATAAAACGGCTCCCACCGCCCAATTTTAACCATATTTATCATTTGCTACTGTAGTCTACCGAACTACTGTACAAAGCACATTAGCTCAGGCAACTACGACTTCGATGGATCGTTGCTGGACTATTCTACTGTACGAGTTCACTGTGCATAGTGTTCTACTAATTCGCAGGTGGGTTGTTCTTGCCACCTGCCCCTCACCTGGGCATGCACCCTTTGCTGCGGGTCTGCATGGTAGACCCGACACTCTGGAACATATTACGAGTTCTTTACGTGTTAGCTTCATATGGATTACGAAGGCCGTGTGACGGTTCGTTTTGGTGTGGCTCCGTAGAGGATACATACATATACTTGAGGCCTGTGTGGTAGGCAAGCTATAGTACATGCATATATGCATCTGCACCTGAACACAGAATGTGTGACCGTTATCGCTAAGATGTGGGCTAGCATAAGCGAGCTGCAGTTCATGGCAATCTCGGGATTTCCAGGGTTGTACTCGAACCCAGGTCCGATGACCTACTAGAGTCTGCGGCTGACCCGAGGTCTTAAAGGGGGTTGTGCCGTGCGCCACTAGGGATTTACATTTTCGATATTCATTTCCCGATCTTGGGTCTGAGAGGTATTATAGTTTGATCTGCGCTGGTGCTTGGGTCCCGGGTTACTGGGATTCTGAGATCTGTCGGGTTCGAAGAAAATGGTTCTTGTGAAACATATAAATAATCTGAGGTCACACGATGACTTGGAAGTACCCTTTATGGTTGCGTTTGGTTCTGTGTCAAGGTTTTGATATTATAATATAAAATTGTATTGATGTGCGTTACACTCAAATTGAGTCAACTGGGCAAATAGCCCCCATCTCTAACCATCCAATGAAATGGGCTTATTTAGTAGCCCCGCAGCTCTGATATTGTTTCTGCTAAGTTATATCAGGTATCTACCTCGAGATATTGGATGTGAGGTTTATCAGTTTCCATTGCAAAGGTTTCTTGACGGCGTTATTGGCAAGTGATTACTTTAGAGGTCCTCGAGTATGGGCTCTAGAGAATTTGCAAGAGGGCTATCAATCAAATGATGTTAGATGCAAAGACTGACAAACTAAAGGTGAGGCCATGTTCTTAGCGAATAATTACAATAAAGCTGTACTTTAGTAGTCAAGGTAGCCTGGAGCTTTTAGTGACGTGCCCAGGTGGACTTCCACCAAGGGAAAAATGCTAAGCATAGTGGGTGATCATGGGGTGTAGAACTATACATTGGCAAATGTGAGCTAGTTTCAGCTGGCGAGACTCAAGGACTATATATTACATAGCATTGATATCTAATAGCGAATTTCGACCAATGAATGAGGATTTCTGAGGATACAAGAGATTCTAGAGCAACGCCTCAATCTCTACCCAAGGAAAGGAGATAATGTAAGACTATGCCATGTTCAGTGTAGTGAAGCGGTGGTAGAGACTAAGGTAAAACAAAATAGGTGGAAAAGTTTCGTTTAACAAACACTAGAACTATGTCAAGAAGTTATCTGAGACCTTAGCCGTGATGCACAAGGGTGTAGATTCTCCACCTGAAATACTAAGCACCAACATTGATATGAATAAGATTATGAAGGATATGTGAGAACCGGTCCGGAGGTTACTTCTTGAATCTAATCCAGAACATCCAGGGTAGACATCATGTCTATACAACAAGTGACTTGGAACAAGCATATACATTTCATCATTACCATCGCCTGAGTTGAGTTGAGTATATAAGATAGATAAATAACAATGAATAAGTAGCGCATCGTTAGAGAATTAGATGCAGCATTCAGGACGAATATTAGTCAGAGCACACATTTCTACTAGCCACAGATCACCTCACATCCTCGCGACCAGTCGTATACTTGATACCCGCCTCCACAATTTGCATGAAAGTAGCAATTTCCGCATCGTTCCGCGGCGCATAGATCATGAGAAACTCCGCGGGAAGATCTTTCTTTGTACCAAAGGTCAAAATCGACAAGGCCAATCGGCCCGAAAAGCCATGTCGCTGGCCCCAGCCTGCCTCAATAACCTTCATGCCTAGCCAGATATCAGTACTAGTATCTTCACAAAAGCAAGGTATCAATGATCAAAATCAACACCCAACTGTCAAACTTACAATCAGCAGGCGCCAAAAGCATGTGGCCCGAAAATTCGCCGTTCGAATGCAAATGCGCAAGCTCGCCATTCGTCGCCTTGACAGCATCCGAAGCCGGGAGGTGATTAGAAAGGAAAAGAGCATCAGCATGCGCTTCCTGACCTGAGCGCTGGAATTTAACAAGATGGTGATTCCGATGACCGAAAGCCCTGAATGCGGCCTCGAGTTTCTTGCGCCCAGTTAGCAGACATCCCTAGTCTCCTATCAGACATCATTACTCACATCCTTAATTTCCTCCTCGGGTAACTGCGTCAACTGCCTCTGAGGCGCAACATGGGGCCCAACAACCGGCCGCTCCCTAACAGAGCGCACCTGTTCCGGCGCAAGAGTGAGGAACCCCGCCTCCCCAGCTCCATGTCCCTCCAGTGCATGTACTCGCTGCACGTATATCTCAGTCCCGAACATCTCGCCCATGAAGGGCTGGAAGATCGTGCGCACGACTAACCATCCGAGTACATTGCTTGGCGGGCCGCCTGGGCCGTAGGAGCGGAAGGTCCGGTAGTCGCGGTAGAGTGTGGGGAGGATTAGGGAGGTGCCGATTGCGGCTGTTGTGCCAAGGGCGAGGGCGAAGCGTTCTTGTTGGGTTTGGGGGAGGCGGATTGGTAGGGAGCGGAGATGTTTTGTTATTTGATCGTAGGACATTGTTTTGGTTTTTTGTTTGTGAGTGGATGGTGGGGGTTTGTCGTTTCCAGGGATGAACTGGGGACTTTCTAGGATTGTCCGCTATGCGATTATGTGATGTTGAGGTGAAGTGAGGAGATAATAAATAGCTCGAGGAGGGGCTGGGTAAGTAAAGGATCAAATGTCTTGCCTAAAGAACGATGCGACGGACAATCGGGGCTTAAGGGTCCGAGTCCGCGTTGCATTTTTCTTTTCTTTCTTATTGGGAAATTATCTACAATTCTTAGTGAGTCGTCCCTTGAGTCAAGTAAAGATGTAGTCTTTCCAGATATCACTCATTTTAATTCAACATGGAATGTTTCTTCATTTCTCCAGGTCGGAGCTATCTTATCGCTGGCTCCGAGATCCACCGCGGGCCCCACATCGAGTCCAGCAGACCATCTCAATAGGGTAAGTTATGCGGCTGAATATGGTATGATGCGATGGGGCCGCAACTTCCTGGTGCCGGAGTTCGGGTGAGGTACGCCTTTTCTGCAAGAATCAAGCCATCAAAGCTTGGTGTCCGAGGATACGGATATCTTGATAAAGGCCGTGTCCGAGTCACAGAATATGGAAAACTTGGTATTCTGTTGGGACTGCAGGACGCTAAGAATGCGAGCTGCAGTTAAAGAGATTGGCTGTGATGTCGTCATTTATCAGTCCTCTTTGCTAATTGAGCTAAGGGAATGCGCTAGCTTTAGGAGCACAACACTCTCAGTGGCGGCGAAGTAATTCAGACTATTCTCGTCAGTTCTGGTTCTTGGCGAAAGTTCTAACGTGACTGACCTGTCCATCAAAATGCGCAGGTGGCGGTTGAAATGATCCTCATATCGCTTAAGTGTGTCCTCAAGCTTGCCAATCCGAGTGGGATCATAAGGTCTGGCTTCAGCTCCTGTGGCTGTCTCCCCAGACAAGTCTGGGTCAGCGGAAGCTAGGGCCCGCGTAAGGGACGCAGCGGTCCATGATGCAAACATAGTACAACAGGTCATCAACTTGGAATGGATCTGTAATCGGGTCAGCAACTGCTCGGCGAAAGAAGTCTTGAATATTCGCCTACCTTCAATAGCTTCGCCTGGGTAAGCATACACTCCTTTAAACAGGTGTCCAGGAAATCGACGTGGTCTTGCATTAGCTCATCCACCGTTCGGTTAACCTGTTTGGTGCCGTTGACGGTCACTTCGGAACCTTCGGCATCAGCTCCGTTCACTCGGTCCATCAATCCTACCCAGTTGGGCTCTATCACTTCAGCAGTACAGAAATACAACAGTTGTTGCACAAACACAAGCATCTTGGCCCGCAGGTTCCACGCACGTCGCTTCCACATCTCCAGCCGTCTGTCAGATGACTTGTGTCGCCAGCTGGTCAACTTGTTCTGATCTGCCCAGGAGGTGACTAGCAGCGTTTCCAGATGGCGCAGAGACAGAAGATGTCGAAAAATAAGTTGGTATCGCAACACAGTCTTCCGACTAATTACGAGGGAGAGAGGGAAGGGCACTGTGTAGTCCAGCTCCAGCGCATCAAATCCCACAATATCTTTCTCATCATCTGCAGCCTGGGCGGCAGAGACCTGCTGTTTCTCGATTGCCGCCTCTGGGTGATCTTGGTCAATCCCGGAGACGCTAACCACCTGCATTAACCACTTGGTGAGTCCAATTTTGTTCATTCGTACTTTGACGTCCTCCTTGAATGGGTCTTGTGCAGCAATACTCCCCGGCTGTCGAAGCACAAGATCAAGAAGGGATTGGAGTTTGCCTTCGTTGACAACTCTGGCGGGTTTGCGCAATTCAGAAGCACTCAGTTCGAGGAAGTAGGAAAAGAAGTCAGAGCGGTCCAGGAAGAAATAGTGTTTGAGGGAACGGAAACGAGTTGTCAAAGAGTTCTTGGTGAGGAGGAGGTTCAATAGAGAGGCATTGGCGTAGGTGTAAGCACCATTGACGTTCTCCAAAAATCGGGGATCATCGAGTGTCTTGGGCACATCTTTGACGGCTTTGCTGATATCCACACCACCGCACTCTCTTACCACATTGAGATACTTTCCTGCAAGAAGGACCTTGTCTCGAACACTGTCAAGTTGAGGTGGGATTTCATCATTGCGGATCGTGTAGCGTTTCTCCCAATACTCGTCTGTATAGTCTTCTTCAAGCTTCTCCCGTTTGATCCACTTCTGCTCCTTGATCAAGAATTCTCCGTGAGGGTCTCGGATGCCTCCATGATGTAGCCATTCGTTCAACATGTTCATGTAGGGCCGACTGGCATCCCGCAACAATCCCTGGACTAAGCTTTTGGTGGTTGGATCGCCTGCAAATGTGTTCAAACGCTCTGTGAGCAGCCGGAGGACATTTCCACCCTTGCAAATCTTCTTACTTGCCATCGCGCCAGGTACTAGATCGCCGCCTTCTCTTAGTTGTTCCAGGATATTGTCGACATCATCAAAGTCGTCTATTGACTCGTCCATATCTTGATCTTCCAAAAGGCCATTGCGGCGGAGGAGTTCTTGCCCTAGAGAGTATAGCTGTGCGAGGCACTGGCTCGTCGACATTGTGTGTAGATGAAGTTGATGTAGCGTGAATGTGGTGCTGTTCAGCAACTGGCCTTCAAGCTGGGCGATGAGAATCAAATAGTCTTTAAGGATTCTGCGAATTGATGCGCAGAGCGCATGGCTGACTGCGCCGTATTCGGCACGACTCAGCAGCTCCACGAAGGCCTCCATAGCGCTATAATGGGTGGCCATCTTCAACATCGATTGTGTAAGATCCCGCAGGGTAGGATCTAGACCTGGGGCCAATTGGAAGACCGGGCCGGTCAGCCGGTCTTTCTCGACGGATGGATCATAAGAGCTGTGGTAATGGATGTATTGGCCTTCAAAGCCCATGAACACAAACAGCAAGTCCTCCAAAACAGCGGTTTCTTGGCCATCGGGTGAAAGATCTCGGAACGGTTGGGGGTAAAGTGACTGGGGAATTGTCGCAGCTGATGGGGGGACGGATACACGACAGGCGAGGGGGGCAGTGGAATGAGGAATCAATGATGCTTGCGGATCCCATGGTGCTATAGAGAACTTGTCAATACGGTTCGTTTGGACTCAACAAAGTAAACATGCGACGTAAATGCGACACGTTTTCGAGCAGTAACTCACTTTCAGCCGCATCCTTTTCCCGTGAGGAGCCTCCGGTATTTGCGCCATCGAGCTGGCTGGGGTATTTAGGCCGTGACTTATCGCGGTCACCGCGATTGGCCGCGCTTGACGACTCCTTGATGGGATTCCTCCGCACTGACTTCTCTCTAGTTGTAATAGTAGTACGCTCCGTGCGTTTCTCCGACATGCTCCTCTGATCCCGGGACATTCTGTGTTTCTGACTGGCGGTGCTGGACCGAAGAGCGTCCATGTGGTCGGGGAGCGGCGATGCGCCGCGAGGCCCAGCCTCGACGCGATTGGAGACAACGCGGGGTCGTGGAGCGTTCATGTAGCTGGCGCGGTCATTGACGGACATAATCCCGACAGGGCGTATAGCATGGCATAAAGCCTACAGGATCGATTCGAACAGAACTACCCTTATAAGCTCTGGGGAAATCAACAAAAAGTAGTAATTGCAATCCAAACAAAACCGTGGAAACTCCACTTAGCAACCCTTGGGCACCGGGTGCCTTGGTGCCTTATCCGCCAGGTGTCCAACAGGCACTGACGACTTGCGTAGAGCTTCCGCCTCGAACAGCTCCGCTACCTGCTCCCACCTCCCATCCATCTCACGCTCAATACCCTCCCTCCTCCTTTACATTTCCCTGGATATCCCTTGATTTCTTGATCCGTTGAGTTTTATCCTCCAAGACCATTCAATATGTTCATTGCACGATCCGAATATGGTAAGCTCCGTCCCTCCAGACCAACACTTGCAGCATCACTAACAGCTCCCCGATAGACCGTGGAATCAAGTATGCATTCTGAACAGGGCTCCCCGCCCCTCCAATTCAAACCTATTAAACTAATAATGCCACCCCGACAGCACCTTCTCCCCCGAAGGTCGTCTGTTCCAGGTTGAATACTCTCTCGAAGCTATTAAGCTAGGATCCACAGCGATCGGAGTACGTCTACCCTATCTTTTTCGGATGAATGAATACCGCATCGATATTTCGCACATACTCCTTGCTCCATGGTATCTCAGCCCCCATGCTTCGCCTAAAACTAACACGCCCTAGGTCGCAACATCGGAGGGAGTCATCCTTGGTGTCGAGAAGCGCGTTACATCCACCCTGCTCGAAGCATCATCTGTCGAGAAGATCGTCGAAATCGACCAGCACATTGGCTGCGCCATGTCCGGCCTCCAGGCCGACGCCCGAAACCTGGTTGAGCACGCCCGTGTCGAATGTCAGAATCACGCCTTCAACTACGCCGAGCCGCTGCGCGTCGAGAGTACCACACAGGCAATTTGCGACTTGGCTCTCCGGTTCGGAGAGAGTGGTGATGATGAGGAGAGCGTGATGTCCAGACCGTTTGGTGTTGCGTTGTTAATTGCCGGTTATGACGAGGACGGGCCTCAGCTGTATGTTTGATTTCGATTGCTCACCTTGAATTGTGGCTAATGTCTTTTTTCTCGCAGATATCACGCTGAGCCCTCAGGTACTTTCTACCGATATGATGCTAAGGCTATCGGCTCCGGAAGCGAAGGTGCCCAGGCAGAGCTGCAGAATGAATACCACCGTTCTTTGACTCTTTCTGAGGCCGAGACGCTGGTGTTGAAGACACTGAAGCAGGTCATGGAGGAGAAGCTTGATTCCAAGAACGTTCAGTTGGCGAGTGTGACCAAGGAGAAGGGATTCCGCATCTACGATGATGAAGAGATGGGCCGGGCTGTTGCACAGCTTGGTGGAAACCAATAGATACTGTTTGAGTGCTGAAAGTTAGTTCTAAAGGAACTCGGTGAGCATTTTATATTGCCATTGCCATTTGAAAAGAATGTGTTCAATACGTAGACCTGCTGATGTTATTTGAGTGATTGTATTGGAGATCTTTTCCTGACGTAAAAACAGTTTACATAGTCCAACTGTTCAACTGTGTAAAGAACATTCAATACGGTAGTGTATGGAACTCGACAAATGAAGTAACAAGCAACATAAATCTAAAAACAAGGGTAACATAGTCTCGATTCTAAACATAACTTTTTTTGGTATCTCAATATGGAACTACCGAATCTTATACACACAAGGCTTGAGCACCTGAGCTTCCTGCTCCGGTGTCATGGTATTGCCACCCTCCGGCTTGCGGTCGACAAAGCGCTTCTTGCCAGGAGCAGGAGCAGGAGCACCAACACCAGCATGCTTACCCTTCGCCGGGGCACCATTAGCCTTAATGAACTCCATCTTCACAAACATCTTGTTTGACTTCTCAACTGACTCCTGCTTGAGGATAAATCCACGGGACCGGAAGACCTCAATGAAGGCGGAAATATCCGTATCATCGCTGTTATCCGCAGGACGAGCATCCTCAGCAAAGATATCAGCATCGTCCTCATCGTCCTCATTATCTCCAGACTTCTTCTTCGGTAGCTTCTTCTGCTGGGTCTTGCTAAGGGGCTTCTGGGCTCCAATCTGCGCCTTCTTGCGCGTCACTTTGCCGAATCGGCTCTTCACCTCGCTGACCCAGCACTCGCCCTTGCCATCGCCGCGCAGAACACGCCAAGCTTCCTCCACGAAGGAAACCCAGTTGGTTCCCATCAGACTCAGACAGAATACTGTCACATCAACAGATCCATCTTCAAGAGGCAGATTGGAGATATCAGCCTTGGTGATGAGAGGATCCGGTGACTGGAGATCGTAGCTCTTCAGCTTGATGTTCAACTTCTTCGCAGAAGGAGTCAAAGCGCGCGCAAGTCCGGCATCACCACAGCCCAGATCGGCAATAGTGCATGATCCGTTAGGTCTGCGGGGCAGAGGCTGCGGCTTGTTGGGGTCGGGCTTGCCTCTCTTGGGAACGGGCACGGCGCCACGACGGCGGACAAACTGGATATACCCATCCACTGGGTTGGAGGGCCAGGACTCTTTCACCTGGCGGGAGAAACCAGCGTGGTATTCGCTGAAAAGCTCTGGGTTGGCATTGAATAGTTCAACGGCTTTGGAGGAGTCTGTTGTGTACAGGGTTTCGTTCAAGTGGCGGAAGCGAGAGGAGATCAGTTTCTGGCGCATTGCTTGCTGGAGCGGCGTCAGAGTCGCTGTGGTTGGTGGAGGTGCAATCACAGCGTCGGCTGCGGCACTTGTTCCAGCGGCAGGCGCAGCAGCAGAGCCATCTTTCTGGTCCTTGTTCTTCTTGTTCTTCTTCTGCTTCTTCTGGGGCGCAGTTTCATCCTCCTGGGCTGCAGGTGCAGAGGTGTTCTCTTCAGTGTCGTTTGTTACAGCTTCGGTCTCCTCGGTAGCGGGCTTCTCTTTCTTCTCCTTCTTCTTTCTCTCGCGCTTGGCAGGTTTCGGGACATGGCCCTCGATGAGCTTGCGGTACATATCATTGACATTGCTTCCGGTGACATTATCATTGCCACGCTTGCGCTTGTTTCCGCTGTTCTTTTCGTTGGGGGTTGAGGATTCTTTGGACTTCGAATCGTTCGGTTTTGCGGCCTCAGTCTCGCGCTTGGGGCCGCTCGAAAGCGACCATCCTGGAACGGCGAACATTGTAGGACTGTGATATTTTTCCCGCTAGATAATTGGCTTCAATCCAACGTAGAGATCAAGCAAAACTTTTGGAGAAGACGGAGAACGCAAAACTGCGGAGATAAAAAAAAAGTTGCCGGCAGAAAATCATCTCCACACGTATTGAGTAAAATGGATACTAAGTTTACAGTACCAATTATACCGATATTCTGCCATGATTATCAGGCATCAACGCTCGGTTCACCAACCTACCATAGCTACGAACTGTGTTTAGATTCTAAAGTTCTAGAGTTCAAAGAAATGACAATCTCGGATGTCCTTCCAAGCGTGATTCTCATTGTTGACTCCTAAAGTTGTCCAGTGTGTAGCCAAAACCTTGGCGTGCAACCGCTATCAGCATTGGCCCATCGGTTTAATTTTAGCCCTGGAATAAGCTCTGGCATTAGCGTTAGGCCCTTAAAGGAAACGAGATTAAGCAAGACCCATGTGGTCAGGGGGGCCCGCCTCATGTCAGATCTTATGGGCTGACTGAGAACGGGGTATGGAGATAATCAGCCATGTGGCATGCATAGATTAAAAGCTGAGACAAAAACACTATTACAATCAACGTCACACATGGTTGATCGCGGGTGATCTTCTGCTCGGCACCGATGCCCTTGTGGAGTTGCAAATTGGATCGGACCCAGACTGCCTCCGCCGTCAACTATTCCCCCCTCCCATCTAAGAACCTTTTCCTGGAATTTCTCTCTCCGGTTCCCCAGCCCCACCATGTCTTCAAGCCAGTCTTACAATTGCCGATAAAACTGGTTTAATCTACGCGACCATGGCTGACGAGGAAGCACAAGCATCCGACTCTGGTAACGGCCGTTCTGCCGAGCCGGGAAGAAACCAAACGCCCCGCAGACTTCCTAAGAAGCGCACCAAAACAGGTTGTTTAAGTACGTCGAGAAGGTGGAAAGATGGGCCTGCTTTTGTTAAAGATACATATTGACCATTTTCGTTAGCTTGTCGGAAGCGTCGCATTAAATGTGGCGAAGAGAAGCCCACATGTGCTAACTGCGTCAAGTCCAAGCGTAGCTGCGAGGGCTATGCCCAGAGGGTGGTCTTCAAGAATCCCTTAGGTATCTTGGGCCCATATGGCCCACCACAGATTCAGGATGATCAGATGCAGCAGCAAAATATACGGGTACCGCTGTACAGTGACTTCACCTCGCTGCCACCTCAACAAGCGGCGGCAGCAGCACAACACCCCATGTTGGCACCACGACTAGATGCTCACATGCTTTCAGGGTATCAGTACCCTGCTCCAACTGCTGCAGTAACTGAAAGGGTTCAACAAGATCTGCAGCAGACCGTTGACCCTCCACGGTTTTATTACCCAGCACTTCCGGTGCAGATGCCTCAGCAATGGCCTGATCACTCTGCCGGGCAAGTTGGACAAGAGACGACTCCCTCTCCCTCGCTCAACTACATGCAGTATCAGTCTCAGCCCATTGGCTTAAGTAACCTTAATACCCAATATAGTCCGGTTAATCCTCAGCTGCCACAACCCATCACCGACTGGGCAAGTATCACAAACCAGGACTATGCTAGGAATTCATTACCTCAGGTACAATATACTCTTAAAGCTTGGAAGGTACCCCTGCTAAGGAGATACAGTCATTCCAGCCAACAAGTACAGCCTATCACTATCCACAGTCGCCTGAGCAGCCTCTACAGCCTACTACCCCTGGACAATACTTCCCACCCTCTCAAGCGCAGATTGTATATGTTGAAGATGAAGCTGAAGACTATTATGACGTCGAGTCTGATGAGGAAGCGGAGGACCAAACTCAGACAGAGGGTTTCAACCAGCTGAGTCTCATCATGGCCTCTGCCAACCATGATGACCGTCGTATGCGGTCTTTCACTACTCACCTAAACGAACCAAACATCCTATCCTCTTACCACCCGACGCTGGGATCATCCCCCCTAAACAACCCCAAGACAGCCCGCATCTTCGCGCACTTTATCCATTCAACGGCTCCCACACTGTCAATTTTCGAGCGGCACGCGACCGACTCATCGATTAACTTGGGTAGCACTATTCCACCCGCTCAACAAGGTCTGTGGACCTACACACTTGCCCTTAAAGCCTTGGAGCATCCGGCCCTTTTGCAAGCTATGCTCGCTGTTGGCAGCTTGCATATTGCATACCTACAACAGGCCCCTACTACTGTCTCCTTGAAGCATTACCACTACGCCTTGAAACGTCTAGGCCGCGCTGTTGGTCTTCCAGGTCGGCGAAAACAGATTGGTACTATGGCAGCTACCCAACTTCTGGCCTATTACGAGGTCATGTCAGCCGATCACAGTAAATGGAATAGTCATGTGGCCGGGTCTGCTCAGTTGATCCGAGAAATTGATTTTGCAGCTATGGCTCGAGATCTTCGTGCTCATCGACGCAGGGCCAATGAACAGCGAGCTCAAATGGGGTGGTCTAACCCGTCGATGCAATACTATCATCCTTATGGTAGTGAATCATCTGAAGATGACCCCTTCTCTGAAAAGGAAATTACTATTGACCAAGGGCTCATTAGCTCTATAATGGGGCAAGTGGTCAACTACGACGAGTTTGGCCATATCGAAGGTCACTACCAATATCCAAGGAAGCACTTTTCTCGGAAGGACATTGAAAGCTTTCGCATCCAGTGCGACTTGTATTGGTGGTTCACGAAACAGGACGTGTTTCTCGGTCTGATCAGTGGTGAAAAGACATTGTAAGTCAACTTCTCTCACTATGACTGATGTCGCAGGCTAACCTTGTCCAAATAGTACGCCTCAGTATCTGCGAAGCCAATGCCCCCCCTCGAGCCGCGGTAGGTCGAATAGACGCAGTCTATGGCTCTGCTGATCACTTATGGCTATTGCTTGGCCGTATATCTGATTTTGGAGAACGGGACCGCAGGCGAAAGCTGAAGAATTCTCGTGCGTCGGGTGTAGCCTGGAGGCCAGGCCAAGAGCTGTTCCGGTTCATGGGTCGTTTTGCTGGCGGCAGTGGACCACCTGGAGGATCAAGAGCTCCTGGACCTCCCGGGCCCCCAGGCCCCCCAGGACCTCCAGGTCCACCTTCATCTGGTTCGTCTAATTCCAATTTCGGAAGCAGCCCTGGTGCTCCTTCAGAGTCGTCTCAGGAGAGCCCACCCGCCCAAGGTCCACCTCCAGGTCCACCAGGTCCACCCGGTGGACCCCCAATGTACGGCATGGTGCCACCACAACCTCCAGCTCAAGTGCCACCAGCATTTGTTCATGATAGACGTGGGCAGCCAACAACACCGGAACAAGACGACCATGGCGAGGAAGCTACATACGCCGAGGCAGAGCGTGAATGGGAAGAGATTCTGGCTGCTATGGATATCTACGTCCAGGCCCTGGGTCGAGATTTCCAACCACTACCTGCAGATGTGACGACAGTCATCGATTCTCCTTTTGGACCGGCCCTGCAATACCGTACACACACTATCGCCGTGGTTTGGGCAATGTATTACGCCGGACGAATCCTGCTGCACCGTCTCCACCCATGTCTGCCCCCAGCCATGATGATGGCTGCCGGTGTAGCAGCTCCTACAACTAAAGATTGGGCACAGATGATAGGCCGGATTACGGCCGGTATCTATTACCCGCAACGCTACAATCTTCAAGCTGGCAGCCTGAGCCCGACCCTCGGTTCTTCGCTCACGGAGATGACCCTGCCGATCTTCTTTGCTGGTGTGCAGTATGTAGATCATGCACAGCGTGTCTGGACCATTGCGAAACTAAAGGATATTTCGCGGCTTACTGGGTGGAAGACTTCTGATGCTATCGCGGGTGGCTGCGAGAGCTCTTGGATCATTGCGGCTAAGCATGGACGGGGGCCTCCATATGAGCGATCTGTTGCGAGTGAACGCGAGCGTCACCGTGATGATCCTGATGCTCCTGTAAGTGTGGATGTGGAATTCTGATATTTGTGTGACTTTCACTAATTTTCTTCTTATAGCCGCAGTATGTCGTCGACAGAGAGGCGGAAGAACCGTATAGTGATGATCGGCGGTTTGTCACTTTCCGACCGCCCGACCGAGCCTTTTTGGCCATGGGGCTCTTGAGTCTGGAAGGTGACTTGCAAAATCTAGAACTGTGAGGAATCGGGACTGGCTAATGAGACCTATCGCTTAATTGCATGTATATGTGCCAGCAATTCAAGTTCCTCCGGGTACTATATACTCCGACTTTTTGTATAAATAACCTGCCTCACATACTCCTACGCCTAAGTAGTTCCCATACGGGCTGTTAATAAATCTGCCCGGGTGATGTTTTCAAGACACAAGGTCGTCATCTTAACCCGGGTGTGCTGTGATGGGCGCAGCACATGTACATGTACAGTGTACCTACATTAGGCATGATGACATACAGTAGTACAGACCTAAAAGGGACTAAGTGTGGCGGAGACCAAACCCCCACACCAAATCATAAGGAAAACAAAACCTAATGTCATCACTGCCTTGGCTTCTGCCTGAAGAGTAAAATATCAATCTTTGTTTCGGAGCTGAACTTACGCCACACTCTTATCTCTAACATTCTAAACCCTGGAGTCTGACTCTTTTCCCTCCTTCACCCTCACACGTGGCTGACGCCAACCCCACCATCAGCGGCCCGAGTCAGCCGCCCTCGTCATAATCCACGGTTCACATCCTCCTCACAAGGCACTTTCATAAACAAACAACCCCCGGTCAAATCTGCCTCATTCCACATCCCTGGCAACATGTCTCGCTACGAGGATTATCGCTCGTCATCGGGCACTCTCGACTCTCGCGATCGATATGACAGGTACTCGCGAGGACCACCAGTAATGGAACGTGAACGAGCCCGCTCTCGACCCCGCCGCATGGAAGATGAACGCTTCGAATTCAGATTTGAAGAAGAAGACCGTTACGGTCCACCTGCACGCGCCCCGGGCCGCCACTATGAAGACGAGCACCTGGTTCACACATCCGGAGCACTAGTGGCGCCTGACCGTCGCCGTCGCCGAGACGCGAGTCCATCCATTGCTCCGCCACGTTTAATTAGGCGACAATCGTCTCTTGATACCTTCGATCGCATTCCCAGACGCAAGATGGAGCCTGCACCTAGGGCTCCGAGGGTGCCTCAGCCACCACTGCATCGGCCCGCACCGGGTCGCTATCGGGAGCGAGAGGTTTATGAGGATATTCGTATCGCTGAGCCAGACTACTATGGTGACGAGGAGTTCCGCGAGTTCAAGGAGAGAGATAGTCATCGCAGACGTTCCGGTAGTATGGCTAGACGCAGGCATGAGGAGAAGCCTTATCCGCGGAAAGGCAAGACGCGTATTCCGCGGAAGTTTGTGCATATTCATGCGATTTTGGATTTGGGATATCCTTTCAAGGAGGAGGTATGTTCTTCTTCTTATTTTTGGGCTGGTTTCGGATGCTGATTGTTCATTAGGAGGATACCATTATCATCCAGAAGGCTCTGTCGAAGGAGCAGATCGATGAAGTGATTACTCTCAGTAGACAATTTAGAAGACCTATGCTCGAGGAGAGTGGGTGAACCGTCTTGTTGTTGATCGTGAAGAGCACGCGTATTGACACTCTTTAGCTGAATACCTGGAAATTCAACGGCCACGCGAGCGAGTTACAACGGAGCATCTACTGCTTGAATCTCATCACTCACCCCGCGCTAGCCATGAGACATTCATTGTCGAGGCACCCTCTCACCCCCGGGAATATGAGTATGAGTATGAAGAAGTGGTTGAACGGCCAGTCGATAGAACACGCCTGCGGACCGTCTCCCGGCCACGATCTGTATCGGTGTCTGCTCCCGTCCAATACATTGAGCCTCGATCTAGCTATGTCGAAGAGCGCATTGAGCCTCGGGCTAGCTATGTTGAAGAGCGCATTGAGGCTAGGCCTCGCGACTCTGGTGGGTTGGTTGTAGTGCGGCCCCGTCACAGTGACCATGATGTATCGGACTACATCGATGATCTAGAAGAAGAGACGAGGTTGTTACGTTTGGAGCGACAGGGCGGCGGTATCGAGATCACGCGACAGCGCGAGACGGATATCATTGACAGTAGGGGCAATGAGGAGGAGATAATCGAGACTCGCCGGCAGGAACGCAGAGGTAAGTCCACAGGCTCTAATCTAGCTTTGTCTTGCAATGCTAACATTTATTTCTAGAACCTAGTTCGAGGATAATGCGTGCCATGATGGCGACCTTAACTTAAATGAGATCACATTTCTTAGGAGAAGACGAGATATGATTTACGGACTAACGAGGCCATTTTTTTCTTTACTTTCTTTTTTTCTCTTTTATAACCTTCTCTCGGTGTATTTTTTTTCATTATCAATTTCATCTAAACTACTATCAAGGTGACTCGATGTAGCTCGATTGGATGAAGAAACCGTGGCTGGTGCGGTGTGGGGCGGTGCAGCGCCGCGGGATAAACCATCGCACCTTCTCGTAGCTGTTCATCCATTCATCTCACCCTATTTCACTTACTTTTCCCACCTTCGCTTCCTCATATTCTACAATCATGGATCGAATGCAGGCATTCGGTAAGAACTTCAGGTGAGTGTTCAGTTCTACCTTCGTCTCTCAGGGGATCATCCAAAATAAAAACCACGTACCCTCCGTTCCAGGCCCCAATAGTTACTAACATCGGGTTGTCTTTGTTTTGACGATTAGCGCGAACTTCACGCCTTTTGCGCAGCGCACCCAGCAGATGATCAAGGAGCAGCTTGGTCAGGCTGAGGACAAGACCCAACTCCCCGATGAGTACATCGAGCTCGAGAAGCGCGTCGATGCGCTTAAGCTGGTTCACCAGAAGCTGTTGCAGGTGACGTGAGTGTTTACCTTTGAAGAAGTCGCATACGTGATTGACGACTGACCGGTGCGGGGACGATGATCCCCTCCTCACAATAGCTCCCAATACTCCAACGAGGCCTATGACTACCCTCCCAACATCCGCGAGTCCTTCAACGACCTTGGTCGGACCATCAACGAGAAAGTTAGCCTTCTGTCGCAGGCCAGCTCCCCCGCTGAGGCCCAGGCTGCCTTGACCGCACCCCCCTCTGCCAAGCCGCAACCCAAAACCTTCAACCATGCGATCGCACGTGCCTCGCTCGCCGGTTCGCAGACCCTTGCGCAGAGCATGGATGGCGAGGACCCGCTCGCCAACGCCCTGGAGAAGTATGCTCTGGCTGAGGAGAAGGTCGGTGAGGCCCGTCTGGCCCAGGACTCTCAGATCCAGTCCCGCTTCCTGGCTGGCTGGAATACCACCCTTAACACCAACTTGATGTTCGCCGCCAAGGCCCGCAAGAACGTTGAGAACGCCCGTCTAACACTTGACTCTGTCAAGGCCAGCAAGAAGGCTGCTGCTCGTGGTGACCTCGACAACCTGAGCGAGGATGCCCGACAGGAGATTGAGCAGGCTGAGGATGAGTTCGTTGGCCAAACAGAGGAGGCCGTTAGCGTGATGAAGAATGTATGTTCTTCCGTCTATGAGGCTATCTTGCTCTGGATGTGGCGATATCCTCTGTTGAAATCCGTTGCTAATTTGGTGCTCTTTTACTGCAGGTCCTTGATACCCCCGAGCCCCTGCGCAACTTGGCCGACTTGATCGCCGCCCAGCTGGAGTTCCACAAGAAAGCCTACGAGATCCTCAGCGAGCTTGCCCCAACTGTGGATGCGCTGCAGGTCGAGCAAGAGGTGAGAAATTCGGGCGATTTCCGATCTGAATCCGTATCTAACTATTTTGCAGGCTAGCTACCGCAAGGCACGTGAAGGCGCATAAGCGTTGTAGTTTTGTTTTTAGTCCCTAAGCTTTCCGCATACTACTGAGTAGTCCGGGTCGCGTCTTTGTATTTACCCCCTTTTTGCTTCAGTGAGATTCTAAGCATGACCAATTTTTTTTACTTGGCTTTGACATGATAGATCGAGAATTCTGCAACCGTGGCACAATATTTTCAGTATCAGTAGTCCAGCCCACTTGTACACCGTAATTGTAGTTGTTTTGGGTGACCGCCCTGGTGGCCTGAGGCAACCCCGCTAGCTCCAGGAGCTCCGAACAACCAGACTACATCTCTCCCATTCAACCCCACGACTACTGTGTTTTGAGGAGGAATACATCAGTGTTCGACGGAATATTACAAAATAAGCTACCGACTACATCTCAATCTTGAACCGCGATCCTGTCGATTCCCCGCTACGAACTCCATCCAAAGTCAAGTGACCACCTTGACCCGATTCCACTCCCTGCGATATTCCCTACAGCATCGACGCAATACCTACTGCCTAGCGCATAATACCAAACCGTCTTGCAGTGTTGCATTGTATTGCGGTTGCAAAGTCCTGAACCATCCACCCAATCTCCGACTCGAATCCGAACGGCGGACCTGAGCCCACTTTCCCAGAAGTTTCATCGACATAAATACCCATCAAAATGGCTAACGGGTACGTTCAGTACCTACCCTATTGGGTAGAGTGCGATGTAGAGGGATCTGGCTTTGCTCCGGTGTTCACGGTGTATCGAGTCAATCGTCATATATCGCATCTGCCCAGTATTGTCGCAGAAAGCAAGCAAGAAAGAAACAAGAACTAATACTTCTTATAGTTGGAGTCTAATCATCGGCTTGGTTGTCGTCGTTGCCATGTGTCTGGCTGCCTGGTTCTTCAGCCCCAAGGGCGATAACCTGACGTGAGTCTTACTTCACGCGGATATTAAACAAACATCAAAACTAATTTGTTGGCTATAGTGTCTGGCGCAGCACCCTTATCCTCTCTTTTATTTCTTGCTACTTGATGTGGGGTACGTATACACCTCATCCAAATCTCAACTGTCCCCGGGAGAATTGTAATCCAAGAACTAACGATACCTACAGCCATCATTTTCATGTCACAGCTGCATCCCCTTATCGCACCAAAGAGATCCGATATCCGTCCTGGACGGGTACCTAATTAAAATGTTTTTATTTCTGTTTCTTCGGCACGTTAGTTCGTGCTATTTCGGGTCCGGGTTTTTTTTTTCTGTGACATATTACATTGGATTTGAGCGTGATCGTTGGATCTTGTCTCTGTATTTCCTGCTGGGTGGGCTTGCCATAGAAGATGGGCATGACATAAATTACCTACTTTCAACTGCTGTCTTGAATATTAGTGGCTGAGTGGCTGATGCGGATGTCTGGAGTTTTGAAACAATATCAAAAGTCTCCACTGAATACTTGTTTTGACCCATGGATGCCAATTGTGGCTTCTGTAGCTTTTCTTCGTTCAAGTATGACTATGGATGTGCCTATCCATCCACTAGATACCCACATATACTATGTAAGCTCCGGTATCTATAGCTACGAAATCAAAATGAGACTTCTGCTCAATAAATCATGACATAACAAGGATTAAATACCTAGCCTAATATGGCCTAGGCAGAATTATCTATACAAGAAGAAGAACCTATCTACCATCAACATTAACCCACCCCCACAGCCCCAAGAATGACCTTCTGCACCGCCCACCTAGCAATCTGACCCGCAACAGCAACAGCAACAGCCCTCAAATACCCACATCCTAGCAGAATATAAAGAGCCTCAATATTACTCAGCAGTACAAGATGTGTATCAACAACACCAAGCGAAAGCAATGAAGATAGGACATCAAACAAGCCCGTAAGATACCTAGTCGGTAAGAATGGTCTTAACGACGACTCCGCAGCCGCAAGCCATTCTTCTAACAACGAAGACGAAGAGTACTCCGCGTCGCGGATAGATGATAGAGCCGCTTTAGCGTTAAGCATGCTTGTTGTGGCTTCTTTCCGCAGGGTACCGTGCGGAGCTGCGCGTACGATTGGAGTTGCGCTATTTTCTGTTCTATTTGCGTTTCCGCTCCCGTCTGAGCCCCAGATTACCAGGAGGATGGGGAATAGTTTTGCGCAGCTGCTTACTAGCAATGCGGTGCTAATTGCAGTCGGGCTTGCGGCTGTTGGTGGGGGAAGTGGTTGGATATTTTGGATTGGGGCTGTTGAAGCGCGGCGGGGGGTGCTGGTCTTGCTGGTGGTGGAAGGGAGATTGAAGTTGTGGATGCGGAGGGGTGTAGACCCTGTGGGGTTAAAGATGGGTCTTGTGGGGAGAGCGCGTCTGAGGGGGCGAGATTTGGAGTAAGTTTCGGCTGCATCGAGGCTTGTGGTTGGGTGTTCAGTGCTTGTGACGAGGGGGATGGTTTGATTGTTGGTGTTGGAGGGCCGGAGGGGAAAGGTGTAGATGTTGTGTCGGCTGCGCTGCCATTGTTATGGGTAACACCGCTGTTGTTCGTTTCTGGTACGCCATATCGACAAGTTTTAGGAACAATTATTGAGGCGACTAGTCGGACTGTGAGGTGGTGCGCGAGAGTGGCCAGGGCGTTTAGAGTGAGGAAGAAGAGGTATTGCACGATAATGGGAGCGCGAGAGATGAATGTTGTCGCTAGGGAGGGATCTTTCTCGAGACGTGCCCAGGTCAAGTAGACATCGAAGAGGAGCAGAAGGACTCCCAGGCGGATAATTGAGCGCTAAAGAGCGTCTGTTAGCTTTGTATCCTGTTATGGGACAGAGCGCTTCTCACGTCAAATCGGTCATCATCGCGACCGAGTCGGTTGAAGAGGAGATGTCGGTAAACCTATTGTGAGAGTTGTCAGTTGTGAGCTTGCGACGTTTGAACAGAACAGAAGCTTTACTTGTGGTTTGATGAGTACTAGGTCAATAAAGATGACGACGAAGTCGTACTCGACGTATTTGTCGGCGAAGCGTTGGCAGCGCGGGCACTGGGTCAATCGCACGCCTTTTCCTTGGGAGCGATCATCGGCGCGACTGTAAGCACTGTACAAGTGCGAGACCGGGTATGAGCACTCTATGCAGATAGGCATCGTGACATGACGCCGTGAAGGAGGAAAGATGATTGCGGGCGGTCAAGTTGATGTCGGGGATTCAGGAGCCAGTTACGCGGGCCGATCTAGACCTGATTGTGATCAACATTGATATCTATCAACGAAAAAAAGATCAGAACATAAACAGAATTTTTTTGGATTCTTGAATCTTATATACTATGTCGTATGACGGTCACTATATACAAGGGATATCTAACGGTCTATATACATCAATCAATCACACTCTTTTTGTCAGCCCAGCTAGGCTGAATGGCTCGACAGACAGCCTCATAATCCTGAAATCGCTGCGTATCTTCCGGAAGCCCAGGAGTCGTCCAGAACATAGTCCAATTACTATCAGACAGCTTCCAGGTGCCAGATGATCGCTCAAAATACCATTTGTTGACCGGGTTGTCCTTGCGACTACGCCAGCAGACTCCATCGGGGAAACAGGTGCGCACCATCGCATTGAACACTACGTCCGCAACACCGCCTGCGCCCTGGCTGCGTTTAAGGACAGCAAATTTGTCCAGATAGGGAACCATGCGTGCGGCGCTTTCTGGACTTCCGTCATCAACGACGCCAGGTGGTGTTTCCCAGGTCAGGATCGCGCCACCTTCGTACTCACCGGCGATGATGAGGCCAGCGATGCGATCATTGACTCGCTCAAGGTAGTTTTGCACATCTAGCTTTCGGTCGAAAGAATCTTCGATGAGATGGACCAGGCGAGGCAGGTCGATCGAGGAGTCGTTGAGCTGCAGTCGTGGCTGGTGCTGAGCCGACCATACCTGCACATGCGGATTCGGGAGAAGGGTGAGAGGCATTCCACGCTTGACAAAGGTTGTATGAGATGTCAGGGGGCTAAGCGCATTAGGTCCTCGGCCATTAATGGGACCACGGCGGCCAGGGGGAAGCGACGAGGAGAGAAGAGGTTTATCGGTGAGAAGGTTGTGGATGAGAGGATTGCGCTGGCGTCGAGTTCCAACGGCCGATAGCTCTGGCGTAGTCTTCTCAGCGGGGCGCGATGAATTGGCGACTTCATATGGGGATGTGATAACGCTTGACGCTGTTGCTGGTAGCAGAGCAAGGGCCTTCTGGGACAAACGAAGATTCTGCAGGTGACCATCAATAATGGGTTTCATGGCGGTGGACCCGGGCAATCGCTCTGATATCTCTGATCCGGGCAAAACCATTTCCTGGGTAGCAAATTGAGAGAAAGGATTGCTATCCAAGACTGAATATGCAGTATCTAGACGGGCGCTAGCTGTTGTGTCAGCCTCTACCTCACAAAGAGAGCTTTGTGTCTGGAGCAGCTCCTTCTCAATATCGTCGAACTCTTGTTCCATGTTGATAAAAACATGGGAGTCCTGGGGGCCTCTAAAGGCAGGTATTCCTCCGAGTGGGTGCAGAAGAATCACCCGGTCCAACGAAACTTCCTTCTGTAAAGCCTCAATTCGCTCTGCAGTGACCGCAGGGTCTTCATCTGGGTCTGGGTAGGTAGAAAGCCCGGCAAATTCTTTAGTCAAAGCGATGACAGCATCATCTGCGGAGACTGGAACGGCTTTTGGGTTTTCCTCGAGGTACGCGACTGGTGTGACAATAACGACATGTCCGTCCCGAAGGGGTGCTAGAAGCCCTTTCCGAGACGACACTCTGGGTTGACTCGGTCCTTCATCGGAGACTGAAAGTGCAGAGTCCAAGCGAAAGGCTTTCGAATCCGGCTGTTCATCAACCGCTGCCGAGAGCCGATTAGCTTGCGCGATGGCGGTTTGTCGCATGGTAGCGCTATCTGCATTGCCGGGGTCAACTACTACGCAGCATGCCATTCCTAGTCGAACAAGTTGCGACAAAGTCCTAGCCACGCCATTTATAACTGAGTCGTCGAGCGATTGCGGTGTAGTGATCTTAATCAGAGCAAGATGTAGTCTCTCAAACGACTCCTGTCCACGTGGGGCTGGGGTTGTGTTTTGCCGGAACACAGGGCTGTCATAAACTGCTCTGGACGCACCATAGAAGGAGCCCAGATTCACTCCAGAAGGCAATGATGACTCTTGTTCCTTGGGAGCTTCATCGGACTTTGGGGAGGGCTTTGGGGGACTGTTCTTAAAACGAGATAAATACTGCTTTGCCTCTCGCTTTGTTGAGGCCGAGTTCAGCAGACTTAGGAAGAATTCCTGTGGAACTCATAATTCAATGGTTAGTATGGTCCTTTGTCACCGAAAAGCAAGCGATCTTACCCGGTCAAGCAGCTTCTCTTTTGCACGGCGCCCAAGCCCCTCGTTGGTTTGGGGGGTACTCGAAAACTCAGCAATCTGGTGGCCGCGCACACAGAGTGACTGGACCGGGGATATCAATGTTGAATCATTGGGGCGAGCGATGTGGTGCTAGTAAACGGTCAGCTTCGTGGCGCACTGATGTTTCGGGTCTCGGGCCCGATATCAACCTTTGCTAGCGAGGTCCGGGGCCAGTTGAGTGCCCGAGAGCTCATTGTGAGGCCGCCAACAACTGGCCGTTTTCAAGGATAGGCAATCTCAAGGCGAGAGGGAAATTATCACAGAAAAAGTAAATGTTGAAGACCGGAAGATGGAGCATGACGCATCCTCGGTTGCGATTCACCGCCTGATGGAGGGATTTAAGGTCTTCAGCCCGACGATAAATTTACCCGGGATCCGGGATCAGTCCATTGGACATGTCCTATATAGCTCGTCAATTTATTGTGCCACGGTCCTCTTTATTTGCATGTTAGCTGCCCAGGTGATCTACCTGTCCCCTGGTCCTTGAGCTTTACCGGAGCCACGGAACAACGACATATTTTGGATTTAATAGTTCGGACCTTTATTTCTACACATCAATCCCAAGGAAATGCTTTTTCCAATTTCCATTTCACGCGGTATGCTATGATATGAAAATTTCAATATACTCAATCAATACTTCATTTGTTTTTCATACAGCCTTAAAAAAAAAAAGAAAGCTTAGTAGATGTCAACTGGTATAGTTCTTTGAATTTGGAAGTCACTAATGCTAGCAGATATGATATAGTCAACTGTTGTACTGGGGATCTTTTTGGTCCTAGAAAAAAAAGAATATTGGCCATTGAATTCTTTGCTCTAACGAACTAGTCTAATTCTCCAGATCTACTAGTCCCCATACTTCATGGAGCAGAGTAGAGCTTGAGGACCTATAAGAATCCGCTCCCCACCATAATGACGCACACTGATTAAACTCACGGTAATATTCGCTACTTTAACGCTTTGTAAATAGTTTGCATTCCTGAAACCTCCAAGTAGAAAATCTCAGCCAGTATATAGATGAAGTAGAAACCGATCGATCCAAAGTCGTAATTTGATTGGAGTCGCCAATACCAAGAGGGAACTTGCTGACAAGGGAGGTAATTGCGGCAGGATCCCGTACTCCTGGGGTTTCTTGTACATCACCCCGCCACTCGTCTCTTCCTCTCTCCCCAATACGATCCTAGGTTCTGTATTGATCTCACGAACGTCTTCTTGTGATCATTTGGGATCTTCTTCGAACCTGTATGTTGAGCCCCCGGATAATGCTTGTCTTTGCCCCCTGCTTCCCATCCCATCCCGCCCGTTGCCCCTCCTTGCGCACACTTGTCGTCGCAAATTCTTATCTGCGGGCGCGACCAGCCACCGATTCATTTTCCTTGAAACCAGAGCGTTTTCCTGGTTTTATAACTCCTTTTGTCTGAAGGATTATTGTTGCTTGCAGAAAAACTAATTCCCACTGGTCTAGATTTGCATCCCCTCGTTCCCCGGCGCCACCGAGCTGGGTCCCCCTGCAACCAGAGGAAAAAAGGAAAAAAACTCCCCAATCGTCCAAGTGCCGCTTATACCCACCAACGAGCACGCCTATTCCATCTGCCACCAGATCCAACTTATCGCTCCACTCAAAGTTCTTCCCGATCTCCTCAATTCACCATGTCTGATCCCAGCGAGCAACCTTCGGAGTCTATGCCCGGCCAGGATAACGGCTTGAAGCCATTGTCGAACGCGGACGACTTGTCGCTCGGCAACCCTAGCAACAGCGAGCTGTCCCGTATCATGAGCCGCGCAGGTATTGCTCTGGCCAATGGGTTCCCGCTGGACGAGGATGACGACGACGAGGAGGAAGTGGAGGGGGACTACGTCGCAGTGGACCAGGAGGAGGACTCCAATGAATTCCCATACTGGTTCCGCCGGCCCCCAACACACCACCGCACAAAGCTTGATGAGCTACACCCGTTCGTTCAGCTTCTTTCCACCTCTAACGTGGAAGACTGTATCGCAGTGGAGAATGCTTTTCCAGAGGCAGAGCGTTGCTCGCGTGACAAGGTAGGGCAGACCAGACCCCTTGCGAATGCATCATCGAGGCCGTGAACCGTGAAGCGTTTAACCACTCGCGGCATAGTTTATCTCTTGCTGCGAATGGTTACTCGAAGTCCCCAATTCGGCACCCTGCATAGATGTGGCTGGACCCTTAGCTAACTGGATCCACTTGTATATATAGTTTATCTACCGCCTCACCAGGTGTCCTGAACTGAGTTTGGGCCTTTTCACCTTGCCTCTCTATGGTGACCAGCCCAAGCCTCGGGCCACTCTTGTTGGACATATCATTGCTACCCGTACCTCGGAGCCGACCGTGACGGATCGATCAATGCGCCTACCCAGTGAGTGGAAGAATGAGCGCTGGTCTTTCGAAGGTGATGAAGCGGTTGGCCATGAAGAGGGTGGTCGCACTATTGCCATCCACTCACTTGCTGTGCTGCCCGAGCACCAGGGCAAGCAGATCGGTAGCACCCTGATGAAGTCGTACATCCACCGGATCCGGGAGGCTCTCATTGCCGATCGGATTGCAATCATCGCCCATGACCACTTGGTTCCCTTCTACGAATCATTTGGCTTCGAGAACCATGGCCCCAGCAAGTGCCAGTTCGGCGGTGGTGGATGGGTGGATCTGGTATGTTAAACACCTCTAATAACCGTTTCCTTGTATATCTTTACTAACGTCTTTGCTCAACAGGTTTTGGAGCTCGGCAATGAGTCTAGCTAAGCCTATGACGACTCTTTTTTTGCATCTAATCCGTGGACTGCGTGGCCAATCCTCCGGTCTGCTTCTTTTCGTCCCATCTTATCCGCTTTCTTGGGTATCTTCCAGGGTCCTTTCTCTCACGCCCCCCGCTACGCACTCATGGTCCGGTCATCGGTTTTGGTCTAAGGGTTGAAAGAAAATGGAGTTATTTGTTTTTTCCTATTTTTCTTTTTTTTCTTTTTTTTTACTGGGATAGGATTGTGGTGGCTAGTCTTTATGAAACTTATGGACGGAAACCCAAGGGACATTCTCCCATCACAAGGGCTTGTGTACCATAGTGGAAATGCGATGTACATGAGTATGACTTTGTTTGATTAAATAGAGAGAGAAACACCAAAAAAAGGTCTCGACATGATAAAAGTCCATAGAAGAAAGTCTCGGTTATCGTATCCAATCCTGGTCCCCGCATTTGCCTACCGCCCGGCAGAAAAATATCCCGACCAAAATTTTCATGGAGAAACAGACTCAAACAATCATTCCACCCTAGAGTCATTACACCACCCAGTTTGACTCCTGTGGCCCATCATGAAGACAACGTGGAAGGATGTGAGTCTACAACATGATCCCTTGGTTTCTGTTCCTCAACTTCGAAGATTCGTTCGCTAATCTATTTTCACCGCTAGATTGCGCCTGTGCCCACTCACCAGGAATTCCTGGATATTGTCCTGAGCCGTACTCAGCGACAACTGCCCACTCAGATCCGTGCCGGTTTCAAGATCAGCCGTATCAGAGGTATTTACTCCTTCTTCCACATCCGATTCCAATCCGGTCAAGTCGCTTTTCGTCGGTGGCGAGCGCAACCAAAAAAAAATTGTTATCGGGGTTATCGATAAAAGCAACATCGCTGATCAAATTTTTTTCGGGCAGGTTTCTACACCCGTAAGGTCAAGTACACCCAGGAGACTTTTGGCGATAAGTTCCAGGCCATTCTCGATGGATTCCCTCGTCTGCAGGACATTCATCCTTTCCGTAAGTTTCTTATCTGGTCAAATTTCAGTCGGGCGGGGTCTAACAGCCTTTAGACAAGGATTTGATGAACACCCTTTATGATGCCGACCACTTCCGCATCGCCCTCGGTCAGGTTTCGACTGCCAAGCATCTTATTGAAACCGTTTCCCGCGATTATGTCCGTCTCATCAAATATGCGCAATCTCTGTTCCAGTGCAAGCAGCTGAAGCGCGCTGCGCTCGGTCGCATGGCCACCATCTGTCGCCGCCTTAAAGACCCGCTTGTCTACCTCGAGCAGGTTCGCCAACATTTGGGTCGTTTGCCCTCAATTGACCCCAACACCCGCACTCTCCTGATCTGCGGTTACCCCAATGTTGGAAAGTCCAGCTTCTTGAAGAACATCACCCGCGCCGATGTCGATGTCCAGCCCTACGCTTTCACCACCAAGTCTCTGTTCGTCGGTCACTTCGACTACAAGTACCTGCGCTTCCAGGCCATCGATACCCCCGGTATTCTCGACCACCCTCTGGAGGAGATGAACACCATTGAGATGCAGTCTATCACCGCTGTTGCTCACTTGCGCTCCGCCATCCTGTACTTCATGGATCTTTCCGAGCAGTGCGGTTACTCCGTTCAGGACCAGATCAAGCTTTACCACAGCATCAAGCCCCTGTTCGCCAACAAGATTGTGTACATTATCATCAACAAGATTGATGTCCGCCGTCCCGAGGACCTGGACCCCGAGGAGCAGGCCCAGCTGCAGGAGATCCTCAAGTCTGGAGATGTTGAGATGCTCCAGGCTTCTTGCACCACCACTGAGGGTGTTTCCGCCGTCAAGAACGCCGCCTGCGACAAGCTGCTTGCCGAGCGTGTCTCCCAGAAGCTCAAGTCCGGCTCCAACACCGCCGGTACCCCCGGTGGCCGTCTGGGCGACGTCCTGGCGCGTATTCACGTTGCCCAGCCCATGGGTGGTGTGCGCGAGACCTTCATTCCCGAGGCTGTCAAGGAACTCAAGAAATACGACAAGAACGACCCCAACCGCCCGAGACTCGAGCGCGACCTGGAGGAGGAGAACGGTGGTGCTGGTGTTTACAGCTTCGATATGCAGCGCGATTACACATTGGCCAACAAGGACTGGAATCACGACAAGATTCCCGAGGTGTGGAACGGCAAGAACATTTACGACTTCGTGGACCCCGATATCGAGAAGAAGCTGGCTGCTTTGGAGGAGGAGGAAGAGAAGCTCGAGGCGGATGGATACTACGAATCCGACGAGAGTGTCGAGGATGCCGAGGATGCCGATACCCGCATGAAGGCGGATCTTATCCGCGAGAAGCGTGTGCTTATGCGTAACGACGCCAAGATGCGCAAGTCCCTCAAGAACCGCGCGCAAATTCCCCGCAGCGCCAAGGCCAAGAAGCTTTCTCAGCTCGAGCATGGTCTCGACTCCGCTGGTTACGATGTCAATGCTGCTGGTGACCGTGCCCGCTCCCAGAGCGTGGTTCGCGGACGTCCTCTCAGCCGTCCTGACGCCGGTGCAGATGATGCTATGGACCTGGATGATCCCAAGCAGGCCATTGCTCGTGCTAAGAGCCGTGCCCGTAGCCAGGCTGCTACTGATCGTCGTAACGACGGTGTTACTGACGAGGTGGCTCGTACCAAGGCTGACCGTCTGTTCAAGCTGGGACAGAAGAAGATGAACCGCATGGCCCGCCAGGGTGAGGCCGATCGTCACACCACCGCCTCTCTTCCCAAGCACTTGGTATGTTTTCCTTTTATCCATTTTAGTTTATTGCATGATTCTAACAACGATTACAGTTCACCGGAAAGCACAGTTTCTCCAACCAGCGCCGTTAAGGCTCTACATCCCCAGCCTCTACAGGCTTCCGAAACGAGACCCATTCATAATCATCGTCGATTGGTTTCTTTACCGGGTGCACCATGGTGTCGGGCGTTTAAATTTGTTTCTTCCCATATTTCCTGTTTGCTTATTCTCTTTTCCTTTTTGTTAGATGAGAAGATTTACCCTGTTCATTTGACGGGAATCCCATCTTCCACTTGCGGATGAACAGCTTTACGATTTGTGGGGGTTGTTCTCCCAGTCAATAGGACCAAAAGTTCTTGACGCGATGATGTTGCATATACCAAATACAGATGAGGCCTTATATTTTGGTTACGAGTGAAGCTTGAATATCTAGATATTTTGCGGCGTAGAGCTTTAGACATCGTTGCTTAACATGAGCGGCCTACAGGACTGCCCAGGTGGTCCTTGATAGTCGAGGAATTCAGATATGCCCCAGACCATATCTGCATTAGACTAGATACCGACAGCTTTCAATGAACTCTGGAACTACGGCTCAGCTTGCTTCCTACTGGTACCTTTCAGCTCTTGTCTGGTATGCCGTATTCTTGGAGGCAGATATCCATGGGAATTGGTCTTCATATATGTGGGCTCGGGTAGGCCGAAGCTTGAGCATTATATTACAAGGATAGAAGTGGTAGCCCTATTGGAAGCATAATGAAGTCAACGGTAATGAATACAGCATATAATACTCTGTGGATATGGAATTTGTCTGGTTCTTTTCATATAAGTTCTACGCATTTTTTCATTAGTTCTAATCTAGGTGTAAGCGGTAGGCCAAAGTTGAACAGATGTTCACCTTCGACTGATAGATTACGGCTCAGCCCGTGTGTTGCCCATGCGTTGACTTGGATGAACCTCGGAAAGACCTGGAAAGACAAACCAAATATGGGCGGAGGAAACCTGTAGTGGACTTTGATTGGATATAGCACCATGTCTGCCCAAGTCGGGCAGACATTGCCCAACCTGTGCGTTGACATGGATGAATGACAAGCCAAATATGGCTAAGGGCAGCCTATAAAATAATATTCAATTGGATGCCGGTCAACCTCGTGTCTTTTTCAAGCCAGGCAGCGGCGGTTGCACTGCCTGGTCTGGATCATGGCTCAGCAGAGCCTTGATTTCATATATATATGGTTATTTCACATGTTATCTCACATTAAATGGAGCTAAAAATTAGAAGCAGCATCCTTTCATGATTTTTCATTGGTCAGCATGCAGGTCGTCTTTTCATAAGAGTCCATCGCGTGTCCAGCTATGTATGAGGCCGAAAACTGCCTGTTGTTGTAGTTTGGTTCTGTTTCTGGTTGATTATGTTGTTATTGTCCCCACCACAGCAAAATGAGATGGCTGAGAACCTGGTGATAAACAGGGTGGATTTTGTCATTTGTACGATGTATCGGGACTAGTCGGTAGATGCCTAGTCGGTAGATGCCTAGCGAGCGCCAACTATATAGCGTGACTTCCAAGGTTGATGTCACTCCTGTCCTGTGGTGAAAACAAAGCATTCACCCTGGGCACCTATCACTAATCTCACCAAGTCCTCCAAAATGCTTGTCCTCCTAATACTAGCAATCTTTGCTTTCGCGCATCAAGTCGTTGGTACCGGCGATTTCTCGACTCTTCCGGAACAGCTTTTTCTGGATATTGGAATCCACGAAATCGTTGACAACACCACAAGAGACGGCGAGCTCCTTGAACCATGGGCCAGCGACTATGTTGATTCAACTCGCCAGAAAAGATACGGAGACGCTATCTGGGCACGCTACCACATGTACGGAGAGGTGGAAGACGGGCTTGTCGGGTGGGCAGACAATTTGACTGTGCTTGGTGTGATCGAGGAAGATGCGATCGGGTACAGGGTGGGTCACCCTGACCTTTACGCCGAGGCTCTGTCTTTCTATGCGGAAACCAGCAGCGAAGATAGTCATGCTACCGACGTGCTGGATATGCTTCAACGTATTGGTCAGGAGGATGCTATCGAGCTTGAGAAACGATCTACCGAGCTTGAGAAGCACAAGCAATACTTTACCGGCTGCCCATGTGCAGTATAGCTAGTCTTGTGTATGAGATTTGGCCTAGCCGGAAGAGTCGGGATGCTCAGGATGAATAGTAAGAATCCCTGAATGCTGACTCAAGGAAGCCAGAGAGAAATATTGGGCATGACAAAGCCAATCCCGGGAGACTGTTCATAATCAGAAAATTATACTTGTTTTTGGAAGTGAGCCTGGAATTGGTAGTTGCTCAGGGTTTAGTCCTGAAAACTAATAAGAGGAATTTAAGTCTGTCTTTTGTGGCTGAGTACATAAATCGATTGATTTGCAGCCGCGGAGTATACCAGAGTCACTGATGCTAAGAAACCTCTTTAGCCTGGTTTGGCGCCGCCAGGGCTCTTGAACCCGCCTCTTTCATCTAATCACATCGCTAAAATTGGCTAGCTTCTAAGCGGAGATCCAGCCCACTCCTTCACCTCTTGAACTAAAGCTTGAGCCGCATCATCTGTAGAAAGATGCGCTCGAATTTGTAACAATACTGTCCTAGAGAGACCATGTACAAACCAATTCCCACGGGTTTCGGCTTGTCTAACCAGAATGGCGGCCCAGTAGGCTAACACAACAAGTGCGGCTGAATTTTGGTGCGAGACCATGCGGTTGAAATAATCTGGTGTCTTGATCAGCCACGCGGCCATACACTGCCACGCTCCTGACAACCCATCAGATTCAAGACTGCTAATATAGCATTTGTGCAATGTCCCAATGGCAAGTAAAACGGCGGGGGCATCTTGCTCGTGATCTGGTTTTCCGAATATTTCTGCCATGCGATACGGAAGCATATCAATATGATTGAGCAGCATAGTCCTTGAATACTCGCTTTCTAAGGAGCCATTCTTATCCAAGGCTCTCTGAGAATCCCCAAATCTGCTCTGCTCTATGCATGAAGAAGTTGCCGATTCAGGAGATACAGTACTTCGAATGTCTCGGAGAATAGACTGTAGCTGAGAAAGATTGGCAGTACCCTGGGTAGTCTCTTGGCTCATACTGAATCCATTCAATGTCCATCTTGTGCAGTTTAGGATGCTTCCAATTTGTTTTCCTGCCTTGCTTTCTTTCTGGAAAGCCTCGGTGGCCCTTATATTCTTATCATCGTTGATCATCATGTTGAACCCGGCAAAGAACTCGGAATGGAGCTTTCTCGCTCGCTCACAGTGATTTCTTCGTGCTGTTATCTCATCATCGAGCGTGGCTAAATGGTACGCAGAAATTGCCAGTATTCCACACATCATCCATCGTCGTTGTAGAGCCAGTGGAATAATCTCCTTCTCCCAGTATTGTGACGCCGACAAAGAACCATCGCCACCAGGAAGTGACAGTTTCGTTGCAGTGATAAAGTGATGAAAGTATGTCAATGTTTCTAGGTCCACCGCAGGATAAGACTCGGAATTTGGCAGTGTAGACTGTGCTGGTGATGGCGCTGCGTTCAATCTGGGGCTCTCTCTACCATATCCACTCTCGGTTTTGGAAAGCTGTGACTCTGCACTACTTTCTGTCACCGAAACCTCGAAATATCTAAGTTTCGTACCGCGGAAGAATGTCTGAAGCTTGACTGGGCGTGCAAGAGAGGAAAAATCATTCGATTCATGGACACCATGAGCATCGCTCCAGTGACGCCTCATGCGTTTAGAGCTGGCACATAGATGTCTACATCCAGTCACAGAACAGCAATGTCCAGACATTACAGGTAGGGCATCAATCCGTACTGTATCCGCGGTGAGCAGGATAAGATCATCCGGATCAACGATGTCAAGGTTGTTAATGGTGGACAGCAAGCGCTGCCTTTCTTCACGGTAGATTTTGTGGCGGAGCAAATGGCTGTTCAGTGCATTTTTTTGAATGGCGTAGTGGCAATCTCGGCAGATTAGCACCCTGTACCTCGCATTGTACTCGAGCAGATCGTGGGGACCCAGTCGCATAGTGGCTGGCGATTGTTCATCGCTCAAGTTGAAGGATGGCCAGACATCGGAAGATTGCGAATAACATGCTGACGTACTGATAATGTGGGGGCCAAATAGTTGCCACGGTATTCAACATTCATCCTCGGCATCCTCCTTGTGTCAATATACTAATGGAACATCGAGAGGTCTTCGTTCAGTTGGATAATTTAGTACGGCATTAACTCGGATTGAACGTAGAACGGCATATGTGGTTCCGTACGGGAACGGCATGTGCGGTTTTCAAAGGCTCTGGTCTCGGCCTAAGATAATCCCGACAACAGTTGTATATTTTGTTGGTAATAAGTATTCACTATCCAGATGCTTTGAAATAATGATTCTAATTTGAAATCAATCGCTTGTTTGGCCGGTGGCTACAATGCCAGTTCTTGGCTGCTGTGATCAGATATATATCGGCGGGTTCTGTGCAGATGGCTTTACTTTTGAATAAGCATCAACTATAGGAATCGATCAAACGTCTTCCAAAGGTTCATCTGTATTGCATTAATTTTGTCGTCTTCCGGCTCAGACCAAGATCTCTCCGCTTGTATCTTCCATCGAAATGTCTGTACCTCAAAATCAAGCTGCATGGCTCGTCAAAGCCGGCTTTCCCCTAGAGATCGGAGATGCCCCATTGCCCACAGCTGGCCCAGGTGAGCTGGTCATTAAGAATGCTGCCATCGCCATCAACCCTCTCGACTGCCACATGCAAGACTCTGGTGTCTTTATTCAGCAATGGCCTGCCATTTTAGGCTGCGATGTCGCCGGTGAGGTGTATGAAGTAGGAAAAGATGTGGAAAGGTTTAAGGGAGGAGATCGTGTTATTGGGTATGTTGCTTGCTCTCGATTAAAGTATCCCGACCTCACTAATGTTACCTCTATTATATAGGCATGCCATCAGTTTGACTAGTGGTCTCCCTCAGGATGGCGCGTTCGCTTTGTATACGGTGATTCCTGCAGATAAAGCGGCCATACTGCCCAATGAAATCTCCTTCACGAATGGCGTCATCGTGCCGTTCGCGTTGGAGGCGGCCGTTTGCGCACTTTCCCTCAAGGAACCCGGTGTCGCCATGCCCGGTGTTGCTACACCAGCCCTGGGCCTTCCATACCCCTCGTTGGAGGGTGTGCCGTCTACAGGCAGGACACTTGTCGTATATGGTGGCTCATCTTCTGTCGGCTCGATGACGATCCAGATTGCCACGGCAGCCGGTGTCCATGTTATCGCTATCTCTGGTGCGCACAATTTTGACTTCAGCAAACGATGCGGAGCAGCTCGAGTCTTCGATCACAAGGATGCTTTACTTGCGGGAAAGGTCATCGAAGCAGTTCGAGATAAAAGCAGTGAGTTTATTGGCATCTTCGATGCCATAGCTACCCCCGAGACTTATGCCAATGACATCACAATTCTTGGGCAGCTGGGTGGAGGGCATCTAGCTTGTGTGCACCCTCCTCCTCCCAGTACTGATCTCCCTGCAAATGTTAGCGCTGGTATGATCTTCGCTGTCAACGATGTTGTGAAGCCTGTCTGGAAAGACTATGTCACGCCTGCGTTGCAATATGGGAAGCTCCAGTGCGTCCCACGCCCGTTCGTCGTTGGCAAAGGGTTGGAGCATATTCAATCTGCATTGGATAAAATCAAGGCGGGAGTCAGTGCCACGAAGCTGGTGGTCGAACTGTAGAGGTAAGATAGAGATGTTGGCAGATGCTAGCGGTGTTGGATACGGCGATGGATGCATCCATCAAGAACTGGAATTTCGGGTTGCTCTGAACTGTTCAATGAATGGAAATATCACATGACTATGTCTTTTGGAAAGCGGCAATGCTGTCAGTCAGTATTTAGTGAATTAGTTAATTTTAGTTTAGTAACCAACAGAGATGACAGCTTTGTCAAAGTGGGTGAACAGTGCTTCTCAATCAGCCTACTGTACCTCAGCGAAGGCTGCAAGTATAGCGTAAGCAATTAGCAGCCAGTCACAGTGATCCTGACTCTTGGCACCTTAGATAGGAAAGCCCCACCTATGAGAGGAAATATGCTGCGCAGTACACTCTATGGAGACCTGGAGTACGGAGTACGGGGTACCTACTGCCTGTAGCACAGATCAAGCTACCCCATCTTGACACGTACGGGTACATGAGTCGTGCCACCTTGTTTGGTTGTATGACCCCGGTAACTGCGAGCTGCTCGAGAGAAAACAAGGAACGTCTTGTCTCTTCTGGTGAGGCCACCTTGCCCATGGATGAAATCTATAAAAATTGTCTTGGATACACTGACTTTCTTGACATCCAAACTACTTCTCGGCTCCAAGATGTGAGGTCATTGCGGGGATTTGAGTCTACACTGATTAACATCACAACCATCAACTCCGTACTCCAGATGTTGTACATGATGACCTGGCATGAAGCGGAGCCCCGTTTCTTGTTGGAGGTGAGCGGGTGCTACGTCGTACGGTTGGGATTGTCTTGAATATTGCCGTATTGGGATATAGATTATGGAGTCGGACCAAAACATTCGGACCGCGGAATTAGCAAAATTAATCTTTTGGTTGTACTCTGGCCACGTAGATTAGATGCATCTAGATTTTTGTTACCTGTTTTTTCCAATGTGGAATTTGGACTCGCATTGTTATCCTTCCCAGTCATAAGTGTACTTGTGTTGTATGTGATTGCGTGTGATGCATATCGGCGACCACCCGACCACTAATTTCCCGTCTACATCTCCTGCAACATTCGGAGAATCTTGAGAGGAAATGGAGAATGAGCAAATAACCATCGAAGATTGCCAGAGTGAACGCGATTGGACGTCTGTAGACCCGTGTCGAGCCTCGTGTGGTTTAGGAAGGAGCGTTTGAACAGGTCCCACCGAGCCCCTTTTCTCAATTTTAGATTTTTCACATGTCTGATGTGGCCTGACCCCAAATTTTACCTAGCTTGTTCACCGTAGATCACCGAAGGGGTCTTAGTTTCCGTGGGTCTGTGAAAATTGAGACGAGGATTCCGTCAAAGACCCACTCTAAAGACGATCCCGTACTCGACTCGGGATGCCGAGAATGCAGAGTTTGCAGTGCCGAATTCTATTCCGTTTGCGAGTGGGAGATGGACGTATTGGGAATTGAGATTGATTATGAGGTACTATGAGATAATAAGACTTACATAGCTCGTATGTATTAACAAAGGCACCATATTCGAGACATGCAGATGTGATTGCATGCTCATGCATCAAATCCCGTACGGGCAACGATCCCGAGTCCGACCGGACTCGGGACAGTCTTCGGTGTGCCGATTTGGTTAAGGTGGGGCCCGAGAAAAGCTCAACAGATCGGAAGTCTCTGCGCGGGAGTCGACCGAAGCCACTCACCGGGTGGGTCCTGCTTCATTCAACTACATACACCGAGCTAGTCTGTGTTCTCGGGTTCTTGTCAGTTAAAATATGAATGCATGTCATTTTGATGCTTCACCGGGGTTTCTATATAACCTAGAGTCATACCCAGTGTTACTATGAAGCTTTGGGGCAACATTTGCCACAGTGTAGAAAGATTGGTGTTGGTAGAACCCTCTCGACCCTGCCAAGCTTGGCTGGATGATCGTCGTTCTGAGACCGGCTCGGGCGTCGGTCTTATTTGCAGTGACGAGTATACGGTGACCCACTCGAATCAACGTAAATGGTTTATTTTAGTACATGGAATTTTACTGGAAATTTGAATTCGGAAGTCTTCCTTTTGCTTGTACTCAGTACATTACTCGCGTAGAAATTTTCTTCAATGCGCCCACCCGGTTCGGTGGCGGACATTTACATTGGCTAGTAGTACCTGCAAGATTTGAAGAGTTTGCTTGTAACCAAGCTCGTCTAGCAATTTAGCCAGGCTCGGCCCAAACCGACTAATCTAGTAGGCAATGAAGGTAATGGAGACTCGCCATAGTTTCCCTTATTCATTATGACGTGGTTTTTGAGGGCTTTTTATGTTTTTCTCCCGTCATCAATATCGGCCGATCCCCAACTTGGGTGGTCATACCCACGGACGCTATCCGTTGCTCGGTCAGGAACCACATTCTCATTCGTTCTTCCGAGACCCAGTTACTGTTTTTCGCAGGTTTCTAGAAGGTGGCAAGAGAGCTCGGCTATTGTTTGCCTGGCATACCGGAGAATCTTGATTATGAACGCTGGCATGCGACCTCAGACATTGATGCATTCAGCAATCGTAAACATCAACAAATGTTTGTTATGCTAGTCTCTACTAGAATATGTACTAATAATAAACATGCTAATTTAACAATTCAACAAAGAGAATTTGATAGATTAGTGCTCTAGTAGGACTAGAGTAATGTACCTACCCCGTTTGCAGCTCACGTGGACAATCCCGCCTTGAATGCCTCCCTTTCTCCACCTTCTCCACCCCAAGAACCCTCCAAACAGTATGGAGTGCCCATGGAGTCAAGAAATTTCCTCCGCCCCATTCCGATTTCAAACGTGGGACACGAGATCCGGGCCCCCGTTTTGCCTGCCATGGTACCCCAAGGGGGAAGGCCGGGTCTCCGTATTTATTTCACAGCGTTTCCCCCTTCCTGGATGGATTCGTTTGTTTTTTCTTTCCCATCCCTCTAGAGATCTTCAACCCCTTCCAGCATCAACTACCTGGATAGGTCTCTTTCACAATGGGCGTTGGAAATCTCATGTCGAAGCTTAAGCCTAGTGCTGAGGCACAGGACTCTCAGTTCTCTTCGCAGGCTGCTACTCCTGCTCGTGCCGACTCAACGGTCGAGAAGGATGACACCATGATCGATGATAGCCCTGTCAAGTACCTGACATGGCGGTCGTTCATCTTGGGTCTGTGTGTCTCTATGGGTGGTTTCATCTTCGGTTACTCCACTGGTAAGGTTCCACGACAGCTTTGGTCAACAGCTGGTCACAGTGCTAATTTGATATCTAGGTCAAATCTCTGGTTTCACCTCCATGACCGACTTCAAGATGCGCTTCGCTGAGTACAATGCTTCCACTGGTGAATATGCTTTCAGCAACGTCCGCAACGGTCTCATCGTTGGTCTGGTATGTTTCCCTACATCTACCTACAGTATGTATGAAAGACTAACGAAGTTTCCTCTATAGCTGTCTATCGGAACTATGATTGGTGCCCTCGTCGCTGCCCCCATTGCGGACCGCATTGGCCGCAAGTACTCCATCTCCTTCTGGGCTGTCATCAACATGGTCGGTATCATTGTGCAGATCGCCGCTACCAACCAGTGGGTCCAGGTTGCTATGGGTCGTTGGGTCATGGGTCTGGGTGTCGGTGCCCTGTCCAGCGTTGTCCCCATGTACCAGTCTGAGTCCGCTCCTCGCCAGGTCCGTGGTGCCATGGTCAGCGCTTTCCAGCTGTTCGTCGCCTTCGGTATCTTCATCTCCTACATTGTCAACTTCGGAACCTCCCGCATCGACTCGACTGCCTCGTGGCGCATCACCATGGGTATCGGTTTCGCCTGGCCTCTTATTCTGGGTGTCGGCACTCTGTTCCTGCCTGAGTCCCCCCGTTTCGCCTACCGCCACGGCCGTGTTGAGGAGTCCCGTAATGTTATGGCCAAGCTCTACGGTGTCCCCACCAACCACCGCGTTGTCGCTCAGGAGATGGCCGACATGAAGCAGAAGCTTGATGAGGAGCTTGCTGTTGGCACTGCCCCCTGGCACGAGATCCTCACCGGTCCTCGCATGTTCCACCGTACCATGCTTGGTATCGCTCTGCAGTCCCTGCAGCAGCTGACCGGTGCTAACTTCATCTTCTACTACGGTACCTCTATCTTCGCTGGTATCGGTCTCAGCAACTCCTACGTTACCTCCATCATTCTTGGTGCTGTCAACTTCGGTATGACTCTGCCCGGTCTGTACATTGTCGAGCACTACGGTCGCCGTAAGTGTCTGATGATCGGTGCCGCCTGGATGTTCGTCTGCTTCTTGATTTGGGCCTCCGTCGGTCACGAGATCCTGGTCGCTAACCCCTCTGCTCACGGCGCCGGTGTTGTCATGATTGTCTTCACTTGCTTCTTCATTGTCGGTTTCGCCACCACCTGGGGTCCCATCGTCTGGGCCATCTGTGGTGAGATGTACCCCTTCCGCTACCGTGCTACCTGCATGGGTGTCGCCACCGCCGCCAACTGGACCTGGAACTTCCTCATCTCCTTCTTCACCCCCTTCATCTCCAGCTCCATCGACTACCGCTACGGTTACGTCTTCGCCGCCTGCTGCTTCGCTGCTATCCTCGTTGTCTTCTTCTTCGTCAACGAGACCCAGGGTCGCACTCTTGAGGAGGTTGACACCATGTACGTCCTGCACGTCAAGCCCTGGAAGTCCTCCAGCTGGGTTGCCCCTGAGGGCATCGTTGCCGACATGCACGCTCCCCATGAGCCCAAGGCGGCTGAGGGTGGCGCCGGTGAGAACCAGCACCACGATGCTGAGATCACTGAGGAGGAGCAGTAAGCTTCTCGCCATATTGGAAACAAAATATTCCATTGGAAAAATAAAGTCATTTTGAGAATGACTGAAATGTATTAGTAGTTAATGATTTTCTGTGGATATAAACTCACCTTTTGCTACGGCTTCTCCAAATAGACTGGAGACGAGTTTGAAATGAAATGGCATTGGACCATGATTGCACATGAAACAGTATTCCTTGCTTTCGTAAAATATAGATCTCTAGATAACAACAATTTCTCAATCAGTAAATTACTTCTGGTTACCAAACTCCAATCCAGCCTCCTTCCGCGCAGCACCATAAACACCCGCAATGTCACCCTTTACACCCTTCTCCTCCTTAACAACAGACAACAGATGATCCGTAACCTCCACATTCCGCATCCGCTGTCCACCCTCCTTCGCCAAATTCGAAGCATGTCTCAAATCCTTCCGGGCAAGATCAACAGCAAACAAAGGCTCATCGCGAGTATAGTAATCACCAGAAACCATCCGGTTAGCATACTTAGCAAACGGCCCCGGTGCAAATAACTCAATCCACTCCTTCAAAGGCTCAACACCCAGCCCCGTAGTCTCAGCAGCAGTCAACGCCTCAGCAAGCACTCCAACGGTATTGAGAATAAAGGTGTTTCCAATAACCTTCATGGTAGTCGCGCGTCCAACATCGATATCAACTCCAGTCCCAGAAGACAGATCAATCGACTTCGCGGCGGTAACACCCTCGTAGAATGGGCGTGCCTTCGCGATGGCAGCTTGTTTACCTGCGGGCACGACGATCAAACCACCAACATCTGCCATGTTGGGTGCGCCGAAGACGGGGCTTGTGACGAAGGATGCGCCGCGTGCCTCGTAGGCTGCTTCTGTGCGGCGTGATGTGTCGGGGTGCACGGTTGAGCAATCGACAACTGTCTTGTTGCTGAAGTCAATTGAGTTATCGGCCAGGATTCCGGTTGTGATGGAGTCCAGGGCTGCGTCATCGCCAACGCAGATGAAGATGATGTCTGCGTCCTTCACGGCTTCGGGGAGGGTGGCTGCGACTTTCACATTGCCTTCTAGTGTGGCGGCGTGGGCGGTTGCGCGAGCAGCAGTACGGTTGTAGAGGGTAAGGCTAGCCTGGGGACCCTTTTTGGCGATGTTGGCGCTCATGCCCTGGATTTTTGTTAGCTTTAATCTGGGGTATAGGTGAGCTATGTGTAGCATGAATGCTTGTTACTTACCCGGCCCATGTTGCCGAGGCCAATGAAGGTGACATTAGTTCCAGACATTGTGTAGATTTCAATTGAGTGGTTTATTCAGGAAGAAAAAAGCACGATTGAATTGAGGCGGTCGATCGGTCTTTAAACCCAAGCTCCGAACGTGGGGCAGACGTGGGGTAATGGAGATAAGGCTTAGTTCTTAGCCGGGCTTCCGATTGTTGTTTGAATTTTGATGGAAGATCACAGTTTGAAGAAGAATTTCACAAATGAATAGAGCACTGGAGCCTTATATAGTATTAATCTCATGGAGGACCCCATCGTTTTTACTAACATATTACGCGTTTCTGTCCGCGGCAATGATTGTTAAGCGACGGCCTCCGTAAACCTCCGTCATATAGAGCTGCGGCTCGCGCGGCCCGGTCGTTCCGCACGATGCGCTTCCGTCCCATGCTTCCCTTCCCGCATCCACCCTTGACGTCGTTCTCTCATATGTACATGCCAGCCAAACAGGCTCATAGTTTCGCCTTTTCCTTCTCAATGATGGCGATATCCTGGATTGGCAAGCCCAGGTACTGCCACATATACGCAAACCTAGCACAAGTTAGACCCCGAGAACCAAAAAGAAACAAAATCATAGAGCAGGAGATTCTTCCAAGGTTGTCCACATACCGATCACTTCCAAAGAAAGGCTCCTCCTTGCCCTCCGAATTTCTCACCCAGAACCAAGGCGCTCCATAAGCGCCTAGGTCAAGCGCCTTCTGCGTGTTGTCTGTAAGCGCCTGCTTATACTCCGGTGTCGATGCCGCAGCTAGGATCTTCTTGATATCCTCATCAGAGAAACCATGACTCCGCAGAAGCTCGGCCAGGTTCTCAGGCTTGCTAACGTCAATATTCTTTTGGTACATCCACTCTGATAGCGAGAGGAAGGTCTTTTCGAATAGTTCGCGGCTATGGTTGTTTTTGATATAGATCAAGCACCGTTGAGGCTGGATCTTGTCAGTACTATTATCAATTGATACATATTTGGGAACGAGTAAGTCCAGGTATTCCTACCATGATTGATAGAATGGGGAAAAAATCCGGTGTCTTGTTTGGTAGAGTGCCGAAGTAGTTGCATGCCCGTTGCATATCGAATTTGCCATATGCTGCTTTAGCCGGTAATGTCCATGGGGGTTTATTGCCTGGAAATATTCGTTAGCGATAGATTATAGTGTAAATATGGTATTTGATTGATCTATACCAGAGGCAACATTGACTCCTCCTAAGAAAATCGGATGAAGCCTGCAATTGAAATTGGAACGTCAGCTTATACCCTCGGAGAAGTGTAATGTCACGCACTCGACTTCCACTCCATGCGACTCTAGCGCCTTCCGATTCCGCCGTAAATAGAGCGCCGCGAAGTATGAGTACGGTGAGACTGGTAGTTAGATTAGCATTGCGCTAGCTCCCAGGTGTATGTAGTAAGGGTCAAGACATTGTTCCCCTTGTTCTTGTGGGACCTACCGCAGTCGATGTACGCATCTATCTTGGCTGTCATTGTGGTTGATCTTCTGGTGCTAATTGGTTCTTGGGGCGGATATTGGCGATGGTGCAATTACTGGCGTATTGTTGAAGGGGGTTGGTTGTTCGTATATAACGGCGCGTGGCCCGAGGTGGAGATGGGCCGAGGCTGTGGGTCTGATGAGTGATCATGAATTTAGGTTCACGGTGCAACATGGAGATGAAATTTAGATACTACAATATCGAAATTAAATAAATCTTTTCGAAGCTTACCAATATATGCGACTATAGTAATTGGGATTTAATTATTCTTGTATTCTTTTTCTTATCACGTAAGAGCAATCGGTCTATTATTGGGTATATGGAGAACATAACTATTTAAGCATTAAATTGTTGCACGCAAGCTACTATTTTGCTCGTGCTTGGTTTTCACTTGATCACCTTGGTGATACTCAGATTTTCACAAACTCCCTCCTTCAGTTCTTGGAGTGGCCATGGCCACTGATAGCCGACTGTCGGGTGTTGACCAAGTCCAGATCATACGGATTCTCTTCATACTGCGTCGCAGTCGCAACGCGATGCAATGATCGTCCAGATTGGCGAGAAGCCCGCGAAGCGCGAGACATGCGTCGGCCTATACTTATGCGCGAAGGAACAGTAGACACCGTCTCGGTATCACTATCATCTGCAATATCTGCATCTGAGTCTTGCTCTGCCTCTTTCTCCTCTTCCTTCTGTGGCGGTGCTGCCTGGTTCTTCTCAGCAAGCCTGCGCATGAACGCATCCGCCTCAGCAGCGAAGGTACACCGTTGACGAATCTGAGCTCCGTATTTGTAGAAGACAAATGGGAATGGCACACAGGCCAGAGCGAGGAATGCAGGGATAGACGAAGCCCAGTGGATACCCAGGTTTTCATACATGTATGTTGTGAAAAGCGGGAAGGCCATGCCCAGTAGGGAACGGAGCGCACAGTTAGCAGCTAACACTGAGGCAGAGAAGATCGTGTACGAGTCGATGAGGTAGTTGAACACACTCAGGAAGACGAGGACCATGCCAAATCCGAAGGGAGCACCGGCTGCGATCGATACCATCCAGTGGATACTGGGAGAGTTGGTCCAGGCGAACCAGAAAAGTCCAATTGGGAGGGCGATACTACCAACCATGCTAGGAGGAAGTCGGACCTCTGGTGCCAGTCGGTCGGTAGTTTCAGCGCATTTCTTTGCATAGCGTCTGTTTTCTGGTAAGGTGTAGATAAGGGCGCAGACCATTCCGACTAGGATACCCAAGAAGGCGAGACCGCCGATGCCTTCGCTCCAGCCGCGAACTTCCTGGAACACGATCGGGTAAGCGGCGAAAAGCATATAGAGCGTTCCGTAGATAATAGACATATAGATCGAAAGGAGAAGCACGATAGGTTCGCGGAACAACAGGATCCATGGACGCGAGAGAGCAGTTTTGAGAGTCTTGCCCATCGTCGCAGGACCACGCTCAATATCAAGCTTGCTGCGGTACACCTGTCCGGTCATCTCAGAGAGCTTAGCAGCTCGGCGACGGAGAAGTACTGGAGCGTAGGTCTCCGGAAGTAGGAAAATAACGCAAAGCCAGAGCACTCCAGAGAAAGCGGCGAGGAATCCTTCGACCCAGCGCCAGCCTGCTGCATTAGCAAGGAAACCTCCAATGATCGGGCCGATAGTAGGTCCCAGGAACGGGGCCGCAGCGAAGAGGCTGATTGCAATACCACGCTGTGCGGCTGTGAACATGTCTGCAATGGTACCACCTCCATTTCCAAATGGCGAAGACCCAAAGCAGCCAGCCAAGAAACGGAGGATGATGAGGGTCTCAATGTTCTTGGAACCTGCTGCACCCGCATTGAAAGCTGTCAAGAATGCAAAACTGATCGTGAAGATATGACGACGACCGAAGATCTCGCTGAGCGGTGCCCAGATCAGGGGCCCGATGGCAAATCCCAGGACGAAGAGCGATACTCCGAGGATGGCGATCTCTTCTTCCACACCAAAAGTTTCGACTATTTGACTCATTCCACCTGAGTAGGCGGATGATACCAAGGCGACTGCGAGAGTAACGAATGAGACAAGGACTGTGATTGCCCATTTCTTAATAGGTCGGAAATTCATCGGATTGCGAGGATCGTTCGGTATCCAGACGACCGCGTAAGGATCATCTTCAGTGCCAGAGCCCGCGTAGGGGTATCGAGCTACTTCTTCGGTGATGACCTTCTGGTCGAAGATTAAGCGCCAGAAGGGGATCTTGGAGGGCAGCGAGACCTCGCCCCCGTTGAGAGCTGTCATAGTCAAGAGGAACTTGTTCGACCCTATTCTTAGCTGATTTCTGATCGCTGATCTACCAGATTCGTATAATGTCGATCAACCTGGCCCAGGCATTCAGATCAGATAGATATTTTGCAGATCAGATGAAACCTTCAACATGAAAACAAAAATTTAGATCATTGCCACCATAAGGATAAGGACGGTTAATTAAGACCCACAGTTAGCCGGGAGCCTCGGCATTTCCCTGAATCAGTAAACGCTTTTCCATAGAGCTCAATTCTCATTGGATAAGAACGTTCACCCGGCACTCGATGCCGAATACGCTGTAAGCGAGTGGGGTGCGCCAGAGTTTTCAGTGGAGTCTTAGCTTTCTCGAAACGATGGAATGTTATGTTTTCGGCCCGGCCGCCATATGAGATTCCAGGGACGGCTTCCCGACACTTGTTTTTGGTGGTGACAGTAATTTTGCAATGACCACATAAGGGGTAAATATTCTGAAGAAATAAAAGCATGAAAGACAACTCAGGTTTATGAATCCGGTTGTTCTGGATTTTCCCCCCTCTTATGTACCTGCATAATGCATTGTCAAGTGGATTCAAGCGGAGACGTGGAGTTTTCACGGCTGGACCCGATCGTCGCGATGTTACTTACGGGTGTAGATATGATCTCCAGCTACTTTACATGTCGTGTTTGACCTGAGAAGGAAGTTCAATGTTCTTGTAACTATTTCTTTCTGAACTTCGCTATCTTACTATATCAAATAAATAATCGTAACTGTAACATGCAAACCTGCTACCCCTAGACACGCCGATCTCCCGCTATGCTTGATGATTTATTCGTCAAAGGATATTTCATACATCTTGTTCCTTCGTGAGCTCTGTCCAACCCGCCTAGATATACTGTTACACTACCCGACGCTCACCCTACAGTAAGGATGTGTACTGGTGCATGTCCCTCTTTGGCATGCTTCTCGGCTACCTCATCTTCTTGTAGGAGCCTGAAGGTCCGAATCCACAATGCTGATGTAGTCAGCTTCCGGTCTCTCTATGAGGAAAGGAGGAACTAAGACGTACCCGACAGGCTCACATAGTATTTGACTGTGCCGGTGCATTCCTCATATTCGTATTGCTCCTGGTCCTGTGTGACCGTCACCTGAAGGCCAATTGTCTTTTGGCTGTCAACCCAGAATAGCTCAGGGTTAGCTTCATCCTCCGGGTGACCGACATGTCGACCTTTTTCATTCGATCGACTTAACAATTCTTTTGGGATCCGTATCATTTTGTTCTCAATCTTGAACGCCTTGTAGGGGCCAGTCCGCTCAGCCAAATACAGCCTGAGTCGGAACTGAACAAAATCCTCATAGCTTTCCAGTGTAACCTCTTCTCCTAGATCTCTATTATCCTCACAGTAAGCTCTAAAGTTACTCGTGTAACCATCTATTCCATCCTCATCAGACCACCATAATGTACCTGGTCGGAACCAGGGATCTCCCCGAGGGCCAGCCGGATGGAAGATTGAGTACCAGGCGTTTCCGTGCGCCTGTGACGGCTCCTGGACGGAAGCCGATTGCCTGACACAGGGCATCAGTGGATCACATGGATTCGTTTCATCCACCAGAGCTACCGTCCCTTGGTGGGCCCACGTAATGACACCCTTCTTTTCTCTCATTGGGGTATACCAGCCCACGCGCAGGAAAATTGTATCGTATTCGCGCTTGAGAAAGTGATGTAGGCGATATTCAAGTATTGTTCTGACAATCGCCCGGAAACTTTGTGAGACAGAGGTCACGGTCATGAGTTGCTTCGTCGAGAGGTATTCCAGGATATTCCAGGTGATCTGGTGCCTCGTTAATATTAGCTCATGGGTATAGATCTTATCATTCTTACCTCCGGAGGGAGGTCATCCATAGAGCACGGAGGCCGCACTCTAGAAAGCCACAAGGAAGATAACGGCTCTTTTAGGGAAGGCATAATAGTTAGCAGTCTAGGAATCAGTATAATGGATATAAAAAAAAAGAGTCAGAGGTCAAGATTGCATCAACGTTCTTTTAAATCCTGTCTTCAACGTGAACCGAATTGGGATGTCGTTATCGATAAGCCTATGTCAGGAGACAAATCAGGAGATAATGACGTCAGCCACATCCCCGATTCGATCACACACAGGAGGAATCAGGAAGAAGATAGACATACATATGGCATGATATGTATGTATTGAATACCTGTAGATGATTAAGATTACCCAGGATCCACAATGCATGTAGAATTGAATTCAGTGACGCTAAAACCCCAGTTTTGCCGAGTGCGGGATCCCGAATTCCTATCCCGTTCACCGAGACTTGATATTCACGCTAATTCGGGTTCTTTCTACATGTAATCTTTATAGTGCACTGTAATCCCCTGCCAATGGCCTCGGGTAGATCCGAAGCTACCTGGATAATGATCGCATAATTTACAGTTTTTAATTGATATCAGTACCGTGTAAGATATCCAGCTATTGATGAACTTAGAGGGTGCTGTAACATTCTTGATTTATCCGGAGAGGCTCCACGTCCCCACGTCCAACCCCGCCGGAGGCCACAGACCCTTGCCGAGTCGGGGTTTTCCTTATGTAGCCCCTCTCCCTTGTCAATCTTCTCCAAGGTACTCTCTCTATACCTACTCTGTTCTTTTTCGCAAAATGGAGAACGTCCTTGATGATATCTCCCACCGGAGATTCAATCCCCTTCGTGGATCCCATGTTTTGGTCTCTCCCCACCGAACCAAGCGACCCTGGCAGTGTGTTTCCATTCCTGGCCATTGTGTAACACCGCAAACTTGCTAACGAAATTTTCTTTCTCTGATCGACAGAGGAGCGCAGGAGAGTGCTTCCAAGACTACTTTGCCTTCCTATGACCCCAAGTGCTACCTGTGCCCTGGAAACCAGCGCGCGCAGGGTGACGTCAACCCCAAGTATGACAGCACTTTCGTGTTTGTGAACGACTACAGCGCTGTCAAGGAAGAACAGGCCGCCTATGATGGAAACAATGGAAATGGTAGGTTTCAAGTACCTAATACCAATTTTCTAACTTCGCACTAACCCCCGCAGATCTCGAATCGCGATTCCTCAAGGCGGAGCCCGTGACGGGCAAGTGCTACGTGCTCACCTTCTCACCCTCCCACAACCTCACCCTGGCCGACCTGGCCCCCATTGAGATCGTCCCAGTGATTAATGCCTGGACTGAGATCTATGCCGCCCACCTCTCGCCCACCTCGCCACTAGCCCAGAATGCCCCTCCCACCCACATCGCGCCCACCGCACCGCATGCGAATGTCACTAAGCCCAAGGAGCAGTACCGCTACATGCAGATCTTCGAAAATAAGGGCGCTGCCATGGGCTGCTCAAATCCCCATCCTCACGGTCAGGTCTGGACTACTAGCAACCTGCCCGAAGAACCCGCTGCCGAGCTGGAGCAGCTGCGTCGGTACCGCCATGAGCACGGCGGTTCCCACATGCTGGAGGACTATGCTGCGCTGGAGAGCCTGAAGCAGGAGCGCGTCGTCTTCGAGAACGAGTCGTTTGTCGTGGTTGTTCCGTGGTGGGCAACCTGGCCCTTCGAGACCATGATCATCAGTCGCACACATAAGCGTGCACTGGTCGATCTGAGTGAATCCGATACCACTCTTCTGGCCGAGGCCATTGCCGAGATCACGCGTCGCTATGATAACCTTTTCGAGACTCATTTCCCGTACAGCATGGGTATTCACCAAGCGCCGCTTGATGGAACTACTGAGGAAATCGAGGCCTCTTACCTGCACTTCCACTTTTACCCGCCGCTTCTGCGCAGCGCTACTGTGCGCAAGTTCCTTGTCGGGTATGTTTCTTTCTTGACCTTTATTGTTTTCGCATGACTGACTTTGATATAGCTTTGAGCTTATGGCGGAGCCCCAGCGTGATATCACACCGGAGCAAGCTGCTGCTCGGTTACGCGATTGCGGTGGTGAATTGTACCGCAAGCATTTGGAGTAAAGCGATTGCAGTGGATTGTGATGAGGTAGTTGGAGTGATATTTTGCATGAGTTTTGCATTGCCCATTTTTGTTGGGAGCCCGAGAATCTATAGAATTAAAACATCGTATTTTGACAACGGGTATCGTTCGGCGATCCATGTCGCTAGAAAAGATGTCTCGTGTCGATTAAAATCAACATATATGGTGGTACTCGTCTGACGGCAGACTGTTATACAGTTCCCCCCTTTTTTATTTAACCCAGATACGCCTCACGTTGGGTCAACATCCAAGCTACTGAAGATGAAGCCACGATCAACGGGCTAATGAAGCGACCCTTCAGCGAGGCATTACCAAAGACCAGCTCTCCGACAAAGTGTGTGAGAGCAATGGCATAAGTCCAGATCGCAAGATCGTATGCGACGGGGTTGGTGATGTTGTAGGCAGCGGTCATGCGAATGACGGCAGAGAGGAAGGTCCAGGTACCGAAGAGACGACCGGACAGGGGTTCACAGGCAACGGAGCCATTGGTGTAGAGCTTTGAGGTGTAATCGGCGGAGGAGTAGGCCTGCAAACTATTGAGGGCGGAGACGGCGGACACCTGGATTGTTAGTAAGAGAAGCAAAAGGGGGATGAAAACCTGAAAACCTACGAAAACGAGCCATTTGGGCAGGAGACCCTCGAAGGGAGGCAAGTAAGCAAGTACTGGGGACAACAATTCAGACATAATTGGGTTGTTCTTGGGTGGGATTGGGGAAGGAATTATGCTTGTGAATTGCCAGCAAACCGAGGATGTTTAGGTTTGGTTCTTGGCGTTGATCTTCCCCAACAAGCTGCACCTAATCTTTTTTTACATCTGCTTATCCTCCCAATACCCCCTCAACAAACTTCATTTTCATACACCATGGATCTGAATCTGTCAAAGCACATTGAGTGCCTCTCGCAATGGCCATCTCATCTGCCCGCCGGTTTGCCGACCGTCGGTGCCTTGTTGCTTCTTGCAACTGGTGGGCTGGCCATCGCCTGCAAGGTCTGGACTTTCGTGCGAGTACTTCTGAGCCTCTTCGTTCTTCCGGGTAAACCGGTATGTCTTCAATCCCATCCGCTACAAATCTAAAAAGCTAATATGAAATAATAGCTCCGTTCCTTCGGTCCTCCTGGTAGCTGGGCCGTTGTCACCGGTGCCTCCGATGGCCTGGGCAAAGAGTTCGCGCTGCAGCTGGCGCGTGCCAAATTCAACATTGTCCTTGTATCCCGAACCGAGTCGAAGTTGATCGCCCTGGGCGAGGAAATTACCAAGCAGTCCCCCGCCGTGCAGACCAAGACCCTGGCCATGGACTTCTCGAAGAACGCCGATGAGGACTACGCCGCGCTGAGCAAGCTGGTTTCCGATCTGGATGTGTCCATCCTCGTGAACAACGTCGGCCAGAGCCACTCTATCCCCGTTCCTTTCGTCCAAACCCCCGCCTCCGAGATGGCCGATATCATCACCATCAACTGCACCGGTACCTTGCGTGTCACTCAGCTCGTTGTCCCGGGCATGATCCAGCGTCACCGCGGTCTCGTCCTTACCATGGGCTCATTCGGTGGTCTCCTTCCTACTCCCCTGCTCGCCACTTACTCCGGCAGCAAGGCTTTCCTCCAGCAGTGGTCCACCGCCCTGGGTGCCGAGCTCGCTCCCCACGGCATTGACGTCGAGCTCGTCCAGGCTTACCTCATTACCTCCGCCATGTCCAAGGTCCGTCGCGCGTCGGCCTCTATCCCCACTCCCCGCGCCTTTGTTCGCACTGTCCTCTCGAAGATTGGTCGCCACGGTGGTTCCTCTGCCTACGCTTACAGCTCTTCGCCGTACTGGAGCCACGGTCTCATGGCTTGGTTCCTAACTTCTGTTGCTGGCCCCATGAACAAGTTCGTGCTTGGACAGAACAAGACAATGCACGAGAGTATTCGGAAGCGTGCTCTGCGCAAGGCCGAGCGCGATGCTCAGAAGAAGAGCACCTGATTGGATGTGGGCCGTCAACACACAATTCGATTAGCATTGATTATGACATGAAATGTGTATTTTGGGAGAGCGGAGATGAGGTGAAATTCTCTGATATAGCTTATGAACTAGCACTATGACTAGGATCCTAGTACAAATTAATTACCTATCATTTGAAGGCTTCATCTGATCTGCATTCAGTTGCCATATTTAATCTTTTTTTTTCCTTACTATGCTATTTGGCTTACTAGGTTTTAGCTTACATATTTAGGTCAAGATCAGGCAGTCAAATTACCACAGGGTCGCTGAGGTAATGTATACATTCCAATAGCGATGTTAATACCCAAAGAAGTATAGAGAGAATGCGACAATGTTATATATTGAAGGAGTACAAGAGGCTTGCCTAGAGAAGGGTGGATAAGTTCCTGGGAGCTCCTATTTCTACTAATCAGATCCTATTTCAATGGATTTGGTAAATGTGCTAAAAGGGGAAATGAGAGAAAAGTGAGAGAGTCAAAGAACAAAGCGACAGTCATCTCAAAATTAAAGCATCTTCGCACTTAACGTCACGGGCCAAAATACTCTCAGTCCCATTGTTTCCTTGAAATAACGTCGGGAACGAGAGCGTGGGGACCTTTTAGATACATATCAAGTCCCGGCTATCGCGTGATCCTTCCAACTACCGACCCGATACAAAGACTCAGCTCCAAACGAGCCAGGTTTCGGCTCCGAGCCCTCGTGCGCATCTGATACCTTTGTACCTCGTGTCATCTGAATCACAAACATAGCCTCGGATCTGTGACTCTCAAAAGCGACCCAAGCGCAAAGGCTAGGCTTTTAGCCTTGGTGCTGTCCTGTAACCCCTCCACGCTATGTGGATTGTGTGGATCTAGTCTCCCGCGATGTCCGTTAAGTCCACCAGTTGCGCGGAGGCAGCATCACTTCCCTTGTATTTCTTTGTGGTGATTCAAGGCCCTACGAGAAGGAGATTCAATTGGGTAGGCATGCATATTTCATCTCCTCTCGACGTGCTCGAGCATCATAAGCCGACTCCACAATCCTTGTACCTAAACTAATTAGCCTTCAGCCCCAGATCCAAAGACAGATTTAGAACAGCAGCATAAAACCAAGTCACAGGCTAGCAATGAATCTGGATCAGCCTCGACCAGGTCATACATGAGAGACGCGATGTAACTGGACAGGAATGATACAATTCAATCTCCACTAGTGTCGGTGTGAGATCATGAAACGCCCATGTTAGAGATAAAGTGTTCTCGGCAAATGTGGAGTAGACGCCAACGGCAGCTTCCCGCTCTATGTAACACACCAGACTCAAATTTGTGGGCTTTTCCTTTCTTGTTTCTGGAAATATGCTTGTTGTCCAATGATAATCCCAGGAAAATGCTTCTCCTACCCTCGCAAATTAGTTTCGCATCGTGCCCTAATTGCTGATCATGACCTTTCTCTACACTATCTCCCCGGTCATTCTCCATTGGTTTGATGCAGGGTTCGCCCGGTACCGTGTTACTCGAAACTTCCCCTTAGCTCACTTAGTCTACGTACTTTGATGCGCGGGGCCGCGCACTTATATTACCTCCCTCGTGGTCCTACTCTTTGGATCGTGGCTTGTCGGCTATATGATCATGTCTACGCCCTATGCTAACTAGTTTGCTTTGGACTCTGGTTTCCTGATGTCGCCTTCAGCGGGCACTCTTCATGCCCTTGGCCATAACTGGCTGGGGAAGGCGGATATTGCTGTTCAGACGATCTTGTTGTGTGGAGGGGTTGTTGCTGTTGCCTTGAGATTATGGTCGAGGAGGCTATTGGGTGTTTCCTGGCAATGGAATGATTGGTTGATTTTAGTTTCTTTGGTGAGAATTGTCTTATTTTACAATTTGAAGCTGAGGTTTCTCCTTGAGCTAGTATAGATTGCTGACTGTCATTTAGATGGTCATGATGGGCCGTTATATAGTTGAGCTTTTGCTGATTTTGATGTGCGGCTTGGGCTTGCATACTGCCGAGGTGACTCTGCTTGGAGGAGCTGACACATTTGTTCGTTTCGACAAGGTAGGCACTACCATCAGAGAGGGTTTCAAATGGATTGAGCTGACCCTTTCAGCTCACATATGTTGGTGATCTTCTATGGATCACAGTCGTGGCCTTGATTCAGCTGTCAATTCTACACTACTATCTCCGCCAATTTCAGCATCGAGTTGTTGTGTTGATGACATATGCCACTATGGCTCTCTGCTCAGCTCTCTGGATTGGAAGTTTTTTCGCAAATGCATTTTTCTGCACGCCGGCAAAGAAGTTTTGGTTAACAGATATTGCTGGTCATTGCGGTAATCGCAAAATGCTACACTTGGGCTCCACTGTGAGCGAAACCATTCTCGAGGCATTTATCATCTGTCTTCCCATCCCAGTCCTATCACACATGCAACTCTCAAAGGCCAGAAAGATATCAATGGGAGTCGTGTACCTCCTCGGTATTATGTGAGAATCCCAGCCCTCAATTGTGAAAGCCACGCAATTCTAACATGATCTATAGTATCATTGTGGCAACGGCAGTTCGCATAAAAGTCGAATTCGACCTTAACCCAGACGACGAAACCTTCGGCTCTGCACGAAAATCCCTTCTCTCATGCATCGTTCCTCTACTAGGCATCATCGTCGCTTGTCTACCAATCCTACCACCAGCCATTCAACGAATCTTTGGAACAACAATATTCTCCCCTTCAGACGGTGAGACCTATGGGCATAGGTCATCGGGCTACTATAAAACGACCGTCATATCAGGCACTCAAATGGAAGGGCCTGAGATCCCCCTTGTAACTGTCACGCAGCCTCCCATGGCAAAGAAATTGTCGGAATGGTGTCATGGCCAGATTAAGATTACTTCTGACTGGGAGATTCATTCCACGAGGAATTCAGCTAGAATTGATAAGGATTCTGTGAGGCGGGCTTGAGACGGGCGCTCATGTCCTTCTAATGACTTTATGACTATGAATAAATTCGAAATGGGCTGTGCCTACTTTTTCCTCTCAGTGGTCGTGTTTGCATGTTTAGTACTAAACACCTGTTCTAGCTGGTTGAGTTGATTATTTTGCCTAGTAAGTCAGCCTTCTGGCCTTGGGTTCCACCTAAGTTCACCAAACCTGTGTAACTAAGAATCGGCGCAGAATAACTTTAACCATAAAGATAATGTAAAAAAGCTTTGGCAGCAAAAAGGAAGCGACCGACGCAGGATTCGAACCTGCAATCCCCTGTACCGGAAACAGATGCCTTACCATTAGGCCAGCCGGCCAACTTATGGGTTACCTAAGCTGCTTATGCGATGAGAGCGGCGAATACTGAGCTATTCAATGGTTACCCTGCAAATCAACAAAATTGATCTTAAAAGGGCCTGGAACTAGAAGATTTCCACTATTTTAAGCCGCTTAGTACTAACAGATTCACATTACTGAGCCTCCCTGGGTAGATCAGTGCTTCTCGCCTTTCTTGAGCTCTTATATACCGCCACGTTTCAGATTGTTCCTTCTGATTCGTTCCTTGCCCATTCGTATGCTTAGTCAGTACGTCATCTGCTCCTTTGATCTCGTTTCCTTTGATCCTCGACCAGCGTGAATGCTGACAATATCTTTAAGAGTCAATCAATATTATATCGCTGCTAACTGTCAGCTAGTGGCATTAATATGTGAATTATACACTGGGCTGTTAAAAAAAAAATAAGGTCCCTTTTTAAGAAAAAGAAGAGAAAAGAAAATGTGGGAAAGACAAAAAAGAAATCCGCCCGACGTGAGGCTCGAACTCACAACCTTGAGATAACCCTTTACTGGATAGATCCGAATAAAAGTCTCACGCGCTAACCAATTGTGCCAGCCGGGCTTCTATGCGAAAATCTCCACATCTTTGAAACATAACCGAACCATGCTTCTTCTTTACCGTTCGAATTTCTCCTCACTCTACCTCCTACACCACCCTTATTGCTGCGATGGAGTTAGAATACAATCATTTAATAGTCTGCTATCGATATTCACCCAGAAAGGCTCCAGAGATTGTTATTGACAGGGCCATCCACCGGCCATCGTCTCGGCGGGCTTCTCTACCAAACGCCAAAAATCTCCCATGAAGGTATCCTCTTTAGGGGACAGCCACACAGACCAGTCAGCAATAGACGGGCCATAAGAGAGCCCAATCAGTCGATCACAGCTAGCGTTTTCCTCATCTTCTGCGCCAAAGTCAACCCGGACAAGTTCCCTTTTCCAGATGCTGTCTTCTATCTTCCCGAATTTCTGCAGATCAATGCCAGCACCTCTCAGATCTGCTAACCAGTTGCGAAGTGCTTCACTTGGAGATGCAATGTGGCATTTAGATACCCTGAACCAGTCAAAATATCCTTCTAAAAAGGCAAGCAACAGCGTCTGTCGGCCAACAACGTGATTCAAATCCACACCAGCTTGCAAGAAACCCATAAAAAGATTTCCCCACGTTTTGTATAGATGAATATATCCATCCCTCATCTTAACTCGAAAAGAAGCTCCCACTTGCCCACTTTGATGACGAATTTGTCTTTTCCATGGGTGAGACCCTTGCAGAGCAGCCTGGGATGCTCCAATCTTTCTCACAACACAATGTACAAGTGTCGTATTTCGTGAATCATAACGCCACGGCCCTTCTAGCTGGAGGTCCTGGGCTGTCAAAGGAGCTGGTCCAAGCATCGTTTGAATCAACTCAGGCATATGATAGGCATCCCATACGCCGAAGACGGCCTTGCAAGCCACTGCAACTCTTGTCTCTTGCGACATTTCGTAATATGAAGGACAGCAATGTTGTTGTAAAAACTTGAACTCTTCGCTAGAGCCACGAAATCGAGATAAAGAACCATTGATAATTTCTTCTGCCGTATCTTCGTAATATATTTGTTTTGTGTAGCGGAGTAAAAGACGCAAAGACGGAAGTAGTGGCTGACCCTTCCCAAGTCCAAGGGTCCCACAGAATACCAAAGTGTTCAGAGGTGTTTCAAGGTTTGGGTGTGTTCCGCTGATAGAGGAGTCAGCTCCCTGCTCGAGGAGAAATTTCAGAACCTTCGCCTTCCTGGGCCCGAGCATGGCATACTTGGGAATCCATTCATTTAGCAACTGTGGGTCATTATCTGTAGATTGTGGACTCCTACTTACATGTAGAAGCGTGTATCCAAAGCGATCGGTTCGATCAAACGGAGAGGCCTTTTTCGATGCAAACAAGTTTTGTAAATCTTCAACTTTGCCAGCTATCGTCAATGAGACTACCTTTGATGTTGATGGGATCACATTATACGTTCGAAAAATCCATTGCCAACCGTGACAGTGCCTCTCACTGTACACTTCTAGAGCCTTTTTATATAGCCATGGTGGCAAACTAAGGCGCCACAAGTTATTAGATGTGTGGGCGTGGCGTGACTTGCCCTTTGGCACCCTTTCTGTTGGGCCATTCAATATTTCGGATGTCTCGCCCCTCAAGAGGTCATCTGCTCACAGCATCAGCAAAAGCTCAATGTTAATTTCAATTACATAGGCACTTACCGTGAGAGTAGTCTTTTGACTCGATATTCGATGTGTTGTTGTTGCCTTGTCTTAGTCTCTCGGCAATCAAATCTGGTTGAACGCGTATAAGCGCTCTGCTTGAATCAGTATGTAGTATTATTACAATATTTAAATCATTAAAAACCTTGTATGACACTGCTGGGACAGTGATAGCAAATGTATAGCGTTTCGCAGTCGTGTCATATACCTCTCTAGTTTCCCCCTCTGCATCACCGCTTTTGCGGCAGCATAGGATTTTCGCAAACGGCTAGAGCAGTCCATGTCACGCATAATCTCATCTGATAGCGCTGTCAGGCTCGTAGCGGCTTCTCTGGAGAACTGCAGACTTTGCAGAGCGTGTTTACTATTCTTCAAGGCGAATGCGACATCCTTCTGTAATAGGTCTTCCTCAATTTCGGCTAGAATAAGTCCGAACAGCTCCAGATCTCGCATCAGGTATTTCAAATCATCGGGCGCGTCTCGAAATTGGTTCCAGCAGTCCTTGATCGTTATTATAGATTCTGTGACCTGAGCGATGACGGTTGCAAAAGTGATGGCGCTGGAAACCACACCAATAACTTCTGCCATCGCGATAAGCAGATAGATCAGCTAGACTCAGAGATCTGCCTCTAGTATATTTGTAAAAGGTTAGGGTTTCATGGAAGCTAAAGGTGAAGAAGGAACCTGGTGCTGCGCCCCGAGCTGACCGCACCCTCTTAAGTCCGCTTCGTGTGGAGGCATTATGCATGTAGCCCCACCTATAATTCTCAACCAATCGAATGCTGTCTAGAGCCGTTCTTTCCAATACCTACATGCCAGTAAAAAAAAATGGGAAAGGCAATAGGTTGATGACCACAAAACGGTGGGAAGAAGGAACCGCGCTCGTCGTCTACCTCTGTTAAGTCTCTGTAGGGTTGCCACGGACTTCTATTGATTATGAAAAACTCCCCGACACATGGTCTGTACGGCTAGATTAAAGTCGGAGGGCATAAATTGGAGGTAATTCTTCCTTCAGACAAAGATTTCTATCACTTGGCACCTCTCTCTTCATATTGGCTATACTTCGCTTATTCCGATATTTATAGTGGGTCCTAGATTTCCCGTCACCGCCTCCACATCGGACCCCGATTCCACCAAAAAAGCTCGGGAAGCAAAAAGAAATGAAGCGACCGACGCAGGATTCGAACCTGCAATCCCCTGTACCGGAAACAGATGCCTTACCATTAGGCCAGCCGGCCTTCGATGAATGTAAGGCGGTCTAAATAGCTATATCAGCTAACAATACTTGATTCACTAATGTGGTAAGATTGGAATTACATTTTCTAGCGGCTAGGTATACCTCAGAGAAAATTTTTGAGGTCGCTAAGACCATGTATCTGAATGGCTATGCCCATAGGTAGCTATAGCTAGGGTCTTGTTTGCGGCATGTTTGGCTGGAGGGGATTTCGAAAGTTCCACGGTTGTCGTAGTGAATTTGTCGGTGTCCGTGGATATATATTCAACATACCAATCCGCACCCACTGTTGCTAGCATACATGTAAAGGTAATGAGTGAACCCACACACTGTTAGATAAACATGTAATATACAGAGGAACACCAATTTCGATAGTGGACTGGAAATACCAACATTAGGAGGATCGTTCTAATGTGCTTTAAATGAGTGAGTACATACTGGCTAAGCAATGTTGGAGGCCGTAATCAAATGATTGTAGAAACAAGGGCTATATACATAAAGGATCAAAATAAAAGCTCGGATCCCTTGCTACTGACGAACAGGACCTTTCAGGACAGGGTCAGCTCATTTTACTGGAGAAAAAAACATGAACCTTGGAAAATTCATTATTCACCACTGGTCGGAAGCAACACGAACCACATTTCATACTCATAGTATCAGCCACATGAATACTGCTCGCAGTATAAGAAGCGAACGTGGATTAATTGCCGACCAAAAGCTGTGGAACTCAATCGCCTCGTTGGCACGATCTACGACATCGGCCCCTTGCATTACCTTCCTGTAACTATGATCGACGAATATGCTCTCCAAACAAGCATCGGGGCATTCTTACCGGAACTTCGAGCCTGCAGCCACCCCTAGGAGAATATCAGGGAATGACATTCTTAGAAAGAGGGGGTGTTGACATGCGTTGTAGGTGAACACGCGGCTAGGCACCATGTATGAGGGACAAGGGAGTCATCCGATGATCCACGACCCCTTCATCCCAGTAATCTTAGAATGTAACCAAAGGGATCAGCGGTATAAAGTCAACCGGCCTCCCTCATCCCTCGTTTCCTCGCATTCCGACCACATTCGTTTCTGTGTTTTCTCTTGGATAATCCTCAAACTCGTCGCTCGCGACGTTCACTTTCATTAAAAGTAAGGAAATTCTGGGAAGCTTGACAAGATGGTCAAGACTACCTATGCTCTCACGCTGTTTACAGCTGTGAGTCTGGCTGCGCCTTTGAGGCAGTCTGGTGGCGGCGGTGGCAGTGAGAACTTGATCGGTGCTGGCACGGCAGGCGGCAAGGTCAACGATGTTGTCGCGGGTATCTTCAGAGAATTGACCCCTCGTGACAACAATGACAACACCGACAGTGGCGACAAAGTGATCAAGCACGGTAGCCTTTTTGAAGAGTTGCCCATTGTTGGCTCGCTTTTCCATGATTCCAAGAAGCAGTCGCGGTCTTTGACTGGAGATCTTGCGAGCTTACCGTTTCTGGGTGATCTACTTGGTGGTGTATGTATTACCTAGCTCTTGTTGTCATTGGATGGAACGTTAACCATAACTTAGAACCAAGCTCACCCTGCAAACACCAATGGCAAACTTGACTCTCGTTCTCACATGCCCTTCCTCGGAGAAGTACATTTTCCACATGACATATAACGGGTGGAATAAAGTCTAACATTATTCAAAACAGGGTCAGAACTATGGTCAAAACCATGGCCAGAACTACGGACAGAACTACGGCCAAAATGCTGGGCAGAATGCCCACCAGAACGAGGGCCAGAACCATGGTCAAAATTACGGGCAGAACTATGGACAAAACGCCGGACAGAACGCTGGCCAAAATGCTGGCCAGAATGCTGGTCAGAATGAGGGTCAAAACCACCTGCAGAACTACGGTCAAAACGATGGCCAGAATTACGCCCAGAACCACAAGCGAGACCTCAATCTGGCCAGCCTGCCTATTATCGGCAAGTACCTCGCTGGCGTATGTATCCATGAGATTCTCCAATAAGGACTCACTAACGATGTAAAGGACGAAAAGCAGCATGGCCCTGTTAACAGCCACACCTACACTCAAACGAAGAATCACCAGGAATCTCGCATCGAGAACCGTATGGAGGGATCTCACGGAATCGAAGGTTTCGCCAACCCTTACAGTGTAAACGATATGGCCGAGACTATCCCGGACAGTGTTGCTGGTTCCTCCGCGGATACCCTCAAAGCTGGTCTGGGAGCCGCCATGGATGCCATCCCTCTTCCCGTAAGATGAAATAACCCAACCAAGCATAGCTTAGTCACTAACGCTGATGTAGGTGGATCGCCGTGGTCTGATGCAGGATCTGACTGCGCTTGGGGGCCAACATGCCGAGAAGTCTGATGAAGACCAAACCCCTGAGGAGAAACCTGCTGAGAAGGAGGAAAAGTCTGCCAGCACCACCGACGAGGCCAAGCCTGCCGAGAAGAAGGAAAAGTCCGACAGCACCACTGACGAGGCCAAGCCTGCCGAGAACGAAGACAAGACCAAGAAGCCTGCCAAAGACAATTCCCTCGACCTCAAGGAGATTGCCAAGGAAGCTGGTCTCGATCAGCTCTTCAGCAAGAACACAGAGCACGGCGTTGGTCTGTTCCCAGTATGTACTTCCCAACCCAGACCTGATTATTCAACAGCTAACCAGTCAGATGAACGGACGCCGTGATACTACTATCGAGACTCGAGGTGCCCCTCCTATCCAGGGCTCTACCCTCACCGATGTCTTGCTGCAAACCGGTGCTCTAGGCAAGATCAGCCACATGCTTGACCCCTACACACCCGCTAAGCAACCTGGTGAGAGCGACCCCACGCAGCTTGGTGATGGTAGCTCCATGGCTGCTCCTGGTCAACCAGGTTCTCCTGCTGGCTCTGGTGCCGCTGGACCTCATGATGGGCCTGGTTACGCTGCTGAGCACGGCAAACTGCAGCACTAGATTTTCCACGTTGGTGATGGAAGACTCGAATTTGGATCAATTTACTTTCTTGAAGACTTGATTTTTTTATATCGTTGGGTTTAGTGAGGTAGTTTGACAAATTTGATGAGAATTGGCCTAATGTGATATGCTTCTTGGTTGTGGGTTTCTTTTGGTATTTTCATTCTTACACTGGAACCGAGAAACTCTGACTTCTTCAATTTCATTATTTTGGTATCGATGATAGAGCTTTCACTATCCCATCACTGAGTGTGGTCCTCTTTCTGGAGAGGCGCTAGTTTATGCGGAGGTCGAGACACAAGGTGCACTTTATACGCCCAAGGCGAACTTGTCTCATATAATAGTGCGTAAGTCAGGCACAAGGAACAAGTCCATCTCAGTTGGAAAGCTATTTCGTATTCAACTTTGTGGCAACTGCCAAAGTTTCAGCTAAACAGTGGTCGAAAGAAGTGAGAACCTAGTTACAAAGAAAGAAAAATAAAGGCCCATGACGAAAAGAAAAACACCGAGATCATAATTCGTTCAGCGCTAAGGCTGATTGTTTCTGGTTCAGAGCACTCGATAATTGAGTGGTCTTGGGGGTATCAGAATCATTAAACGTGAAAGCTCAAGTCAAAAGCTAAACGCAAAAGCATAAAGAGAAAGAAGCCAGTATAGACTCGGGTGAGCAAGATCACCTGCTCATGACGAGTCAAAGTCCATATCTATATCATCCACCTCCACCGTCGTCCCCAGCGCTTCTTTTCCTTCCCGAATCATCGCCTGAAGTTGCTTGTTCAGGCGTTGTATACTTGCATCTTCTTCCCGCTCCTTACGGCGCACCCGTGCTGCGTATCGTTGCATCTCAGCAGACCCCGGCCCCTCCTTTGACCGTGGCGACGCAGCCAATTTTCGTGAAGGAGTAGACGGCCGCATGGCCGAGAGATTAGAGCTCTTGCTCAGTTTGGGCATGACAGCTTGTCGTCGGCGCGGGCTTGAGACCTGATGAATTCGACGTGCTTTCGCGCATGGACTAACGGTGTCGTCGATGAAGGGATCGGCAGTGTCTGTAGGGACCACTACCCAGCTGCGATCCATATCATCCTCGGGAAACTGGCCAGGAACAGGCGTTCTGAAGATTTGGCTCTCCCTCTCCCTTTCTGTTGGGGATCGTTGCGAGTTGGGATTGAAGGTCGCTGTCGCTGGGGAGCCAGCATCCATGTCATAGCCTTGTCCACCACCGGCGTAGAAGCCTCTGAATGCACCCGACCAACAGAGATCAAGGACCTTGCCGACAACATTGATCACAGTGCGGCCCCAGCCGGGACGTGCTGCGACTGGAAGATCTATTGGGTCATCATCGGCGGTTGGTGAAGCGATGCACGAGTCGCGTCTGCTGCGCTTGCGGCTCGTGCCGGAGGATTCTGGAGCTCCTGCGTCGAAGCTTGCATTTAGGGATGGTGGGAGGAAGGACTCGCGGTATCGGTTTGGACGATAGTCGAGCTCAGCGCTAAAATCATCGACCCCGTACTGGTTGTCGGCATGGAAGAGCGGTGAAGCGGTGATGGAGGCATCAAACTCGAATTTGGAGGAAAGTTTTTCTGTGTCACGACGTGCTCGCTTGCGACTGATGGACAGCGAGTACAGAGAGGATGTAGAGGAGGAGGCGGGTACTTGGAAGAGCTGGGAGTGTGCACTGTGGAGGTCAAGTTTCGGCGGCGAGGCTTGGAAAAGCGCAGACATGTCGGGCATTATGTGTATAACATGAGACGAAAGAGTAAGGAAGGAAAGGAAAAGCAGAAAAGCAAAAAGTGGAAAGACACCGGAGAAAAAAAGGATAAAAGATGTGGCTGGTTACAAGGGAAAAAAGTAAACTAATACATTTGATTAGTCGGTTTCCTCAACAAAACAAACATTGAATTAGAACTTGAGACATTTTTACTCCTTTCTTCACCTCCTCACTTCTAAATCTGATCTCTGATAGAATCATTTACAATCGTTGACTTGTCCACTGAACTCCAGCAGCTTCGAGTCCATCGTCGCCATCCACAAGTACACACCAGCCTTCTCCACCTTGCCCCCCATCACCCGCAATCACCGCCTCAAAGTGTCCCCGCGCAAATTCCAGCACACTGTCATCGAAGGTGCCAGGCTGCAACCATACAGCAGGGATACCGACAGAATGCGCTTCCTGTAGCAGCTTAAGAGTGACTGGTGGGGGAGTCACCACGGACAATGAGGTCTGCGTGGGTGAGGGTAGCCCGGCCGGTGAGGGGACCGTATCGTAAGCACGCGAGGGGAGTGAAATCTGTGCTGCTCGTGGATTGAGCGGTGTTACCGGAAGCGAATGCTGGTGATACCATGCAAGAACTGTAGCAATATTAGTCAAGGTAAGCATATATGACGTTTATATTCTTTACTCTTGTAACCAAACTTGTTGGTGTCATTGCTTGCGCCCGCCACGGCAAAGCGCGGGGAAGAGAAGAATCGCTTGACAGCATCCATGATGGGAGGAATACGTAGTGTATGGATAGTCAGAAGATAGTAAAGAATGGAAAGAAGAGGATAAGTGTGGAAGTACAAGAACTTGTAGGAAGATCTAATGAAGTCGAAGTGTAAAGTAGATTTGGAGAAGAGGCAAACGGCCTCGGCAGCTGCCGACAGTCGATCCCCTCACATTCTTTTCCTTCGCCCTTCTCCGCCCGACTATCGGCGTCTTTCTAACTTTATCTCATTTCCACCTCTAGCTTCGCTATATTCCAGTGCTATCTGCTTCTGCGCATGCCGCCATTCGTCCCCCGTAAGCGCGTCTCCTCCGAGGACCCGCCCCCGGCCAAACGCCAGGCCCAGGCCCATAATGATATCCCTGCCAAGCCCGTCCCCGACTCCAAGTCAAGCTCTGATTCCGATTCTGAGCTCAGCGATCTTCCTGAGGGGTTCGGAGAGTCAAATACTACACCGGTCGCAGGGCCAGCGGAAGCGTCCGACGACGAGGACTCTGATGACGAAATAGACTGGGAAGATGCCATCGATACCAGAACCACGAACACTACCCCAACGCTGGCCGTTCCGGAGTTGCAAGATCTAGAATTGACACTAGACAAGAATGAAACCGAGATCGTGGATTTGGTGGATCCCAAGAAGGGACCGACGAAGATCGAGCGCCAGATTCGCATGCAGTCGCACTGCATGCATGTCCAGTGCCTGCTCTTTCATAATGCCATTCGCAACGCGTGGATCAACGATGCCAAAATCCATGAAATACTACGGAAGAAGCTGCCCGAGGGAATACACAAGGAAGTAAAAAAATGGCGAATCGCGTCCGGGTTAGAGCTGCCGGAGAAAAAGCCGGATCCGCCTAAGAGTAAAAAGAAAGGCAAGAAAGCTCGCAAGAGCCAGGACTGGGGCGAGGACTTGGAGCGACTGGAGCCCGGACAGCCTGATATGAGTCGTGGAGATCCGGTTATCATCCTTCTCAAAGTCCTAGTGGCATATTGGCGGAAACAATTTCGCATCACGGCCCCTGGGCTGCGAAAGCATGGTTATCGCCCAGTCGCTGCACTTGACATGGTACTGAAGGACTTCCATAAAGAAGACCATGATCCCGAGCGCCATGGAGAGCGGATTGCTAATCTTGAAGAGTTTCGAGCAACGGCAGAAAGCATGCAGGGTTCTCGGGATGTTGGAGCTCAGCTGTTCACAGCTTTAATACGAGCATTAGGAATCGAAGCAAGGCTGGTAGGGAGCCTACAACCATTAGGATTTGGTTGGACTAAAGCAGAAATCTATACGCCACCCAAGACTAAGAAAGAACAAGAACAAGAACAAGAGAAAGAACAAGACAAAGAACCTGCAGAAGCAGCTGAATATAAGTCGGAGTCTGATGCCGACTCCGAACCAAAAGGACCCAAGCAAAAGAAGGGACGCAGTGCATACGACAATGACCTGTTGTTTCCAATATACTGGACTGAGGTTGCATCCCCCGTCACCCACGAGATCACTTCTGTGGACCCCATTGTGCTATCCAACCCGTTAGCCCCCACCGCCGATCTCCAAGCCGCATTCGAGCCTCGCGGTGCCAAAGCTGAAAAAGCCAAGCAGGTGATTTGCTACGTCGTTGCGCATTCTGCCGACGGGACAGCCAAGGACGTCACGACACGGTATCTCAAGAGACGTACATGGCCCGGGAAAACCAAGGGCTTCCGAATGCCCGTGGACAAGATCCCGATACCTGGCCGCCGTGGTGAATATCTTGAATTTGACTGGTTCCGAGTAGTGATGCGTGGGTACGAAAGACCTCCCCAAAAGCGAACAGAGGTCGACAAACTAGAAGACGAAAAAGATCTCCAGCGAAAACAACCAGAGAAAAAGAAACCAGCTCAGACGGGAGATACACTACAAAGCCTCCGCACATCCACCGAGTTCGTCTTAGAGCGCTTCCTACGCCGCGAGGAAGCTCTCAAACCAGGCTCAGAGTCCGTACGCACCTTCACATCCGGCAAAGGCGCCCGCGCAAAAGAGGAACTCGTATACCTCCGCGCAGACGTCGTCAAATGCATGTCAGCAGAAAGTTGGCACAAAGAAGGCCGCCAGGTCCAACCCGGCTCAGTGCCCTTAAAGCGCGTCCCCATACGTGCCGTAACCCTCATGCGCAAACGCGAGGTAGAAGAGCTTCAGCGCGAAACCGGCGAGAAACCCATGCAGGGACTATACTCGCGAGATCAGACGGAGTACATCATCCCACCACCCATCGTCGATGGAATCATTCCGAAGAACGACTACGGGAATATCGACTGCTTCGTCCCGAGTATGGTTCCTCGCGGCGCTACACACGTCCCACTCCCAGCCACCGTGCGGCTTTGTAAAAAGCTCGGAATTGACTACGCGGAAGCGGTGACTGGTTTCGAGTTCGGATCTAAGATGGCAGTCCCCGTTATCCAGGGTGTAGTTGTTGCGTCCGAGAATGCAGATCTGCTTCGAGATGCCTGGCGCGTGGACGCGGCTGAAAAGCGGAAGCGCGAGGAGCTGAAGGCTGAGAAACGAATTTTGCAGACGTGGCGTAAGTTTTTGTTTGGGTTGCGGATTGCCGAGCGTGTGCGCGAGGAATATGGTGGTGGGGATCCTGCTGATGATCGTGAGCGGGAGACTCATAATCCATTTGTGGCGCGCAAGAAGACTGCCGTCGATGATGTTGATGAACGGCATTTTCATGATGAATCTGCTCAGGATCGTGCCGAGGATTATGATCCTGTCGAGCATGGTGGAGGCTTTTTACTGCCTGGTGAAGGCGACGATGGAGACGATGACTTGATTGTTGAGCATCACAAAGATGAGGAGAATCTTGTCGGTGACGGTTCTAATCACCCTGGTGATGAAGACGATTCGTCTGGGGACTTGTCGCCTCCCATTTCGATACCATCTACCTCTGATGAGGAAGGGGATGATTCGGAGCCTGAATATGCGCCCTCGAGGAATACTAGACGTCGTCGGCGGGGTGGCTGAGATACGAAATAATGTATTTTTAGATTGTAATGATAATCATGAAAGACTTGTATTCATAAAGGGGTTCGGATTTTATTCTGGAGAGAGAGTGAAGAAGCTCTTCTTATCTACATAAAGTACTGGAGAGGTGGGTCGACGGCACGGGTACGGGCCGCTCCGGGCAGGATGGATTGGCTAATCGGCGGTTCAACTGGCACCTAAAACTGGCTAGGGTTTCTTACTGTACAGAAAGAACGTGGCCCAGGAATTGTAGGCATTTCGGGAGCTTTTTGGCTTTTGAAGGTCTTGCAATTTTCGTCATGCTCTTGTCCGCTACTAGAATAGAGCAAGAGCAATCAGCAGACAAAGCTGGAATTCGACCTGTATACGTGGATATAGTTGCACAAAACAAGGAAGTTCGCATTCTGAACTCGGAGAGAGCCAGAGATCGGCCGTCCGGGGCTGTGCCAGGTCACACTGAGATCGCTATTGTTCATAGGCATTGACTGACTCGCGTGGTTCCACGAAGATCCGAGGTGCTCATCCCTCCACTGTGCATCTCGGACAGAAAACACGACAGGGAATAACATACATGGAAGTCCATGAATGCAGGCTCTAGCTAACGAACAGCAGAAGCACCACCTAGGCACTTGCCTGCAGACGCAGATTTCTTGACGTCTCCACACTTATATGCAGAGCTATACTCGAATTTTCGTTACACTACTTTAGTTTGTCTCAGCCAGCCTCGAACACCCCCGGGGCTAGGGGCTGTAGGCTTACCGAGAATAAACAAGACGACTGTGATATGTATCTGAGGTCTGCTCTTTTCTAATATAAATACTCACCTCGCTCACGCCAGACAATTTGAATCCACATGTCTTTCCTCAAGCACTTCATTCCTCATAACCATTCGAGAACATCCCGAAGAGCTTCACACAGATCGCGGCTGCCAACAAGGTCTGCAAAAATGGCCACCACAACAGAATGGAAATACTTCCCCATCACTGGCATCCCCCTACAAGACAGGGTTGCCGGTAGTCCTACTGTTGAGGTGCCTATCAGGCAAAATATCGACACATGGAGCAGTGACCCCGCCAACGAAAAGCAAGTCAAGCTCTTCATCATGGCATTATATCGGTTTCAGCAGATAACCCCCACAGACCGAGACTCATATTTTCAGATTGCCGGGATCCACGGACAGCCCAATGTGCCGTGGGATGAACCTATCGATAAATCAGAGGCTGAGGGCAAGGGGTACTGCACTCACAATAACATCTTGTTCCCAGTCTGGCATCGTGCGTATCTTGCGCTCTATGAGGTATGCGCTCCACTTTGACCTCTTGTAAAATATCAGTTAATGGCAATCTAGCAACGAATTTACGAGATCATGAACAATGAGATAGTTCCCAATTTTGCCGAGGAGGGACGATCAGACTGGCAGAAAGCCGCCCAGACCTGGCGCCTCCCTTTTTGGGATTGGGGTATTACCACGTCGGTGCCTGACTTGTGCAAATATCCCACTACACTTGTGCCGACCGCGGATGGCAAGAGCGAAGAGACTATCACTAACCCTCTTTTTCAATTTCGTATGCCGACAAATCAACCTATGTCTTCGGCTGGCATGGCGAATTTCAAGGATCCGTGGGCCCCTGATGGAGATATGATCTTTGTACGTACAAAACACGAAGTGTATGGAACCCAGCTCATTGAGATAGTACGGTGAATGTATTGGTACCAGTCGCTGGCCCCAAGAGGGTGACAACATCTCAGGCAGCACGGCCTGGAAACACGGGGTGGTGAACAATTATAAAGTTCAAGATGCGCTAAAGAAACCTGAGTGGGTCGCAGATTCGCCTTATGGACAACCTGCAGAGATGGTTTACCGTCTGCTCACCATCCCTATGGAATATTCTACCTTTGCAACCACCGCCCAGCTTTCCGAGGACCAAAGCGTCGCAAATGACGTTAATATTGAGTACAGTGGGTTATTGTAACTGCAAGCTTTATGTATCTAGTATCATTCTAACCGATTTTCTAGTTCACAACAACCTCCACGGCTGGGTGGGAGGAGATTTCAATGGACACATGTCACAAATCCCTGTGGCATCGTTCGATCCTACGTTTTGGCTTCATCATTGGTATATTGATATTTCTTTTCTTGAAAGTAAGTTTAATTTAGTGACTCGGGACTAATCTGAGGACAGTAATATTGATCGTATCTTTGCTTTATGGCAAGCTCTAAACCCTGAAAAATGGATCGAGGAAAGCCAGGTCAATGAGTTCTTCCAGGAGATAATTGGCCTTCCCATTGGTACTAAAATCACCACTGAAACCGAGCTACGGCCATTCCACAAAGACGTCAGTGGAACTGTCATGGTACCTAATGACGTTCGCTACCCTTATAGCCTTGGGTATACCTATCCAGAGTTGCAGACCTGGAAATACGATCCCCAAGCCTATACTGCGGAGCCCTTTCTCAAAGATCTCCGCAAAGCTATCAATGATCTTTATGGAGTGTCGAGAGAACAACTGATTGACACCACCAATAATCTCGAGGGAGTGGAGTATCTCGAAGATGCAACCAAAAACCTGGATTTTGCATTTAGCATCCGCTACCGTAAGTATGGGTTTGGTGGAGAACCATTCTGGATCCGCATCTTTCTCTCTCAGGATGGTGTGACGCAAAACGCCGCTACAGACTTGATTACCGAGGTCTATAACTTCAGTCAAAAGCCAGAAGATCAGGCATCAGGCAAAGTTGTCTGTACGAACTGCAAGGATAATGAAAAGGCAAACCTAAAATCTACTGCAGCCATTTCCATCACCCCAGTGCTGATTACTATCCTGAAAGCAGGCGGTAAAGATCTGCCTAGCCTGAAAAAGGAGGACGTTCTAGCCTTTCTGCAAAAACGTGCATACTGGAGAGTTTTCAAAGGAGGCAAAGAGGTTCCTCGGAACCAGCTTGACCCCCTCGATCTTGAAATTATTGGAAGCACCAATGATTCAACTCAGTATAAGGACGCGACAAAAGCGCCTCTCTTGGAAAACTTCAAAAAGGAACCCTCTATCTCCGGCGGAGCTGACGGTGCACTGGATCCATCTCTAAGACAGCCCATGACAGTCCCGCCACCGACGATGCCTGATATTCCCCAGGCAAATCTGAATATCAATTCGTTCCTGGCTTTCAAGGGACCCATGGGGCCTGACGCCGTTGTGATCATCGATTCAGCTAGTCTGGATATGACCCCGGTCAAATCTTCTGGTATTGACAATACCCAGGTGTTTTTCTCGGACACCAAAAAGGGAGGTGGTAACATTGTGTTCCTGCTCTCATTCCGCAGATCCGAGAACCAAATCGTGCTTAATACTCGTCTGGATAATTCTTGGGGCAAAGAAGTCCGTGTATCTCTGGAAGATAGGTTCAAGGGGACCGCGCCATCTATTCTGGTTCACGATCAGGGTGACGGGTATGAAATCTTTATCGATTGGAGACATCTAGCTTGGTTTGAAAAGCGTGCGAAGGAAAAGGTGGCAAATTCTGTTTCTTATAGTGTAAATGAGGGACAGACGTCTATGATGTCTCCTGAACTGAAGATCAGGGTCTATGCTTCAATGAAGGAAGTGTTCCAAAAGTAGTCTGGGTCAGTATTCTACATAGCTATCAATAATGAATTGTCAGTCAAATAAGGGTATTACAAAAATGCCCGAGAAGTCTTGAAGATGTCCACTCAGTCACCATGGTCTTGGGACCTGTCATGTATATCTGGTGGAATATTTCTCAATCAAAATAGACAAAGAGACAATTTTATAACGGCAAAGCTAGTGACATTTTATAATAGGGACAAGCAAATTTACCCCTGTCTGCACCAGAACAATCATAGAATTTAAGCCTCTACCAGACATCGATGTCCTTGAGGAGCCATCAGAAAGAACGCCTTCATAACCATATCATCACTAGACATTCCCTCACTGGAAGAGACCTTAGCCCGAGGAAAGCGACGGAAAAACAAGGCGGTTGCCAATCGAAGCTCAATGCGAGCTAGATGAATCCCAATACAAACTTTTCAAGACAAAGATCAGCATCAACCTTGGAATTCTCTTTCGCGAAATGAAGTTGAGAAAACTTACTGCGCGATCCACCTCCAAACGGTATCGAAGCGTCTTTCATATCCTTACTCGGATCCTCCCACCGCTCAGGATAAAACCTATCAGGATCAGCGAAGATCCCGGGATCCCGATGAAGACTGTACGATTGTGTTGAAACCGTGGTTCCACCAGCAATATACATCCCCTTCAGGGTAACACCTCCCACAGGGACAGATCGCGGTAATCCGAAAGGAACAGCAGTATACAAACGAAGCGTCTCGCTAATAACCTGGTTCAGATAGGGCAAATTCCGAAGATCCTTATCTGAGATTGGCTCAGGGAGAGATGCGATTTCGATTGCCAATTTTTCCCGTACTCGTGCATCGCTGCAGACAGAGTAAACGAGATACGTGAGCGTCACAGCTGTGGTATCACTTCCAGCAACGATATATCCCTGCGCTTCGTATAGGATTTCTCGTAGCGAAAGACCGTTTTTCTCATCGAAGATCTTTGTGAAAAGTGTTTGTTTCGCGGTGCTGGGGCCACTCTCGAGGTGCGTTGTGTACCTTTCTAGTGATTGAAGTGCATACTGGGACATTCTATTTGCGACTGCGCCGGCCCGATTGAAAATTGGTAGTGGGAGACGTCGGGCAAGGTCTACCATGTTTGGGAATGTGGTTCGGATCGGTTGGAGACTTGACAGACTTTCCAAGTCCTTGCTGTATTGGTTTTTCTCTCCACTCTCGAGCATTTGGAATGACTCTCCAAATGTCAATTCTCCAATCACATCTGTTGCCATGAATAGCCACCATTTGAATACGTCGGCAACGCCGCGACTGTCCATCTCTTGTGCTATTTTTTCGATGGCGAGATTGACTCTTTTCGAGATGAGAGGCTCGTGCTTGCTGAGCGAGGAGTCGGATATGGGTGTAGCCAAGAGACGTCGTCGATTGGAGTGAAACTTCGGGTCCGTTGTACTGAACAAATTTTGGAAGTTCTTGGCTACCAGTACATTGTAGAAGTTGGATTTCATGTAGCGGCTGTTGGTCTTGTGGATCTCTCGTGCTACTTCTATGTCGCAAATGTCGACCTGAGTCGTACTTGTGCGGACAATGGGGCCTTGTGGGAGGTCAGCACTTTATTCCGCTGTGTTTGTGATGTCGATGTCCTTACCATATTTCTCATGCAGACTATGAACATAGTATGGGATCTTTCCGCTGAACCAGTAGTATTTGTATACGAGGTCTGTCCATTTGGAGATTTCGGGACCTGGTACGTGAGCAAGTGGGTTGGTGATTCGTTGGTACAGAAAATGCTGGAAAGGTTAATTTCGATCGTGATAGAGGGAAGGTTGATTTACTAGACTGAATAGCCCCAGAATGAGCCCCAGAAGGGCTGGAATATCGCTAACGGAAAGCATGTTTATGGTCTTTTGTGGTTGCTTATGAATTACAATTCTGCAGTTGGGCTGTCTAGGTTTTATAAGCGACCATGCACTGAGAGGCTCACGGGTTTTGGCAGAACACCGGTCGCAACCACCGAAGCCCCGACTCTTGTATGCAGATCATCTCAGGACAACAAAGATGTGGAGTCTTAGGGCTAAGCATTACTGAAACTTAACCTCATTGGTGCATCTTTCTCCGCACGGACTCAGAAGATGGAGACTGCGGACAGACAAGTATGAATCTATCTACATCCATGGTGTTTTAGGTCCTGATAAATCCAATAAAAAATACATAGATATTTGCTACTGCACTAATCTCATCGATCGGTGGCATCAACTTTCGTAGTAGTTGTGAAACTTGAACTTTTCGGTTGTTCGGCTTCTGTCAAGGCCGAGCTGTATACATCGGACATTCGGGCTTCGCCCGACAAGTCGGAACTTGTGTACAAGGTATGATCGCTATGTACCGCGTTGTTCATACAAAAACCGTTTGTGAAAGGGTTGTCTAGGCTACGTGCATGAGTCCTGATTAGATGACCATGATGGGGGGATTAGTGATGGCTGCGTAACGTCTGGGCCAATACACCGCTTGCTATAGACATACACTCTGTTTACAATAGTTGCCCCCTAGCATCCACCATTGATGGAATAGGGTGCTTATTGCCAGAATCAATCTAGCCAAACCTAGAGGGAAAGTTATATAACTATCTAACTTTGTATACAATTAATCTTGTTGATGCTATTCACACTCTTTCTCACCTTTGCTCGTTTCTTACCCGCTTATTCTCCCAACCTACACCTGCCTTTCAATTGAGCTAGTCTAATAAGTCTTGTCTCGTATATATCCATCTACATACAAAATCTCCTCGAATGAGGCCTGTAGAAGTTCTTGAGAATTCTTACCGTTTGACATTTGACCACTTGGATAAGGTTCCCAGGATGGCATGTGAACAACCTTCGTCAATACGAGTCTTATGCATCACCCCCGCACTGCCTTTTCATTCGAATCAAGAAATAAAACTTCACTGCAAGGAGCCTCTTACGTATTACAGTCGTACGTTGTACGTCGCTACATCCTCCCTCACATACATACTCGAACCTGATTTGCATAGTTTGCAACAACCCCTTGCATTCGATAAGACATTGAACATCCTCATACTCTCTCCCTTGGTTTTGACTGCTCTTCCAACGCCTTCAAAATGTTTTCCTCTTTGCAAATAATATGGTTTCCCATTTCGGCGGTGTTCAGTCTAGTACTGAGACTCCTGTGGTATCGAACGCCTCCCAAAGATGATATCGAGATCCTTGAGAGACCATCTACTTTGAGATCAAAAAGCGTAAGTAGAGCCTTTGTTCTGTGGATGCGTGGTATTTTTTTTACTAACGGAAACAGTTCGACTCAATCGCGACTACAATCAAGCAGGATTCATCGCACGTCAAGGTTGTTGAAGTGGCGAAAGATTGTTCTGAAAATGCGGCCAAGGAATGCGGAGGTGGTAATGGGTAATAAGGTGTATAGCGAGGAATGAATACCCGAAAAGAATGGAAATGAGATAGTTACAATTAATGTATGAGTATTCTATGTGCAATTAATAATCCCAAAAACATTAAGCCACAGCCTTCCCTTCTACCTGTACCTAGCTGTCGCCAGCGGAGAGTCCACATCTCTCCACTCTGCCTTGTCGTACTCCAAATCAAACTCATCTTGGTCAAGCTCGGGACTGATGTGCACTGCAGGCGATGAGATAGGGCTAAGCGCCACTCGCGGCCGTGACTTGAAGATGCTGGCATATTCGGCATCTTCCTCGAAGAGTTTGTCTTGCGGCGTCGATGCGCCGGATCTTGTAATGGGTTCGGAGGCCTTTCGGGGAGTCTCGAATTGGTTCACAGGGAGGGAGGGTCGTGGACCACGGCGCTGACGAGGGCGGGATTCGTGTGTTTGGGGAGGTGGAACCAGAGACATGGATTTGCGGGTGCGTTCAGTGAGCTTGTAGTGGGAGATTGAAGGTTTGACGGGCTCGAAGTCTGACTCATCGAGTTGGGACTCTGGCTCGGGCGTGAGACGAACAATGGGGGTGGAGGTCATGGCCCGAGTAGTCTCTGGCTCAGAACTTGGGGCCATACTGCTCAGATATGTTGATCTAGGAACTTGAGGCATAGGAGGTTCTGCCTCGCTCTCTGATGACGATGTGCTTTGGTAATTGGCACTCTTTGGTCTAACTGGCAGTGGATGGACCTTAATGCTGTTGTCAGACAAATTGCGACTCATTTCATTCCGAGGTTTCCCATTGATACGGATGATGGCCTCATTGACGGTCGACATGAATGATCGATCTACGTCCTTAAGCACCCTTCTGCGATCCGCGGGCTGTCGTACAGCTTTGGAGATACTTGCCACCGTGAGAGGCTGATGATCACGGAATAGCAGGCGAGGCTCTTGGGGCTTTGCACTGGCAGAAGAACCATTTTGATCACGTTCCTTGCGAATGGACTCATTGAACTCGTGCCACCTGCGTAGTCGGCTCCGGAGCCGCAAGACTCGTGCCTCGAGATCAACAACTAGGTCCTGCTTGGCACCGGCACTTAGATCAGCCACTGATGAATCGGTTGCACGAGCCCAGGCCTGTGAGAATGGCAGCTCCAAGAAAGCATCTGTGCTACCTTGTGCACCGCCGTCGAGCAACGCGGTAGCCCATTCCTCACTCCCCAACCAATTGGCTCGAAGCTCACGTGCCAAAGTGTCCGGATCAACCTGCATCTGACCCAAGTTCTGATCCTGCTTGTTGGCGCGCTCCGAAAGCTCGATCTTCTTGTTATCAAGCAGCTGCGAAAACTGTTCGTACGCCTCTTGCACCCGTGCACGGCGCCCCCCTGCCGCACCGAGGGAAACTTGATGAGCAACGATGAGTGGCAAAATGTTTTGATAGTCTACCGGAGAGATAGCATTGGCCATAGAAAGCTTCGTAGCAGAGTTCCACAATGTATCCGTCGCGGACATTGCAAGTAGCTTGCGTAAAACCGCCGTCGAGAATACAGCAAGCAGCTCATCGAATTTCTCGCCTTTACAATCATCCAGCATCGTCTTGCGTAGAATTGTCTCTCGCCCTAGGTCGCCATTTTTCTTTAATTCGGTTAAAGCACGGAAGAGTGCTGCACGAAGGTTGACGGATTGTAGGGGTTCTAGCGGTGGGAAAAAGGGACGGAGTTTCTATACAATTATTAGCTGTGAACCACAATTTTACTGTCTAATAGCTGGAGCGTAGCACATTTTGAGTACCCTCCGGATCCCAGATGGCGAACAGGTGGTAGAGAGCCCACTCGACTAGGCGAATGCGCTGTCGCTGGTTCGCGGATGACGACGACAGACGGCGGAGGGTGATTTCGGGCCAATCATCGCGCTGGTCAAGTTGCAGTAGTTTCAAATTGCGGACAAAGACCGTCAGGTACGATGGACCTGACCAGTCCAAGGGCTTGGGCCGCGCTGGCCTCGAAGCAGCCATCGTTAACAAATGGACGGAGATTAGTTAGTAAACGGCGGGCTGATTGTGCCGTCAACAATGCGATAACGGGGGTTTGCACTGTTTGTTGTGCCTATCAGTTTTGGTCCCGCAGTTTCCCATGGTTTTGTCTTTCCTTTATTCTTTTCCCTTTATATTCCTTCTTCACTGGACTTGCGCATCTTCTACTTTTCACTCTCCCCTCATCTGCCTATCATGGGTTCCGATAATTCTGATTGGTCCCCCCAGACCGGTATGTGGGAGTCGCGACAAGCTTGACCAACACTGACTAACAACTTCTTTCGCAGTGCTATCCACCCTCCCCCACCCACCAGAGGAGAACTCCGAATCGCCGGTCGCGTTCTTCCACCTCATCGAGCGCCTGAAGACAACCAAGCGCGAAGGATGGCGCCGTTTTGGAATCAACGGCGAGTCGATCTCAGACCACATGTATCGCATGTCGATCATGACCATGCTTGCCCCGCCTGAGCTGGCTTCTAAAATCAACATTCCCCACTGCACCAAGATGGCTCTTATCCACGACATGGCTGAGTCGCTGGTTGGTGATATTACTCCTGTCGACCTTCACATTACCAAAGCCGAGAAGGCACGTCGCGAAGCGTCCGTCATGGACTACATTGTCACTACTCTGCTTGGAAATGTTCCGGGTGGCGCGCTCTCCGGACAGCAAATTAAGGATGTTTTCCAAGAATATGAAGACAATGTGACCTTGGAGGCGAAGTTCGTGCACGATATCGACAAGATGGAGCTGCTGCTCCAGATGGTGGAATACGAGCGTTCGAACAAGGTCGATCTCTCGGAATTTGAGCACGTCGCAAGCAAGGTTCAGCTTCCTGAGATCCAGGCTTGGGCGAAACAGGTTGTCGCTGAGCGTCCCAAATACAACAAGAGCGATGCATAGAGGACATGTGAAGATTTTAGTAGCATGTTCTAGCGATTGATTTGATGGGCGTTGGTTTAATTGGATTGGGCTTAGTGGCAACCTAGATACCATAGAAGACGAGCTGCAATGTTATTGATGCGCAATGATGTACGACTGCATGGTCTTTCAGATTCAAACAATCTCATCTGTTTATGAGTAATCTTATACGTAGCACCCATAATATACAGGCTCCAGGTACCAGGTACCTTAATTACTTTAATCAACTGGCTCTTTCTCCATCTCCCGTGCCAACATCTCTGCCTCAGCACCCATCTCCTCCATAGTCCTCGGCTTCCTCGCCTCATTATCCACAACAGGAAACTTCGCCTTCTTCTTTGGCGTCTCAACGTCCGCCCTCTCACCTCCCTCCGCTTTTTTGAAAGCCTTTCCAACATCTCCCTCCTCCCCATCAAGCATGTCATAAACAGCATCTGTCCCACCCCGATAATCCAAATCAGCCGCCTTCCGCGGAATAATATGCGCATGCACATGTGGCACGCTCTGCCCAGCATCCACGCCATCCTGCACGGCAATATTCAAACTCGAGGCGCCATACACCCGTTCTACCATCCGACCCACGCGCCGGACTGTTAGGAACAGGTCGCTTGTTTCAGCGGGTGTCAGGTCTGAGACGCGGGGGACGACACGGCGAGGTGATACAAGGACATGGCCTGGAAGGATTGGTTTTAGGTTTACCAATGCGTAGCTGAGGGAGGTTGTGTGGAAGACCTATGAAGGAGGTTGTTCGTTAGTACTCAGGTTTGGTGTCTTTGGGTGTTGGGTCTTGCATTGGAAGGGATTTTTACTTGTGGTGTTACTAGGAATGAGCCAAAGTGTATTGGCGCTGTAGCGCCTTTTAGTGCTGACATGTTTGTGTTGGTCATTGCTTAGAGTGTTGAAGAGTTGACCTCGGGGTTGATGTTTGGAGCAGGAGCGATAAGCTTATCAGATTGGATAAGAGATTGGGGGAATCAGTAGACATGTAAGCTGATCTAAGACACATTAAGCTTAATTTCACGTATACTTATTTATTTGATGTATTAAACATACATAACCCCATCAGCTATATACTTTACAACATCACAATTCGAAAATACACAGGTGACTATCGGAGATGCCTTAAAGGCCATTGCGCCACGTGACAGAGTGGCCCACTTTCCCTGTCTGCTCACTGCTACTTCACTAACTTAGCTAGCGCTTAGGGTCTATATTTGTGGCTGCTTACGGGGGATGACAGCTAGACGTGTTTCCGGTCTTAATTCCCACGATACTGCAATGACGGCCTACTTAAGGCCGTGGAATCCCACTTTTTAGTCTCCATCTACTCCACATCCCTGCAGATGGAGGCCTTTACCTTATGTTGTACACGCACATACAACCCCGACAATCCTGCAAACCTCGATATTTTGCCCGGGGAGATCAACTGCAAATGCTTTCAACAAGGCAAGCCAACCATTTGCAGTATCGCTGAAGGCAACACAGACGACCTTCACAAATACATCGAGACTGGCTGGCAACATTTCATACAGCATCGACGAGAGAAAGACCTTTCTATCCCCAAAGAAACAACACCATATCTTCAAGATGCAAAGGACCTTCATATCTGGTCGGAAATCGGACAAAAATTCCTAACACAAATGAACTGCACACATAGCCCAAGTTTTGCGATCTGTCGATTCGAGGACCCGGGCTGCGAGAGCCCTCTCATAAACGCTATACGATCCCAATCGCCCGACAATATAAGTCTCCTCCTTGAGCTAGGCGCGAACCCAGACGGATACCCGCTCTCCTGGTTCGAAGTATGGCAGACATTTTTCCTTCGTTTCGGGGTCAACTACAGTGCGACTTACTATGTACCATCAAGAGCCAGACAATTAGATAGGATTGAGGTCGACACAGCACAGACGGACTGCATTACAGAGGGGGAAGTAGAGAAGCGATCGCGCAACTATTTCTGGAGGGGATCTGACGATAGTTGGCGTCGTAATCGCTACACCGAAGTCGTGCACCCGCTCGTCATGGCAGCTAGCCTATCTTCAACGAAAATAGTCGATCAACTCCTAAATACAAACGCAGACCGGTCGTTCTGGACCGCGTTTCCCGCGCTGAAAGCTATTCCGGAACAGCCAACGCCTTCATCTCTGTCACTCTCGTCCCCGCTACACGAAGCAATCGCAAGTGGGAATACGGAGATGCTCACCCATTTACTACAAGCAGGGTTCAATCCTAACGTTATTCCGCTCGGAGACGTATACAACAGTATCACCCCGCTCATGGCAACGATACTAGATGGCCATTCCTGGAATGAACCCGCATACGAGATCCTGACTCGGCATCCTCAAATCGATTTCAACCTTCGTACGCCATACCTCCTTGTTCATATCTTGCATGTAGCAGCGGGTCATTCGCTACATGCCCTCCAACGCGTTGAACGAGATATACCCCTCGCTGCAGCTGGTGCAACTGCCTACGGACACACATTACTTCATATCGCATGCATGCCGCTCGAGATACAGAACCTTGCGTCGAAGACTAGGGAATCAATCCGGAATATCAGGTACCCACATCAACGGCAACGAAATGGAAAAGGATTCTTTACTGGCCTGCCGATATCGTTTGAACAGTGTGAGTCGGAGTTCCCGGAACAAATGAAATTAATACAATACCTCCTTGATCAGGGGCTATCTGTTATGGCGTATGATTCAGACTTGAATACCCCGCTGCATTATCTGGCTGGTGCACGGGTGGTTAATGAGGGTGCGATTGCGCTTTTGCGTCAGCAGGTGGGTGGTGAGGATGCGTGGTGTCGGTGGGGGAATTGGTATGGGTATGCGGCTGAGGAAATTTGGGAGCAGAATCTTAGGATTCAGGTAAGGAAGGATGCTTGGTATGGTGGTACGACAAAGAAGGTGGTAACAATGCCGAAGCTGAGAATGTGAATGTTATAATTTTTAGTGGGCTGGATATGGTAGGTATCTTGGTTTGTATGGAGATGTAGGTGATCAGGTCGGGCATACTTATTCATGGATGCAAGACATGATGTAGTGCGGGCCCATACTAATAGGTTCATCACATTTGTGAGTAGATTGTGAGTAGATTGTGCCACGGATGAAAGGCTACAGAAAGTGTACCAGGAAACGGGTATCTGTGACATTGACCATGAAAAATATCCTGAAGCTATATTACAATAAAGAAAATAAGATTAAAATCACATCGCGAAGCAAAGCATTAGGTGTTCCGCAATGGCATAAATACAAGGGTTCGTTAACTGAGCTGAATACCTCTAAGGTACCTCAAGGTTCCTCAGTTTTAGATTCAGACTCAGGCTCAGACGCTGGGGCCGGAGGTTCAGGTTGAGATTCGGGTTCGGATTCAGGTTCTTTGAGTTCCTGAGCAACGGAAGATGTAGCCACATCCTCGCCCTCCAGGGGCTCGGTCGACGTAGAATCCTCGGGCTTGGCCTCTTCATCCTGTGCCGGTTCTTCTGTTTCCTCTTCAGGCTCTGGCAATGATTCCTCTGATTCCTCTGGTTCCTCGCCTGGTTCCCCGATCGCTTCCTGAGACTCCTCTTCAGTATCAGAAGATGGCTCAGCCGACGTGGAGGTTTCTTCTGTGGCAGCTGGGTCGGTGTTCTCGACTTCAGGCTCGAATTTTGGACGGTTCTCCACAGCGGACGGAGGGCGTGGCTCAGGCGACTCCTTCAACACCTCACGCAACGGAGCGTGTATCTGCGAGATTTCTTCCGGATCCTCTGCACTCTCTGTGATGGTTGTGACGCGCGATCCAGTAGAAGGGCTATGTTTGTGTCGTCGAGTGGTGGCACCTGTGCTAATTGACGGATCTAAACCTTCGACCTCAGCAGCAAGAGGGGTTTCAATCTCCTTGCGAAGAATAGTCAGTCGCTTATTATCAGGCTGCTCCTCCAATTTAGGCTGAATCGCATCGAGACCTTCTGCCTCAGGCGGAATGGTATAGTTGTCCTCCGGGATAAGTTGGAAAATGTCGCAGACCGTCCTAAAGAAAATGTACAGGCCATCATGGCCCTCCACCTCCCAGAAAACATCCCGGTGTTGGAACCAGGCGTGTGCGAAAATCCGGTACAGCCGACGGAAAACGTTGGTCAGGTGTCTCATGCTAGCCTGAGGGCCACCGCCAGCCTCGGAGCCCAGCGTCAGGCGGCTGGGGAAGTATTTCGGCGAGGTGAGGGTATTATTAGCCCAATCAAGAGTGTGGCAGCAGTAATCGATAGCGCAGCATGATTTAGGAGGGTCGTGCACCGCGCAGAGATACTGCCATTCGGAAGCGCGCATCTCGGGACAGGTCTGCACAGAGCAGGGTGGGTCTTCCGCGAAGAAAGCGATGATCAGATTGTTGACTTTCATGGTGAGGAAACGGCATAACTCGTAGAGCCATAGCGATCGATCGACGCCCTCTGGGGGATCAGCGAGCTGAATTGCGACCTCGCGGGTAATCGGGATGACGATATCAGATCCTTCGGGTTTGGTGAAATGGTGGTACAAAGCTTTAAGGTGTTCCTGAAGCTGGAAAGGTGAATCAAGCTAGGATTATCAGCGGACGTTCGGGAAAGTCTAGAGATGTCGGTACATACCTGCGACAAAGGAATCAACGGCGGTCCAAAGGCCATGTCAGCCGCTTTGGTTCCCGGGCGGATCCTGCGTGTTGAACCATCATCTTCTCCAGCAGCAGCTCCGAGAATTTGCTCCCCATCTTTGCCAAAAGCCTCGCCAATTGAAGGCGACTGAGGGCCGATCTGGACTTCTGTGAACGGGGGCGGACTGGGGAGGCGTGGGGAGCTAGACGGGGAGACTGCGGTAGTCATGGCGCGTAACAAGTATGGGGGGTGAATAGTTGGAAGAGAGACGCGAAATCAAAGGAGAGAACCCGGAAGTTATAAAAGAGTGAATGGGAAGTCCGCGCCCTCGCCGATACAAAAGAATCCCGAAGTTTATTTAGACGTCTTGAGCATGGACTTGGTCGAAGCTGAAGCAGCAGATAAGCAACAACAAATGACCATCACGTGCCCTAAGCCCTACTCTCCATTCTAGGAAACAACGTCATCTTCTGCCGCATCTACGACTCTTTGCCTGGTGGAAGATCTAAACATTCAGAGAAAACAAGCTTTGAACATAGTTCTACAGCCATAGAGTTAGACAGACTGAACATGTCATCCAACATTGACGATGATGAAGCACCTCCAGACTTGGTCGACGTCATGGCGACGCCAGCAGACGAGCCTGCCTCTATAGAGGAGGAGCCGACTAGTCGAGTTCCTATTACTCTTGTCACAGGTACGACCTAATAAAGAAGATTGATCAGATGAAACAATGCTGACCTGACCATTAGGATATTTGGGGGCAGGAAAAACTACCCTGTTGAACTACATCCTCACGGAAAAACATGGTAAAAAGATCGCCGTGATCATGAATGGTATGTTATCTACAATTCGCATATAAAGTCCATACTAATGAATGATAGAGTTTGGTGACTGTACGAAGGCGTAAATTCCCACAACATAAACATAAATTAACGAACTATAGCTTCGGACATCGAAAAGCCTTTGACCGTGAACGAAGGCGGCCAAGAAGTCACCGAATGGATGGAAGTTGGCAACGGCTGCATATGCTGTTCAGTGAAGTACGTTTGATTATCCTGTTCAAAAGTTTCAAATCATATATATACTAATATAAGCTCAGAGACTCCGGCGTCATGGCCCTCGAATCACTCATGGAACGCCGCGGCACATTCGACTACATTCTCCTAGAGACAACAGGTCTTGCCGACCCAGGCAACATTGCTCCTGTATTTTGGATGGACGAAGGTCTCGGTAGCTCAATCTATCTCGATGGGATCGTAACACTCGTCGACGCAAAAAACATCATCCGACTCCTCGACGAGCCAGCCCCTGAAGAAAAAGCCGATTCGCATAAAGAGAGCGCTAATGATCGTGACCAGAAACACAAGCACGAGCATACAGGTCCAGTGCTGTCCATGGCACATATGCAGATTTCGCATGCCGACGTGATCATCCTCAACAAGACGGATCTGGTAACCGGAGACGAGCTCGAATCCGTGAAAGACCGCATTACGGCAATCAACAGTGCTGCTAAGATCCATGTTACGGATCATAGTCGGACGCCGCAAATTGAGGGTGTGGTGCTTGATTTGCATGCGTATGACCATCTGGCAGATATGGATTTCGGGAAGAAGGGACATAGTCATATGGATCCTGCTATTTCCACTGTTGCGATTGCCACGCCGCCTATTCCTGCTAAGAGCGTCGAAAAGGTTGATGAATGGCTGCGGGAAGTTCTATGGGAGTCGACATTGCCTGTGTCTGGCGGTGCAGGCTCTGAGTCATGGCCGACAGATTTTGAGATTCATCGTTTGAAGGGTATTCTGGTGCTAGAGGATGGATCAAGTAAGATCATTCAGGCTGTAAGGGATGTTTTTGAGATTCGGGATTCAGTTCAGAGCCAGGATGGAGATGAGGATAAGAAGGTTCAGTGCAAGATTGTGCTGATTGGGAGAGGGTTGACAGCGAGTGGTGATCCCTGGAGGGAGAGCTTTGAAGCATATGTACGGAGTTAACATTCCGATGAGGGTTCGGATATCATACTTGACGGGGAACGATTGTTTTGAAATGATGCATGGCAGTAATCAACAAAAGAGGGAAATAATACAGCCATGATGGCTAAAAGAGAGAAAAAGAAAGGCTTGGTCAAAGTACACTTGAAAGGCCTGTGCGAGAACGCCGGACAATTAAAACCTCCGTAAGGGTGAAAACATTGGGAAGAAAAGCAGATGACAGAAGGCAAAGCAGGGAAAAGGACGCAAAAACGCAATGATGTATAAATCGAATAAAATCCACCACAAGAAATAAAAGAAAAAGACTTTTTGGACGCCAAAAGTTCGCCGGCATGCGCCATCGGTGCTGATGCCTTGGAGTGCTAGCTTGGAACGCAACAATGACAATGATAGGAGAACTATACAAGCGAGAAATGAAGAGGGTATCGATCGTATAGTCCCACGAATTGGGACTTGAAAATCATCTGGCGTTCATAATCTTCGGAGTTACACAACCTTGGGCCAGAAGAGGATGGTCCAAGGGTCTCGCTCTAGAGACATTCTCTAGAGGCTGGGTTGATAGGGAGTCGGGACTCGACAAGGGAGGGAATGAGTCGGACAGAATTGTTGTCAATGGCCTGGGTGACAGGGAGCTGTGATTTGACAGGTGAGATAACACATTTGACGAAGCCGTCTTCGACAGTCGGGTTAATCGGAAGCTGTGACTCGAGAATGGTAGATACCAATCCAACAGGCTCGTGTTCGGTTTTCTTGGCCGGAGGTTGAGATTCAGGGAGAGAAAGGGCCAGTTTCATGGATCCATCTCCAACAGCCGGATTTATAGGGAGTCGTGATTCGACAAGGGACGAAGAGAATCCAATGGCTTCCTTCTTAACACTTTCGCGAGTGGGGAGTCTCGACTTCAGAGGCGAGGACACAACCCTCACGGAACCGTTCTCAACAGCTGGATTTATGGGAAGACGTGACTCAACAAGGGGAGAGGATTTGATAGAATCGCTCACGACAGTTGCGCTGGTGGAGAGGTATCGCTCTCGGAGCGAAGACACCACCATAACGGGGCCATTCTCAACAGCCGGATTTATAGGTAGTCGCGACTCAACAAGAGGTGAAAGTTGTATTGCCTCCTCGATAATTGCGCTGGTAGATGGCCTGGGTTCAAGAGGCGCAGACACAGACCTAGCAAAACTATTCTCAACAGCCGGAGTAATAGGTAGTTGTGACTCGACAAACGGCGAGATTTCAATCAAGCCCTTCTTAGATTTTGCGCTGATAGATGGCTTAGATTCAGGAGACGAGGCCACAAATCTAGCGGAACCATCCTGGACAGCCGGGTTTATAGGTAGTTGTGACTCGAAAAGATCGCGTTTCGAATTATTGTAGATATCATCCTTTAAGGCAGGATTGATAGGCAGTCGAGATCGATAAAGGTGTTCCAAGAGAGCCGAATTGTCTGGTATAGGTTCACGATAAGTTGGTAAAGAAGGTTGCGTATCTTTTGCCACTGAAGGCCATGTCCGGTGTCGTGAAAATGGTAGAGCTGGATTGATAGGGAGGATTGAATGGAAGAGGAATGGCATTGCGCCGAGATGTTCGGCTGGGGTGGGAGCAGAGACAGGCTGCTCAATCGGCTGATGTACCCGTTCATCGTCTTGGATTGGAATTGACGTCTGTTCATCGGATCTTGGGGAGGCGGATGCGGGTTCGGGGTTGGGCGGGTGATCTTGTCCATTGATCGAATCTTGGTCAATAGATGGCTGGGATGGCTGATATGGAGTTGTATCTGAGGGGGACGTTTCTCGTTCTGAGACGTTGGAATGGAAATTTTGACCGACGTTATTGGTCCACGCGTGGGTATCAGAATGATGAGCTGGTTGGGGTTCGGCTCTATCGTAGCTAGGCTCTGGCATATCCCATCTTCGTCCTAGATCATCAATTTCATGATGATTCAATGTGGATGCCGAAGAATGGCGAGATAAGAAAGCTGCTCCCCCATTGGAACCTGCAAGTGTAGGTGTTGATCCCTTGCCTTGATCGTGGTGGTTTGAGAAAATCGGCTGTGGCATGCCGTTGTGTGCTTTGGAAAAGTCGTTTTCAAAGGGAGGTAGGGAGTCAAAGGCGCCGGTCATGGGGAGAGCCACAGGGTAGGCGTTTGCGCCATGGCTTTTTGTGACGAGAGGCCTTAGATCATGATCAGCGATATCTCGAGCCCGGCCTGCCGGCATAGATCGTGAAAAAAGGTCTGTCGGGAAAAGGGTAAGAAGGTCTTTGGCGGACAATCGGTGTCGGGGAGTAGGGCTGAGGCAGATATCAACCAGTCGGCGATAGTAATCGGGCACATCCACCTCATTTCCTAAGAGCAGGGGACGAGGCTGTCGTTCCGGCTCGTCCTCCTCCATCGCTAAGGCCCACAAGGTCATTCCAAGCTGATACAGATCTGTCTTGACCCCAATATACATGGAAATACGCTGGTTGCTTTCAATTTTCGCGGCAATCTCTGGCGGCTCCCATCCAACGGGGCATCCTCTGCGATTAATGTCGATAATATGCGCATTGTCTTCGCCATCCACCACGATGTTCGATAGCGTGAAATCTCCCTGGACGTATCCTGACTCATGGATCTCACAGAGACCTTGAACAATCTGTTTGGCCCATCGCTCCCGTCTGGGAAAAGAAAGCTCTCCCCGCTGATCATACAGAATATCGACCAGCGCGCCCTGAGCCGCATAGTTGATCAGCAGGCCCTTGACCACTTCCTGTCGCTCATCGACCACAATCGCTTCCACTTGTATCACATTGGGCGCGCGATTCAATGCATGCAGCGCATTGATCTCGTATAAAAACTCATCAACCGTATCAGGGCCCGGAATCTCCTTCTTGATATACGCGTGGGCCCCCAGCCGTACTTTATAAACAAATCCAGAGAGATGGGATTCAAAGTGCAAAAGGTTCTCTGGTACACACCGAGCACCCCGTAGGTGCCCGATACTGGAGACCGGAGGATAAGGAATCGTTTCGTTGACGTCCTCGGTGACATGAACGTGCAAACGGCCATCGCGAGTCTCAACTTTCAAATTGGTGACGGTATCGTAAAATTGGATCTCGGGAAGGGATTCGCGGATCGACTCGTAAATTCGCGCACATTTGTCCCGCTGATATCGCAATTCCTTCAAATCCTGCTCAAGTGAGTCCTCGGTTGCGCCGCGGTAATCGCAAGAAATCGTGACTCGGCGCCATCGGGTCGGGGTTTCGGCGTATGTAACGAAGAACTTCTCCCTTTCCGAGCGATCCCGGAAGTGCATGCTCAGGTTCAAAATCCATCGTCGTTCCAGCTCCATCTCGAGTGTGTTTGGCGGTTGTGCGCTCTCAGCCTCAGGGGCAATTATGTCGGGGGAAGGGTCCCAATCAGGTTCGGAATCGGTCTCATCGTTCTCCACGTCTACTTCCAGATCCAGGGGCGTATCCAATTCGCGATCGAGGGGCTCGTCGACCGTGGTAGCGGTTGTCGGCCCGAGCCACTGAACCTCTGGCGCGGAAAGTCGAGGGCCCACGGCGGGCGGTGGAGACCGGCTTGTTTGGGCACTCAACGGGCGACGGTCGGCCGAATGAGCACGACGGTGCTGGGGTTCGAGGTTCAGGGGTGCGAGTTGATCACGATGCTGGGAGTTTTGGCGTTTAAAGGGGCCAGATAGGGGTAAACCAACCCCTACGCGACGTGACAGGCGACGAGTGAGGTTGTCTTGCTTGTTACTGTCGATGGAGGACGCTCGGTTATGGTTGTGGGGGAAAAGGGCATCGTGGTTCCGAGAATCTCGATCATCACGACCCAGCCACCGTCGTAGTCCTAATCGATGCCACACGCTCTGCTTTGGTCCCTTTTCGTCCATTGGGAAACCCAGCCGCGTTGGGCTACAGCTGCTTGCAAGGGAGATGGCCATACGGCTTGTGCAAGGAACGACTCAATCACCCCCGCTAGCTGAAACCCCGACGGCCATAAGAATTGAGCCCAAAGTGGAAAGGCTTGGGGAGATAGAGAAGGATTATAGGGAAAAAAAAAAAAACAAAACTCCGTATAAGAACCTCAACTGTTGACCTTCAAGGCACACGTGTTTGCCCCCTTATTCTATATTCTTTTTTTTTTCAAGCTTCAATCTGGTGTGTCACACAAGGGTTGCAATGGGATGAGGCTGGGATGGTCCGTGACTTAAAAGGCGGTGCAGCCAGAGAAAATTTCAATAGATAGTCGGTCAACGTATTCAATACTTTTTTGATTCTTCAAAAAAAACTTGTATGGACGTTAGCGGTGGAAATTGTGCGTCGGTCCACTGCAAGGTGTGAATGTCTCACAGCAACGAACAAAAGCACAGTGCAGGGTTTTCTTATTCGAAATAAATGCAATCAAGGGAGAGAAAAAGATATATGATTCATTCTACGCACAGATCAAGATCCAATTAAAAAAAAAAAAAGTGAGGCTGCGTTGCGGCCTGACACTCAGTGCCTGATTGGGATGATGAAACCCTCGATGATTGGTGGGATGACGATGCTGTGCGTTGGATATAGGGCGAAATCTTATACATTTAGCTGCATTATCTACTGAAAACACATGTCAGATACCCCCAAGGACAAATAGAAGTCCTTGGTTCTGCTTTATTTTGAGAGGAGCATGTTCTAAAGAAGTTTTGGGGGGAATTAAATCAAGCGTCTAACAAAACGTCCAACGCCAGTCCATGCATTCCGGTTGGGGAAGACAAGACGCCATGTACCCACCGATCAGAAGATAATAGAACAAAAAAATCAAAATATACAAAGATACATGTATATACCACAGGCACATAACAAAATGGAAAAGCCTTTTTACTCGTCATTGGAGCTGCGTTCGCCCTCGGGCTTGGTCAGCGCCTTCTGCCAGATCGTCCGCGCTGCCTCTTGATCCAGGGTGGGGAAAAGAAGGTCAAACACGTCCGAGTACCAGCTAACTGGGTGGCCAGTAATGCCCTCCTTGATATTCTATTCACATCGTTAGTATGGATGATTGTGGGATAAAGGAAGGGAGTGACTCACCTCGGGCAGCTCAAGCCAGTCAGAGGTGTTGTCGGCTGGGAAGATGACTGTGGTCGCACCAGCCCGGCGAGCAGCCACTGTCTTCTCTCTCAAACCGCCAATACGCAGAACCTTTCCAGTGACCGTTAATTCACCAGTCATGGCAATGGTCGGGTCAAGCGGATGGTTCAGCGCCAGAGACAGCAGTGCACTAGCCATGGTGATACCAGCAGATGGGCCTAAGTAAAAACGGGTTAGCTAAACGAACAAAAAACAGCATGGCATATTAATGTAGACCCGTACCATCTTTGGGAACAGCACCCTCGGGGCAGTGCAAGTGAACCTTCGCCTTCTCGAAGAAGGCATTCTCGGGGAACTGCTTGGCCATGACGGACTTGGCAAACGAGTAGGCAATGTGCGTGGATTCCTTCATGACATTTTGTAGGTTACCAGTGATCTCCAGCCCCGGTCGCGAGTTGTGTTTCAAGGCATTCTCCAGGATACACTCGACATAGAGCGCAGCGCCACCCATGCTAGTCCAGGCAAGACCCATGGTAACACCAGGGGGGAATCTGTCAAACAGACGATCGGCAGTGAAAACTGGGGGTCCGACGTAATCTTTCAATGTATCCCTGCCAATGCTGAGCTGTACACTCTCGGGAACCTTGAGAGCAAGGCGAGGAGTCTCGGTGGTCGATTTCTCGGGCTCAAGTGGCGCATCAGCGGGATCAGAGGACTCGTGCTCCTTGGACTCCTCCTGAGCAGCCTTGCCTTCGTCGGTCAGTGCCGCCTCTTCTGGGAACACCTCCTCACCCAGATCCTGGACGATCTTGAATGCCGCTTTACGGTAGACCTTCTCGATCTGCTTCTTCAAGTTACGGACACCGCTCTCCCGGCAGTAGGACTTGATAAGCTCTTCGATCGCTTCCTTTTCGAGGTTCACATCAACGTCCTTCAGGCCAGTCAGTTCCCGAGCAGCCGGCGCTAAGTATCGCTCAGCAATGGCCATCTTCTCGTCAGCCACGTAGCCGGAAAGCTCAATGAGCTCCATGCGATCCAGTAACGGGCGAGGAATGGTGTCGGTGACGTTGGCGGTGCAAACAAACAGAACCTTAGACAGGTCCACAGGGACATCCATGTAATGATCCAGGAAGGAGTTATTCTGCTCGGGATCAAGCAACTCCAACAACGCGGAGGATGGGTCACCCTGGTGGCCACGGCCAATCTTGTCCACCTCATCGATCAGGATCAGGGGGTTTTCGGTCTGACACTTCTTGAGAGCTTGGATGATACGTCCAGGAAGAGCACCGACATAGGTCCGTCGGTGACCCTTGATCTCTGCGACGTCAGTCAATCCACCCACCGAGAAGCGGTAGTACTGGCGGTTCAATGCGCGAGCTACCGATTTTCCGATACTGGTCTTTCCGACACCGGGAGGGCCGACGAGACAAAGGATCTTTCCTTCCACGGTACCGCGAAGCTTGCCCACGGCGATGAACTCAAGAATTCGATCCTTGACGTCCTTCAGGCCGTAGTGGTCTTCATCGAGAACAGAAACTGCGTTCTTGATGCCAAAGTTCTCCACACTCTTCTGGCCCCAGGGAATCTGAGTCAGCCAGTCCAGGTAGTTGCGGGTGACGTTGAACTCAGAAGCCGCAGGCTCAAGATGAGCCAACTTGTTGATCTCCTCGTCAAAGACCTTCTTGACAGCTTCGGGCATCGCAAGCTTCTCGGCCTTCTCCTTGAACTTCTCAACCAGCTTATCCTTGCCGTCGGACTCGATACCAAGCTCCCTCTTGATTCCCTTCATCTGCTCCATGAGCCAGTATTCCCGCTGACGCTTCTGGATCTTGGCTTCGACGTCCTTGGTGATCTTGGACTGAAGTTGAGCATTCATTAACTCCTTCTTCAAGACAACAAGCGCTTTGGGAAGACGCTCCTCGATGTTCATAGTCTCAAGAACCTCCTGCATCTCATGCAACTCACCAGCCGAGACTGCGGCGGCGAAATCAGCAAGCTTGGCAGGCTCGTCACTGAGGTTTCCGGGGAACTGGTCGGTGTAGAAAGCAGAGATCTGGTCACGGAAAAGGGGGTTCAGAGTAGCGATCTCCTTGCACACGTTCACGATTTCGCTAGTCACGGCACGGATAATTCCGTTCTTCTTGTCGAATGGTTCCTCGGTCAAGTTTTCCACATTGACCAGGCTGACTGGGTATTTCTTCAGGAAGGAAGTAGGCTCGTAGTGGTCTTTGGGCGCAGACTCAGCAGCTCCCTCTTCGAAGCTCGCCACAACGTCGCCCTTCTTTTCGGTCTTCTCTTCCGCAGGAGTACCCTTGGTGGTCTCGCTAGGGGGAGGAGTGAAGAGATCTTGATGCGACGGTGTGGGTAGAGGACAGCAGTAACACCACTGGCCTCGCCGCGGAGAGGGTAGGCCGCTGTAATTTGAGCGAAAACACCGGTATCGTAAACATCGTCGAGGTTTTCAATCACATCGCCATCGGCATTATCATCCTTGAACAAGAATGCGCCCACATACGGTTGGCCGCGCTTCATCATATCTTGAATCGCAGCCGCAACATTGGGGTCGCGGATAGTGATTGCCTTATAGAAGCCGGGGAAGAGAGGGCGCTTCGCAATAGGAATTGCCATGACTTGCGGGTATACATCTGGCACAGCAGGCTTTTGCAAAGCCTTATCCCCTGATCCCTTCTTGCCCTTCTTCCCGCCATCGTCATTTCCGCTGTTGCCGCCATTAATTGCGGAGCTAGGCTTCGAGTCAGCCGCACCACTGCTCGGGGGAATAGCAGATGGCGTCTGACCCGAATCGCCCTTCCCATCAGCCTCAACTTCCTTCTTAGACTCTTCTTCTAATGCCCGCTCTTTGTCGCTCGATGATCGATCTTTTCTCCGGGTGGAGCTTGTCTGGTCGGCGGTCTTGCCCGAGTCGACAGCTTTCCGCCGCGATTCTGGAGCTCGTTCCGCTTCTTTATTCTCCTGTGCTGTCTCCTCGTCATGTTTCTTTTCTAGCTCGTCATTTGGGTCCTCTGGTGGGGGTTTCTCTTTCCGTTGGATGGAGCTAGAGGAGAACGTGCGGGGAGCCGAGGGAAGAGGACGGCTGAGACGGGTGGCACTTAATGCTGAGCGGAAAGAGGCATTATTTCTTGTCGCAGTGAGGAAGGGGCGGCGAAGTAAAGGGCGAGGCGTTTGGTGGAGCGCAGCTCTCCAGGGGAGGGTCTGGCCGCGGAGCATGCTACTGGCGTTCTCGGTAACTATGAGAGGTTGGGGGGGAGGGCTCCGGAAACGGAGGATTAAGGTATAGATTCGAAGCTCAAATGAGCCTTATTGCAGCTCCAGGGGGCAAGAAAGAAGCTGAAGGCGATTGAGTAGGAAACGTGGGAAGATGTCGAGGTCCGTCAATCGGAGACCACTCGGCTTGCTCATGACCTGAGCAGAGCAAGACCCACTCGGCCCGACTGTTCTTCCGCTCGATTCTTACAAATGCTAAATGAGGCAATACGGCACACCTTCTATGCACATCTACGTAGTGGACCCCTTCTCTCAATTCTTGGAGTATATCTGGCTCTGGTAGATATAGTTACTGCTGTTCTTCTCGATTCACAGGCCCGGCACGACCTTCCTATTACAGAGGATACTGCTTCTTTTGACTGCTCCGTTACCTAGCTGACATCATTCTTGCTCATTAACGTATTTGGTAAGCGAGCTGCGCATGTCAGCCAGCTGCGGAGCCCAGAACACTATACATACTAAATGCGCTGAATTACAATTCAATACCATACTTGCCACGAGATTATCTTATCTCCCTACTACTATATGGAATAAAAAGATGGAGACAATCAAGGATGCTTGCACTGATGTTTGTTGCTCCACCGTGCCAATCAGTACCCTTAACCTGTAGTAATAGAACGCGAACCCAATCCATCACAAACAACAAAGATGGATCGCTTCAGGACCTTGACCCTCCATCAGTCTCCCACCTCCGCTGTTGAAGTTCCCTCCCGATGTCCCTGACTACCTGGTTCAAAGCTGCGCCCACGGAGTTTCGCTTTGCTTTGGAGTCTGACACGCTTCATTTTCTGCATCCAGGGATGCTTACAGATACGCACTAACCTCCATGCAATCCCTCGCATCCTGGGCATATTCCACATTCATACTGGCAGACTCCGCAGCGTTCGACGCGCATGTCCCCGCGATATTGGCTGTGTCAAATTTTCCATCTCTTTCCAGGCTTGTCCCTTACTACCACAATACAGAAAGTGGTCCATGTTCTCTGATGGTATCACGGTTTGCTTAGTGGCGGCCAGCTAAGCTTGTTCTCTGTTACGTAGATATGGGCATTTCAGATAACACAGTTCAGGAAGCCAGCAATTTTGTGTACCTAGGTATGCATGTATTCCTCGGCCATTATAATTCCTGTCGGACTGGTCAACGGAATCAGTGTAAGATTTTCAACTGGCTTTCAGATGCTGTAGCTAGGTAGAATTGGATTTTAAATGCTTGACTCGTTCATGATAATTCTAACCAGGCAGTGTATTTACATGAGCTGGAGAGAAAAGGGAGGAAGACATGGGAATGAAAGCTTCAAAACAATCTTTCATGCGCCCCTAGCCTTGGAATGCCTTAGGTATCCGCCGTTCTTTTTTCATTCAGACGACAAATGATTTCGTGATTGCTTCCAACATGGTTGATGTAATGTTTACGTACGAGTGATTGAGATTCAAATGGATTCGTTATAGCAAGAGTGCCTTGTCATCTGATTGCCTGAAATTGTCCACATATTTTCAGCCTGGCTCGGTCAAGAGCTTTTACTTTTGACGCAAGGCTTTATCTTTTAGTCTATAAAATTTATCAAAGAGAAAGACAGGAAAGAGTGTTTAGAGTCTATACTATGAAATCGACCAATGATCTCATTTCTATTCGTAGTTCCACTTCCGTCGGTCCGACTTTATCCCGCGGCGCCAGTCTCCTCGTCGACTAGACGATTCTACCAGGATCCCGACTGGTTGTAGACAAGCCATTGGCGCCGTTACTGTTATAGACTTTTTTTTTTTCTCCAACTTTTCTCCTATCTTTTTTCCGTTTAATTCCCCTCCTTTCTCCTTTCTCGCCGGAGTACGGCCTCGACTATCGGCCAACCGCTGCACGGCTATTACTATTCCATCTCCATGAATCCATCCGCGGCATTCCCTAAGGCCGCGGCCCTGCCCGCGCGCCTGCTTCGGGCTCAATCCCAATGCTCGACTCAGTCTAGTCGCCCGGTTGTTTGCACTGCGCCTCAAACACGGGCTTACCATGCGGGAGCTTCTGCCTCTCCTGCTAGACGGCTGCGTGATGGTGCCTGCAAGAAGAAGGCTCCATATGCGCTCCCGACCCGGGTATGTCACCTTGTTCCCTCTGTTGTCGTGGTCGGTCGATAACTAACTGACATTAGCCCTTCCACTCGACCGCGTCCCTTGCGATTGCCGACCCCTACAAAGTCCTCGGAGTAGACAAAGGTGCCTCGGCCGGTGACATCAAGAAGGCATACTACGGTCTGGCCAAGAAGTATCACCCAGATACCAACAAGGACCCAAACGCCAAAGATAAATTTGCTGAGGCTCAGTCCTCCTACGAATTGTTGTCTGATCCCAAAAAGCGTGAGCAATATGATCAATATGGCGCCAATGCCTTTGACCAGAACGGCGGCTTCAACCCGAATGCCGGAGGCAACCCATTCGCCGGCGCCGGAGGTTTCCACGGATTCGGTGGCGGATTCGGTGGTGGTGGATTCGGAGGAGGCTTTTCGGGCGACATTAACTTCGAAGATCTGTTCGGTGCTTTCGCCGGTGGTGGTGCTCGCCGGGGCGGCGCTCGTGGCCGACGCAACCCATTCCAAGAGGAGATCCTGGTTGGAGAGGATATCGAGGTGCAGAGCAACATTACCTTTATGGATTCCGCCAAGGGTACCTCGCAGGATATTGTCATTACGCCTTTGACGCAGTGTGGAACTTGTAAAGGTGATGGGTTGAAATCCGGTGCTAAGCGTTCTCAGTGCAAGTCGTGCAATGGTTCTGGAACCCGTGTCCACTTCATGCAGGGAGGTTTCCAGGTTGCTGCGACATGCGATGCTTGTGGAGGCGCCGGTATGTCTGTGCCCCGTGGATCGGAGTGCGGTGGCTGTCACGGAAGCGGTGTTGTTAGAGAACGCAAGACCTTGAAGGTGGACATTCCCGCTGGCGTGGAAGACGGTATGCGGATGAGAGTTACCGGCGAGGGTGATATGCCTCCCACTGGAACAGCTGCTTCTCCTGGTGCCCGCACCCAGCGTGGTGATCTCTACCTCACGATCCGTGTTGCTCCGGATCAGCGCTTCACCCGCAACGGATCAGACATCCTCCACACAGCTTCGATCCCTCTTACAACTGCTTTGCTGGGCGGTGAGGTTACTATTCCTACTCTTGAGAAAGAGGTCAAGGTCAAGGTGGCCACTGGTACCGGTACCGGTGATCGGATCACTCTGTCTGGCATGGGCATGAAGAAATTGGGAGGTGGCCGCTCTTCGCGATTCAGCCCGACGGGTGATCTGAAGGTTGAATTCAAGGTTGCCATGCCGAAGTATTTGACTGGCAACCAGCGAACAATCCTGGAGGTTCTTGCTGACGAGATGAACGATAAGACGGCTCGACGAACTATGAACTTTAGCAAGGATAGGTAAGTATCCATCTCCCCAGTCTATATTTACGGTACTAACATCCGGCTAGCCCTCCCACTGATACCGCCGACAAGAAGGATGAAGGGTTTCTGAAGTCTGTGTGGCATAAATTGATGGACAAGGACTCTGATTCCAAGATCAAGTCCGAGTCCGAGAAGAAGGATACCAAGGACAAAAAGGAGGAGAAGAAGGGAGATGACTCGAAGTCGAGTTAGATTCGTGTACATTCCTGTATTTTTATATCCATTTGGGCTGTATTTACCATGTTTTTCTTCATAGCGCTGGCGGGATTGGGGCATTTGTTCTGCCTTGGAGAAGATGGGGCGATGTATTACTATGTTAGGCTGCCATGAAGCTCTCTGCTTTCAAAAAGAAATATATAAGACCTGAATCTGTACATTATCAGTTCCTTCTGATGTTCTGGTGATTTATTAATTTCCATGATTTTCCTGTGATGTTCGTTCGTACAAGGTTCTAGTTCTATATATCTGTGTTTGGCTATTGGCGCCCAGACAAGACACGGTCGTCACGAAAGACCATCACACATCCCACTTGTCACCTTCTACCTACTCCAACTCTCCCAACCCCTTCCTTTCCTCGACTTTCAATCTGCATTGCTTTGATCCGACACTACGTCATTGATTTGACTAGTGAGCCATCAGGCACTGTCCGCCTACCTTACCCCACAGCCTCGAATCCGATTCCCCTCTCAACCGCACCGTTGCACCCCCGCTTACCACCCCTGCCTTCGCGTCCCCCCTTCCAAATTTATTTGTGGATGGGAGCATCCCGCTCCTGACGACCATCGCACAATGGTTCAGTCACCGATGCTTGCCTGTCCGCTCAAGCAGACCAACGAGATTGATTGGATCCAGCCCCTCAAGGATTACATCCGGCAGACCTATGGCGAGGACCCCGAGCGCTATGCCTCAGAATGTACAACCCTCAACCGCCTCCGCCAGGATATGAGAGGTGCCGGAAATGATAGCGCCACCGGACGCGATCTGCTGTACCGATACTACGGACAACTGGAGCTATTAGACCTTCGGTTCCCCGTCGACGAGAATCATATCAAGATCTCGTTCTCATGGTATGCTCCGACCCGAAGAAACATAGTAGTGAACTCAGCACTAATCTTGATTCCAGGTACGATGCGTTTACTCATAAACCCACCTCCCAATACTCCCTGGCCTTCGAGAAAGCATCCATCATCTTCAATATTTCCGCCGTCCTTTCCTGCCACGCCGCCAACCAGAACCGGGCCGAGGATGTCGGCGTCAAGACTGCATACCATTCTTTCCAGGCATCCGCGGGTATGTTTACGTATATCAATGAGAATTTCTTGCATGCGCCTTCGACCGATCTGAACCGGGACACGGTCAAGACATTGATACATGTGACACTTGCCCAGGCGCAAGAGGTGTTCCTCGAGAAACAGATCGCAGATGGGAAAAAGCCTGGATTCCTGGCCAAGTTGGCAGGCCAGGCTGCCTACTTGTACGCCCAGGCGGCGGAAACAATGCAGGACTTCGTGAGCAAGAACGTCTTCGATAAGGTGTGGTCGATTGTAGTGCAGGCGAAGGGGGCGCATATGAGCTCCGTTGCATCCTATTATCAGGCCATTGCTGACAGCGAGAGCAACTCACATGGAGTTGCTATTGCGCGACTGCAACTAGCTGAAAAGCAGTCTACAACTGCTCTGACCTGGGCCAAGTCATTCCCCTCTTCGGCTCCCGCAACCTCGAATTTGCCAGCTGAGGCGGGAGCCAACCTGGTCGACATTGTCAAGCATAACCAGGCCAATGTGCAGTCTCAACTGGCTACTTTGATCAAGGATAACGACTTTATCTATCATCAACCCGTGCCAAATGAAGCGGGACTCTCACCCGTTGCCAAGCTTCCGGCCGCTAAGGCGATCCCGGTCAGCGAGCTATACCAAGGGCAAGATATTCAGCGCATTATTGGTCCTGATATTTTCCAAAAGCTGGTTCCTATGTCTGTCACAGAGACGGCTAGTTTGTATGACGAGGAGAAGGCCAAGCTGATCCGCGCAGAAACCGAAAAGGTTGAGACTGCCAATGGTGAGATGGCTGCCAGTTTAGATTACTTGAAACTTCCCGGCAGTCTTAACATTCTCAAGGGTGGAATGGACCAAGAAATGACAGTGGACGAGGAGTTTCGCCGCTGGTGCTCAGAGCTTGCTGGACATACATCATTCCATCGGGCCTTTGATGAGCTGCAGGAACGCAAGACGGAAGTCCTGTCGCAGTTGGATCAATGCTCGAAGCAGTTGGATTTGGAAGAGAGCGTATGTGAGAAGATGCGCTCTAAGTATGGTGGTGATTGGAGTCAGCAGCCCAGTGGTCGCTTGAACACTACCCTCCGAGGAGATGTTCGCACCTACAGAGATACCATTAGCGAAGCCAGCGCTAGTGATACCCAGCTGTCATCCACACTGCGACAATACGAGGGAGACTTTGATCAGATGCGCTCTGCAGGAGAAACGGATGAAGCCGATGTGCTCTTCCAGCAGGCCCTTATCAAGGCTGGTTCCAAGCATAATAAAGGTAAAAACGGGGTCAGCAGCCCTGCCGAAGGCAGTCTCTTAGACGACGTCTATAACGAGGGTAGTGCTTCCGTTGCGGGACAGATCGCTAAGGTGGAGGATATCTTGAAAAAGCTCAACCTTGTGAAGAGGGAGCGGTCCCAAGTACTTAAGGATCTTAAAGAGAAGGTTGGTTGGATCCTTCCTTATCTACTGAGTTTATGTATTGACTTTTCTAGATTCACACCGACGATATATCAAATGTGTTGATTCTGAACAAGAAGTCCATCACAGGCCAGGAAACCCAACTTTTTGAAGCCGAGCTAGAAAAGTTCCGGCCCCATCAGAACCGCCTGTTACAGGCGAACCACAAGCAGTCTTCTTTGATGAAAGAACTTACTAAGACGTACGCCGACTTGCTGCAGGATAAGCGAGTGCAATCTGAACAATCCAAGTATGAGGGTATCACACGCCAAAGAAATACCGTGATGGCTCGATACAAAAAAGTATATGAGGCATTCAATGGCCTTTCGTCGGGTATTGTCCAGGCTCGAACCTTCTACAAAGATATGGGCGAGAATGTCGAGAGCCTACGGAAGAATGTCGAAACATTCATTAGCAACCGTCGATCCGAGGGAGCCCAGCTTTTGAGCCAAATTGAGCGCGAGAAGGCGGGTGGTGTCTCCGAACATGAGGACCAGGAACGAGAGAAGCTCCGTCAGCTGATGGAGCGTCTGTCGACAGAGCCGAAGCCACCAGCAACTTCGCCATTGACAAGACCCCCCACAGCCCCTGGAAAGGTGAAGTCGCCGCCACCTGCAGTTCAAACCCCAGCATATGGAACAGGTCCGTCTCCAAAGCCATCGCCTCGCTACCCACCGACCATGGCACCCCCGCACGGTGTTCCTCTATCGCATTCCCCAGCGCCTTACGGACAATACATGGGCAACCCAGGCATGCCATACGCCCAACAGCCTTTCCAGCAGGGTGCCGCCGCCCCGCTCTCCGAAGGCTACAATCCCATGGCATATCCATATCAAACACCTGTCTCTCCACCCCCGAATCAGCAGTTCTTTTCCCAAACCCCAACCCCATACGGGTACCCCAGTGCCAGTCCTGCGCCTTCCGCTGCTACAGCCGGAACTCCATCGCACTATATGACTCCACAGGGCTACATTCCTCCCCCGCCCCCTCCACGCCCTCAACAACCCAGCTACCCACCCACAACCGGCGCTTATCCCTCCGGACCTGGCGGGTATGCTGCCCCGCCCAGAGGGTACCCACACAGCAAGACCCCTTCTCAATCCCAGCCCCAGTCATCTGCTACCAATGATCCCTGGTCCGGGCTCAATGCCTGGAAATAGGCCACGCCTGATGCCGCCTATGTCTAGCTATAGGTACTTTGGTATGACAGTTGGGGCCGGTCTCGGGCAAAATGGGAGGCGGGCATCCATCTCGGCGTTCTTTTTGCGTGTTTATGTTGGTTCTATATCACCCTGTTAGTCCGGTTTTTGTGTCTTGATTCTCGCCAACTTCGGATTGGAATTTCTCTCTTGATTTGATTAGTTTAGAAGCTATGCAGTGATGTACATGATGAATCAAATATAGTATTTAGGTAGTATGTCTTGTGCTCAAGCTGGTAATATCCATGGACATAGTAAGCAGACCTGGATTACGAGATACACCCATGTTTAGTAGATTAAAGGTACCTGTTGATACACCAAATAAGAGAAGTAGTTTAGACAAATGCAACCGAACTATATGTATAATGACGTCTCCTCAATTGAAGGTCATTGGAAGTCCATAGAACAAAGACTGAATTAACTATCCAGTTCCGATATAATAAACCCGAAAATCAAACACCATAGATATAGACCAAGTATGCAAACACAATTCCACAGAGAAGCCCTCCGCAAGAGAAGTCCCAGTCCCAGCCACAGAAACGCCAATGGGTATCTTAAAATAAAAAAAGCCCTCCAAACCACTTGAAGTATCCCCGTCCTTGAAATCCAATGCCTCAGATCAGATCAAATCAGATAAGATCACATCGAACCACAAGACTACTGTTACGGCTGAAACCGCAGCCGGAACTGCCTCCCCCTCCGTTCCTCACGAACAGTATACAGAAACCTAGCAATACTCTCCTGCTCCGACAACCCCGCACTATTAAAATGCTTCCGCACCACAAGCGCGAACGCATCTTTGCTCACGCGGTCTTGTCCGATTATGCGGCGCAATGGCTCTTCGCGCTCGCTTCCACTTCCACTTCCACTACCACTTCCGCTGCCCGTAGCATGCGAAGATGTGGCTGTAGTATGGGTTTGGTTGTGGTTGTGCCGGGTTGTGGTGTTGTTTGCGCGGCGGGCGGCGAGGGCTGTAGGGGAGCGGAGACCGACGCCTTGAGAGAGGACTATGCGGGAGTAATCGTTTGAGAAGGCAGAGGGGGTGGGGAGTTTGTGGACGTGACGGTAGGCGTGGAGGATGTCGAGAGGGAGGTCGGACCAAGGGACCTGATTTTGTTAGTATGAGTATACATTGGAATTGATATTGTGGGTAGGTGGGCATGGGATCAAGATTGAGCTTTTGCTTTGCAAAGCACAAGGACATCTGGGGGATAGAATGGGTTTTTTTTTGTCTTATCTGTCACTTTGCTGCTCTGCGCTCAATGACAAGGCTGACGCCATCGACTGATCTCCGCCCCCTAAGACATTCAGGACTCACTCTTGGTTGTTGATCATCGACATCTTGTGCAATTGGCGCACTGGTCACAGATGCCTTTTCCTTAGCTGCACCCGTCTTCCTACTCTTCGGGGCTGTGGATTTGTATTCTCTCGTGCCGCTGGAAGCTTCGGATCTGGAGTCGTCCACTATGGCGGTGGTGCGCTGGCGCGGAGGTGCCATGGTGCGAAAGGCACAAAGACACAATGCAGAGAGAGATGGATTATGTTCAATGAGTCAAAAGAAAGGTCGGAATGGTCTTGCTGGACTGTTTCAGGGTGGTAATTTGGTGGCAGCGCACTGGACTCGAACAGAGATTCTCCGCTTTTTGGGCGGACAGACGCGGCAGAATGATACATGATTTTTCTGCCGCATTGGGCGGTGGACGGACGTTTGTCCGGGGATTAATGTTACCCTGAGTATGTGAAGGGAGATATTGCAAATGATATTGGAATTGTGAGAATATATTTGGTGTAAACTATAAGCTGTTGTTTAGTGATGTCATGTGTAGGATGTCATAGGTATATGTGAAAGGGAGATGGCACGCGTTTTTGTCTAAAGGGTCGTGTCCCGATTCGGTATTATAGATCACGACGCGCGACTTGCCCTCTGCTCCATGTGGTGCTCCATATGGGGACAAATTTCTGACACATTTTTCTGCTTTCGTAAGCGTTTCAATTGCCTCACACCGCTCCATGCGGAGAAACATTGAGACCTCCGCAAGTCGGATAGAAGTGCGGGACCACCAATCCGTCGGATTACCGAGCCTGCGTACGTCCGGGTGGGGGACTTTGTTTTTCTCCAGGCGCAAACAATTGCCGGTTCAGGGTCAAGGCAGCTAGTACATGTAGACAAGGGTATGACTGCCGAGCCACAAGGTAAAAAGACCACCATAGAAAAAATCTTCCGTCAGCCCGTATCTACACAACTGTTGCATTCGTCCACGGGGGTTATAGATTGACAAATGCAGCAACTCAGCCGATGGCCGGAAAAGCCACCGAGGCTCGGGTCATTTTCGGCGGGGGGATTTCTCGGACAAACCGGGACCAACAAGGGGGCAAAAGGAAAAAATGGAATTGGAAAGTGTGGAGATTTGGGGATAATCCTTAGTCAGAACTGGAGACCAATTGAAGCCAACGGCAAGAGCACGCAAGACCGGGCCGGCACAGAAGATGCCGAGTCTCAGCCCGAGTTTGAAAGTCGGGCCCGCGGCTCCAGACTCGGAATGCAAACCAAGTTTTTTTTTTTTTTTTTTTCGTTTGGGTTAGGGGGCAAGTTGATAGAGAAAGTGCCACCGCGGAAGATGACCGTGGGTATGTTCACCGAAATCCCCCCTTTCGGTGTCGTTGTTACTCCGTACAGTGCTTGCTCCGATCAGAATTTTCGTGACTCCATATTCATATCCATATCCAGATTTGTATCCTACTCCTGATGCTATTTCCTTGGAAACATCAAGGACATACATACCCCTTGAGTATTAGAGTAAGAAAATAGAACGGAATCGCCGTGAGGATCATCTCCGTAGGATCTACGAAAGAGAATACGCTTCCGACCCATGGATAGCTAGCGGACAACCTCCTGACTCAGTCCGCTCATGTGTGCTTGCGCGCACTCACGCACCTGGTCCAAGCCCTAAGCCTCACCCCCAAAGCCTCCTAGATCATCGTGGAGCAATCCCGAAAAAGAAAGATAAAAGTCCCCGCAATCCAAAACTGTGCATGCGAGAATGGCACAACGCCGTCCATTCAGCTCCGACTTCACCCGATGAGCCCCTCTTTCCTACCCCAGCCCTATGGTCTGACGGTCTGAAGTCTGGAACCTGAATGAGATACGTACCTGCAGTAGAGGAAGGTCTAGCTAGAGCCTAGGACCGACCTAGACCTAGAATGTACCCTCGGTATAGGATACGTACCTAGCATGTTGTGATATACTCTGCAGATGGGGTCAACTGTGTCGTCATCGTTTCTAATAAGCAATACCTAATGCATGAAAAAGCCTCACCATTCTAGCCCGATCGAACTAGCGCCTTTATTCTGGAGCACAGGTACTCCATCGAGGTAGCCGGTGTACCCGTGATTCCGGGGCTGAGAAGGGGGGGGAAGGCCTAAAGGGAAGCATATGACGACGATCAGGTACATAGCTTCACCGAAAATCACGAAAATCGCGAAAATCATGAAAATCATTTTTGGGTTAAAGTGAGGTTATTTGAGCATCGTCATCAGACAAACATACTCCGTGAAGGCCTGGACGGCAACCGACCGAGGTTCCATGGCTTGTCAGGGATCGTAAGACGTCAATGACAACCGGGTCAGTGCGAGCAACATGCGACGATAAGCCCCATTTTTCACATGGTGAGGTACGGAGTGACCTGCGCATGTGAAACCCCCCCAAGCTACTAGCTCGTGAATTCATCGTAGCTAGCAACCCCGGACCACACGTGAAATCGATAGTGGCCAGTATTGATTGTCTGCTTATCGTGAGCTGTGACGGCGCTGGGATTGGTGGATAAGGGGAGCTTGCTTCCTGCTTATTGCACATCAATGGGGCCAGGTGATAGTGTATGTCCCCTAATTGGGCTCGATGATCGATTCCTCGATCACCGGGTTAGGATTGCCAGGGGCATTTCGTTCTTCCAGCGATATTCCCCCCCCCCCAAAATAAAAATAAAAACATCTGTCAAAAGTGGGTAGGATTACTTCATTGGAGAGTGTGGGGTAACAAATAATTCACTCAGAGTGGAGTGAGAAAGATGTTCGGCCCTCACCGAGAACTGGACACGGTGGTGGGGTAGTCCTTAGGAGTACACCTTTCCTTACCCTTTGTAAACCTGGAGAATGTTAAAGGCCACCTAGATGGTTCGCATTATCGTTATCTCTTGTGTGCACCCCGGACCTGCAGTCTGACCACTCGGACTCCGGAAGGTCGGCCCCGCATCATTGGTGATATCAGCATGTGGTTTGTGTGGCGCTCATTGGACCAGGGGAGGTGACTCTTCCAGAAGCTGTGGATCGCGGATCGCTCGCCTTGGCGGAAGTGCGTGGATATAAGGGTGTGTTGATAAGAGTACCTTTGTTCGGTGCCAATATTCTTAGGTAAAGGGTTGCACTGCCATGGAAGTTAATGACATTATTATTATCTAAAGTCAACACTAAGTTCATCTCGGAGAGCTAATATCATTCCAAGGTTTTTTTTATCTTTTCCCTTCATAGGGTATTCTCCGCGCTGCACTGAGTAATCGCACCCGACTATACCCCGGATTTCTCCCCACAATGCTAGCCAAGCGCGCCAAATGTCACCTTTTTCAGCAACATAGCTTTTCACGAATGCGTCCAGGATCTACCTCCTTCCCCCTCTTTCCAAGGTGCGCTCCGTAGTACTTTTTCTTTTTAATTCGTAAACATTCTTTGATGGTCGTGTCTACGAACGCCACGGGCGTTCGCTTGGTGAGGTTTCAGCGCAAACTTCCAGGCAACACGATTTGAAACGGAGCGCAACGAATCGAGTCCCCGATATTCCGGTCCCACGTCAGTTTGTTTCGATGAGTTCCGCGAGCACGTCATTATATTTGTCCTTGACCTCGTGGAGGCAAGGGGGTGTTTCTGCACTGCCCAGGCTGAGCTGACACTTACGTTATAACTTGAGTCTAGAATAGATCCAGGACATAATTTTGTTTGATGTAGCGCTTTGTGGCTGATCCTACTCAGCCTCGTTTAAATGTAGCTGTGCGGTCAGCTGGCGTAAACGTGGTCTCTCCTTGATGAATCCGGAGGAATGACAATTTGGATAACGTGATAATAGGCCGCGGTGATTAATGATAAGGGAAGTACGGAGTACGGGAAGTTTATAAAGAATCTTGATTCTTGGTTATTGAATTCTTTCCTTGGCGCAGTTCGGCCTTATTTTCCTTAGTTTACCCGACTCAACTTTGGGAATAATGGCGTGATAAGGACCCTGTGGGGAATTGCGATTTTCCAGCGCAATAGTAACCAGCGATGTCGGGCGTCGATCACCTTATCATGTACACGACGATCTTCTGCAAGTTGTTGATTTTTTTTGTATGTGCTTTTGTCCTTTTCCCTAATTCATTTCTCATTCTTGCCAGGTCGATCCTGGCATGAAGATTTGCGGGGTAGGCCCTGAGTCAGAGTATGATCATCAAAACCTTGACGATCATCCCAGCTCCCAGTGAAGAAACCCTATGTAGAGTGTGTTGTTCCAAGGGGCCTGACCGCTGTATAGTAAATTAGGTCAAATTAGCCATAATTGGGGGTCTCCATATCGTCGGCTATTGAATGGTTTTCCCCCACGCTTCTCCTACCACTATACCTTAGTAACCTGTAGTATGTGGATAATCATGTCGATCGATCGCGGGGACAAGTTGGGGGATCTCCCAAGGAAAACTCTGACGCAAGACCGGGTCATCTTTAGACACGGAAGTTGACTTCCGGGCGCTTCTCCGGAGTACTTACTGTAAACAAACATATCTATCATTGATCGCTTAGCACACTGCAGTGTCTACGTAGATACGTCAGCTGAAACAAGAGATTCATGTTTCGAGTGATTCGGCAAAAAGCGGGTAATTGCCTGTACCTGCACAGAAAGCGCCAACTAGCCCCCTGCAGATTGAGGCACCGAATCCGGAGTTTCTCCATGGTGCCATTCCCCGTGGAGGAAAACCCACTTTTTTCTCCGTGACCGCATTCGGGGGTAAATGCGAAAATGGGGAACTGTGGTCGGCATTCGAACCGGCAAACTGATTTGTTTTTTATTGTGGGATTATTTTTAGTCATTCGCTATTTGTTCCGTTTTATCCTATCCGGATATATGATAACAACCTGGAACAAGATGAAGCAAGGCATCCCCTACTTGATCTATCCAGCAGAATTTTGGCGGGGATCGGGGAAATAGGATTGAAGGAAATATTGGAATCATACCTATCATCGGAGTGTAGAGCTGAAGGCATTCTTGACCCGCCGCAGTTTCATGCTTAAGATCTGCGACTAAAGGTCCCCCCTGCCACGGCTATATGCAGGTCGTCCACCGCCCTGGATCGCGAACGAACAGGGGGTTCGAGGGAACCTTGGGAGTGATGCGCCGACTCGGTTAGAAGACTGAACAGTACTATGGTAGATTATGAGGGAAACATTAGAGGACCCAAATGGATATCCGGGTTATCCAACCAGACTCTCTATATCCGTCACATGGGCAGAGGGAAAAACAGAGGGAACGGTATCCGGTGCCGAGCGGGCGTATCTTTCTTTATCCCGTGGCGCGATCGTGGGCCTTGGGGCGGTTATCATTACAAGGGCATAGGCCCCACTCGGGGGCACCGGGGTGCTCAAATGTCCAGGTTGGGGGGAATCTCCGTGTTCAAGGGAACCTGGGTGATAACTCTCCACGGGGTTATCGTGGTGCGTGTCCTCCCCCACAAGCCCCCAATTTCCGATTCAGCCGGGGGAAACCTGGGTGTTTCGGAGCATGACATATGCATAGAATACATCATGCAATTCGATGGGCAGGTCGAGAGCTGGGTACGGGAATACCAATCTGGACCGGGTAGGGTGTGCGGCTTTGCGGCTGCATAGTGCATCGTCGTCAATTATTGGACGATCTGCGCCTATCAGTCCGATTACTTTTTGGCCACGGACCACACCCTTTTCCATTTTTTGGGTCTTTATCGGGGAGGGAGTGGTAGCTCCTGCGAAACCCCGGTTTAATGGAATCCGGGGTATTTCATCCGAGCTGGTTATCGACGAACGTGATTTGCGTAACCGCCAGAATGGCCTATACTGGGGATCCGACTGGGGGGACCCGGCTGGTTTTCGTGTGATCTTTGACATTCCCTGTATGACCTCTCGATTCCCATGACTAAATCATGCTCGAATTATGAATCATGTGTCGACATCATCGATGATCCTGGGTAGCGTCACTTCAAGGGGAAATCTCACCCAACCCCAGGATTCATCCCCCATATTTACTTTTTGCGAGGGGCAGCTGGGGGGTAACGATTGGGAGCTGAACTCAGTTCTTCATGATAACCATGATCCATCCAATCTAGACTGTTCTTCCCGAATTCCCCGATGAGGAGAAGGCACCGTTCAAAAGTCGCCACCGAGCATCATCAGTTTTATCACCAAGGCTAATCAAACTTTGGATTGAAAGGTTGTGTGTTATATTATGGAATGATAGGGCGGGGTTGCAACCCCAAGATAAGCCCGTTTTTGGATCTCCAGCTTTCTCCAGATGCGCGATAGCCGGGTGTAGGGACACGCACTGATTGTCACGCCACACGGGATTCTTCACATAATCAGTTCTACGTAGCGTCGGGACTAGCCCGGTCCCCACATCTGGAGTACGTAGTTCTTGGGTTTCTCCGTTTTTCCTATTTTTTCCTACGACTACTCCTTTCGGTCATGTTCCTCCCCGGCTGCATGAACATCGGATTATCCCTGGGCAATAGAAGAGATTGATATAGTAAGATAGATAACTATGATATGACAATTAAAAGGCATTCCACTAAGAAACATGACCCGTAAAATAAAATTAGGAAAAATAAAAAGTCAAGGCAAGGCCAAATCGATCTGCCGGATTGATTTGGTAAGAAAATTTCTTTTGGGAAAAATGAAAATTGAAAAATCAAAAAAAGAAATTTTATTTTCAATTTTCATTTTCCCAAACAAGTCTTGCCCCAGTTCCTCTTCCCTTTTCCCTTTTCCCGTTCCCCCACACTGGTAAACCCTCAACCTTGTATCCGATAAGTCTTTTTTCCTTTTTTCAATTTTTTTTTTCTTTTCTTTTTTTTTTTTTAACTGACTTTTCCTGCCCCAAATCCGATCCCGAAGAAAGCCCTCCCCGATTTCTCCCTTCCCCCTCCATTCCTTGCCCCCCCCCTTCCCTTTTATTATCTACCTACTCCCCAGATCGTCGTCTCCAGATTCTTTCTTTCTCCCTTTTCCCATTCTTGACTCGTTCCCCCATATTTGCTCATTCTCTTCAATTATCCCGATCTGGGCTAAGCGAAAGAAAACAAATATCATCATCCGATCGACATTATTTCCCCCCTCGGGTGCAGATCGACCGGTCCAACTCTTAGCTCTGGATCCTAGCGGTCATAAATCATCCGCCTCGGCCCCCCTACATAAACTCTGAATTCTCCCCCGGTCCATTCCTGAGGAGTTTCACATGCCACCCCCAGCTTCTTCAGTGGGTTTCTCCAATCTACTGAATCCGGAAGCAGTCGACCACCAGTCGCAACCTCAATCTCCAATCCACGGCGACTCTGATTCTACCATGGCTTCTTCAGTCAGCCTCTTGCCGCCTCTCATGAAGGGTGCGCGCCCCGCCAACGAGGAGGTCCGCCAGGATCTGCCTCGCCCGTACAAGTGTCCCCTTTGCGATCGGGCCTTCCACCGTTTGGAGCACCAGACTCGGCACATTCGCACGCACACTGGTGAGAAGCCTCACGCCTGCCAGTTCCCCGGCTGCACAAAGCGATTCAGCCGTTCCGACGAATTGACTCGTCATTCACGTATTCACAACAACCCCAACTCGCGCCGGAGTAACAAGGCCCAGCACTTGGCTGCGGCTTCAGCTGCTGCTGCTGGTCAGGATGTGAGCATGGGTAACGCGGCCAACATGATGCCCCCTCCCAGCAAGCCCATTACTCGTTCCGCGCCGGTCTCGCAGGTCGGGTCCCCGGATGTCTCTCCGCCTCACTCCTTCTCCAACTATGCCAATCACATGCGCTCCAACCTGGGTCCTTACTCGCGCACCTCCGACCGTGCTTCGTCAGGGATGGACATCAACTTGCTCGCGACGGCCGCTTCGCAGGTCGAGCGTGACGATCACATGGGATACCACGGATCCAGACACCCCATCTTTGGCTCGCGTCAGCACAGCAGTCGTGGTCTTCCTTCGCTTTCCGCCTACGCTATTTCCCAGAACATGACCCGCTCGCACTCTAACGAGGACGACGATGCCTACGGCCAACATCGTGTCAAGCGCTCTCGTCCTAACTCGCCCAACTCTACTGCTCCTTCCTCTCCTACTTTCTCACACGATTCGCTCTCTCCCACTCCCGACCACACTCCTCTGGCTACCCCCGCACACTCGCCTCGCCTGCGTCCCTTGGGAGCCAACGAGCTGCACCTTCCTTCCATTCGCCACCTTTCTCTCCAGCACACTCCCGCCCTGGCCCCAATGGAGCCCCAACCAGAGGGCCCGAATTACTACAGCCCCGGCCAAGGCCATATGGGCCCAAGTATCACCGACATCATGTCCAAACCTGACGGCACACAGCGCAAGCTACCTGTACCCCAGGTACCGAAAGTTGCTGTCCAGGACATGCTCAACCCCGCAACCGGATTCTCCTCGATGAGCTCATCCACCAACAATTCCGTTGCCGGCGGTGACTTGGCAGACCGTTATTAAACGGCTGTCCCCCTTTAACGTCCTGCAATCTGTGTTATGCGCGCTACGAAACGAAATAGACTTGTGCATTTTTTTCATTTCCCCTGTTTTGCGGGCATCAATGGTGTCAGGTGGACGGTTTTTTCTTTTTATTCTTTGAGGCGTCGAACTAAATATAGATGGATGGGAATTCCCTGTGGTTGTTTTTTTTTTTCTTTCAGTCCAAAACTTCTTCGGTTACTTCTCCTCTCTGAGGCCTGTGGTCTCAATTCTACTTCTGACCACTGTTTTTAACTTTACTCCCTTAATTTGCTACCTGCTTGCAGGAAATCAAAAACATCGGATAACTTCTTATTGAAATGCCTAAACAGTAAATCTCTCGAGTAAACACTGCAGTATTTTGTTGACAAATTACAAGTCCTATGGAGTGAAACTTGGACTATGGAGTAGGTCGGTTGCGAAATTACCCCTCCCTGCACAACAAGGATTCATGCGCAACACACCCAATATCTTGCATACATATCACCTCGACTTGGCTACTTTATATACAAATTGACGATCATCCCGTTCTAAACATTAATTTTATACTAGGATTTCCAGACACACAAACGCTCCCAACATACTACTGCACAGCCCAAACGTTAGCCCCCGACGCCCCCGCTCCCCCTCCAATGCTTAGCGCGGAAAAAAAAAAAAAAAAGAATGAAAAAAGTCCCGCGTTTCAAATGCGAAAGTTCATGCTTGATTTCTTTCTTGTATCTATTTTACAACTGAGTACCTACTCAGGTATTTGGTGAAATCTTAATATCATGCATCCTCGGCTATATCGCATTTAGATCCCGTTATCGATCCCGCGAGTGCGATAGTATACTTGGTGTGTTTGAAGTAGGTACATCAACATCCCACCAAGGTTCTCCACTATCAAGTGTACCTGTACCTGTGCGTACATATGAGGTACGATCCGAGGTCCAAGCTAAGCAGATGATGAAGCTAGGTCGTTTCCAAGTCTGGGCCTGACTCGACTGTAAGTACGATGATCACTCAACGTTACTGGCTGTATCAAGTCCGGCCACTAGGAAACTTTCTGCAGAAGTTTCCTGTCGGGCTACGCCGGCACTTACATTAGACTTGAACTGTCGTGCATGGCTGACAGTTCCTTTAGTGTTCTGCTCCTTACCTACTGGGGCAAAAGATCGTTGCCCACCCTCAACACGCCGTAGTATCTTGTCTGCTAGACTGTAAGTATATCACCCTCTTCTTTCATCTTTCGCTTTGTCGTGGCCGGGTAAGATATCCGTTCCAGCTTGTCTTGTCTCGTGCGAGATGATGCGATAAGAGGCAAAGGCCGGCTCTGACGCCATCCCAGTAACGTAACTCCGTGGCCCCGTGAACTCCCCGCGCCCTGAGCAGTGCGGAGCAGGTCGGAGCGTGCGTCTGCTCTGCGTGTGAGCACGACCCAGACCCAGACTCGACCCAGCGTCGCAGTTGCACTTGCAGCCTGGAATAGCTTGGTTTGCCGCTCGTCTGTTTGGGGGCTTCTCTTTCTTCTTTTTGTTGGAACCGAGCTGAAAGGAATCTCGTGCGTCTGCACCTCATCACATCGCATCGCATCGCATCTCGGGGTCCTACCTATCACGGATTATTTCCCCCTCTTATTCATGTCCCCGTCATCACAGATGAGAGATCACATTTCATCAAATACGGACCCCATCCCATCTACCCGCTCCCGCAAAAAGCAAGCTGAGGTGACGATCGTCGGTGGCATGCGCTCATCTTCGCCCGCCCCGCCGGGCCTGTCGAGCGGGTCGTCTTCTTCTTCGATTTCGTCCGTGGAGACTTCTTCTCCCACTGGACTTGGGCCAGGAATCGGTCTTGGATTTGGAGGCTCTTTGTTTGGGGATGGAAATGATGGTAACGTTTTAGCCCCCGTAATCACGGCTATGAACTCTTCGACTTCGGGGAGTAGAACTGGGAATGGACAAAATAGCTCCATACAGCACTCGTCGCGTGCTTCGTCTTTGTCGTGGGGTACTGCTGCACCGTCTGCTGCTTCGGTCGCTTCGGTTGGTATCGCGGATCATCATGCTGCGCCGCGGACACCTGGAGAGAGTGTTTACACGTGTCTATTCCATATGCTGGATTGTCATGATTCATTCGATGATGTTGTGGAGTGGAAAACGCATGTCTTGAGTCACTTTCGCACGCATCCGACGCCACGTACGGCGCGGTGTCCACTCTGTTCTGATGAGTTTGTTGATGAGGGCGATGACGAGTCACTGCTTCTTTCTCCTCTTTCAATATCCGAGCCGAACGATGAGAAAACTCTTAGTCGAGATAACGAGGGCTCGATCAACTCAGCGTCTGTCCTCTCTCAAGATAAGGATGATGATAATCAAAGCCAAGCCCAATTCTCGGATTCTGCCTGGAATCGCATGCTCAATCACGTCGCTGAAACCCATTACCAGCATGGTCAGACGTTAGCGGGAAGTCGACAGGACTTCGAGCTCATGCGGCACCTCTATAACCGGCGCATCATTTCTGATGCCCAGTTCAAGGCTATGCAGCTCGCGCCTGCACCGTCGAGTCCGGCATATCATCGTTCGCAGGATGGTGTGCGAGCTAGTATTGGGTCATCGGATGAGCCGTACTATGCGCCTTATAGTCGGAGGAGGGAAGAGAGGATGAGGGGGAGCCACCAGGGGGGTCAGTGTTGTTTGAATTTTTTTTTGGGGTTTTTTAAAAGAACCCTCTTATTGGGGATGTCAAGTTTGAGGTTAGGATTTCAACCACCTAGACCTTGAGGGGGTTTTGTCTAGTTTGTTTTTGATTGTGCTTGTTGCGAATATTCCCCCCGTTGCTTTGTTTCATGTTATACAGCTTGTATGTATGTTGTGCAGTTCCCTATGCACCACTGTGTGATAGTTCTGTTGTTGACTAGATCAGCTATTTTTCAATATTGATAATAATAGCTTCTTTTGCGTGTTGCTGGTAGGAGTGCTGCTTGAGGCTGGATCGTGGTAGAGATCGAGATTGTGGCATTGGTAGATATCCAATGCTTTGACGAGGATATAAGCCCAATTGTGAGCACGTTCGATTAAAGAAGAGAGTAGCAGCTCGATTGCTCATGCATACAGAATGCCTTAGGACAAGCAGAAGGAGGGGCGGATCAGGCGAAAAGAAGGTGAGCGGGATCTTATAGATCAGATCGAGGCCAAGCAAACAAGACAAACATTCCCTTGCCCGCATTGGACCTGGAGAACTTCATGGCCGCGACTTGAAGCTGTCTTCCCAATTCTACAGATCCAGCCCTCCATAGAATGAGAGTGTCTTCCTCAAAATCCCAAAACTAAATTTTGAACCCGCATCTTCTCCGGGCTCGAACTACTTCGACCTGCGGCCTCCGATCTCCCACTTTCTCACCCCCACTACCTCATCCAGCCCACGACATGGAGCGCTTATCGCTGAACGAGAGCCCTGCCAATGCGCAGCGGAATCCCCAGCAGCAGCCACAGCAACAGCAATTCCAACAACAGAACTCGCTTGGTCCTGCCGGTCAAATGCCTACTTCGGGCCCGCCGCAACTTCCGCCACAGATGTTCACTACTGCCGCACAGCTGCTGGACTTGACAGATAGTAGGTTGGCCAGACTAGAAGGGTACTAGGTCAATATAACTGCATTTACTGATTCGGATGTCTTCTTCTGTTGAACAGAGAAGCTAGTCCTCGTCCTGCGCGATGGGAGAAAACTAGTCGGTGTGTTGCGAAGCTGGGATCAGTTCGGTATGGACATCTGCGCGCAATCTTGAAGAATCATGGCTCATCCTTTGTCACTTTCCACTCCTTTAGCGAACCTTGTTCTCCAAGATACTGTCGAACGAATCTACGCCGGAAAACTCTACGCTGATGTTCCACGCGGGATCTTCCTTGTGCGTGGTGAGAACGTGTTGCTATTGGGTGAAGTGGTATGTACCGTTGCTTCGATCCGATATATTTTACGTCGGTGGCTAACGCAGCATTTATTTTCGTCTACAGGACCTTGACCGCGAAGACGAGATTCCTTCCACCGTAACAAAAGCTCCTTTCGAGGAGGTATTCGAACTCAAGAAGCAGGAAGATAACAAGCGCAAGAGCGGTGACAAGAAGCGACACACTGAACTTTCGGCTCTGGGATTCGAGCCTGAGCACAGCGGCGAGATCTTGTTCTAGATTATTCTCTCCGCCTCTATTGCTGCGATCTTGCGGTTGGGCACCTTTCCAGCTCTTTTCCTCGGCACCATTGGGTGGGCCGCACCCCGAATAGTACCCATTCTCACAAAATTGGGTATCAAGGGACTTCCTGTTGTTGGGAATGTACAATAGCAGGTGGTGCAGGCGGGAACTTGACGTGACAGATTTTCCCAACCGCAGAGTTTTACTTATATCATTTCGGGCCGAAAGGAAGGCGTGGACATGGCCTTATACCCGGGATTTGAATCTCATGATACTCTACGGACAATCGACACTGGTCTAATACTCATTTGAAGCATCGTTGTCATTGCTTCGCAAATACGGAACAGTGGATGGTACGATTGCCATTATCACCCAATTCGGGTCCATATATCTTTACGCTTGTGCTTGATAGTTAAAAATGAATTGACGGGATTTAACGACTAAACAGTATTGTAAAAAAAAAAAGAAAAGACTTGCTACATGTAAAATTATCCTTATATTGAGGTTTTCTTCGTATCTGGTCCATAGATGCTTATCGATAAAGATGCCAAGACTCGCCGTACCTTTTTTTTCACGATTTTCTCCATCACCGCCAGAACTGTCTTCCCCCGCACAGCTTTTCCCTTGTCCTTTTTCGTTCAAAGTCACCATGGCGACTCTGGCGGAGAAGCTTGAGAAGATCAAGTCTCCCAAGCTGCAGAACCAGCACCACGTAAGATCCCCCGAGCTTTTCCGCATCCGTTCAAAACTGACCTGTCTTAGACCGCTGTGGTGCTTTCTGCAGTGGAGGATACTCTTCGCGATCAAAAGGCCGATTTCTCTCCTACCGCTTATTTCGCTGCCCTCCTTGCCCTTCTTTCTCAGTCGCTGTCGGCTGAGCAAGGTATCGTCAACAAGGATTTGGCAACTTCAGTCGTCTACCTGCTCGATATCACCACCGAATATGTCCCTGCTCCCATCCTCCGCTCAAAATTCTCTCAGATCCTCACCAGCCTCGCCCCTGCATTGTCACTTCCCGAGGTCGAAGCACCACTCCTGCGACCCTCAATTGGAAGTCTTGAGTCGCTGCTGATCGCCCAGGATGCGGCTGCATGGAACCTTCCGCATACCGCAATCGGCCCGCGCCGTGCCACGGCCGGTCTGTTGAGTCTGTCGGTTGACCATCGCCCCAAGGTGCGCAAGCGCGCTCAAGAGGCTCTGATTAAGGTGCTCAAGAACCCCCCTCCCAGCCCGTCTCTGGACCACCCGGCTGCCGATATGTGCGCCGAGTCTGCTATGAAGACTCTTAGCGACGGTATCGCAGCTGCGACAAAGCAAAAGAAGAACCGCAACGATGCGCAGTCCCGGGAGAACCACGAGCCTTTGATTATTCACTCTTTGCAGTTGGTCAAGACCATTGCTTCGGCATCCGGTGGCTGGCCCAGCAAGAAGATTGAGGCGCTCTGTGAGCTGCTGATGAACGCTTCGCGCTCCATGAACGAGTACATTACGATGGGCGCGTTCGAGGTTTTCGAAGTTATTTTCGAGGGCATGGCGGATGAATTTTCTTCTTCCAAGCTCCCCCGTCTGTTGGACGCTATTACCGAACTCAAACCCGCACAGAACGACTCTCAGCTCCTCCCGCCCTGGATTGCTGTCCTGTCCCGTGGTTACGACGTTTCTGCTCAGATTACCCCCGAAGATACATTTGCGAAGCTCCCAGAACTGTTCCAGTTGATCGCTGGTTTCTTGGCCTCGCCCTCCCACAACATTCGCGTCTCGGCATCTGAGTGTCTAATTTCGTTCCTGCACAACTGCATTCCCAACAGTGTCATTATTGAGGCTTCGATTTACGATGAGAAGACTCTTGAGAAGTTGGCCCGTGCGGCCTCTGAATTGCTGTCTGTCAAATACCAGGCTGCATGGATGGAGGTTTTCAACGTCTGCTCCGCCCTGTTCGACTGCTACAAATGGCGATCCAGCCCCTTCCTGGTTGATATTGTTTCTACCATTGGCGAGCTGCGCAGCAATGAGACATTCCACGGCAAGAAGGAGGCAGATGCTGTCCTCGGAAGTGCTATCGAGGCCATGGGCCCTGCTGCCGTCCTTGAGATCCTGCCATTGAACATCATTGAACAGAAGAACGGCCAACCTGGTCGCGTTTGGATGTTGCCCATTCTCCGTGATAGTGTGACAAACACCAACCTGGCACATTTCCGTTCCGAGTTTGGTCCTCTCAGTGAGGCCCTCTACCAGAAGATGGTTGACTTCCAATCCCTGGAGAAGCCTGTCGAGGCCAAGATTTTCGAGACCCTCGTCCAGCAGACTTGGGGCATTCTCCCGGGATACTGTGAGCTCCCGCTTGATGTGGTTGAGTCCTTTGACCAGAGCTTCGCCGAGCTGCTGTCCAATGTCCTTTACAAGCAGACCGACCTGCGTGTCGAGATTTGCCGCGCCCTGCAGAACCTGATTGAGTCCAATCAGGCCATTCTGTCCATCGAGGCTGAGGAGGAGGATCTGATCCTGCAGCGCCGTATCACCAAGGCTGCTGCTGCCAAGAACATCGCCCACTTGGCTGGCTTCGCTAGCAACTTGCTCGCTGTGCTGTTCAACGTTTACAGCCAGACCCTTCCCCACCACCGTGGATTCATTCTGCAGTGTATCAATGCCTACTTGAGCATTACTCCTGAGACTGTAAGTCTAGGTTTCCCCACATATAATTTTCATTCGACATGATGCTAACTTCAACAGGAACTTAACGAGACATTCACTCGGGTGACCACAATGCTCGAGGAGTCATTGGCTACGGAGCAGAACAACCCTGTCAAGCAGGATCCTTCTAACAAGATGCCCCCGACCTCGCACACTTTGATCGATCTGGTCATCGCCATGTCCATCTACCTGCCCCGTTCCAGCTTCTCCGGTCTCTTTGCTATGGCCGCAGCCATCCTGAATGGAAATTCTCCCAACCCCGATCAGCAGCTTATCAAGAAGGCCTACAAGCTGATTCCCCGACTTGGCTCGACCGAATCTGGCAGCGCTGCCTTGCAGGAGCGTAGTGCCGAGCTGCAGGCCCTGATGCTCGCCACAATTGACAAGACCCCGGCCTCTGGTCGCCGAGACCGCATGCTCGCCATTCACGAGCTGGTCACTCACCTCCCCACCTCCGAGCTTCACTTCATCCCGGCTATCCTGTCCGAGGTTGTTCTTGGATGCAAGGAGAGCAACGAGAAGGCCCGCACAGCTGCCTTTGACCTGCTGATTCACCTTGCCCGCCGCACCAGCGACGACGAGCGCAACCCTGCTGGCACTGTGATCCGCAACTCTTTGGTCTCCCACATGCCCGACGATGCCCCCGATGCTCCCGCCAACATTGAGGAGTTCTTCACTATGGTCTCTGCTGGTCTGGCCGGTTCCTCCCCTCACATGGTCGCCGCTTCGGTCACAGCTCTGTCTCGCCTGTTTTTCGAGTTCCAGACTAAGCTCCGCGCTGAAGTCCTCACTGACCTTGTCGCAACTGTCGAGCTCTTCCTCACCAGCAACAACCGTGAGATTGTTCGTTCCGTCCTCGGCTTCGTCAAGGTTGCCGTTGTCGTTCTCCCCGACGAGACCCTGCGTCCTCGTCTGTCCACCCTGGTCCCTAACCTTATGGCCTGGAACAAGGAGCACAAGGGTCGTCTTCGCAGCAAGGTCAAGGGAATTATCGACCGCCTGGTCCGTCGCTTCGGTGCCCCACTGATGGAGAACCTGGTCGGCGAAGAAGACCGCAAGCTGGTCGTGAACATCCGCAAGCAGCGTGAGCGTAACAAGCGCAAGAAGAAGGAAGGCGCCGAGGCCGGCTCCGACGATGAAGACGAAGACAAGCCTGCCCAACAAACCGGCAACGCCTTCGACAAGGCCGTTTACGGCTCTGACTCCGATGACTCGGATGACGGCTCCGACGGCTCCGACGTTGAAGTCGACGAAAACACCCGTATCAAGGGCAAGAAGGATCGATCCCGCCAGAGCAATCAGTACATCCGCGAGACATCTCCTGAAGATAACCCGCTTGATTTGCTCGCTCCTGATGCTCTCGCCAATATCTCCACCACAAAGCCTAGTCTCCGTTTCCTGAACACCGGTCCCGGCTCTAAGCGTAAGCACGCTGCCAAGTTCGATGCTGACGGAAAACTGCTTCTGGGCGATGACGACGCAAATGATGATGTCGATATGGCTGGTGATGCCCCTGCTGGTGGTGTCAATGCCTACCTGGCAGCTGTGAGCGGTCCGGACGCTGTCCGCCGCGGCCAGAAGGGTAAGGTCAAGATGGGACAGGCTAAGCGCCGTGGAGGCGACGCCATGGACCTCGACGAGGAGGACGAGGCCGCTTTGAATGAGGATATGCGTAATAAGGGCCCGAACACCGGTCGTCGTGGTCTTGGTGTACCCAAGTCTCATGGTGCCCCAGGCGGAGGCCGTATCGAGAAGCGGTCTTCCTGGGGTGGCCGTGGCGGCGGTGATCGCGGTCGCGGCGGCTTCGGTGGTCGCGGCGGTGGTGATCGCGGTGGTCGCGGCGGCTTTGGTGGGCGCGGCGGTGGTGATCGTGGTGGTCGCGGCGGCTTTGGTGGTCGCGGTGGCGGTGATCGCGGTCGTGGAGGCTTCGGTGGCCGTGGAGGCTTCAGCCGTGGCGGTGATCGCGGTCGTGGTGGCTTCGGTGGCCGTGGAGGTGGTGATCGTGGTGGCCGTGGAAGACGGTAAACGCGAGTCCCTTCCTGCCATGCCATATTTTCAATGTTTAAGGGTGTTGTTTGAAGACGTTCCTTTTAAATACCCCTCGATGGCGATTCCGATTCCGTTAATAGGGGTTTGACTCGGTTTCACTGGTCTTCATGGTTCTGGACTTGTCTTTTGGTTTTGTTATGATTCTGTTACGAGCAAAAAGTTTGTTAGGGCATTGCACATAGAAATGGAATGTTATACTTTATCGTTATTCACATATTACTTGGTTAAAACTCGGACCTTTCTACAGTTATAAGGTCATCCTCAGAAAAAGTCTAGATATCTTCGATTAGTAGGATCTAGAATGCAGTATAGACCGTGTTCGGGTCTCAGGACTCCAAAGGAACTGGAGATGGGCTGTTTGAAGCCAGTCAGAAATATTGCCCCAAATTTGTCCAGAATTCCCCAGATTCTCAAGGTTTCGATCAGCTCAAGGTCAGAGATTCAAGACCTGGCTGCCTCGTTTCTTCTTCTTCCTCTGGAAATGGGCCGTTCAATGTTTTCTAATCCTACATGAAGCCTATGCTGGTAGTTGTCAAACCCCTTCCAGACATAAACAAATAAGCTCCCATTTCCCATTCAACAACGATAGCTGTCTCATGCACTTTCGTCTTCTTGGGGATCCCACATATCCAGTAAAGAAAAGCTGCACCGAAGATATACAAAACAATGTAAATCCACATAATCCCAAAATCCATCCATACAACATCGGAATTTGTTGAAGTACCTGCCAGGAACTTATTCGTCTCAGAAATACGACAAAATGAGCAAGTTGTAGTAGCAGAAGGATTCTCCACATAACCCCCAGTAAGACGAATGAAGTCAGCCAGATACTCCCCACAAGTCATATTCGGGCGTAGCTCAATATGAAGGAATTCCTGTTCCAGGCATATAACACGACCACCTCCAACCGATGCAGATAACAAACTTGATATCAGAAAATGGAAGGGAGAGATGTGGTACATGAAGATCCAGAAATGCGGGAAAGCCCCCAGCCCAGCAAGTACACCGCAGAAGGAGATTGTCAGTGAGAAACGGAGGTTGACGATGTTGCCCGCCGTTTCAGGTTTCTCTATTGTTGCAATGGCGAGATGTGTGAATGTACTTGAGAAAAGTACAAATGTGAGGATGAAGAACCAGATGAGAACGCCTTTCCCGTGCACGGTATTTGTAGCCTCTGCATTTCGGTATAAGCCGATTGAATTGTACCATGTCACATAGAGTAGGACTAAGCAGAAGAAGGACCAGGGGATCTCGACGCGCATGTTGGCTAGCATGAATATTATTTACGAGTAAGTCCTTGCTGGTCGCTCGCGAGGCTCGTAGAGCGCTCTTTGGGTAAGTAATTGTGGCATGATCTGTTGTGAAAGAGATTGAAGGTTGTCGCAAGCCTAAAAAGGCAAACATTTGGTTATGCAACCCTTGCTGGGTGTTTGGCGCTTTAAAAAAGGAGAACCCGTTGAGAAGAACCTAAAACAGATCAAATAAGTATTTCCCGGGGGTGAACTAGAGCATCGATGTTGTGAAGAATTTGAACGTGTTGGCGTCTATTTCCGATATAGTATGCAGCCAAATCAACCAAGCCAAGCATAACATCCCCCACGGTACTCTGAGAGCTCAGTGCAGTGACGAAGCCAGAAACATTCAGGTTTTCCAATGCCACTCCAGTGTTCGCATCATGTAGAGACTGTCGTCACGAGTCAACTCGAGGCTCTCAGAGCTCTGATCCATTTTTCGGGTCGAACGAAATCGAAATTCGGGTTCAGCTCTGGGTCCTCTGTGTTGAAAGGACTGGAAGTGTTTTCTGTGTGGTGGAATTGTTGACTAATTCATCTGGACAGCTATTTGATACCCGTGGAGTGGTCGCCATTGAGATCATGTGTTTCTTAATCTCCAGATTGAATGGAGTCATGGAGCTCTGGAGTAGAGCTCTCGAGGTTCCCCAAGTGAAAGTCAAAGGCAGACATCGTGTTGGACATCATTGTTTATCCACGCACATGCACTGCCAGAGAGTTACCAGGTCGCAGTGTGTTCCTCAAGGAAGATAAAAGAGGAATTGTGGAAGACCATGTTTTGGGAATGAGGTCTCGTGACCTAGGGCCTAGGGGACTTGGCCTCATTGCCACTGTACATGTACAATTACAAGGTTGTGATTGTATGTGTACGACCTCATTTGGCTCCCGGGTCGATTCCTGCGCGCCCCGTTTCTTTTTTTATTTTTATTTTTTTTTCAGCGTACATGATGTTCATGTTGGAAAACGTGATCTAGGACGAACATCAGATGCAAGGACTGTTCCCCCAGAGTCACCTTATCTCACCTTCTGACCCTACTTTGCAGTTCAATATATATATTCAAATCTCTATCCTGTATGCTTGATATACCATTAATCATTTAAGCTTGGAAGACTAGGATAAGATGCAGGGATAGTTGATCTATAAATCCATCGGCAGCTAAGTGGATGCCTCCGTCCTATTTCGTGATAGTGGATCCATGATGCAGAATGACTAACTCTATTATACATGTATGCCATGTGCCATATAGTGCTTAGATTGGAACTAATGCTCAAGGTACCCAGAACCCACTATCATCTGCTACTGCATACTTTAAAAACACCATATTACGTCATCTACAATACTGATTAAGTATGGGTATAAGGTATTCGATAAACAATCGGGTATCAAATTCACGCTCCTGAACGCAAACATACATACATCTTCCCATATCAATCAAAACGAAAACTCCTCATACAAGTACACCTGGTGCAGGATGAATGAGCTGGCGAGCTGCGTCAAGGATCATATCGAATCAAAGGGGTTCAGTAAATAAATCATGGGGTCATGCAGCCACTCCAAACGCCAATCCCGTCCAGTTCCAATGGAAATATAAGCCCTCCAAACTCCGTCAAAAAAATGTGTATAGTTCATAGCCCCTCCCATGGGAGATCAATAGATATAAGCAGATGAAGGGGTCGGGTCGGTTCGGTAAGGGTCATTCCGCGTATTTCTCTGTCGTAGCAGGGCACTCGACCAGAGTAGATTTTGTTTTTGTCTTTTTGTTTTCTTACAAGGGTCCAAGTTCGGACCCTTCAACAAAGTTTCATGGATCTTCTCGTTGTGGGGAATATGTGGGTCGACTCCGACTCATCATGGAGAAGGCCGGGATTTACCCAACCATGTCCGCCACCACTTGCAAACTCCCAGAACGGCGGCACGACCATCGTCTTTCCGCTCTGTGCCATCTGGGTTCCCCATGACCATAGCAAAGACCCAAAATGCAGCGGCTGTCCAGGCAAAAAGGAGGATGGCAATGCTGAAGAAGGGGGAGAGGGTCAAGACGACTATTGACATACCGACGGAATATAAGATGCTGGAATCAACGACCGGAACAGGTTCCTCGCTGTCTGGGTCGGAGTGGATCCATTGTGTGGAGGAAGAGCGGTTAGAGGTAGGTGGTGGCATGCAGACAAGTCGTTCATGGATGTGGAGGACTGGGGAAAGGAGGTCGCATAGTTGGGTTCGGAAGGAAGTCTTGCGAAGATATGGGGATATAGAACAGAGACGGAGAGGCGAGATGAGTATGGCGAAGATGATTGCGAAGAAGGTGTATATGCAGGCAGCGAAGGAGAAGAGTGGAACCGGAACAGATAGCCGGAACTATATGGGTCGTTAGCACGAGGGATCGATATTGTCTTCCCAGCAGTATCGACTCACCAGCATCAGTAGCGCATCCTGACCACCATCACTAGATGTAGCATCAAGAACTCCTCCTCGCTTCGAGACACGAGTCTGCTCTCCCGACATCAATGAAGGCTGCCAACTTCCCCGGGAACGTCCTTCCTTGGAGCCGTGGGCCACTGTAACCGGCTGGACAACCTCGTCCCCTATACGAGAGGCACGCCGTGACGCTTCCGGAGAGTGAGCGTGTGATCCCCGCGGGCCAGAAGTGCGGGGGCTCACGTCGTGGGCCATCCACTGAGAGGAGCGTAGCGGACTTGAATATGAAGGTTCAGGGTGTTCCGGCGGGATCAAGGGAGAGCGTATAGCGACGACGGGGTCCCGTGCCTGGTGATAGGCAGGACTATATGACATCTCCGGCGGCGACATGATTGAGTCGGAAAGTCAAGACGAGAGAGCCGAGAGTCGTACAGGCGCAATGCGGATAAAGGTGTATAAGGCTCACGGCATGGTCTCCCCAAGGGCGTCATCCACTCACGCGTGCGGATAGGTGACCAGTATCCCATTCGGTGAGAGGGCAAGGGCGGAAAGGGAGACTTATAGGACGGAGGAGCAGCGGAGGGACCAGGGAGGGCCATGGCAGCGGAGGAAACTGGTACTGTTTGCAGTCGCGCTTCGCCAAGGCGCCCAGATGCCGAGCCCTTGGCATTTGGGAAAAAGGGTTGAGGCTGCATCATTATTGATTATGTTGCTTTCCTGCGTGTTTTCTCCTTTTTCGTTCCATTCTGGAGTTCGACTTGGATTGCCATTTCCTAAATTCTCTATCTTTCATCTATGAAGAGCTTATTGCATAGTCGTAATATTATCCTCGTAGGTTGGACAAGCTCCGTGCCACGGTGTTGCAATGGGGATATTTTACCAATCGCCAAGATGCCAAGGCGCACTTCGGATGACCAGCTCATATGGTCCAGTGTGATTGGTTGAATGGTGTGTGATCCGCATCTGCGGCGACTTGGCATTTATTGGTAATGCAATACAAGTAGTCTGCACAACTGTAAATTACCGCACTATTTAATCACTATTGAGACCGTAGTGAAGTGGTATCCCCTTAGTATCCACCAGAAATCTTCATCAATATCATGATACATACTGTTCTTCAGGGTTAATTAAAGTATTAGAGTATTGTACTAATCCAATTGACTTGCCCTTCACCTGTATCGCTTACAAAATTACACTCTCTCGGACCTTGTGGCTTTCACACGGAAACAACACTGGGTTCTGCCCAGCATGCCCAGACGCCGAGAGATTGGCAACCTTGTGACTTTTGGAGAAACTGAAATTTTCTTTCGCTGGGCACATTGGCATTCTTATGGTGTTCAAGTTGCAATATTTATTATGTAACCCCTTCCCCATCGTGGTAAGCTTGAGGGAGATCTGAAACCCTGCAGGACTTGCCGCAAATCCTGCATAGGAGAAGTAAACACAAGCAGCATCAATAGTGATTCTAGTGAATGGCAGTCGCAGAGCCTTATCTAAGCACTGTAGCAAGATCCTTCCGGTCCCAAGTCGATCAGGGTCACTTTACAGTCTTGGCTTCCCCTCCCTAGGCCGAGCCCCTCAACTCCATAATCTCTTTCCCTGGTTCCTTGTGCCCCCAAACACCACTGTTGTCTTGGTATTGACCCTGAATTCCTCGGCGTCGCCCACAGGGTAAGAAAGACAGTTCAAAGACAAGAAGATACAGACCGCTGGGCGGTCTTGGCTGGTCTTTTATGATACGAGGCTTGCGCGTCCTCCGTTAATGGAGTAATAACGGGAGGGTTGTCACCTCGGGCCTATGAACCCCGCGGCAAGCCACCCATCTCGGTTATGACAACCCAGACGCCTTCGGTCTAGGTATCCCTATTTGCGCTTTGTGCTCGGATTTATCATGTGGCGGATTCGGGGGGCTTCCACATCGCATGGTCGATCAGTTGCAAGCACGCCATGGGGAAGATCGGTCATATTTAATGTGCGTCTCTGCAGATCAGTAGAAATGCTCCAAGGTTCAATGTAGATTCCTGGGTTTACTGTAGGTATACTGTATTCCCCTCGTGGAGATCCCGACCGCTATGTTGGCCATAAATGGCAGCCAATCACCGCATCAATAAATCAGTGATAATCACAAGAGAGAGTTCAGGTAAGATGAACACTAGTGGGCTGACATAGTAACCCCAATGGAACGTCAAGTCTCCCGTGGGTGCGTGCTAAGGCGGGTATGGAGTAAATATGAACCCCTTGAAACCACATCATCGGGAATGCCGCATGAAACGAACCAATAGGGCTGGACTAACTCAGCACCCTTCTTTATCAAGTGGATCCAGCATCCTAAAGATACGGTCAAGATCAATTTAAATTCAAATGCATTGCATTGCAATCAATATGAGCTCTCTATCTGTAGATCAGGTTTGCCGGCATGCTCGGAGCCCTACAGGAGATCCCTTGCGGCATGCTCTGCCGAGAAGATCATGGCCCCCTGCTTCCTGTCAGAGTCAGACATGCAGTACGGAGTTGATAGAGATAATTTAAGTAAACATTGGGGGCCGGGCGGTAGATAAAGTCTGTAGCCTGTCGTCCCCCGGGGCTGACGGTCGCATCCTTGAAAAAGCAATCGGAACTCACTGAGCCGCGGGAAGATGCATGATTTGTCTTGGGGGCTGAAGGATCGGAGCGAAGCGAAAAATGAAGACGAGTTTATTCGAGATCAAGTGGTCATTGGCCCGTGCGGGGTTGTTTTGCATTGGATTTGGTTAAAGTTCACCTGCATTTGTCATATCTGGTGGCTGGAGTTGATAACTTCGATCTGGCTGAAAGATGGTTTGATGGGAGACAATGAGGCGTCGGACTTGATTATATATCAATCGATTGGATGTACATATCTCAATCAGAGACGGATCCGATTTGACAGCGGTCCCAGCCGCACCTGAACAAGGCCCGGAAGATATGCAATTCGGAGCCTAGAAACTTCAAAAGAAATATGTCCTTTGCATATAGTTTTCTTTTCTTTTTTGACTAGCACCCGGATGCTCGTCTCAGATGCCGGCAGATCACGCCCCATTTCCGGTCGCGTGGACGTTTGTCATAGACGCCTTGGTGGAGCCAGGAATGAGGCAACAGATCAGCCATAGCCCAGGTATGTCAAGTTGACATGACAGAATGCTAATCAGATAAACACTGTTGTTGCAGTAGGTTTCAGGTGCTGATCGATGTTGACAGCATTGGAATGAAAACACAATACCCCAGATTATATGCTGCACATGGTTTTGTAAAGCCTCAAGAACCCGTTGCCAGGGCATATATATCTCCCCTCATAGCAATCACAACAAACCCCAGTAGGTCTCCTCGTTTGTGGCTGCAGCCTACTGCAGCCACCGGGGAATCGATGAGACTAGATCGATTAACAACGCAACCAGCCCATAGTTGTGCCTTATCTACAGAGAGTACAGTATGCAGTCCCCGTGTCGAGTCTAGACGGGAAAACCATGGCACCATTATTTAGCGCCCTATGGCGGGAAATGTTTATTTATTTGTAATTCTGTTTGCTTTTCCAACTCGAGAACATGTCACGCACTGCCTGGTAAGCATTTGCTTCCCAGGTCGCCAGTGCCTGATCTTTTTTTTCTGTGTTGGGTCGGTCGCACGACAGGGATTCGCAAAAGTACTTAGCCTTGGGGTTCTTAATCTCCACCAATCCTGATGTCCCTTGGGCCGTTGGTCGTAAGGCCTGTTTAGTTAAGTCAGTAAGGTTTCGATCAATTATTTTTCGAATTTCTTATCAAGGTTGTTTTGAATGTATATTAAGCGAGAAAACTGGGCTGGCGTGGAATCGTTATCTGCAACATTGCCTAAAATTATATGTTCCCATATAAGTAAGGTAGGACGACGTTGTAGAAAGCTTGGTTTCATGCCAGTTTGTATTCCCAGATGAAATTGCGGTCTTCGTGATATATAGCTGCTCTTAAGAGGATTAATGATATCCTAGGGCTGGTCTGTTCAAGACCTCCAGGGCTAGAGATCTGCGACCGCAAACCCGCGCCCGTGAACGAACCTTCATCTATATGCCCTTGACCATGCGTGTTGCACCGTCCCACCAACCATGCCAGGCAAGGAGAAATGGTTCCCATGAAGCCAGGGTACGGAATATAAGTAGCAGACTATTAATATCTGGAGTGTACTCCGCAGATACTACTCTGTATGGGAAAAGAGAATACTTACATAATCCCCGGCTCCGAACTTGTCTCCACAGTGGAGGGAGTAAGCTATGCGCGCGGCTGATGTCTACGTTTCCAGGTGGAGTTCCGCCCTAAAAAAAAATTCCCGGAACATGCTGACCGAGTCCCCTTGGTGGACTCCTGCTTTCTGCAATGGTGACGACCACTGCAGGGATCCGGTGGGGATACTAGATCCGATACACGGCGATGTAGAGTTTGACAGCCCTGGAAGCGGGTAAACATGGCGCACGTTGAGAAATTTCCCAGCGACCGTGTAACCCACGCGAACGAGGTGTGCTCCGGAATTTTGGGGGATAGAATGTATGAGGAACCATTCTTCTTTAATCCTCTGATCTCTAAATTCCTACCTAGAACTCTCTCTGTACGTGATGTTTCACAAAGCTATTGCGACGTAACGGCAACGGCTCGGCTAGGCAAACCCTGAGGGTAAGGAGGGAAATCAAAATTGGGGCAGGAAAAAACACTAATAAAATAGCAAAAAGTAAAAAGAGATAAAAAAAAAATCGTGCGTCTCCACGGGTGGAGCCACATTCACCGAGTCCCAGGCTGACGACATGGGTTCTGCCGATCGAAGGTTCTGCTGGATGCGGCAGGGGTGTGGGAACCAGAAGCAGGAATCGGGGCGTTTTTTTGGGGGGTGTGATTTGTACTATTGGAAATTGGCAAAAATGGAAAATTAAGAGGAAAGGGGGTTGTGCATTGTCACATCCCCACTGTGTATCAAGATCATCGTTGGACATCCACTGGCATGCGGCAAAAGGGTGGCTTCTCTTTGTGGCTGAGGAGAAAGGAGAGAAATCAAACGTGTGGAGGAGAAGACTAGGCTGAATGCGGTAAGTGTCTATTGTTCCTTATTCTAGTTCCAGAGTATGATTATTTTTTTTTAAGGATTTTAGTATTTTAGTATTTTGGATATTTTTGAGTGTATATATTCTACTGTTCGAAACTAAATAAACTAAATGTGCCATGTACCGTACCTCGTATGCTAACTCATGATGACGGAAGGGGCGAAATGCACTAGCGGGTGGAGGAGACTCCCGTGGTATGCCAAAGTCAACCCTGCAGTTTGAAAGAGGGAAATTGCCATAAAGAAAAGAGTTCAATGCAGCAGAGCAAAAGGAGATACGGTATGTATCTATGTAGAGTATGCCATATATT